CGCAATAGCAATAGCTCCAGCTAACTTTGTACAAAGAACTTATCAGCGGCTTAGAGTTGGCCAGCGTCGCGCTCCTAGCCATCTGCCTGATCGTCTTCGGCGAAGTCCGTTGAGTCGCCGCGGGGCCAGTGCTACCTTGTTGGCCTTGCTTGCTGTGAGCTTCACATGGTTCGAGTACTTTACAGCTTAGATTGTCAGCTGATGTAACATAGACAAATACACCTCAATACAAAAATACATGAGACCCCAACACTGATGCCATAACTGCTTACACTTGCCTGCGAGTTGTGCCTTGAACTGCAGGACTGCAGCTCTTTGTCGAGCGTCACTCCGGTAATCCATAGGTTTAGTCAAATAAAACTGCCAGCCCACACGTCCATCGATTTAATTTCATCCCGACCTCCTTGTACACACTCTACGCTTGCCTTACACGCATCTCGCAATGCAAGAATTACCTCCCGTTCCCTCTCATCACGTACCTGATCGTCAACCTCTCTTTCAAACGAGGGTGAAAGACATGCAGATACTTCCCATTTTCCGTCATCCAAGCCCTCCCGGCTTTGCACGCGGGTCTCGCTCTCCAGCTGCCACCCAGCAGCCAGGGCCAATTCAGTAAGCCGCTTTGGCCCCAGCACCGTGCGAACGTTCGAATGGCTTTTGGGTTTGCGGCACTCCAGCGCTGCCTGGGCGAGCGTAGCTAGTACGTGAGGCTGGGCAGAGGGGTGCGTTGCTACCAACGACCACTCAGCAAGGAGGAGACGCTTGCTGTGCTGTTTGAGGGCGCGGAAGGTGGACAAGATCAGCGAAGGAGAGCTGAAGTACCATAGACTGTGGACAAGCGCTGTGGCGTCGAAGGTCTTGCTTTCGCAGACAGGTGACGAAGAGGTGGAAGATGGGGAGGGGAGAGATGAGAGATAGTCTAGGGGGGGTTGTCGAACCCACGTAATCCGCCTTCCTAGGGGGCCTTGCGAGATGTGGCCCTGTGCCTGGCCAAGAGTATATGGGGAACCTGCAGGCGCATCAGTCCGCTGATTTCCAGTCGGACCGCCAGAATAAGTAGCAGGGTGGACAGCGAAAGGACGCACCATAATCTAATTCCGCTGGATCGACAGCCACCACGCTACCCTGCTCGCCCACAGCATGGGCAAGGACAGTCGTACAATCCCCCTGCCCGCATCCGATTTCCAGCACCTTCGAGCCCGTGAGGATGTTCCAGTGTTGCACGAGTCCCAGGCGGTGGCTGGTTTGGGAGTGTTGGATGCTGAAGTGGGCGGGGTCGTGTAGGGAGATACGGGCAATAGAGGTGGCGTCGAGTTGAGTGGACATGTCGTGCTCGATAGTTGTTCGGGGAAAAAGAAGTCAGTGATTTTACGTAGCTGTGTGGTGATGGAGGGATGGATTGAGTCATTATGTTTAAATAGACGGTTTCAGCCTATTGGCTGCCTTGTTTGACAAGGATCTACATCCCTTGTTTGTAATAGCGCAAACTTAGAACTTAGAATCACAATAATCATTGTAGATACTCCAAACTTGCAGAGGGAGATGTGTTTTAGGCCCAATTCATTGTGCGGGAGAGCTATCAATTCAGTATCCCGCCGGCCGAGGTGAGTGCACTGGGGCTGTGTGACTTATGATTCGAAGTCACCGAACATAGAGAGGAATTCCATTCTATGTGAACTACGATACTGATTGAAAGCAATACATCACTTTTCAGCGCTCATAATTTCCTTCTCACCAATTCGAATCCAAGTCTCGGCGCCATATCAATCTGCATAAAGCTCACGTGACACCCCACGCGCTGGCACCTCAACTCCACTGTTAAATTTTCCGCGTCGCTGGGGCAAGCGAACTCCAGTGTTGTGCTATTGGGCCTGACTGTAAGATCTATTACGCCGAGAAGCTCTCCCCTCACGGGAAGGGTCGAGTATGATAAGGTGTCATAGTCGAGCTCATCCATATTGGAAGAGACGGTAGCAGAGGTTGCTGAGGGCGCAATAAGCTGCCATACTTCGATTTCCGTGATATCTCCCTTAGTTGTGACGTCCTTGACACGCGGAGATGTCTCAGGAGGCAGTCTCCACGAGAGAGCGCAGGCATTGACGCCAGAGGAAGGGATGGGAAAGCGCATAATTGTCGAGTCCTTCTGCAACGTCAACAGCTGCACACATACCGGTAGAAATAGAGAATGGGCGGATGACTTATTAAAAGCAATAAAAGAGCAAGTGTGAAATACGGACCTCGACAGTGACATAGACCTGCACACCTTGACCCCACACGGCATTTTTCAACTTCCGGCTCACTCGTGCAATCCTATCCGGCCAAGAATGGTGATAGAACTGCGGAGGTGGTATCATTTTCTCTGCCCTATCTAATCCCAGCCTAGCGTCGCCATATGGGAGCGCCTCGAGCTCGGAGTCGGAGAAGGGATAAGCCTGGTACTTTGACAGTGTGGCGGGGAGAATGGCGACGTTCACTGCTGATAATAGCGCCAGTGCGAAGGAGAAGTAGAGAATGAATTTGGGCAGCTGGGAGGACTTGGATGGTGGGAAGGCGGAGAGGTTATCCGAGGCTTCCAGTAAGGGAACGGATTGGTCGTCCTCGGAGGAAGAACGCATCTCATGAGTTGCGATGGAGTCCTCGCCATCATTTTGTAACGGAAAGGGGGCATACTTGGATGAGTTGGACTTTGCTTTGGAGGAAAACATTACGAGGGACGGCTGAGGGCTGAGGAGTAGAACGAGAGGAGAGAGGGTGCACGCCGTGAGCGAAGGCAAGATTAAACCAGGCAGTGGCCACCAGCAGGTAGCAATCGTGACTGCGTCATACCTAAACGGCTGGCTCCTTACCACGTCCGGAAGAGAGAAACGGGTATGATCAATCGAAAACTCGGCTTTTGTCAACAGTTGTGGGCTGGAGGAATGAGGTGATTGCACAGGTGCCGACTCTGCACGGCCAAACCACACCCCTGCACGTCCCTATGCCAGGTGGCCCGAGCATTGCCCTACTGAGGTAGATGCAGTATGCATACCCTTCTAGTAGTGTTTGCGAATCGCGGCGAAGAGGGCGGGACGGACCGACCTGTGCAAGGTCCACGGGGAAAAGGTCCGAAAGGACATGGGCGCCTAGGTAATTCGGCCCGTTTTGGTCTGTTTCAGATAGTTACAAATACTCATTCTTTCAGAGGAGTCTTAGCGTTGTTCTTCGTCGGGCAAAAGGGTCGGTTAGAGGTGGTATTCTATTAGCGCCTGCACTAGATTCAAACAGGGATCATGCATACACTTTGCTGCTGGCAATCGCGCACTGAATACAGGCCAGCTGACAACCTCTTCCCGTGCTTGAACTTACCCCGAAACGCTCACCCGGACCTCCACCTACACCGGCGCCGGAACTAGAACACTGAAAAGGGCCTATACAGTCTGGGAACATCTCATCTAATACTCGCTCACCGAAACATACTACACGTGATCTCTATCAATCATGCCTTCACTCTTCGCAGCAATCACTTTCCTGCTTGTCCTCAGCATCAACTACTCATCCGCGGCGCACGCCGGCTTCCACGTCCAGTATCCATGGATGTCCCGCGGTCCAAACCTGAAGACTCGGCCAGGGTTAGATCAATACAACCCTTTCTGCGGTATGTTTTCTTCCGTTTCCGGTCCAGCAGCAGCGTGAGCTGATGCAAAGAAGGGGAGATAATACACAATCCCCAAAGGTACTCTCGCCGCTCCCGTAGTTTCCTCTCCTTCTCCGGACATCCTGGGGACTTTGTAACCGTTCTTTACACCCGACACAGAGTGCCAAAGAAGAGAAACGACTTTCCCCACATCATCTTAGAAAATGTGCCCATTCAGCCTTCGGGGCAGCTATGTGTCAACGTTACGATACCATTTGAGACTGAGGCCGACGAGATGGGAGTCATGTACTTCGAGGCGACGGATCCGAAGACGGGGAATGTGGAGCATCATGTCAGTTCCTCTGGTCTGCCAGTTGTACCGCGTATGCTGACGCAGAGATAGTGCACGGACGTCAAGATGACTGAAATGAATACTCTGCCCGAGGAACATCCGGCTATGTGTGCGGCTTATAACGAGACGCTGATTCCGATGCCCGATGAGTACCTGTAGACACAGGTTATAGCGCTGTCGATTCCTGCAATGATCATGTATGTTTTGCTTTTAAACATGTATTTTTTGTACGCTCAAGCCAAAAACGAGAGCTTGACTGGACAAGGAACCGAGGACATGGCGGTGAGCTCATGGACAAACACGGCTACTAGCTGGAAGCCGCTATTATCACGTGATCGGTTTCTACTCCTAATACACCCGAGAACACTTTTGTGCAATAGATCGCCTCGTCTTCATACTCTTGTTCAAGTACTGTGATTTAAAGTAAAGGCAGTATAGCTACAAACAGTGCAGATGTTCAGTTGCGATGTTCTCGATTAGTCTCTTGTCAAACCCGTAGTAATCTTCGAAGTGCTACTGCTCAAAGATCGTACCTCGACGAAAGATCCGCCTTGGACGTGTGTACTTCCCGACACAATTACAATCCCAGGTTAAAGAAGCCGTCAACAAGCCAACTTCAACGCAAAATTAGCGTAATGAAAGGCCTAAACGTAGCAAAATTTCTTAGAAAGAGCCCAGGAGTATCTAGTCACCTAGCGTCAGAGGAATCAGCGGGTTGCTCGTTAAGAGCGTCAATGAGAGCAGTTATGTTTTGATAGCATGCAGTACATGGTGTGGAAGGACAGGAAACAAGGCATTTATTTGCAAAAAGGAGAACTCCAGCAGATTTCTGCTATATTCTGCGTTTATATGTATTTCGCTATGTAACGAATGTGGTGAAATCAAAAAATCAAACGCTTAGAAGGGCGCAAAGTTGGTTGGTTACGATGCTCGCCCGTGGAACACGTCATAGACGTTTGTGAAGCTTGTGCATGCGATAATGCAGATATCTGCAGTTGAGAGATAGATGTGCCGGTTCGTGTTATCGCTCTTGGATCATGCGGTCTCGTCCGCATCAACGCCATACTCGTGCTGGCGCTTCTCGTTGGCGACTTCGTCCGTATTAATACCATACTCGTGCTGGCGCTTCTCATTGGAGACCTCATCCGCATCAACACCATACTCGTGCTGGCGCTTCTCGTTGGCAGCCTCGTCTGTGTTAATTCCATATTCGTGCTGGCGCTTCTCGTTGGGAACCTCGTCCGCATCAACACCATACTCATGCTGGCGCTTCTCGTTGGCAGCCTCGTCTGTGTTAATGCCATATTCGTGCTGGCGCTTCTCGTTGGGGACCTCGTCTGCATCGATGCCGTACTCATGCTGGCGCTTTTCGTTGGCAGCCTCGTCAGTGTTAATGCCATACTCGTGCTGGCGCTTCTCATTGGCGAGCTCGTCTGCATCAACGCCATACTCATGCTGGCGCTTCTCGTTGGCGACCTCATCCGTGTTAATTCCATACTCATGCTGACGCTTCTCGTTGGTGACAGAGCGATAGGCATGGCTGATGGACTCGTCGCGGCGAGCTAAGCCAACCACAGGAATCGACGCGGCCTGACCATGTAGGATATTCAGACCGAGGCTGGCGAAGGTGATCAAAGTGATGAAAAACTGCATCTTGGAGTGTGGTAGTGAATAGAACCGTTATTTGGGTCAGGGAAAGAGGTATCTTGTTGATGGGATGCTGTGAGTGCTCGTTGTCCTCTTGAGTATATATGCATTTTACGTTCCGAACGAAAGCTACTCCATCCAGAAAGGATATCCGTAGGACCGATCAAGTGTTCTACACCCGCGTGTTAGAACACTTTCTCCCGGCTCCGTTGGAGATGATTGCACCCAGAATAGCGTCAATGTAGAGACCTGCGTCTGGACTCCAATGTTGATTCCAAATCTCACTAATATGGAGACCGACGTGAATCCGAGACAGACAGGCCTCATGTACATCCAATGTACGTTTTCCCAGGGGTAGAATGACGGGTATGTGCTTTTATCTCCACTGTTTATATTTACCGTTTAATCCTTGACTAGAAAGCCTAAGAGACGAGTCATTGTTCCATCGAACGATCAAGTTTGCGTAAAAGTTATCTAGAGTTCTGATGATTCCCTCGGGTAACACGCAGTTCCTAGTCCGTGTGCATACACCCATAGACCTGCAAAGGCAAGGATCTCCATTGAGTCACGATGACATGCTAACAAGTTCCTGTACCTGCACGCTTAAAGTAAAAACGGATACATGTTAATGAGGACTGCGTATTGTATGTATATAGACGTAAGCTTGTGCGTAGGCTTTGCCTAGGGACTCGAATGAGTATGTCACACTTGGGGATATGACTTTATTCAGCAAGTAGTAAACAAAGAAGGTCGAGTCATCGGAGCTTCCTAGATTTAGTCAAAGGCCTTGCGTCGGCTAACGGAGCGTTTCCGCCATGATAGGCATTTCGTTCATGGAAGCAAGTAAGCCGTTCAGTGGCCTGAGTTTACAACTACCGGCACTCCGTCAAGATCCGGTCGGTAGAGGACGTTGGGGTCGTAGCAACATTAGCATGTAGAGTAATGCGGTTAGCGTCGGCGAGGCTAGTGTCACCGAACAAGGAGATTAAGCAGGATTCAAGACTGCCAAAGAGGATCGGAGGACCAGAGTAGGCCCGCACAGTCGTTGGCTCGTATCTCCCCCGCTCACTATGGATCGGGACCGAACCGAGACACTAATTGTTTCAAGAAATGTCCTATAAGCTACAGGCTACCCGGAACGCAGAGCACGGGCCCTGACCTGAGACCTACATTGTATACTCACGCGGAACCATGGTAGATAGGCGTTAACGGCCCTACCTAGCATCACTATGCGTTTGGAGGCCGACGTGCATTAGTCTATCTTCTTGAATCCCAGAAGTTAGAATAGTGCAATTTTCGATCGCTACACCCTATCTATTTCCTTAAGCAGTAGGGCGGTTCTTGTGGATCCCGAAACTGCCTTGAATGTGCTTCTCTGCTTACTGACGCTCTCTAATATCCCGTCACGGACGAGATGCTTCGAATTCGGACATGGCCAAAGCGTCTGGTGGATGGAGGCATGTCGGCAGTGCAACTTCTCTAGGCCCGCTCTTCTGCACAATGCGTGCCTTTTCCACCCAAGTGAGAACGATTACTATGGTAATAGATGTGTTCACACTTCTGACCCGCTCCTGGTGCTAAAAAATCTCCTCGTCTCCCACTGCTGCCTCTAACTCACCGCTCTACCAGCACACCAACATGTTCCCTAAATCTCTCGCACCCCGACTATGCAACCTCTCCCAGTGCCTGTTTGCAGTGCTGAGCGTCTGCCTCGTCTTGAATTTGGGCGCCCTCGTCTTCTCCCTTCGCATCTTGACGCGTGGAACGCGGGAATACAGTGCGTGCCATCCGTGCTGCTCCTCACACTCACGACTGACGTACAGTAGCCTACCTCGAGGGCGACCGACCTCGTGAGCTCCCGATCAAGGTCCGAACTATCCAAGCTGTCTTCCAAGACGACCCCTCCCACTACGCGATGGAAGGTATACCTGCCTGGGCAGAATGGAACGCGATCCGCCCCCCCGGCAAGGGCTTCGCTTTTCTAGGGGAGGAGTACTTTGCATTTGACGTGTCCATGTGGCACCAGATTCACTGCCTCAACCACATACGGACGATGCTTATCAACGGGGACGACGGATCCTCCCATACAGCGCACTGTTTCCATTACCTGCGGCAGGGCATTCTCTGCGCCGCCGACACAACCCTGGAGCCTGGGGGCGTGGGCTCGAAAAAGGAGAATGGGGAGATATCGCACCCGGAGACGAAAACTGTGCATACCTGCCGGGACTGGAGACAGGTTCATGATTGGTTGGGGAGTGAGCATGAGAAGTGGACGCCAGAAATGCAGGAGAGGCTCAACGAGGCCAGTTAACATGGTAGGTATGGGATGGGTGAGATATGAAATACAAGTCACGGAAGAGAGGGATATGAAGGTGCCCTATAGACAAAGTCACTCATTTTAGTATAGAAATAATGTTCTCTTGCCCCAACAGTAAAGAAGTTGGCCCGTCTTAGATAGCATGACATGTTTTTATACTATTAAAAATGAAAAGATCGCAGCAAAGGTCTCTATTACATAACAAGGTCATAACGAAGGAATCTATCACAGAATAAGAGGTCATGGTGAAGGAGAAAAAACATGTTGTTGCACATAATTTGCGCAGCGGTATACTTCACCTCGACAAGCACCTGCACCACTTACTTAGTAACTTCAGGTGCGATCATTCTGGGCAAAATCTACATGGGGGAGAAGTTGGCCTTGGTGTTGGCCTTGGTGCTGTCCTCAACGTTGACCTTAACGTTGACCTTGACGACGTTGGCCTTGACATTAACCTATCAAGGTAGATGTTGGCACGCTATCCCTAAGCTTCAGTTTGCCAAGCCAATCACGGAGACCTCTCCGCAGCCAATGGGATCCCTTAGCGGGCTGCCTATTCTGCTATTATAGCTACTTGCCAAGATTGCTAGATGACTGTGTTCTATACTATTATAGTACATAGCATACTCTGTGGGGTGATGCGTCGTATGGGAACCCCACAAATATCCCTCGAGTTTTCTTCCCGCTTTTCTTTTACCAAAAGGGATAGATTTGAGTGAATGTGACCTTGATGTGACTGAACCGGCCATATCGTGTGTACAAGCAAGATTTAGATACATTGTCAGTCTAGTCTTGGTAACGATAACACAGTGGCCAAATTTCAGTATCGAACACGCTACTCGGCGCCACCGGCACACTCTGTACGTCGAAGGGCATCTGAAGATCTGCGTGCGCGTTGAGGTCGTAGCGTGGGTCGCTCATGTTGTGCGGGTGCAAAGGCATGCCGGAGAAGGCGGCGAAGTTGGATGGGTGGCGACGTTGCCACTGTAAGACTCGGGTCAGTGAGGTAGTACTGCGCAAAAGAAGCATGGGGTTCGGGGGCGCACCTCACTCCACAATCGGTCGAGCTGCGCATGATGCAGCCAAAAGAGCGGGTCGTTGGGCGTGAAGGCTATTGCTAAGCCGTCGCAATCCTCCTCCGGCAGGGCCTTCGGGCAGTCTCCGGCCAGATCTCCGCCCACGAAGTTGTGTACGTGGTTGTGCATTAGAGTCATTGCGTACTGGAAGCTGAAGAAGTCACCGGTGGTTTGCTCGGTGGCATTACGCACAGACTCCGGGCCCAGGGTGCGGTTCTGGGGCAGCTCGTGGGGGTACCAGCCGGTGATGAGCGTCAGGTTTCTCCGCAGGAGGTGAGGAACGGGCCACGCAAGCTCCAAACTGCCGGTAGACGAAGCAAAAGCGCCAGTGGAGACTAAACAGTCGGCCTCGGGGGAGGAATCACAGTCCCCTGTTCCGCCGAGCCCGTACTCGGGAGAGTGCTCAAACACTGGCGAATTAAACAGGTCTGCATGATCTCGCGACCAGTCCCAGTATGGCGTTGGCCCACTGTACCCGCAGCTTTGGCGGAGGGAAGTGTCGAATAAATGGGTGAACCAGCGATCTGCGCTCCGGTAAGCCTATGCTCGGGGAACGGGATGGATGAAACGCACGCCATGGCAAAAAGTAGGCATTCCTATGCGCGCTGTGCTCTACTGCTGCGTGCGAGTAAGAGAAGTCGTCGTACAGGCTCCTCTTCCCCTCAAGCACCTTCTGGTTCTTGGTCAAGGATAGCCGTTCGTGTCGTATGCTTGCCAAGCACTACCCGGTATTAGTATGGTAATGTACGCGGAACCTTAGGAGTGGGGGCGTACCTTGACAGCCCTCACCCACTCAGCTTTCTCGCTATTCGTCAACTCCCGCCATTCTTTGCGTGTCAACAGCTGGCTGCACTTTGGTGCTTCTACCTCGTTCCGTGGGTGCGTATACGAGAGGTGGGCGCTGGGCAGGATGACGAGTAGGCAAAGGAACAGAATGGAGGGGAGAACGGCCATGTTTCAATCAGCAAGGGAACATAGAGGAAGCACGGAAGTCGCAGTAGAACCGAAGGCCTAAATAGTCAGCTTCTTGTGGATTGACCATGGATGGAAGAAGACGGCGCTTGGTCAGCATACTGGGGGTGACGTGTACTCCGAGAGACGTTCCTACTGTGGATATCATCCGCCCGTTGTGCCTTGTCCCTTTATGTCTTGTCCCGTCGTGCCTTCTTCCCTCCTGATACATACTGCACACAGAACAAGCACAACCATGCGGACCGACATCTGCCTCTCTCGCTTCTTTGCTCTTCTCCTCTGCTTAGTATTCCCCCTCTATATCGCCCTCCGTGGCGCTGCGTCGTTTTCCGACATTGCACTCTCCCTCTCCTCCCTCTCCGAGCGCGCCCAAGCCCTCCATGTCGCCTTCGCGTCGCCACTTGCCGCCTCTCCCGCGCTAATCTCCAATGAAGCCATCCAAGCCTCCATTTCCCAAGGTGAGAGCAGGAAGAAATACCCCACTCTTCCCACTGGACTGGCCCACTGTATCAACTCTTTCGAACAGTATCCGTTCCTCGCCGAGCAAGTGCTCCAGCGGAAGCTTGCGCGGTATGACAAGCAGATGCCCCCGCAGAAGGCGATAAGCAACAAGCTTGGCTATCCTGCGCACTTCGACAAGGCCAGGAAGGGCATCGAGGTGAACGCCCGGTTCTCGGATCAGATCGCGCAGAATGCGAGGGAGCATTACCAAACCGGCCCGCGAGCGCTGGGAGACGAGCAAGACGCCGAACTTCAAGTTGCGGGCCTGGCGTTCACACATCTGTCCCGGGACTGGAGCATACAGGGCGCAAAAGAGAGGCAGGCCGTGTTTCCACCAGTTCTGCATGGGCTCGAGCAACACTTTGGCGGGAGAGGAAGGGGGAAGAGGGTACTTGTACCCGGAAGCGGTATGGGCAGACTGGCAAGCGACATCGCTGATCTCGGTACGTCCATCTTTTATTCGTTTAGTTGAAGGCCCGGCCTCACATCGGCGCAGGGTACGACGTCACGGCCAACGAGCTGGACTACAGCTCCGTCCTGGCCTACCACATGCTAACGAACCACACGAGCTCGCTGGACCAACATACTCTGCAGCCTTTCGTGACAAGATGGACATACCAAGCCGACTCCTCCTCGCGGTACTCGGCCATAACTGTGCCGGATCACTGGCCCAACAAGACTGTCAAGCTCGTCGAGGGTGACTTCTTGGACGTGTTCCCCCAGGACGCGGAGTTCGATGCTATTGTCACGCTGTTTTTTATCGACATTTCCGATAACGTAATTGACTTCCTGAGCAACATACATCGGCTGCTGAAGCCTGGTGGAGTGTGGATTAACCTTGGACGTAGGTCACTGTCCTCTCATTCCCGAGAACTGCCCCTTGTGCCATTCTCATCGTCTTCTTGGCGTCGGTCTCCCGCTGACGTGCATACAGCGCTGAAATGGGGAACCCACACCGCCCTCCAGCTCTCCGTCAATGAAGTGCTCCAGCTGGCAGATCTGCTTGAGTTCGATGTCAACCATGCGTCAAGGAAGAGCATTGACAGTGTGTATTCAGAGCAGCCACAAACGTTGCTGAAGTTCACCTATGGTAAGTTTCTGAAATTTCCTTGTGAGCTTTGAGGACGGTTGTTGATCAAACGGGCAGTGACGCAGTTCTGGACAGCAACTAAGAGGGCGTAAAACGGGTGGCCGTGTAGCTTTTGCTGAATTGAGCGTATAAAGTAGAGTATAGAGCTTGATTGTGCTGTTGAGGCCAGGTAGAGACTTTGGAGAATCTACTTTTAGATGCCGAGGCTAGCGTACACGTGATTTGCTAGTTCCTTTCAATAGCCTTTGCTTGGGGCTCTAAGCCGTCTGCAACTTAATAACATTGTCGTATCCCCGAGAAAATTATGCAGGTATCAAAACTTGGGCTCTACTCTCACGCCGATCCAATTCGACCAGGTAAGATTAGTTTTCTGTAGCTTTCCGTCTTGTCCAGACCGCGAGACATGAGGATGTCCACATCCTTGCAGTTGCTTAGGAATACCTCGTTTAGCACATAGTTAAATTGCTCGTTAAAGTATCAACGAAGATCTATAGATCAGCATATATCTTCGTCTTTTTATAGTGCTACAAAAACCGTTAAGCAACGTAGTGTATGGGCATTTGCATCGTCTAACCGAGACTTCCCCACTCTCTTCCCCTCTCTATCTGCTATAGGCTGTAAAAGAAAGCTGAAAGAAAACGAAAACGAAGCTAGAATACTGAAGGCGATTCAAGCCCTAGAGAGCAAAACCTTCTTAGCATCTACGCCGCTGCAGCTCACTTTGAAGTGTCACGCGATACCTTACGCTGAAGAACGGCTGGAGGTAAATTGCGCTCACAGGCTGCTGCAGCGCAGCGAATTCTCTCAGTCGCAGAAGAAAAGCTTCAGTCAGATGCAATCTCTACTAGGAGTGATAAGATCTTATTTCGAGCACTTCTTACCTCAAGGTGGTGGCCGCAAAACTTCTGGTAAGCATTGAAATTTTTCTCCCCGCATAGCTTCTGGCGCCGTTACACATTCCGAAAAAAACACCAAGGAGTGTATTGCATGTCTCACATGTAGACAGGCTCATGTGTATCCCATCAAATATTATCGATGCCTCCGAGATAGCCTCCTACGCCAACAGCAACTGCGGCCTGCCCTGTCTGTTCGCTACTCGGCTCTGTGTGGGCAAACTCAGGCCATCGCGATTACAGTGCGAGTGTTCTGCAAGCCAGACCTGCATCAATTAATTGGAACAGTCGCACTCCCGAACGACAGCGCAAGCCACGACCGCCAGAGCTAGATCCCTAACCCTTCTGGAAGCTGGCGACATGAGCGGAGACCAGGCCCCCCTGTGTGAACCAGATTAATGGACCCGCGATTGGCGTGGGGAAGCAGACATCTCCGTTGTGTTACGTTGGATCCTTGGAACCGAATCTGTCAACTAACATGAGCTGTAGGCTTTTTATCAATCCCAGCGAGCATCTACGTGACACAAGTTGCCTTTTGGCGTATATCACTCACACGTTTCGTTTCAAGACATGCACCGAAAGCCTCGAACGTCGTGGTCACCATCTGTCGTGCTCAGCTCAAAATACACCGCAGGGCGATCGTGATGAGTGATTTTACCAGAGAATAAGAAAACGCGACTGATGCTCACCCTCTTATCGGAGGGACAGTGCGGTAAGACACACAATCTCGTCTCACAAGTGCAGTCGTCTACTGTTCTGCGTCCGATGCGTTCTGATACTCATTGTTGAACAGAAAATCCCTAAAACTTGAACAGTGGATCTGACGGCGAGCAGCACAATCTAAGATTTGTGACTGAAGCAGAATGGTGATTCACTTGCTACGCCGCGCGTCAGTGCGGACGTCTATCCGAACGATAATGCAGCCTCCCGATCAAGCAATAATGGTGCAGCCACCCAGGTGGGCTAGAGCAGTGCGGCATCTGTGCGCCGATCATGCACTCCTCCGTCCGATCGAAGACAGTGAAGTCTTCTGCAGCAGGAAATGGCGAAGTTTGATTGCCAGGTTGTACAGCTGCTTATCTGGGGTTAAGCAAATTTTCTCGGGCCAATGACATGGAAACAGCTCAGCCTTTTGAAGGGAAACCTGGTAGACGGTGACATTATTCGCGTAACATTAGCGAGGTAGAACTGTCGCACCGGGCCACACCCTTGTTCATGTAGTCAGTCCGCGGGGTTGGTAGTGTTTCCTACGTAGCATGTAAAGCGAAAAGGCATCTACGTGGGCTAGATAGACGAATATGTAAGAGGGCTACTACAATGTTAGACATACTTCGAACAGTGAGCGGTGTGTATTATGCAAAATCGGCTTTTCTTCACGTGCAGCGGAACGTAACACAGCATCAGGCACCGGGCCTAGAAATAGCCGTCCTCATCTCAATGCAGCCTGGAAGGGAAACTATTGCAGATCAGGCATCTAAAATGTACTAAATATCACCGAGAACCTGGCGAGAAGCGACACCGCATGCTGACGTATGCCGTGCGAGTATACTGTTATCAGCGAGAGAAGAGACCACAAAGCTGGTCCCATTACTGCAGTCCTTACACAATGCAGGAGCCTGTCCGTGTCTTCGTCGTGGCTGGATTTGTTTCGGGTATCAGCGCGAATGCACACATTCAAACTACATTTTGTGTCACTGTTGTAGTCTCTGAAAATCCTGTGCCACTATTGTATCCGGGCACACTCTTCATTGCTCTGTCCGGATCACGAGTTTGGGGGCTTGGATCGAAGAAGGATCGGAGCCCTGCCATTATATTTTTGTTCCTGAACATATCGAAAATAGGAATGTGACAACCCTAGTCAATCTGTACTTAAATGCAATAGGCCCCCAAGAAATGGTGGAAAGCATCACAAGCTTTTGGGTATATCTGTTAAGCAGGACCTGCAGTTATCAGAGCATGTCTCAGCAGGACAGCACCAAAGAGGCGTGGCGTAGGATAATGAAGGGTATGCCTGGTCTTACTACTTTGGAATCCGGAGCTAAGCGTCAATAGAACTTCTGCATCAAGAGCGTCTACGAACCATGCGAAAGGAGTACGATATCATTAAAGCAGGATATGTTGCAGCAGTGAGGCAGATTTGTGACCCAGCGCAGACTCTGGGTGTCTCAAAAGTAGAGGGTAAGGCGCATATGGCCTCAAGTCTGTGATATCACCCTCATGACACTATGCAGCTGCCACAGTTCAAGCTTCTGAGGCTTTGCTCACGCCCGGGGCGGAACACGAAACATCTTGCGACACTACTCCACATCCATCGAGCCCAGTCGACGCAGCTCAACAGGTCAAGGCTTGCCAGGCTCGTATCGCTGAATCCTATTCCTGGTCTGAAAGTTCTGAAGCGAGCCGCGCACCGCAGCATGAGTCTGAAACGCCTTCCGCTGATATACACGATGAATTGATCGTGAACGAGGACAAGTGTTCGTTGATATACCTGTATGAGAAGCTGCTTGAGTTGCGACGGCTTAATGCTCAGCTTGCGAGCGAGCGTACAAATTGGTAAAGATGGGTAAAGGTTTTGCGTTTCTCAAGCGCACTATCTGTAACCATTGATGTAATCACTCTCAAAAGGCATGCCTTGAATGGACCCACCCGCTGAAACATATCAAAATCTTTAAGAAGATATCGATTCATTACAAAAAGTCTAAATGTAGAGCTAGATATGGCACAGAAGGCAATGAAACACATTCCCACTACCAGCCAACCCATCAAACCAAAATAACGCGCTTTTCCCCGGATCTCTTACTACCAAGCTTGGCCTTGCGCCGCTCAAGCATACCGCCTCGTTTGACATATCCTGCGAAAGCCGTTCCATAAGTCTCCTCTGTCTCTTCGTAGTCCGATGATGGATCAGGTACCTGAGGTTGAGTGGGCGATGCCGTGTTGTATTCATCCCCATCGGTCGGAGAAGGTGTTTGAGTTGCACGACTTGCATCATAAGAACTTGTTGGAATTGGATAGTGGTTGCCCGATCCAAAGGATAATTTACTCGACATGCGACCAGAGTAAATGCGTGAGGACACTGTAGGAGTGGAGTACGTGTCCTTGGTAGCGGAGTACTGTGGAGCACCCTTAGTTGTAGAAGAGGAGGGAATCCGCTCATAAGAACATTTGTAAGCTTGATTCGATCTGGTGATGATGACAGTCTCTTTGCTGTGGTGGTAGGTACCAGGTTGATATACCGTAGTGGTAGGATATGTGCACTCCGTCGGGTGGTCGTACTTGGTTATGGTCGGGCTAGCGATAGTGTAGTGCCCAGACCTGCTGGCATAGATGGTAGTTGTCTTGATCATGATCTTTGGTTCTGCGCCTTCCGTGACATAAGCGCCATATTGTGCGGTGATGGTGCACGGCTCACTGACCGAGGTAGTGACACCGCCATATGTTACCGTCGAGCCGGCAGAAGCAGTGTAAGTTGCCTCAATGGGAACGGTTGTAGTATGATAAAGAGTGGCATCGTAGGCAGGAATCGTGTAGATGCCAGGATTCTGGTAGGTTGTTGCTTTTGGTGTGGGCGGACCATAGGTATAGGTCGTGGCTGCAGGTGTGGTCTCTAGATTATCTGGAGCAAGCCCACTGAGAGCGGTGGGCGTGGCAGCAGCAACAGGGATGGGAGGGAGTATTGCCCTGTTCTATGGAATACGGGATGGACTTCGTTCTTCACTATGAAACGTGTCACCAATGCCTCCCAAAGACATGTCGACTCATGCACTTGTGGCTTTGGTAGTATTATCACAGAACAGTTTGACAAGCACGATGCGTGACATTACTTCATGTAGAACTACTAAATCTAACTCCTTACGCAGGTTGCCCAGCCTTGATCAACGCACTCAAAGTCGCGTTCGCCTTCGTGTAGGCCTGGAAGTTCGACCGGTACTTGTCAACAAGCAGGTCGCTCACAATTCTCGCAAACACAACACCCCCAAAGGTGTTCAGATGGGTCCAATCGTCAGACGCGAGGTTGTACTTGCTCGCGGCCGTCTTACCGATGGCATTGACGTAGTTCTCACTAGCAATATTGAGGTCAATGTACTTGATGTTGTTGGAAGTAGCAACCTGGATGGTGATGTTGCGCTGCGTGGCGAGGTTCTCAGCTACCTTGCCGTCGGACTGGAAGTTGCGGCGTGTCAACGGTGTGACGAGAATGGGCTGGCCCCCGGCGCTGGTGACTTCCTGGGCGAACTTTAAGAGGTTGGCTTTGTATTGGTCGAGAGTGACGCCGGAGGTCTCCTTTTGATCGTTGTGACCAAACTATCTTCGTTAGTGAAATTTCAACGTGTTTTTCGATGGACAATACCTGAATCGTAGTATATACATCGGAGCTTGACTTGTACATTCCGATGTCCTTGATGATATTGGCCCAGTTGCCACCGACACGGAATGAAGCAGTTGTAGCTCCGCTCTGTCCGTAGTTGTGACCGGAAGAGCCTGAAGCGACAGTCGTGCTCAGGAAACCATCTCCCCAGCCACCATCGGGTGCGGTTGTCGAGTCACCAGCAAGAAGCCAGTAGATAGGCTTAGCTGCACGCTCGAAAAGAGGCGATGCTAGCGCAGTCGAAAGGAGCAACGATGAAGCGAGAACGCGCATAGTGAGGAGGGTTTAGTAAGAAGTATAGCGGTTCTCCGGGCACAATAGTGCCCATAATCGCGTCCATCTTCTCCTATAAATGCGTTCACGAATTCGTATCTGGCTTCGCATTGCGTGCAGTCTATTTTGATAGACCTACTGCAATTCGGAGTACCACACCGCGAGATAGACGAGCGTTCCAAATTCCCAGGAACTTCCGTGAATCGGAAGGATATTTCGTTTGACCACGTGGATGGCACCATTGCGCACTCATATAAATTGGTCCCAAGTAGGATGCGGTTGCCGATAGCGTATTCGCTACTTTGTGGGGATAGATCGATGCGCAGGGTTCTCGCTACATATTATCCCGATAGTGTTCCTGTACCCCAGAGGCTAAACTCCAACAGGAGGTCCATCCGTCGGACAGATGGCAATGCTCAGAAAACGACATCCTTATAGGGAAATTTGACCTTAGAGTGAGATCGTTGTACCGCAAGTAGGAATAGTCGGTAGATTATGCATATCGCAATGGTGTGCAGATTTCTGGGGCAATACAACTCTTTGTTCCCACTTCTAGTTCATACTAGTCCAAGGTTCCAGGACGGAAGTCTGGCCGTCAAGAGTATGACCTTGAAATACCCTCTGGTCTAATAGATGGAAAGAGTGAGGTTTGAGCACATCGTTGACTCGAAGGGCCCGGGCGTGCAGCGGGAGCTCTTGCGCTGCTGCGCTTGAGTCATAGCTTAGCTAACTCACCCTGAAGTTGGACTGAGCTTCGAGGAGCGCCACCGCATTGTGTCCGCGATGCGGTTAGATTCCGAGGTTGTGCCTCTCACCTGCCTCACGTTATTTTAACGACAGTACGCAACCATCAAGCATCGAGGATTCTTTCCATCGGCTTTGCACAAGCGACCTTTCTCGCAAGATCATGGACTCGTCGGTCATCGAAGACTCCGCCAGATGCCCCATCCTTGTCACCGGCGGGTGCGGCTTTCTTGGCTCCCACATCGTCGACGCCTTGGTCGCCCAGCACTTCGTGGTCGTCGCCGCTAGCCGCAATCCAACGAAGTATCGCAATACAGGTGCGAACTATGTGGTTTGCGACTTGACCAACGCTCAAGCTATTGTAACCCTTATCAACGACGTCAAGCCCATGGCCATCATTCACACTGTCACCGCAGGGCCTATGAGCCCGTGGTCGGCGCAAAGGAAGGATCTCGAGGCAACTAAGAATCTGCTCAACCTAGCGCGGAATACTGACACAGTGAAAGCATTCGTCTATTCGAGCTCGGCCGAAGCAGTCGCAAACACGTCGGGATCATGCAGAACACCATTGACGGAAGAAGATGCGATACTGCACTCCCTCGAATCTGCTCCCACGGGATACAGCAAAGCAAAAGCTGCCTCTGAGAAACTCGTTCTGCAGTCGAACACTAGTGGAACGGATAGGACGAACGATGATTCTAGCAAAGACCTGCATGGATCCCTACTTACGTCCGTACTGCGTATGCCTGGGATTTATGGCCCCCGCGACAGTAGCATCGCGCCGGGGTTGCTCAAGGGAACCAACACTTTCATCACGAGGTTCCAGCTGGGGGACAACAAACCCTTGCATGAGTGGATCTACGTGGAGAGTGCTGCACATGCGCATGTCCTAGCCACAAAAGCACTACTCAACACGGCACGGAGCGATGAGAAACGCGTGGACGGCGAGGCCTTCTTCATCACCGACGGTGAGCCAGTAAGGTTCTGGGATTTCGTACGCAAACTTTGGTCTGCTGCAGGAGACAAGCATTGTATACGCCTAGGCAAGCCTACTGTCATCCCTTGGTGGCCTCTGGTCGCTCTAGCAGTCATGTGCGAGGCGTTGTGCTTTCTCTTTACATTCGGGCACAGGTCTCCGGGGCTGAGCCGCCACCATCTGCAGTACATGAGATATGGAGCATGGTGGAACAATAGTAAGGCCCGAGAGCGATTGGGATACACACCACTCGTATCGACTGACGAGGGGATCTGTAAAACGGTTGCATGGTTCCATGAGAAATCAGCCTGATCTGGTCAGTACATCAATAAATACGACGTCTGAAATGAAGAACCTGCATACAAAGCTGAGAATTTCACCATTCGATATTGCGGCTGCTCATCAGCTCGGTAGATATGATTAAAATGTGAGGTATTCAACCAAAGGCTCGACGATTCAGTGGCGAACTAACCTAGGAACCAACTCACTCAACAATTGTAAAGACGAAACAAGAGATGAAAAGCTCAAATGCAACTCAAAGATACATTTCATAGGGGATGGTATCAAGACACTAGTAATTAAATGATGAAGGAATGAAGGAGGGAAGGAAGGAAGGAAGGAAGGAAGGGAAGAACGTAGGCAACTACGAAGGGCTGAGAAGTTCAGACGAGGCACAGCACGCTAATCCTAACCTTGGAAACCATACCGTCACGTGTTCTTACCCTCGCTACGTACCAACCTCGGAATGTTCCATGGGAAAGGTGGTTGGTTGTTGTTTTTAAGACTTACTCGTACATATTAGTTGCTTGTGCATTGGTTTCTCACAAATTTCTATAGAATGATAGTCTAGATCATGCGGTAAGTTTCACATAACTTCCGTCTTCCACGTTCCAACCCAGCTGAGTGACTGGCAACTTCATTCTCTACGCATCCAATGACTACCAACTGACTACTCCCGCTATCAATCTGGGCCTCTTGCCCTCAAGCCGCCGTATAGAATCCCACAAGCGTCAGCGTCACATCATCAAAACTGACCGTCCTGGGATTCACGTTCGCCTGCGCACAGCTTGCAAACACCGTGAGCGTTGCAGAAGTCTGCCCGTCGACGGGATAGTATGTCACTGACTTGAGCCCGTAGCTAGTAGGCGCAATCGTGCTGGGAAAGCTGAGGGAAGTGGTGCCGATCGTTGCGCGGCTCACCAGGCAGTTGCTCGCCACGTTTGCTTTGGTGTAGACATCAAGACGGTACACGCCACCGGGGAAAAGCGTGATAGCTTGTGAGAAGGAGAAAGAGAGACTCTGGGCAACGGTCGCGGTGTATCGCCTAGTAGATTGTAAGTAGGCTGCCAAGGCAACTTATGAAGTGTGGGCTTACAGTGAGCGGCTGCCGCTGTTTTGATCGCCGTCGACATAGGAGAAGGAACCGTAGGCGCCGTTGGTAAAGGTCCAGGCGTCATTGGTCTCAAAGCCAGAGTTGGTAACGGCTTGCGTGACGGACGGATTTGGCGCGGCGCACGTAGTGATTGTAGTGGGGACAGATTCGGTAACGGTAGTGGTAGTGATTACCTCCGAGGTTACGGTAGTGACATCCGTAATTGTGGTGGGGACTGAGTCGGTGATGGTAGTAGTGGTGATTACCTCTGAAGTTATAGTAGTGATATCGGTGGTTGTAGTGGTGATCTGTTCAGCAGGGAGAGTCAATGTTGTTGGAATCGTTACCTAACGCGCGGGTACAAAGTCAGTGTGTGTCAAGATAGGATGGAGGGCTACCTCATGTATGTCTCAGCGTAGCGAGAAAGAAATTTTTCTTCTGCTAGAATGACACATCCACTTAGTACGTTATGGTCTGCTTACGGTGGTGATATCGGTAATTGCAGTGGTGATGTCCTCGCCAGGCAGAGTTACGGTCGTTGGGACTGTTACAGTAATAACGTCAGTTACTGGAGTTGTGATCTCTTCTCCTGGCAGAGTTATAGTTGTCGGGATTGTAATGGTAATAACATCAGTTACTGGGGTGGTAATGTCTTCTCCAGGCAGAGTTACAGTCGTTGGAATCGTTACAGTGATGACATCGGTAATTGGAGTCGTGATCCCTTCTCCGGGCAGGGTCACAGTCGTTGGGACCGTTACAGTAATAACATCAGTAATTGGAACTGTGATCCCTTCTCCTGGTATTGTAACGGTAATGATCTCGTTGTTTCCGGAAGCAGTGATGACTGAAACCTGGGTAACGGTAACGGTCGCTCCCGCGGATGCCGGGGGGCAAGTGGAAGGCGAGGCTTGAGCTGATGTCGCTGGATAAGTAGAAGACGAAGATGATATCGCTGGGTAAGTGGAAGTCGAAGCTGGTATCGCTGGGGAACTAGAAGTCGAAGCTGATTTCGCTGGGGAAGCAGAAGCCGAAGCAGATTTCGATGAGCAACTAGAAGTCGAAGCCCGAGCTGAGGTCTGCAGAGTAGACCGTTGCGTGCTGGAAGAGGCAGGGATATTCGAGCAGGAACCGAAAAGTTTATTACAACCGGTGCCGCAATGGGAATGGGTGTTTCCACACCGACCGTCCTTGCTTGAAGTGCGTCAGTAAGACCAATCTGGGGTGGGCAAACAGAAACCAAAGAGCTCACCTGCAGCAGTTTCCGAACTGAGATTTCAGGCAAGTATATCCTTTGGAGCCCGCGCAAGTCCCGTCCTTCGACACTTTCGAGGCCGGTGGATGAGAAGGCGTCGTGTAACCTGGCGAGCCACTGCATGTACCGAAACCCGATTGGCACCCCTTATCGCTCTTGCAATAGTCGGACGACGAGCCGCAATAGTTGTTCTTCGAGCAGCAATTGCCCCATCTGCTGCCCCGGCATGTAAGTCCGTGGGACGCTCCGCAGCGGCTGTTGTGGCTGACTTGAAGAGCATTGATCACTGGAAGCGCAACCAGCGTGAAAGTGAGGAAACGCATCTTGATGATTAGGTATTATATTAGATATCGCTGTAGGCAAGAGCAATGAGTATGTAAGTCGCGATTAACGAAGAGGAACGAGTGTGGAAGTCGAGATTAAAGACGAGGAAGCGAGTGCTTGCGATCAAAACAGCACACGACAGCGCGAGCCCTCCGATTCACAACAGTATTCGTTGCATTGGACCGACGGCACACTTTAAAGGAAGCAGGTGCCCCAAGGGCAAACTCGTATCCGGCAGCCATAGTGCAAGCCACAGCCTTGTCGTGGTGGTACTATTGCCCGGAGAGATTGCATCCCTGAACACATTCGGTATGACAGCCTCGCGCATTTCCACATTCGTTGCGCCAGATCCGCGGGGTCGTCGACACTAAGAGAAAATCAGATATGAGAGATGAAGATTGGGCGCTAACATCGCTTGTGTGGATCTAGATTGGGCGATCTTGAAGCCACGCCTGTATTTGAGAGCTGGACTTCTGGGGTTAGCGAGATTCATGACTCGCATTCGGAGATGGGAAAACACGATTTGAAAATCCAACTCCGTTCTGCTTCCCTATACTAATAGATGGAAGTGTAGCATGTGCTCTTTGCTTCTCGTTCAGGTACTTTTTACCACGTGCTGTTACGATAGGCAACATTTGTGGGAATAACTTTGATGTGATTTGTTGGAGTTTTGTTAAGTAGTGATGCGGAACCGTGGTACGCGATGTAGCTGCTTGATAGCACTGAGAGCGCAATTACTCTCTGCATCGCCCACCTCACTTCCATCCTCCTCCATATATTCTACGCCCTTCTCTACATACGAGCCGATCATGCTTGTGCCGTTAAATAGTAATGCCAAGAACAACTTCCGCTTCCACGACGCGTATCCTCTCGTAGAGCACCCTCCGCCTGAGGATACCCTGAAACAACGCCTTAAAGAGCGATGCCTTGGGATGAAAGCCACCCGAATGATCTTTGCTGAATCTCGATTAATTTCCTGGAATCTAAAGACGCTTCTCTTCTACAACTCATTGACAGTAGGAATCTTTGGAGCTGAAGATCTTGCGATCAAAATGAGAAAGCAGTGTCTCGCAGTTGTAGGCTGCTGGACTGGCCTCCAAGGATCCCATGGAAAGTATTTGCTGAACGCAAGAGTGGATCAAAGCGTTTTAGACGCCCTCCAAATTGATATTGGTCCATTTCTCGACAGTTCGTGGCTTCTGAGACTGTATGAACATGTTTCTTTCGGTCAGCCCGGGCATTGGCAATGCCATACCTGCAGGGTGGGATCGACTATCTCATCACAGGAGAGCCACAACGACTTCACATAAGCATGATGCATCGCATTCTTCAATTTAATGGATCATGAACGAGCTATCGTCTTTAGGGTCTGGTTTTTGGCCAAGAATGATGTTTTGCGGCTTCAGACGGCTCCTTCCGTGCACCGGGTGCTCCTGCTGTTTGTGAGCGTGACGCAACCACATAAACATTCTTTCCGACCGAAATACGTCAAGACCAAACCTTCGCATCGTCCTCGCATCTTACGCCTTTCCTCCTCCACATAACGCTTTCACTCAGCAGTCACTCATTCCAACAGCCCAGCATGCCGCGTACATCTGCAGCGAAGAAGCGAGCGCGCAAGGCGAAGAGTGCCAAGAAGGGTACATGCCATTCCTCCAAAGCCTGGTATGAGAAGCTGACAGAAATCTCATTGCAGGTGATGTCGCAGCCTCTGTGAAAGGTGGCCCAGTCTCAGACTTCACGGATAGCAATCAGGCCGGTATGCACTTTCCCCAGGTCACGCCTGCAATCTTGAATGCACGAAGCTAACCATATTCCCAGGCGGTACTGGAGCCGGTGCAGCACCGGAGGACGAGGACTCTAGCCTTGTCCCATTGGTGTCGAGCCCCATTACCCGCGGCAAGAAAGGAGTCGCAAGCAAAGCCGTCAAGCGCAAGCGCTCCGCGTCTTCGTCTCCAGTCCCAGACTTTTTTCAAGCACCGATGTCTCCTGATTTCCCAGCCAAGCAAACTGAAGCCGGGAAGAGGCGCAAGAAGCAGACGACGCCGAAGAACGGAACCCACGATGCAGACTCCGGTGCGGAGACGGAGAAGAAGGATTTCGGGGACGAGACTGACGCGAATGACGGGAAGGAGAGGGCCACCGTCACGAAGGCCGCCAAAGCCCCTAAGGCGGGTCCGCGCAAGTGGAGGAAGGACTGGAAAGAATGGATCAGCGCCCCAGAGAACCAGTCAACCGACCAGTTCGATCGTAACTACGACGAAGACTTGATCAACGTCAAGGAAAGCGCCAAGGTGTACGGTATCAAGAGTGAGGACCTTGCTTGTTTGCCGCATTGTCCCGTCCAGAATCCGCATGGAAAGGGCTTCACTCCGATGAAGTTCTTTCTGAAGACTGATGTGATCCAACTCGCGTTTCGCAAGGAGGCGGTTCTCGCAGGGGTGTCGCAGGACGATGAAGAAGAACTACTTGTGCATGGTGAAGAGTTGTACGAAGAGAAGAACGGGTAAGTGACCTTGCTCTTACATCGCTATTTCGATAATTGTCTCACCCACGGACGGATGATGCAGCACTGGGAGAATCCCATCTGGGACTGTGTCTATCCCGGCTTTGCTAACACAACCAGCCCTGTCGACGAGCTATACGATCTGAAGATGGAAGGCTTGGAGCCTGCAATGAACCGCTACTAGCGGTCACAAGGACGTTGGCAACGACGGATCAGGTTATCGGAGAAGCCATCGAATGTATGCCACAAAGTTCATCATCTCTTAAGATATCCATATGTAGCTACGAGGGGCATATCCGCGGAGGGAATGAGTACTGTCAGTCCCCAAACCCCCGAGCGCAACGAGAGGAGTATATATAGCATACTTGCGTGATAGTTCGTAACCAATACATGACATCTAGACGCTCGGAAGCGTCCTTGGATCATGAAATGAACGTGTGTGACTGTGACTGGTGGCAACTGTGAGAGCGCGAAAGGAGATAACTAGGCTGCGTTGGAGTATCTCCACATCAAATGATCAATACTGGAAGGGTCACTTGCCGGAGTTCTGCGGCTCTCCACTTCCGCCTTTCCACGTCACAAGTCACGAACTTCATGAAGCTCACTTTACACAAAATTGCAACGCAATCAAAATATTCATTACTGCGCTAGACATGAGGCAGCTGAAATGTTTCTCCAACTGCGAGATAGCATGAGTTGCAGCAAAGAATTAGTGGCTCCATTGAAAACACGATCTTAATCCATTAGAAACACAAAGAACATCCTCAGCATTCAGAAACTTGACATACACGCAAAAAGCAATCGCCTCATGTGCCGCAAAAGAATCCCGTGTTTTTCCGTTCGAGACAGACCTTTTAGGACTTAAGGTTCAAGCCTGCAATGGATTAGTATATCATAGTCGTGCACGGTGATGGAACTTACACTTAGTTAATAGGTGCTGCCGTGTCCGCCCGTTGAACCATCTCCAAAGCAAAGCCACCTTCCGTCGGACCCAGCGTCCGGCTGTGAGCACCCAGACCCGACGAACACTTTGTTACTTCGGAGTAGGATCCAGGGAGGGCATGGCGTGCCTCCAACTTCGATCACGGAGGCAAGTTCGATACCGGGAATACCAACGTTCTTGAGCACCGATCCAGTTCCAGGTGATCATCTGAGGAGCAGACACTTCGTTCATGGGAAAATCGATGCGGTCTGTATCACTGCTCGCTCCTAGGGATGCTTGCCATGCTGCCATAGGCATTGCCGCGAGGTCGTAGCTATCCCATTCGTCTAACCATACACGGGAACTGTACGCAACAGTGATATCCCTACTGTGTTTCAGACCATCCGCCACTGGTTGGGGCTGGTTGATGTATGCAAAGGTGGGATAAGTGTCGTTGAAATGAAGGGAGCAGTGGAGATGGATCTCTTTCAGACGCGGAAGCTGGGATTTGTCCTTGACAAGCGGACTTAGCCAATCGTATATACTCAGCTTAGGACAGTATACCGTGAGCGACTCCAGTGATGTTGGCAAAGTGTCTGTGATTGGTGGATGATCCGCGTTCGTCACACAACTCGCGATCCGTGCCGATGATCCTGTCAGGAGCCCCTCGTAAGGAATGAATAGCTTTCGCAGGCAAGAGAAGTCTTGAAGTCCTCGGGCAGCGTAGCAGTAGTTGAGGAACAACTCATCCCGGTAGTCATATAAACGGAAATCCATCTCCTCAAGCTGTTCGCGGACAGGCTCGAAGGCCGCAACGAGATTTGTGAAATCACCGTATACGGCCGGGGCTGGGTCCCATTGTGACCCAACTGGTATACCTTCCTGGCCAGGATGGCCATAACAGGTACAGATCTGGATGCTGCCTTTCCGTAGTCGTTGAAAGGTAGCCAGGAATGTCACAAGTGCAGACCAGTTGGGGGCATGCTGGTTGAGAGTGGCACTGCCCACCTGTACCGAAAGACACTCAATTTCAGTTGGTATACTCTCTGGCTGGTTCGCAGATTGTAACCTAGCATGGTTACCAAGGCTGAGTTGGACCAGTGATGGCAGCGTAGCCAAAGCCCAATGAAAATTGGGGGCAAGGTACTCGAGGCTCTTCAACTTGTGCAGACCCAGAGTATGAATCGCCCCGGGTCGGTCCAAGTCAAGCGTCCCGAACATGTCTCTGAGCATGTGTTGATCCGGCTCAGTTGCGCCAACACTCAAATGCTGCAGATTGTGCATGACATCAAAGATCAACGAAGAGGCTATCACCGATTCTTGCACCTCCACTTGGACGCTAGGATGAAGTGAGCGAGAACGTCCAAGAAGTCGGGTGGTTGGCACATCCACGAGTATCTTGGCTCCTTGTAACGTGACTCCGAAGCTCAACACCATGGCTGCGAGATCTGCACGCTCGCATAGTGTCCGGTGAAGCAACCATAGAATTTCCGGAGGCGGGGAAAGCGTGAGAGTGTCGTTGGGAAACTCGGGATCTGGAATCTCAACCGGATCGCGATTCTTCAGATCGATGGCCCGATAAAGGACGTCCTCGCTAACCTTTCGAAAAGCCCGACTCACCAGAGCGAGTGAGGCTTTATCTGCACATGAAAGGTTTAATCCGATCCGTACCAAAACTTCATTGGGGATGTCGAGTGTCATAGTATGGGAACTTTCGTTTGATGCGGGAATTCAGTCGTCTCGAAAGGCTGCCGGCTGGGTGGAGTCGATCAGGGAGGGGGGGAGGGAGGGAGGGAGGGAGGGAGGGAGGGAGTGGGTTATATATTAGCGTTGTGTGTTTATATAGCGACCTCTGGCTAGCGCTTGATCAGTGCAGTGTGCACGGATCTTGCTCCGGTGAATGTAGTCTGTCCTGCAAAAAAGTTGAAAACTGACTTTTGACGAACCGACCGTGGATTACCCTTGCCATTCTGTATTGACAGTCGGTTGGAAAAAGCAAAAGTTGAGAGAAGCCATCGAAACGAGTTCTGATTTGATATATCGAGTATGTGGTAGTCATAGGACGATACATCGAGGCTTACAGTGCCTTTCTTGTGGTTGAGTATCTCCTAAAGGTATGCCAGCGGCGAAGCAGGACATTGCGAGAAGGACTTTCTGGACTGGTTCATTAGAAAAAAAAAAGCCCTCTACTTATGTGAGTAAACCTGTTGCGGTTTGCATTTGTCAGAACAAGCCGTCTTGTCAAGCAAGGAGACAAAGTGCGTGGCAAAGCAGATCGAGCTCTCAGGGCTTTAGCGACATGGACTGATTGCCCCCAATAGTTGATTGACCCGGTTGAACCTGACAGGGTGTTCTCGTACTTTGAACGGAATAATTCAACATTGTATGCAGTCGCCGCCTCGTGGGCTATCATCGTGTACACTTGAACACATCAATTATAACCGGGTCCTCGTACTATTCAAGGCTCGGCCTCTAGCAAATCTCTCCCAACGCCTTGCCACAAACGTCATTTGGTCCGATTATCGTCTTACAAACCTGACCCCCACTGCTTCAGGATTCAGCAAATGAGTGCTGATGTTGAAGTACTTGTCATTCAGCAACATGTACAACAGTTTTTCCCTTGCAGCCTGAGTGCTCTGTCCCGCGGTCGCCACCTCAATGCGCCACTCTGACAGTATCTGCGCAATCAAAGCCACAAACTCAACCTGACTAAACTTCTTCCCAGGACAATTGCGTGTCCCCAACAGCCAGGGAGAGTACACGGGACCTTCTGGGATGACGAGGGCCTCATCTCCAGACGCAGATTGCGACACAAAGCGCTTGGGGCCAAACAAATCAGCGCTCGGACCCCAGCGCGACGAGAGATGGCCCCCGTAGAAGTGACCGCCCACAACTATACCAGGAGTCACAGTGATCGATTTGGGACCATCCTTTGTTATGATAGGGAGCTCGCTAGGCTCAGTCGGCGACCGGATGAGCATTGGTGCAGGAGTAGCAAGACGTAATGTCTCATACATAACCGACAGACAACGCACTAGCTTCGGATACACTGCGTCGTAGCTAACATTTTCCGACTCAGCGTAGTGCATCTGTAGCTCTTCGAAAATCCAATCTTGGGTCTCCGGGTATGCAGCAAGATAGGAAAGCGCGAATGTCATACTGGAAGCAGTTGTTTCGTAACCAGCCAAATTGAAGACGAAGATGTTGCCATACAGTTCCGATTCGGTGAGGTAGGAAGGTCGCTTGGTACTCTTCTGCAGCTGCTTCTTCTCTGCCTCATTCGCCTTTACCATGGCTCCCAGGAGACTCTTCTTCTGTAGGTTTTCTGCAGTCTCTTTATTCGCTTGCATATGCCTCAAGACCGCCTCTTCCATGTACATTCTCAATTCGGCTACCGAAATCTTCAACTTCCTAAGCTTGTCAGGCAACATATAGTCCGGGGCTTTCAGACTGTTGAAGATGATTGTAAGCATAATATGCTTCAGGATGAATCCCAAGCTGTCCATCAACGACTCGCGATGGCCAGGTGGCACTGTCGTTAACCCCATATCCTGGCCAAACCCGACATTGACTAGGACCTGCATGGCTAGAAGATCGAAAGTTGAGCGTATTCGGCCTAGCGACCTTTCACTCTCGCCCTCAAAGTCAATAGCTTTGACCCTTGCAATTGTCTCGTTCCACGCTTCGCGGAAAGTGCTCTCGTTAAACGCACTGGAGGTGATCTTGCGATGCCTTTGCCATTCTGCCCCTTGTGTTGAGCTCACATTCTGCCCATAGAACGCAAACAGCTGGGACTGAATAGACGGCATCGGCCAGTCCTTGTGTTCTCTGAAAACCATTTGAATGGCTGGAGGATAACATGTCACGATGATGTTGCTGGCCGGGGAGCACAAAACAAAGTTCTCGCCGAGGCGTTTAGACGTGCGGGCACCATCCTCCGTTGGCCATCCCATGTTCGTGTAAATGTACCAATTGCCGAGGCCGAAAGGAAGCCTTTCGACCCATGCGAAGAGAGGACGCAATGGCATCCACCATGGTTCCTCGAATGAGACCGGTAAAAGAATGATTGGTAGACCAAAAGTACATGCTGTTTTATAATTGACATAAAGCTTGTATGCGCGATGTAATAGCCAAACCGTGAAAGGTAGGAAGAACAAGTAGACAGACATCGTGAACCGTGATGGTGGAATTCGCGGCCGCCGTACGCTTTGGGTGGGGTCTTGCTTTATATGTTGTTCAACGACTGGTGGAGCCCCTAATCCTGCTTACTTCCTGTTCATAGGTTGCAGGCGCATTAACTTGTACACCCGTTGGTAGCGCTTACTTTCCTCGTGATAAGCGAGCACATGTCGAACAAAATCCGGTCGTGCTACTGTGGGCTATCTATAGGCAGCGCAGCATGACTCGCGTCTTGACATCAACAACCGCAGCGACTTTCACGATGACTGTAAAACGCTTGTGCCACCTCGAAAGCTACCAGGCTTGTACTTCCAAGGTACGAGATAGTATTTCTTCGTGAGACGAAGGTCACTGCGCAAGGTCTGTCATGACCCTACCATATACAAGTCTCTAGAGAGGATCCTCTTGGGCGCTCAAAAACTCAAGAAGCATGCTTCGGTGCGAGCTGTTTGGACAAACTTCCGATTCTTGCGCGAACCTCAATCGCCATGGCGTCGTCGTTGGACAAAGACTGGGCTGTTTCAGCAATAAGCATATTGTGAAACGCTGCCTCGATATCCATGTCCGCAGATTGGATCAAGTCCCTGTACTAACAGTTACAGCCTATATGCAGCCAGATTAGGCACGTTGTTATGGTGAAGGTAGCCGCACGTGATCAACGTCTCGCTCGCCTGGGCCCGGGCGTTTGGTGCACCGCCCCACATTACCTAAATCGGCTAGGCACGCCATAATTAAAGGTACCTGCCGTATATCTTACTACTATAGCTACCCACACGGCCCTCAACCCACCCAGACCGCTCGCAACATGGTCAAATTCGAGGATCTTCCACCTGAACTGCTACTCGAGATTGCCCGTCAAGTTCGAGGCAGGTGTCGCAACTCTGACTTAGCCAGTCTCTCACTCGTCTCCCGACAGCTTCGACCGATCGCGCAAGAATGCCTTCTCCAGGAGCCGCGGTTCAAGCTCGAGAATATTCATCTGTTCATGTTGGAGTTGAGTCGTCACTCCTGGGTCGTCCCGAGAATCCGAGCCTTGGAGCTGTGCAGTACTGATGAAGGCCGGAACCTGAAGCGCCACAATTTTCAAGACTGTACTAATGGTTCCTTTGCTGGACTCTCACAACGCTTGATAGATCGTGTCATGAATCAAGTCAAATACTCGGCTGTGCCTTATCCGCCAGATCTCTGGGCCAAGCTTGATCAGGCTGGGTGCGCAGACACCATCAAGCGCTTCTCGAAGACATTCAAGCATGAGCGTCAGTGGAATGTGGCATTGAAGCACGACATCGTACCGGCACTTCTAGGCATGCTGCTAGTCAGTTTGCCGAATTTGAAGGCTCTCCGATGCGCCGCGGTGTGGCTCATGGACTTTCCCATCCTGAGCACTATACTCAGCGCGGAGATAATCTCAGTTGTTCCTAACTCGTGGAAGCACAAGTGGCTCGAGGGCACGACAGACACGCTGGCAGAAAAGTTAGAAGAGTTCGAAGTTCCGGTGAACGACTCGCACATGGACTTCGTGAGGCACCCTTCTGCGCTTTTCAACTTCTCTTCTTTCACAAAATTGAAGAAGCTCAGCATATCTATGGGGGCCATCTACTATCGTGATCAACGTCCACTCTTGCCATCACCTTGGCCGGTGCCGCTGCTCCCTCCGAATCTCGAGATACTCCGAATCAGCGAGGGCACGGAGTCGACCGCACCGTTCGTCGAGGACTTGTGCAAGGTGAAGAAGGAAGGAAAGTCGTTGCAAGCACTCCACCGAATCGAAATCATCTTCTCGCTACCATACAACTTTACCGAGATCACGCCGGCAACATTGAAGACTGTGTGCTCAGATGCGATCATTTCGCTCTCGCTTTACTTTCCGGGATTCCCCATAATCACTCCCGAGGTAGACCGCAGTCTGTGGTCTCTCAAAGAGGAGCGTGTGATGCCTCATATCACGTGGAAGGAAGACTATAGACGCCACGGATTCACCAATGACCTGGCACGTCTTCGGGCTATGGAGTGCTATGAATACGGACTGGGTATGGACGAAGGGATGGTATTCGACACTGACGGCGATATGGAATGGCCAGCGACTAGAGCACGAAGCCAATATATTCCAAGGTAAGAGGCATAGACTCTACATAAGTCGTGGCTGATGAAAGATAGGTGAACCGCAATCTGATGCAGAAGTTACTGGGGATAGACGCGGAGGTGGCAAAAGACTTCAAGGGTCGTCGTGATCGAAAGCATGCGCTTGGTCAACATGCGACTTGATTGCGAGTGTTTTCTCACGAAATGGGCCACACAGGTATGAAGCTTGTAGCACAACCCTGACGGCATGGTGCGGTTATTCTTGAATCACAGGGGCAGCTCTCTAACGTTGGAACAATTAGGAAGTTAGGTTTACCCGAGTTTCTGCATGAAACGGGTTTGGAGCGCTAGTTCAGGGTTGTGGACATCAAACATGGTTTTCTTCCCTTTTTCGTCATTGCAAAGAAACGTGTGAACCTCCTACAATTACTGCCCAATATGGTCTGGGTGATGGATAAGGATTGCAAGTTCCTCAGCTTCTAATGCAACAGGAGAAAGACAGCACGTACATTAAACTCATACGCAAGGAACGATTGGTGTATTCAATAAAATTCATACTCAAAAACAGTTCCTACGTGATGCATCTTTATCCAAACTTCACGGCTCATCCACCGGAGTTTGTCGGCGGCACGGCGCCAGCCCTACATCCGATCCGATCCTACACTCGCACGAAACAAACCCCATTCCATGTTCACCGACAACGATCCTTAGGCAGCCCAATTCTCTCCCATTTGATTGAATGATGGTAAATTAAACCATGAGCATGTTTTCAGCAGCATGCATCGACACGCATGCGAAGCAATTAGCGTACCGGGACGGAAAGAGACTATGGTATGCGCAGATGGACTCCGTCGCCATATATAAAGAGCAACAACTTTCGCACTATGACAACCACATCATGAAGCTAACATTCAGCATCACAACTTTCTTCCTTACCCTACTCTCGCCCTACCAGTGTCAAGCCTCCACCATGTCCCTCGACCTCTCCAACCCCAACCGCACCATCCACGCCGGCATCATCCTAATGGGCGAAACCGAAATCCTCGACGTAGCCCCCATCGACTTCCTCCACAGCCTGAGCCCAAAGTTCATCAACGTAATGCCCATTTCCGACGAGCTGAAAGCCAAAGCAATTGACATTGATTTTCACTGGGTCACCGAGAAGGGCGAAGCCGGGAAGTTGACTGCTGGAATAAGCTTGAACGCTACGGTACGCATTCCTATAATATCAAGGTGACTAGGTCTAACGATTGAATGGTGCAGGATTCATACGAGTCCTGCCCCCCGCTCGATATCGTCCTTATCGGCGCGTACTTCCCAACGTACACGCCTAGCGAAGCTGATCTCGCTTTCATACGCAAGGCTTACAATGACTGTGCGCCACCTCCTCCTTTCCCCGATCTTAACGTAAATCTAACCCCCAACCAGGCTCCGCCTTCCTAACCATCTGCGCGGGCATGCTCCCCGCCCAAATGGCCGGCATCCTCGCAAACCACACCTGCACCGCACCCCGCTTCATGCTGCCTATGCTCCAGCAGCAAGACCCACGCACGAAATGGGTGGAGAAACGCGCGCACCATGATGGTAAGTTGTGGACGAGCGGCGCGCTGCTGAACGGGCTGGATATGATGCAGCTTTTCGTCAAAGCACACTGGCCGGAGCTAGCAGAGGTCGCGATTCCGCTGGGTGGATGGCCGGTGAGGAGCTTGGATTATGATGCGCCTGAGAAGGGTCTTGAGGGGGAGATTAAGTGGGGCGGTGTACCTTGAAAGATTCGCGAGCGTGGAGTGTTGGGAACATCACGGTAAACAGGATGATGATGGGTTTGTGGTTGAAATGGTGCTGGGTCTACCAGCTGGAGAATGGAATATGGTATATACAACACGGGTCGTCACCCAATGCTCGCTAAAATCATGTTTCGTTTGGACTTATCCTCCATCTAATTGTGTATGTTGCGCCCCTGATAGTAGGATTCCACCTACTGAGCACAAGACCACTCGATGCGGCGCAACCCTCTTTTATAGCTCTTCGCAAAACCACTGCTTAGTTCTTCTTGCCGAAGCCGCCGAAGGGGCTCTCTGCGCTAGAAGAAGCGAACTCGAAAGAGAATGTGCTCCAGTTGATCTCCTCAGCGGAGGTAGGGAGAGCGGCAGGTGCAGTCGTCGCCGGAGTGGTTATGCCGCCAGTCGGGACGGCGCCATCCGAAGGGAAGACTCCGGCAGCGCCAGAAGTAGGCGTGGGAGCCTCGGAAGCAGAGCCAAAGCCGGGGAGGTCAGCGCCGCCTGTCGGCAAGCTGCCGAAACCTTCTGTGGCAGAGGCGGAATCGGATCCAAATCCAGGAAGGTCTGCACCTCCTGTGGGGAGACTGCCGAATGCATCTGTGGCGGAGGAGTCGCCTCCAAAGCCAGGGAGATCGGCACCTCCCGTTGGGAGACTGCCAAAACCTCCAGTAGCAGTAGGTACACCGGAGCCAGGCTCTTCATCGCCACCAGTAGGCAGTTCAAAGCCTCCAGTAGGGACCGCGGCAGGGTCCGTAGGGAAGATACCAGACGGGAAGTCGGCGGTAGCGGTAGGGAAGCTGCCAAATCCACCCGATTCACCGGCTCCAGCACCACCAGTAGGCAAGGCGGCGCCATCAGTAGGGAAGATTCCGGATCCTGAACCCGAACCAAGGCCAGGGAAGCCAGAGTCAGAGCCCGAGCCACCCGTGGGAAGGGCACCCAGCAGAGACGAGAGGAAGCCTGCGAAAGGGTTGTCGCTGCCGCTGTCTTCAGCAGCAGCAGTACCCGCGTGGCGGGCGTGAGGGCGAGCCTCGGCAGCGCTCATGATGGCGGTAACCGCAATGATAGTGGAAGGTGAGAGGTGCATGGTGAGAAGTGTGGTCAAATGTTTGCACAGCAAAAGGACGACGGTGAAAGAGAGTGACCGTGACTAGCACAAGTAGTAGAAAAGACACACACGAAAGAACGAACGGACTGTTGGTTGAAGCTGGTGAAGATCCAAGTAATGCAGCGCCTGGTGTTCCTTTATACCATCTCTTTCAAAAGTCGAGTGCTCTATTAAGATGATCTCCCCAGGTGGGTCTGTTCTAGCTCTGTGAACCTGCGGAATTAAACGAACAGATGACTTTATTGGTCGCTGGTCAGCTAGAGATGGGGATGTTCCCTACCTTTAGAGTGCATCCCCGCAATAGCGAAACGAGAACAGCGGAGCATGCCCTGATGTTCCGAGCCTCATGTTTCAAGCGGGTCCTGTGCCGGGGTACACTAATCTATGAGAGGAGGCGAGATGTTTCAACAGGGGATTAGGCCCTTGGCGGCGGCCTCAGGAAAATTGATGAGAGGTTTGTTGGCAACGAACAAGAATGCGATGTCTGGGGGTGGAGATGTAGAAATTATGATCGCTCGCTTGAAGGGGTGCGTCTCAATGCGTGCACGTTAGAGGAGCCGCTGAACCCACAAGGCGGAAGCCGCGATCGATATTGGACTGGCCCATCTGCGCAACGTTTTGATTCGAGGCTTGCGATAATGTACTTGGTCGTAATAGGGCTTAAGGTGATGCATACCGTCACAAGTTGAGGCCTGTGAGCTCGTCGCGTTTATCGGAGGTCGTTGACGCTCCCATGTGCGGCACGCACGTCGAGTCTCGTCTTAATCTCGGACGCGATCGCGCTTGTAGGACAGACAGTGGGCAGCGTCCGCGCGGATTGATGGCCTTGATTCAGGCATCAGAGAAGAAGTGATGATGGGAGGTTGCTGCCCCCATTCGCACAATGGCGCGCTTACTATCGATAAGCTACTCATCGCATTTGCTATTCACGTGCTAATCTTCCTGCCCCGGGCATCGACCAGACTGCAATCTGGCTCACTCTCAATATCATCAGTCTCGCTTCGAGTTTTCTTCTATATGTCACAGATGCCTGAGTACATGGAGAACCATGAACGATAAGAGAAGGAAAGGCTTCATAATTCATGATGTGGCTGTATTACCGTCAACATTCTAATCTATCATTGCAAATTTTCTCGTGCTTCAAGTCATATGGCGGTAGTCATGGCTTTCCGCCCTGTGCTTCCATTTGCCCTTCGCCCTTTTCTCATCTAGATGTCTACTAACGTTGCTTCGGAGAATCTTGCGGGTTGTTATTTTCTTCCATTCTACCTTACTGCGGTACGTTGTTATATGGGTCTGTCCATCGGTCAACGCCATGACTGTCCATTGCAAGAACGATATCCGAAAGACTGAAACGAACTTGATTCGATGCTGCTTCTACCTCTGCCTCCTCATGCTCATATATAATGAACTTTTTACGAGTATCGAATGTATCATTCTCGGCCTCTTCGGCGGCTGTGACCATCGTGTCGCTAAATAACTTAGCATTTAATGGATATACAGCGCAGATGGTGCCCCACAAGGTGAAGCTGAAGCCAAGGAAGCCTGTCATTGTAATGCTGTCATCTGTCAATACTGCCTTTATAACATCCTTAAAAACTTCCGTTGTTTCTTTTGCGTAGTCCACTGGTACAGTCGTACCTTTGGTCACAAGTCCAAGTAGTCCGTAAACCTTGTCGAATTCATTTACGCATTCGAACATCCGATAGTCCGAAAGAACGCGTCTTAGGCTTTGCGTAGGCTGTTTCCATGCGTCACCTAACCCCCACGCTCTTTTCGTGTCTAAGATCTTCCGCACGTTCGAAGGTACATGTAAGATATCCGAAACCTGTTGGAAGTGCTTGACGACTAAGTATCGCTGGGATCGTGTCCACACTTGGAAGTCCAATAGCTTCTCCCACTCCACCAAGCGGTCCCCGCATCTGACTACAATTAGACGAGCGAAAAGGATCTCTTGGATAATCCAGAGACGAGACCAGTATCGCCGTCGAAAGAGCTCCCTCAAAGCCATGAGCGTCTCGAATTGAATCTCTTCCTTGGGTTGAGAGAAGTACCCAGTCCACGCGCCAGCATCTGCGGAGAACTGCACTCCTGCTACCCAATCATACGCACCCACCGCATCATTGCATGTGTTGTCCACTTCTCGGATAAAGTCCAATGCGGACGCACTCCCGGAGTAGACGGGACCGAGCCAGATCGTCATATCGTGTGCGTGATGGAAAATACTGCTCATTATTTCGACTTGATGGTTGCGCTCTTCGATATGCTTCTGATCGATACAAATCTGATCTATCCAAAAGAGGGATGCGCGATCGTGTTGGACGATGCGGAGGTACTGCCAAAGGTTATCACCGATAAACAGCCTCTTTCCATTCACTAAGATGCATCTCGGAGGATGCGATGGCTCCCAGGTATAGGAAAGAACAACATAGGCAGCGCAATCATCGAAGTCATGGTGCGTGAGTTCGCATTTGATCAAATTGATGCTTGACGTCGTGCAAAATCGGAGTAGTCGGATTTGATTGAATGTGTGGTCCAGCGCACTGTACGAGAATGTTTCCAAAGGTGCCATGGAACCAGGCGAGGGAGATACCTGCCGCCAACAAACGCTACTAGAGGGCTTTTTGAGATATCGCTGTATGACGAACGTAGATGGGGCGCGTTCAGCTCTGTTATCATGTGAACGACCAGGCTGCGTTACAACGAGAGCGTGGCTGTGTACACCTGCATGAGCTGACCTTGCAAAGCGAGCCAATTACTCCTCGCTGGTTGAGCGAACCGATCCGCTCCCTTCATTTGATTGTCCGCATACCGGTTGGAAAGTTTGTTGTGGTCATCCGATTGCTTTTTTCAACATTTCAGCTGCATTGTATGCAGAAGTCCACCTATATTTGTCACATGTGACCTGGATGTTTTTCTTACGAGTAGAAAGTGATGCCCTCCCTGTACGAGGTAGGTAGTATGCAATTTCACGTATGCTATTGACTTTTGCTTCGGCCAATAGTGAGCTATACACCTACCGCAATCCACCTGCGCGAGTTACCATCGAATGCGTCAGTCGTTTTTACCATCCGGCTGCTCTGCATGGGACTCTACATCTTGTAACACCTGTTCTCTACGTCCATTCTTCACTTTATACGCCTACTCGCCATGACCTAGTAATAGCGCCGTCATAGGGCGAGAGTTATTCGGGCTCAGTACGAGCATCATGCCCAATTCCGTGTTGAACGTGCGGCAATCCATCCCCTACCACTCTAGCTTCAAGTTTGTCCAACTCTCGCCTTTCTCCACCCCAAATGCCTCAACAACATTCCCCGTCCGAGATCCCCGCCATAGAAATGCGCGAACACTCCCTTCCCACCCCTCCCACTTGACCCGTGCCTTTCCCTCTGCCTTCACCTCACCGTCGCCATCCGTCCCACTCGCTAGGGTTTCATAGTTGATCTTCAGCAGCCACAACTCTGTGAAGTCGTTGAACCACTTGTCTGCCGTACCGGAGACTTGTTCGGAGGTGGACAGATGAATGTAGCCGTCATTCTTATCGAGATCGGAGAGCGGAAGACGGTCGGGGAGGGGCGATGGGGGCGGTGGGGAGGATTTTGTAGAGGTATGTCGGGACAAGGGATGGTGCGCTCATCTTTGATTGTCTCCTGGAAAGGAGATGAAGTCTCGAGTAAGACGTTTCAAGGGGATATACACAGTAGAAGATTTTTGTTCGACTGCATGAGGAGGGGCAATTGTTTGGTTTGTTTGCGACCCCGGATCTTGGCATGCAGGGCAATGCTTAGCGCCGATGACGTACCGCGTTTCCGGGCTCAAAGACCGCGTCGGCCATCTAGCATTCCAGACAACAGCACCAAAAAGGAGGGAACGATGCCCCGCCTCGACGAAAACACACAGCAGTACCTCCAGGATGCCGAGCAGGGCGTGCGCGCCCACACGTCTCGCGTGTGGGATAGCTTCACCAACTTCGCGCTGCGCGACAACGTGCTTGAGGTCGCTGTTGGGTTAATGTAAACACTCTCTTCCTGCTCTCTTCCCTAGATAGTCCCCAAAAATCGTATCTTCATACCAAGGACAGGCGCTAATAAGAGTAACAGCCTCGCCGCCTCCTTCACCGCCTGCGCAAACTCTCTCGTGACCGACATCCTGCTCCCCCTCATCTCCCTCCTGCCCTTCCTCGCGCGCAACCTCGACGAGAAATTCGCAACGCTCAAGCATGGCCCCAACTACAACTCCACCATCTCCAACGGATACAACACCAAGGGCCAGGCGCTCTCTGACGGCGCGATCGTCTTCGCTTACGGCAACTTTCTCGATAAAATCGTAAGGTTTGTGTTGATTGCAGTTAGTCTGTGGATCATTGCGAGTCTGTACAGTAGAAGCAGCGGCGACAACATAGTAAAGAAGCAAATCAAGTGCAAGTACTGTCGGAAGTGGAAGAGTGAGAAGGCGAAGCGGTGTGTCAACTGTACGAGTTGGATGGATGGGAGGGAGGAGAGGTAAGGAGCGGTGTGGGATTATCGGGGATGAAGATGGTGGAGTCATACACGGGGAGTTATATGGCATGCAGTGATGGATATACCAGAAGAGAAGAGTCGAGTGCGGAGATATAAAAGAGTGTATTGAAGTTGGATAAAGCACATCAAGGAATTCACCCCGGGGTATACAACAGTACATATGACAAAAGGAAATGTCGCCAAATGAATGTCCGTAGTTCGCTGTCCTGAGTCATCCCTCATGACCTACCATCGGAACAGCATAGCAACAAGGTGCGAGACCTCAACTGTCGTCCTCGTCGTCAGTCTCACCATCACTGCTGGGGGGCTCTTCAACTTTAGCTTTACCCTTGCCCGAAGAGCCCTCCGGAGGTTGCTGCTGCTGCCGCCGCGAGCTCGGCCCCCCCGCGTACGATGAACCCTGCGCAATGGCTATTTTTTCCATAGCTGCCGTTGTCCCGGTCAATCGCTCGGGAAGGCCCCTGGCACTTTCCACATTCTTAGGTAGTGTTGGTCCATCGTTTGGATCCATATTTTCTAGTGTTTGGGCTACATCGTAGTCAGCGTGTCGTCAAGAGAGGAAACAAGAAGTTGGACTACATACAATATACCCGCCCAGGCCTGTCTGTATAAAAACTGTCGTCGGACTCTGACGAGGGCCACGAATCGTCATTGGGATCCACATCTTCGTCAGAAGATCTCACGTAACGATCTTCAAGAAGTGCTGCTTTTGACTCTTCGTCTTCAGGGGGAGATAATTCACTTGATTCGGCAGGTGCCTGAGAGCTAGGTTCCCCGGAAGAGCTCCCAGACTCGTCGTCAGGCTGGGAAGGAAGTAACGGTTCTGACTCTTCGTCATCAGGAAATACCTCTTTTGGGCGGAAAGGTGCCTGAGAGCTAGATTCCTCGGACGAGGAACTGGCACCGGAAGATCCTGGGGACGTCGCTCCAAGAGGCTGGAGCTTGTCTGGATTGAGACCCGACGGGCTAGGGTCCGCGGGTGAGGCAACGGCGTTGGGATATCCCTGGGGCATTTTTGTCGTGGAATAAGTGCTGGACTTGGTATTCTCAAGGTTTGGGGATTGTAGAATGTAGTTGCTCGTTGTAATTGCTTGCAAAGATGTATGCTGGGTACTGGATAGGAAAGGGGGAAAGACATACAGAGACGGTTTATATAGCTGGCGATGAGTCGCACTTTGGTGTTACTTTTGGGCCTCAAGTTTGGCTCATAGCTGAAGCCTTATAGTCATTGTGAAATCTGACGTTGGATTTGGGAAGTGGTGAGTGCTATCATTGATGAGCCAGACAGCGGCTGTAGTTCTCAGTCAGCGCGGGAAGTTGTGGAACAAAAGAGTAGTTGGACATCTTTCACTACATTTGGTAAAAGGTGCCGCTGTAATTGGCCTGTGACCCTCTCGCACGTTCCAATATCACTTCGTGCCTTCTTCGACCCTCGATGTGATGTGCTATATTCCGGATACTATTTCACTATCCACTAACCGTTTCAAGGACCGATATATATCCACGGTTACTCGCTTCCGGGCATAAGGAGTCAACTCTGTGACTGCAGGCCTTCCGCGTAGCAATGGGGTGTCACGAGCTATGACTCTTTAGGAAACAACATCAAGTCACGGGACGAGACCAGCGCATGATGCCATATAACACAATCATAGAGAATAGGTATGAATACTAGTCAGAGCATGCAGGAATGACGGAAAGTTGTCCCACGTCACATTACAAACTATCTACAACAAGGGATATATCGCTATATGACTGTCCCTGTAGTCGCTACCAATAAAGCCTGAGACCAAGCACCTTAGGAACCTCCACCAGACCTGGAATTGCGGAGCTTCTCCTTCTCCACTGTCACCGCCGTCAATCGACCTACTATGCCTTTGGCTTGTTCCGCATTCTTGTGCGGTGTTGGTCCTGGGTTCTTGTCCATCCTATCTTTGTGCTGGGCTATTCTTGACGTTAGTATACTACATATTTTAAAGGGCCTGGGATACATACTGTACACCCTCCCGGGATTAGGGTTCTTGTAGGATGACTCAGAAGACGCGTCGTATCCAGAACCAGGGGTGGATTGCTTGGATGATGGCATTGTTATGATCAGACTGCTGGAATACTTGGTTTATTGGATTGGTTTGAATTGAGTTGTGAGAATGGTGCTTTCGTTGTAGAAGTTGATACTGGCTTCTTTGAGTTGTTGGATAGAGAAGGCAGCAGGGTAATTTTTAACCGTTCATATAGTTGGGCTTCTCCATCGACTCGTGGTTGAACAGCTCATGGTCATTGCTGAGTGAAATTGTTCCTTGCGATGAATTTCACTGCTATTGAATATGGTAAACTTCAGGCGTCGGTAAAGCTATGTTCGTGAAAGAGTGCCTTCGTGTCAGTGCTACCTGCAATACCACGTGTGAGTGTAAGCACAGGCTGGCACAACGTGTAATGATACCCAGTAGCCACGGAGAGCATATCGCTCGCTATATGACATCCAACCTTTGACGTACATCGCATTGAAATAGATCACGTCTTCCAAATCAACAACATATGCAGTAGATGGACGTTGAGAGCTGGCAGATTCTAGTTGGTAAAATGTGACGGCGACCAGAGCCCGTGCATTGATGCTTGAGTACCCTTTACATAGCTGGTCATGACGTTGTATTCTTGATATCCGATTGGAGAATGTATGGATATTGTTGATATAGCCATCGTTGTCGATGTGATGAGTATCGTCCATGTTGAGGACGATGGACAAACTGATGTTTCGGGTCTCGTCATAATCCGGCATGCGATAAGGCGCAGGAGTCGTGTAACTTCGTCATAGTGCGAGTGACTTTCAGGACGACCGGTATTGCACCTTGACCCAGCGTCCACGAAGATAGCCTGAACGCGGGAAGAGCGTGTGCTTCGCCGTCTGCAAAAGTGTCGCTGCTCCGAAAAGGATTCCGATTACGGTGATCGTCATGTTCTTGAATGAATTCATGATCAGTATTGCTCATAATAGAGGAGTTTATGCCACGTCTGCTGGGACTTTCCATACTTAAGTATTATTGTGAATGTCTTGTGTGCAGGATCTGGCTAACCTGGGAGTGGCACTCTGCTATTTCGCCTGAAAATTTCAAGATTCCAATGGTTGATAGCACTGTTCGGCTCCGAAGGCGCTTTCCTGACGATGCAGCGTGCACTAGCAAGTCTAGACAACACGTTCAGGTAGATATTGTATGAGTAGTACGAACCGATTCCTTCGAAAGCAGGCAGCGTGACGCGTGACTTCAATGTCTGATCATAACGCTTTCCATTAGTCTCTTTCTCAAAAGCGATACCTAGTGACAGCCTCAGGCGGTGAGCGTGCTGAGTATTTCAGGAGCGTGTGCCTCCACCCACCGGCATCGCCGTGAGTATATGAGGCTCATGACAAGTGTGCCTTACTCGATGAGTGGAAGCAGCAGTCGTTGGCGATGAGTACCTAGGTACGGTTGGTCCGCGTGGCTGAGCCGCACCTGCTGCGGAACACGATCTTATTGGCTGCGACTCGGAACGTCGTATCTTCTGAGCTCGTCACCTTACACAGTCACTACGTGCAATATTGGACACATCGGGAACTGATTATTTTACAGAATGCATAGATACTGGCGAATCACAAAGACTATTGTACGTGGTGGTCCAACGTGTCTTTCATATGCGAATCCGCATTCCAAGGTTCGAGCAGCCTCAGCATAGAAATATATTACGCTATGTTTTTTAAAACTTTTGTTCGCGAAGTATACACATCTTATCTTGATCTCTGTACCTGTCGTATTAGCCTTCCTGCACTGACGAAACTCAACCCCGCATGCCGAACCATCTATCGTAGCGCTACCCCCAACAGTGGTTTGTCATACACAAGTACCTAAGTATACAAATGCAGAGATTAGTTTTACATAGAGTGGACAGACTCATACTCCCCTTAGCGAATGTCAAGGAGTTAATTATACTGTAACGTTATCCAAGAGTAACTCCCCTGCAGTCAAAATGCCTATTACCAATGCTATCGTCAACAACTACATGGCCAACGACAGCAAGGGCGTCTACTCTCTGTACGGATTCGAATCACGATGGATGACTGTCCGGGGCTAGTGTGGCCGTTGGATATCGAGTAACCATAAGGGCTGGGGGGGAAGTACTGTGGATTGCTTCGCAGAGGGGACGAATCCGATTATAGCGGATGTTCCGAGGATGAAGAAGGATGGGAGATTTACGCTGTCTGGGCTGTAGGGGTATGGAGAGATCGATTCGACGTCTTGGAAGAACTGCTGTTCTTCTCAAGTCGATAATATACTCATGGTAGCATATAGGAGAACAAGCCGTAGACCTGGGAATCGAAAATTAACACGTGATGCAATTTATCGTAGTGTCTACTATCGTATAGCTCTCCTCAGTACTCCTACGGGTATGAGTCAATATATAGCAGAGTGCCGAGCACTGTATTTTCGTGCCTTGTAGTGCACAGAGTAGTTTCTCTAGTTGGGGCGCACTTGGGGCGTACGGGCGCAAGGCAGGAACCCCACACCAATCCTTGCCCCGCCTACACTAGCCACAGCTGCGCCACGGATAAGGCTGTGCATGGCGTTTAGGCAGCTGCGAAAGCGACTGACGACGCTTAAGGCAGTCGCGATTCAGCGCATCCTCATAACTACTGCAACCTACGACGCCTGACATTTCCTTCCCCACGTCTCCTCATGTCAAATCAGGCCCCCGACGTCTAGCGTACGTTGTTGCGCATTTGCGATATCGAAACTCACATAATAGAACATGGAGGCCATAAGTAGACTCCCTCGGAGGCTCACTCAGCTATACACAGGTAGGCGGATATTCCTATACAGTCGTGCGGTCATTCTGGCGCGCGATTCTGATCGAGCAACTATACTGACGAGACTTTAGACACAAAAGTCTCTTGCGAAGCCGTAACGGAACAAGACACCCCCGACACGCAACCCGAGATCAACGCACTGCATCGCAAATATCGCATACAAAAAGACCGACTTATAGCATGGGGACTCGAATGGAGCGACAACACAAAAGGCCGTCAGGATGATATCGACGAGAGCGTGGAGCGTGCAGGCCTCACAGAGACAGTGACGAGCGTGCTAGGCACCATCAAAGACATCTTGGACGAAGCTGAGCGTATGCACCCGCCTGCTGTTATTGCAGGTGTCAAGACGCTGTCAGGAGAGAAAAGTCGACCGCCTGTGACTTCCGCATGGGCGGCTGCTGACAGGTCACGGTACGAAGATCTCGCCAAGGACCTGACCACATCCATAGACATCCTCTATGACCTGTCACGCACGCGGCGCACTCAGCGCGAAGCTAGCCGGGGACCAAGCCCACATTCGAAGGCTGTTCCTCCGCCGCCTCGCAGAGCTTCAGCTTCAGGTGTATTCTCGACATCTCAATACAGCGCCTCCGACCTCACACTCATCAACCCTGACACCATCCCCATCATTGCTCATGAATACGCCAATATCTCAGCGCAGACCAATCTTCCATCAAAATTGAACCCGGCGGATCTCGTACTGCCTGAGGAGGAGCCCCCGCCATATGAGAGCGTTGGAGCTTCATCTATCCGTGTGATCGGACGGTTGCGAACCAAACATACCTCCACAAACCCCTGGAAGGCCGACGGGGCCAAGAGTGTAGAAACACCCGTAATGGTCGAGTTCGCGACATACGATCCTACTTATCGCTCTACCGGAGTTCCGACACCCACCGACCGACTTGAAACACTTCTGTCCATCTTAGGGAAGCTGTCAACTGACCAGTCATTTCACGGTACACTGACTTGTCTTGGATATTTCGAAGATCCGTCACAACCCCGATTCGGACTCGTGTTCGAACTCCCGTCATTTGTGTATTCGGGAGCATCTGATTTACTCAAACCCGTGGAGGAGCTTCGTCCTGTGACCCTGCTTAGCGTCCTTCAGACGGGATCTAAGTCACTACACAACTCCAACAGCGCCACACCACCCCTCGAAGACCGTTTCCGCCTCGCTTTTACTCTTGGCCTTACCTTCAACAAGATTCATGGCGACGGGTTCGTGCACAAAGACGTCAACAGCAGTAATATTTTGGTGTTCCGCAAAAACAAGCGCCAATCTGCGAACAGCCGAGCACTGCAATTTGCCCTTCGCTCTCCCATCATCTGTTCCTTTGATCTCTTTTCCGAGTATGACATTGAGCCTGCCAGCACAATGCCACCCCTAAACATCTATCGCCATCCGGAGGATCCCAAGTTCACGGGTGAGAAGGACAAGACCTACGGCCCACAGTTCGATCTCTATAGCTTAGGTTTGATCCTCCTCGAAGTTGGCTTATGGCAGCCTTTGGCGGATTTGTGGAAGCCTAAATACACACTCACCGACTTCAAACAGCGCGTTGAAGACGTCTACATTCGACGTCTAGCATCCAAGTGCGGCACCGCGTATATGCAAGTTGTGCGCGACTGCTTCTGGGCGGCCGACCGAATCGCATCTGGCGCAGAAAGTCCGCAGAACTTTCCGCAAGTTTACAACCGTATCTTGATCAGGCTGCAGCGATGTTGCCTTCTCGACGAGGTCGACCCCAGCCTTGAATGGGGCGAGCTGAGCACAGGCGCAACGCATATCGCCGGCTCCTCCCCGCTAAAGCGCAAAACTTCGAGTCACATCCAGGGTCACATCCAGGTTGCTGACGTACCCTCAAGTCCGTCATATCGCAGTGCAAAGCGGTGGGCTTTGGAGAAAGGCTCGCATGTTCTTGAACGATCACGCTCACTTTCCAAAACAACGCATACCCCCAAGAGTTCTCCGAATCTTCCACCACTATCGAGGCACGGGTCGCAGCGATCACAACATTCTATTCGCAAGTCTTTGTCGCACTTGATGAGTCCAAAAGAAGAGCCCTCGCAAGAAATGGACTGGCAACTTAGCAGGAATTCGCACATGGACACGCCACCGGACTCCCAAGAGCATGGCGATCTGTTACCTGTGAATGAGCATCACCGGGCGCATAGCACAGGTGAAATCAAGCGCTCGCGAGGCTTCCAGTCAGAATTCGACACCCCGCCAAGGGCTATGACACAGAAAGACTACAAAGACAAGATCACGCTCATTCAGAACTTGTGGCGGCAAAGGAAACAGAATCGGGCAAATACCATTGGTGCACTGATCGAGAACGGGATCAGGCACTGGCCTCAGGCTACCATTGGATACCCCACTCCAGAACCCGAAGACAAACCGCAGGATCGCGGTATGACGCATTCGGTTCATATTCAACGCCATCCTGACCAAAGCACTAGCCCGCGAGACTCCACTCTGGAAATAAACACGAACTTCGAGGCCCCTCCTCGTCAGAAGCTGCGCCTCCATCCCGTGAAGTTCTCAGAAGAGATCGTGGATGAGTGGCACAAGAAGATGCTGCCTCGTCTCGAACGCGTTCTCGAACGTACACTGAAAGACTCGGACGAGACTGTCAGCATTGATCTCGTAGCTGTGGGTGAAACAGCAGATAAGACTCGCCCAACTATCTTCGTTACTTGCAGTAGCGTGCCGAAAGTCAAGGCTGTGCTGCAGCGCAGGTTCAAGTACGATCCTAGTATCTATGACCTGAAGGTACGACGTGGTAAGGTTCGACGTTCAAAGCTCAACCGGTCCAGCCGCAGGAGGGTACCCCCTCACCGATCCATGGCGAACACGGATGATTACGATGGTGATATGCACGTTATGAACCCCTTTCACCAGGAGCGGCCGGTTTGCGGGGCATCTATTGGCGCTTTTCGCGGCGAGCACCTTCCGCCTGTTACTTACGGCGGTGTTGTTCTCGTTGACGATGAGCCATTGGGCATGAGTACGTTACCCTATCTCTTACCCAATGACTGCTTCTGCGACTCACCTGCGGAGGCGCATTGAGCAGAAAGCTGTGCAATTGTGCAATTGTCGAGTGCTGGTATGGCTCAACCAACATCTGCAAGGACTATCTCACGCAACACAATCAGACGCCTGCCACCCATCGAATTAGCAATGTATGGGCTGTCACTGACGTCTCTAGGTGTCCATCATCTCTTGGATGCGCCATCCGATGACGAAAGCGACGCTGGCGACGACCCCGTTCTGTCGAGCGGCGCGAATGGATCAGCTAACCCCTGGCTCATGGGCATGGGCACACAGCCGGGTGTTCAAATCGCACCCAGCTCGCCCATGCCTATGTGGGAGCTCGAGATCTCTGACGATGAAGCCATGAAGACTGACGACGAAGACTATGATTCATTTGAGCTTTCCGGTTCTGAGTTTGACTCCGACGAAGAGTCCGAGTCTGAGGATGCAGATGTCGATTCTATCACTTCAAGGGGAACAATAGGTGACATTGATGGAATCGAAGTAGGGGACGGCGAGGAAATCAAGATCACCCAACCAGCTATTGACGATGTTGACGATGACTTCTTTCCAAGCGAGGAAGACCGAGACGAAGACCATTTAGATTCACACGAGCTCGGACATGTACATGCCTCTTCTGGTATCAGGCGACTGAAAAAAGATGGAATCGTCCACGAGATCGACTGGGCATTGTTGAAACTGAATGACCACCGGCTGCAGCCGTACAATCTGGTCCAAGGAGGCCGCCGTTTCTGTGCCACTTCCGCAATCGATCCTTCCCAGTACGAGATCTCAGCAAAGCTGGAGCAGCCGGTAACCCGCCGGCACTACACAGCATCTGAAGACGAATACCCAAACGGCGTCGCTAGCGCCACTAGCCTAGGTGGACTCAGTGTGCATTGCTTTGGTCGAACGACCGGCCTACAAGGCGGCATGGTTGGACACGCCATGAGCTCAGTCAGAATATACCGCCGCAAAACGTTCTCGCGCAGCTGGCACGTTGCAGGTGGATTCGGCGTTGGCGGCGACTCTGGCGCTTGGGTCGTACAAAACGGCACGCACAAGGTCGTTGGCCATGTGCTCGCCTGGTGCGAGCGCAACCACATCGCATACATCTGCCCCATGGAAGTCCTCCTTGAGGACATTAAGCGTACTCTACACGCTAAACATATTTACCTTCCTGGCTCCGCGGAGGAAGCTAGACATCTCGCTCGTACCCAGAAGCATGCACTCAAAGCAGACAGCCGCGTAGAGGAACTGGAAGTTGCAGTGGAGGGACTAGGGATTATCGATGGATGCGTACCGCCTCCCCCGCCGCCACCGAGGAGAAGTCGGATACCACTACTTGGTACGAGTGGGGAGAGCGACAAGGAGAATTTACCGGTACTGAGGAGTAGAGTCATTAAGGTTAAGGAAGGGATGAGTGGGCAATTGGAGATGGTCGCGGGCGGTGTTTAGGCAACACACCCAGGACAGATGGGCGAGCTGGTGGCATATTGCAGGCGTTTTCGATACCCTGGGTGGATTTGCATGGTCGGCTTTGGCTTGGTTGGACATGTGTTGTATGTTGCATGAATGATGATTGGATAATCGGATACCTACTGTACATAGGAATGGGAACACTACTCAGTATTTGACCTTGCTTTACCCATACTCGGTCATCTCCATCATGTCTTCGATAGTTTTCGACCAAGCGTCATTTTTCATAACACTTCATACATAATCTAAAATAATTCAAGGTGAACATTGAAGGGTACACGAAATACTTTCCTGAACTGATCTGTATCTCAACTACGTGATTATCTCCACTGATGTTGCCCTCCATTTCATTACTTTTACCTACTTCGGTGGTTCCACCCCCTTCAAATTCCGATACAAGAAATCCCTCGTCCTTCTCAAAGCATACGAGTCCGAAGTCGCCACCCCATGCTCACCCCCCGGAATAAACAACAAGTCGTAATCCTTATCCGCCTTATTCAGCGCATTGACAACCTGCATCGTACTCGCCGGATCAACATTCGTATCCAGCTCCCCAACACTAAGCAGCAGCTTCCCCTCCAACTTCTCCGCATTCACAACGTTGGAACTATCCGCGTAGCTCTCGTCTACAGGGTACCCCATCCACGCCTCGTTCCACCACAACTTGTCCATGCGGTTGTCGTGGCAGCCACAGTCTGCGGCTGCGACGCTGTAAAAGTCGTTGTGGAAGAGAAGAGCACCCATGGCGTTTTGTCCGCCTGCTGAGCCGCCGTAGACACCGACGCGCGAGATGTCCATCCAGGGGCGTGTCGAGGCTGCGGCTTTCATCCAGGCGATGCGGTCGGGGAAACCTGCGTCTTTGAGGTTTTTGTATGCGACGTCGTGGAAGGCTTTCGAGCGCCAGTTTGTGCCCATGCCGTCGATGAGGACGACGACGAAGCCTTCGTTTGCGATCCGGTGCGCTTCGTCGTGCGAGGTGTACGCTTTGGGGACGTAGAAGTCCTGTGGTCCGGCGTAGATTTTCTCGATGACGGGGTATTTGGTGGTGTTGGACATTTGGTAGGGGCGGAAGATGAGGCCGTGGATTAGCGTGGTGTTGTCTCTGCCTGGGGCGGCGAAGCGCTCTGGGAGGGGCCAGAGGAGGTAGTCTAAGTTGCCGGACGAGACGTCGGTCGTCATGTTTCCTGTTTCGGCGTCGCGCGTGACGGTCTTGTAGGCCATGTCCATGCGTGACCAGGTGTCTGTGAATGTCGTGCGGTCGTCGCTGAAATACCATGAGTGGTCGCCGTCACCTTCTGTTAGGATCTTGAAGTCTGAGCCGTCGAAGTTTACGCGCGCTAGGTGGGCGTAGTACGGGTCCTGGCCTGGCACTGCGCCGAATACTTTGATCCAGATTTGCCGTTTTGCTTCGTCCACGTAGTCGACGGACCGCACTAGCCAGTCCCCTTTTGTGATCTGGTTCTTCACCTTCCCAGTCTTCATGTCGTAGAGGTAGAGATGGTTCCAACCGTCACGTTCGCTGGCCCAAATCAACTCGCTTGAATGAGAGCTTGAATTAGAGCTCGAATTAGAGCTGGTGATCTCTCGGTAATAGAGCTTGTACGCGTAGTCAATGAATGTGTTGCTCTTCTCCTCGATCACGGCTCGCACGTCTCCTTGGGTGTTCATGCCGACTATGCGCAAAACCTGGTGGCCCCTCTGATTGTACAGGAAGCGGTATTCGGTGCCTTCCGTATTCCACCCTCCATTCAGTGCATAAAGCTCATACGGATTCTCGAACAATGCATTTTCCGTAGGAATCTCGCGTTGGTTCGTCAAATCGAACATTCGCGGCCGATCTATAGTCACATTGTCACCAGGTTTCAGGTACTGAAACTGATGCAAGCGGGGTTGAAGCTGATCGTAAGGACTCGACTCGACTTCGTAGACGGTGTGCTCTTGAGCTGGCGTAGACTGGAAAATAACGACGAACTTGTTGTTTGGCGAAGGATAAGTCAGATTGCTGAAGGGGCTAGCTTCGGTTCCCGTTGTGGACATTTGGACTTCCTGTCCGTTCATATCCCTGAACCATACGTTATTGTCTTTGAAGAAGACACCCGAGCCATCGCTCGTCCCGTTGCTCTGCCGCTTGGACAAATCGCTTGGAGCCTCGGCCAGAGGTTTCGGTGCAGGAAGTCCCTCCTCAATGACAGCTGTCTTCTTCTCAGACTCAGCGGCGAAGCTCGCAACCACCTCACCATCACCATCTCTTGTAACTCGCCACACATGGCCCTCATAAGTATGTTGACTTTTCGCGCGTCCGGGTTCGACGTCTTGATAATGCTTCTTTCTGCCAAAACCGTCAATCCAATATACCGACACTCGCCACTTTGCGCGATTCACGAATTTGATCACCGTCTCTTTCGAGCTCTCACCCGAGCATCGTTCCTCAGCCAAAGGCTCCAACATCTCCGTGGCGTCTCCCTCTTGAATGTCGTCCTGGATTGACGCTAAAACGCCGTCCTTCGTCCACTCCCAATTTTTCTCTCCGGCATGAAACTTCACAGTCGATAGATCGTCGCTGGCATCAATCGACACGAAAGGAAGGTTTGAAGCTGAAGCCTCAACACCCTGCTGCCTCAGTGCCCTCGCTACCCCGTCGTGGTCAAAAGCCGGCTGGCGCAAGCCCTGGTTCGGATCGACATAAACGAACGATGAATCTTCCGGCGCATTGCTCTCACGGAACCAGAATTTGTTACTGCCTGAAATCCAGTGCGGCCGCATTGCTGCCGGCTGCGTATGCGCATCTCGATCTTTTGGTGAAATGTCGGTGTGCTTGTAGGTAGAGAAATCTTGTGAAGTAGAGGCCTGAGGTATAGAAACTAGAAATAAGGAAAGCGCAAAGTTCATGTAGCGAATGTATGTCCCCATGATTAAGTATGTATTGATGACTGTAGTTGCCTAGGATGCTGCGGTGAACCGAAACGGGGAAATGGGGCACCACGTGACAAAACCCAATAAACGAAGGATGGGTAGAGTCGATGCAAAAACGAAGGGCCGGATCGCTGGGGAAGAAACATCATGCGCGATGTCTTAAGTGATTCTTTGTACTCGGTGTAGTGTAGGTTCGGCCAAAACTCCTGACTATTGATTGGGCTTATACCCACTTCGTGCCACTCAAGGCTATTAATGTAACTCGCGCCTTGGCGCCTGAATCTACCGGGCCGTTTTAGTTTCACCTCCAATCGGAAGATTGAACACTTCGCACGGCTCGCTCTGCTGTTTACACTTTGTACTCTGTGCATGCACTCGCGAGTTTCCGTCAAATTGGTAGTAAAATATGCGTGAGCCCTATTAGCACAACTATGTCCAAACCAGGAAATCCTAGCAAGTACCCAGCACTGACCGCACCGACTTATCGGGAATACGTCACGCCGGTAAGACCGCATTGAGGCCCTATTGTTACGTCTTCAATGTAGATAGCTCTCTGCGCCCGGGAAAGGAGCAAACATCTCCTTCCGAAAGACGTCCAGTTGCGGACAGCCCAGCTCCTTAGTAATCGGTCCTAGTATATCTGCAAGCCACTTCACCAGATCACCTATATTGCCGAGCAGACCAGAAAACTGCCCCGGAACCGCTTGCTGCGTTGCTTGGAGCACGAAACAGGCAAGATTGTTGCCCTGGAACAGATTCGCCGCGTTGAAGACACCGCCTGTCTGGACGAGTCGTTAGTTTGCCAACCCTTTGAGGGGAGGGTACCGGGGAGGAGAGGCTTACTAGGTTGCCGGGGTCGACACCAGTGAAGGTGTTGACCTTGCCTGTGTTGCCGCCTAAGGAGATTTGCCCGGGGTACATGAGGTTGTTCATCTGAGCGTCGGAGCCGATGTCCTCGAGGCCGAATGAGTCGGGTCGCTTGTACCTGTCACAACTTAGACACATCTCAAGCGCAAGCGAGGGGGAATTTTGTCTAACCAGTTGTCGGGTATACGTTCGTACCCCGGCTTATACACGAAGCTGCCTGGCTCCCCTGTCACAGAGTAGAAAGACTTGAGGACATCTCTTGTCAAGGTTCCGCCTGGTATGTCCGCGGAGTGATTGCTCATCTGCTACTTATTAACGCATATTTCTCGAGTATGAGACTGCCAACTTACCATATTGATTATCAACCCATTCGTCCCCGGGGAGAGAAAAGCGCCGATCGGCCCGAGAAAGAAATAAGGATTGTTCGCCTTGCTGTATGCTTGACAATACTCTGCATGTGCAGCTACAATATCGTGCGTGTACTCGGTGCCGAGGTTGTAAAGTTGGGCAAAGTAGTTCATGTCCAAGACATCAACATTGCCACCGTTCAGGTATGCATCACCCTTGACGCAATGTTAGACCACGCAAACAAACCAGGGAACTTCACTAACCCTAGTAGGAGATCCATCTGCCTCATACTTGCTGTGCGTGCCCAAAAGACCAGGAGGGTCAGTGAGGAGAGGAACCGATCCAGGATACTTTCCTCCAATCGACCAAGTACCTGTGAGGAAATCACCTGCGTATACAACGCCTACCGCTGAGGCTCCGACGGAGAAGGTAGGACCAACATTGAAAGCTTCATCAAGGCCCTTCAAAGCTACGATTGTGAGACTGTAGACACCGGCAGTAGTAGATTCCAAGCACTCACCATCTGCCGCAGTCAGGATACCATTATGCGGGATAAAGCCATGATTAGCAGCCGCGTTCAACCCAGGACATGGGCCACGTCTGTCGTTTGGCCCAGGAGCTTGAAACTCGTGGCCACTGTGCGGTCCGACGTCAACGAATTGGGCTGTGGCGTTGAAAGTAGGGTGGGGATTTGTGATCCCTGTGTTTGGACGCTTGGATAAGAAGAGAGGCTGACGGACGCTGGGCTCGGTCCTTTTGCTAATGGGTTTTGGTGATGAGTTTCGGCCTACGCCCATCATCCCGGGAAATCCTGCTCCAAGCCGTAAGCTCGAAAGCAAAACGAATGCAACCTTCATATTGGCAGCTTAGGAAAGTGCGATTGAATGCATGCGGGATGTTTTTGTGATCTCGAGCTGTTGTGGTCCGGACTTATACATCGGGTTTATGTTTGATCTTCCCTACCTGTGCACCACTTCAATATTCCGCAACCGTCGTTGCGAATCCGTTGGCCGAAGAAATCCGTCTCGAGACTTTTCTGGAAATGACCACAACAAAATGGAAGTATATCATTGGAACCATAAAAGCCTGGTACTAAAGTGGTGAGTCATGTGGCAGCCACCAGCACCGGAAGAGGTGAGCTGAGAGTACTGTGTGACCCACACAGGAATAGAGTTCAGATCTTCGTAACTGGAAACTCTCGTTGGCCTCGATTTCAACTCCTGATAAAGAGGCATCATTGACTTCCCCATGGGGATTCCGTGCGTGTCGGCAGATAACTCACTGTACTCCTAATCTGTACTAGATGATTTGCCATGCACCGATTACCGTTTTCAGTGAATATGAAATGTAGTTGGAAGACAACTCCAGCTATACCCATTTTTTATATGCTTCTGATGTAATATGAATCCTGTCTCATGGTCAATCTCACCAGCCCTGTCCATTGCCACGCAGAGAATTCCAATCGATGTTGTCCAGATTCATTTGATCCATGGTAAGGTCCACCGAGGACGGATCCTGTACACTTGACAACGGGTCCGGCCACGCGAAATTCAATGCCGGATCAAACGTATCAAAGTTCATCATGTGCATGGGCGCCGGCATAGGCATAGGCATCCACGAGTCGTCGTTGTTGGTTCCTTGCTGGATCCAGCTCGGTAGGTGCGAGTAGTCAGGTGTCATGCCTGTCTGTTTCCGTCTGTTCATGGCTTCGACAATGGCGGGTACTGACCTGCAGGGTTGTCAGTGATGTAATTTGGGATCTCAAAACAGGCGAACGCACTCAGCCTCGGATGGAACGGCAGCTTTACGTGCTGCCCAAGCTTGAAGTACAATTCTGGATATGATGTTCGCGAGCGGATTATTGTCATCGCCCATCCAATTCGTGAATCGTACAGTGTAGTTGGCACTCATAACTGCCCAGGCTCTTCCAGCTAATCTCCCCGTCGGACGTCGATTGAGATCTTGTACAACGTGAATGTATGCTTGGAAAGGGAATTGTAGTACGGTCATACTGAACCAAGTGAAGACCTTGGTCAGTGGCGAAGTAAGCAGCCTCGTGTCGCATTCGAACAGAGTCAGTGCATAGCCTAAAGCCAAGTCCCGTTGCGCTTCAGTCTGCTTTGGAGGCGCTCGCGAATGTCGTGCATAGTGTGCGAGCATTCGGTTCTTCGCAAGGTATCCCCGCGCCATCCACATGATCATGAAGTGCAGCGGGTTATCTGGGTTACATAACTTGAGGTACCGCTCCTCCACCATCTTCTCAATGACAGCTAGCTCGTCGCCATTGGGCGAAGATCCAGCCGGTGGGCGACGCGCCAGCGGCTTCAAGCACGTGTTGTTGAAATCGAGCCAATAGCCACTATGGCGAACGAAGTTGGCTAGCTCGCATCTGACGACTGTGAAAGTGGCTTCCGTGATCATTTCATGTGGCGCAGGTGGTGTCTTCGTCTCCGTACCCAGGTCAAAATCATGGATGTTCGAGGGAGGTTTGCAGTCCCAACCCGGTAACAGGAGACCGCATTGAAAATCTGACATTTCCGACACACGGGCGTCCAAAAGAACAAGAGACCACCAGAGGCGGCGACGCATCTCTGCTTCGAGCGCAGTATGCTTGAGGTTTAGACTCTCGCTATGAAGGCCCATGCTGCGTGGATGTTTAGCTAGGTGCATGGAGGAGAAGAAGTCAGCAAGGGGTGGATACGTACTGTTGCGCAAGACGGATGGCAATGCCGAGATTTGTAGAGAGCGATCGAGGTTCAGCTCTGGGTTTGGTCGAGAGCTGCGTGGTGTCAGGAAAGTCTACCCGGATTCAAACATCACGTTGACGTTGTGTTTGGTTGGCGGTGATGGAAGTGCTCCTTTAGACTTACCAAATACAGATAGAAAGCCGTCAGGCAATCGCGATCATCGGTCCGCAAGACTCCACACCGCAGTAGCGCTTGGCGACAGCCCAGTTGGAATTTTCGTAACAGATCCCCGCATTTGCTACCAAACAAAGAAATACAATCTTCGTCCGAAAGTGTCAACATGGACACACAATAGATGCCAAACATGAGAGCTTGTAATGTCGGAGTAGCGGTTGCTAAATTTGCTGCAGCCGCAACGATGCGTGTTTGCAGGGTCGGGGTATGTGTGACTTTGAGCAATGGGTTGACATTGTCGAGGTAGATCTGCCAGATCCTGATCATGTCAACCTGGGTAGGATGCAGAGTGGCGGGGTCAATATCGGAGCGAGCGCCGAAATTGAATCTGCTATCGTCGTCCTCCTCATACAGATGCGCCAGTGCTTTTTTAACATTTTTGGATCGAATGTCGGATTGCAATTGGCGGTCGACATCATACTCTTCTGTGTCGGTTTCTTCTCCGTCAGAGGGCGATTGTGACTACATACAAGTATCAGCAAATTACGCGAGACAAGGGCTGACCTAAGCTATATGATCGGATGCTCAATCCAGTGAACGAATACTCACCCTTTGATTCATTACTTGCCAAATGTTACTGATGCACACGTTAGACTCTGAAGTTCCCTTGGGAGGCTGTTGTGCCTCTCACATTGGCGTGGATCTGGGCGCCTCATCCACATGTTGTTCGGACTCCGGGCTCTCCACGCTGCTAGCTATGTCGACTGCTTGAACCCTAGAGCTAAGTTCAAAACTATTGCCTGTCAAGCAGAGAATGGTTAGTAGATGCCAAGTCAAGGTGGAAACGAGGCAGTGATAACACACACCTTCGGCAACTGGATTCGACTGCTCCGCATTGCTGTTCGGGTGCAAGGGTTCAAAGGCGATATCGTTGTGGCGTAGTAAGCCTTCGTAATGGCGAAGCCGATCGAGTAGTTCACGCTCAGGAAACCTCCTACGCCGCTGCCGCGCGATCGAGCCAGCAGGTACGCACTGCAAGAGTGGAATTACGGGTCAGCATTTGATGGATAGTTTTTTGTAAATTTGAGTCAGCGTCCTTACATTTGCTCCAGATTTCACGCAATTGGAGCATGGAAAGTTCCTATCACACTTGACCTTTCGGCTCTGGCACAAAATGCACGCAAGCACCCGCTGTGGCTTTGCAGCTGCCGCTGGGGTGCTCTGAGAAGACAATGACATGTCAGGCGGACAGTTTTTTGGCCGAGTTTACTGAAAGTCTGAATGGGGAATTGTTGTTGAAGGGCGCAATGGGAGGTACTGCTCGGGCGTTTCTATTGTCCGAGATCATGGCGATGTCATCATCGATCAGACGAACGGGGCCAAAAGCGAGTTTCGGTAACGATCAAGACGAGATCGAACGATGCTGAGTTATACCGTGTTTCCTTAACGAGCTCCCTATAGAACAAGCATTTAGAAGGGGTAGACAAGCTTTCATCGCATCTCGGGAGCTGTAGCCCCGCGTACCTAGTCTAACCTAATCAGGTTGGTCGGATCTGGTTTCCATCTCCACCCACATGGCGCTCGGGATCTTGTTGACCACGATCGACTGCACGTCATCTTGTACAACTCAGGATAGCTCGAAACGCCTTTCCGCAGTCTTAAAGATACCGAAATAGTAATGTCCGCTTTAGTTCAACCAACTATGCTATATCTATGCCTCTGTGGAGATGTTTTCATCCCATCATCCGTTCCTCCGCTTCATCTCCATGGCGTCCCATTTTGACGATACACTATAAAATGCTCTGTCGCCCATCTATCTCACTCCAAGCCATCGCATTGAGAAGACCGCCAAGCAAGATCTGTGTTTCCAACACCTCTTAACCTCACGCTACTACCTTTTCTCCCAAGCTGCGCACCTCCGAGCGATCTTGCTTCAACCCACCATCACGCCCATTCTCCAATCTGTAGAACGAAATGTCGAAACCACACGCACTCGTCGTAGGCGCCTCTATCGCAGGTCCGATGACAGCGTACTGGCTCGCTCGTGCCGGTTTCCGAATTACTATAATAGAGCGCTTTCCCACCCTCCGTCCAGGCGGCCAGAACATCGACAGTGAGCAATATCCCCTTCACACAAAAGCGCAAAACGCGAAACTTTCCGGCACCCACCATCCCAGATGTCTGTAATTATTTCGCTAACATGCCTCAGTAAGAACCTCAGGCGTAACGGTAATGCGCAAGATCCCCGGCATGGAGCCATCGGTACGCGCCAAAACAACGACTCAAGATGCGATTCAATTTGTCAACGCCAAAGGAAAGCCATATGCGACTATGAAGCCCACAGGTGATCCCAGCCAACAGAATCTCCTATCAGAGTACGAAATCTTCCGCGACGACTTGAGCGGAATAATGTACGACCTCACGAAGGACAATCCAAACGTGCACTACGTCTTTGGCGAGCAAGTGTCGGCAATTCAGCAGAAAGATAAGGGAAAAGTGAGCGTGGAGTTTCAGGAGGGAAAGCTGCCCAGCGGGGAATATGACCTCGTGGTCGCGTGTGACGGCGCTACATCGCGGACGCGAGCCCTAGGTCTTGATTCGACTGTCCGCACGCACATGCATCCGATGAACATGTGGGCCGCATACGCACCTGTGCCGACCGACTATCTTGCTGGTAGCAAAACTGGCACGATGTACACCGCGCTTGGTGGGAGGGCTATGGGCTTAGGTCCTGATCCAGCGGGTGGAAACCGCGTGTGCGCGCTCGCCGTCCTGCCGCAAAACGAGGCTGATGCCACGCTGGGTTTTCGCACAGCGCAGAAAGAAGGCGACGAGGCCCTCCGGAAGCATGTTCGCCAGCACTTCGCGGGCACGGGGTGGAAAACTGCGGAAGTCATAGAGGCCATGACTGCCTCACCTGACTTCTACGCCTCGGAATGGGCGCAGGTCAAGCTCCCCTCCCTCTCCCACGGTCGCTTCACCCTCGTCGGCGACGCTGGGTACGCAGCAGGCCCAACAGGCGGCGGCACCACGCTCGCCATGACGGGCGGCTACGTGCTCGCTGGTGAGTTGCTGCGGCACGCGGGAGATATCGATGCCGGCCTACGAGCCTACGAAGAGCGCATGCGGCCTATCATCGATGACATGCAGAAGATCCCACCAGGCATTCCAACGGCAATCGCGCCACAGACGTGGTGGGGCATTGCAATACGGGATGCCTTTCTGGTAGCAGTCACATGGGGTAACGCGGCGTTTGGATGGGTATTGAAGTATTTTGCACCCAGTTTTGGCGGAGACGGGTACAACTTGCCGGAATATGATTGGGTGGAGTAGGCGGTGTTTCAGAGCTGCGACAACTCTCATATTTTTGACACGCACAGGTGATCATACTTAGAATCTTACTTCGCAATACGGCGTCTGTCATGGATTGGCTACTAGATAGATTTACATCTCGACTCTTCGAATAAGCAAACATACCCACTACATAGAAACCCACACTGGCGGACGCGTGGGAATCTCAAGTGCAGACAAAGCATATGTAACAAGGCTGGCAACATCTATTACAGTTGTAGTTGACTTTACCTTTCTGGATAGTAGATTAACAGTATCGAATTCAAACCGGTAGATTCGAAAGGCCGGATTCCATCAAAGTGTTTGGATGTAAAGTAGTGCCGTCCTCTAGTGCTAGGGAATATCTTCAGGAGAGGATCATGACAGTCACTCATGTTAGGCGTATAATGCTCGGATTCAAATTCAGAACAGAACATGCGATGGAGGTTCACAAGTGTTTTGCCTGTACACAGCAAGCGCCTGACTCGTTGCTCGGAGTACCCCGCGCGTAGCCCCGCGTGCTAACGACCCTTGTGAACATCGATGTCCTGCGCTGCTTATAAGGTCATGCGCTTGTAAGCTATTGTGCATACAACGAGGATCTGTTACGACGCTTCCGTTAGTGTGGGTTTCGGTGCTTACTTAGTAGTCGTGATCCTGGGGATATGGCTTCGAGCATCGAACTATTTGGCGGCCATTTCAAGACGAACATCGTATTGCAAAGGGAGAATCTCACTATGATTATCTTGTGTCGATATGACAATGAGTGTAGCTCGTTTCTTTCAGGTATATTTTAGCTAGGACACGAAGTCGATTCCTTTCCCTCCACACTGCAAGAGCCTAACGATGACTTCTAGAAATGAAAATGAAGCTTTATCTTATAGATAAGGGCTATTTCATAAAGTCTCGCTTGAGAAATTATATCGTGACTACGTTTTACGCGTATGAAGTTGGCATTGTCGTAAGTTGAAGTCAATAAGAAAGACCTTCGTGTGTCGCTTGCACGCTGTTCAATCTCGAGGCAGCCGAGGTAAGCACTACCTCATGTACGTCCGTACACTTGCGTGCATCTGGACAATGCACATCCTATCAAAACTCTGAGATCCGCACTGGTGTTCTACGACAGTAGCTTGCTTTTAGACTGCATGTGCGCCCAATGCTGTACCTAGGTAGATTCGCGAGTATGACAACCTCGTGCGGCACCCAAAACGTTACAGTTCCATAAGGTCTGGTCGTCGAAGGGAAGGAAGCATCGACGCATTACTTAATACAACCGTCCAGCCATGGAAGCTTTCACACTCTTCCAGAAGATGAGTCTTCTTGAGCCCGCTGTCTTCGTGACAGCTACGGTATGCGCCTAACTTTCTTGCGACCGAGTATCAACGGAACCACTGACACGCAACCCCAGTGCCTCATACTAAGCCTCACCTACGGCCTCTACAACCTCTACCTCCATCCACTTGCCCCCTACCCGGGCCCAATCCTCTACTCCGCCTACCGCCTCCCCTACGTCATCACCAATATCCGCGGCAAACTCCCCTTCCGCGTCCTGGATATGCACCGCACGTACGGCCCCGTCGTGCGCATCGCCCCCAACGAGCTCGCTTTCACCTCCCCCGAGGCCTGGAACGACATCTACGGGCTGCAAAGCGATCGTGTGCAGAACCCAAAAGACGAACAGGCGTACACGCCCGGCGCGAACAACGATTCTCGAGAAACGAAGGGCATAGTCAACGCGAACGATGTGCAGCACGCGAGGCTGCGCCGGATCTACGGGCAGGCGTTTACGCAAAAGGCGATCGAGGGGCTGGGCGACATGTTGGTCAAGTATGCTAATCTTTTGGTTGAGCAGTTGAGCCTCGCCATTGAGAAGGATGACGTGCAGGATCTCTCCGCGTGGTTCAATTACACGACGTTTGATCTGACCGGAGAATTTTCCTTTGGGTCCGCATTCCACTGTCTTGACAGCGGGGGAAAGAGCCACTTCTTCCTGGATACGGTGCTAGCTGGGGTGGTGGTAGGGTGCCAGATATGGCAGCTTGAGCGGTACAAGCTGCTTACTATCTTGCAGCCGGTGCTGTCTCTTTTCGCGGGGGAGGCGATTAAGAAGCAGGAGATGATGGGGCGGTATACGCAGAAGGTGGTGGATGCGAGGCTCGAGGAGGGGTATCAGGTTGGACGGAAAGACGTGCTGAATTATTTGCTTCAGAACAAGAAGGAGGAGGATCAGCTTGAGAGAGCGGAGCTGTATGAGAATGCGTTGACGCTGGTGGTGGCGGGGAGCGAGACGACTGCTACGCTGTTGACGGGTGTGGTGTACTATCTGTGCAGGCACGCGGACGTGCTGGAGAAGGTGCAGAAGGAGGTTCGCGGTGCGTTTGAGCAGGGTGGGGAAATTACGCCTGCGTCCGTGAATGAGCTGGAGTACATGATTGCAGTGTTGGCGGAAACGCTACGCATCTTTCCGCCGTCGGGGTTCGGCTTTCCACGTCTTATCTCGAGCAAGGGCGGGCAAAGCGTTGCGGGAGGTTGGGTCCCTGAAGGGACTCGTTGCAGCATATTCCACCACGCGGCTTATCGCTACGACGAGTATTTTGCTCGACCGGAGGATTTCGTCCCAGAGCGCTGGCTTGTCAATGCCCCGAGTGAGTTCAAGAATGACAAGCGGGAGGTGGTACAGCCGTTCATGGTCGGTCCGCGAGGATGCATCGGAAAAGGGTGAGTTATGCTATGGCTACCTTGCAATCTCTTGCGTGAGCTGATCGAAATGCAGTCTGGCGTATGCCGAGATGAGAATCCTGCTCGCGAAGATGCTCTGGCATTTTGATTTCGAGCTTGCCGACGCTGCCAAGCAATGGCATGAGAGCCTGCGAGCGTTCCTGATCTGGGAGCGAACACCTTTGCGAGTTCGTCTTAGAAAGGTACAGCGATGAAGAGAGCGGGATTCCGGAGGCGGCAACCCGAACGGCGCGGACTGACAGCATGCAAATAGGTAGTGAAACAAGAGTTGGGAGCTTTGCACAAGTCATTCGTGTCAACTACAAGTCACAAGCTACAAGTCAGTAGAGGTAGGGCTAAGTCCCTAACGCAACCCAGTGCATCTACGTTCTCCTCCTCTACTGGTCTCATCATGAACCACAGCGAACACCCAGCATTGTATCGATCAAGCTTAGATCCAAAGTCATGACTCAACCTTCAAAGCTTCAGATGACCTGCGCTGGTTTGCAGTCCGCGTGTATCTACCGCATCCCCTAGACCATCATTTGCCGGAGCTTATGCACCGCTTCTGAGCTACAATTAGGGTTCCCTCTGTATTCCAAGATCCCCTGCAGCCCGCCGATCACTGCATCGGCTAGACCGTAGTGCGCGAGCCGTCGTTCACTAGCATGCTCACATCTCAGCTAGTCCAGCGAATGACCGGAACAAACCGACAGAGTAAGGAACTTTGAAGACCTCGCGTTGTCTCGTGAGCTGTTGCCTCTTGGGTTCAGCTGCTCGTCTCCAGATGAAAAGCCAAGGTACCGTGTGTAAGCGCTCAACGTAAGACCTTAGCGTTAGCATGGTTCTGAGCCACATGTGACTGACAAGAAGGCATTTCTCGATCTTTATAGGTCGTTCTAAACTGTGGGGAGGTGATTATTTGCATGAACGTATGGTCCTGGCTGGTTAGCTGTCAGACACCGGTCCTGGGTCATCGGAAGATTGCCGGGCCACTCGAGAGACCGCGTGAGCCCTGGGCGTGTCTGCAGACACCAGTATTGCGGCTCGTTGACTAGGCTTACCACGTTAGTGGCGTGATTCTCCTGGTCTCCCGGTGTTTGTATCGTATTGGTGGCTTTCTCGGTAGAGACTGCGGGCATGCTATGATGATGCAATTCATAATGGGACGTGAATATGGAGACGCTGATGAAGACCTTCGTAATGAAGTGATAATACTGAAATGTCATGCTTAATTTTGGATACTGATGTAAGGAACAGCTTGATAGTAGCATTCGGCGGTCATGAGCCATTCGAAGAGCTAGGGAAGTGGTGTGCCGAGTGCTGTTGAAGCATACAAACAGCTTTCTGCATCGAAAAGCGATGCACATTGATGCTGTTATAGTCCGATGGAACAATGTGGGCCTCGTCGACATGTTCGCTGATCTTGACATGGCAGCCATTTTCCTCATATGGATAGTCGTGGAGCCGTGGAACCATGCAACCACACATCTCAGTAGCGATGCGAGATCCTACTCGTGTCGTGCAGCAGAAGCACTAGATGCAGGCAAGGGCTAGTGTAGTAAAAAAAGTCGGCGAATAAAAATAGTCGGCGCAGTCTGGGACGCAATGCTCTCCTGATTGCTTTTCGCCACCTTTTGACACATCACATTTGATCGATGCCTGCGGCTTCTCAAGAGAGGAAAGGTGACTCTGTGACGCCTAGAAAAATTCGGAGTGGGATGCACATTGCAGTGGCTGTTTGGTAGGATTGATGTCGACCCTAAACGTGACCGTAACGTGTGAAGTCCGAGTACGTGCGTTTGTAAGCGGTGTACGACCTGCAGGGTCGAACGGGACGGGACATAACCGGCTGTATTCCTGTGGCTTACGGCGTGGCGTACGCGAAGGTTTACACGTAGGTGTTGGTGTATCTTTGAACGCAGTGACCACGGCAGCGCACGAAAGCCTACTTCCAAGGTTGCCCGTACGCTGTTCCTGAATCTGTCACGGGGCCTCTCAGTGATGAGTCCATCACAGTGACCCAATAGCTGGTACAAGTGTGATGGAACGGTTCTGGTACCTTTCCAAGGCAGTTGGCCAAGTGCCGAACTTAGTCTTCGTCTTGGAAACGCCTTCGAGCACGCAACAAATCAGACAGTCGAGTGGGCTTGCACGAGGTCACAACGTGTGGCCCGGAAAAGTCTACAACGCCAAAGACCAGGCTACCGTCGGCCACACGGTCTCGGCTAGACTTGAAGATGTGATAATAGCAATGACGCTGGACGGATCCACGTGGCTGCGGTGCCAGAGGTCCTCCAAGCTGGAGGGGTGAAGCTGCCCTCGGTGCTGGAGCATCCAAATACAGCATGTTGTACAAGCTGACTGGAGCAAGATGTGATTGGACTAGTTCAGGCGGAAGAGTTGGTAGAGGATCGGGCAGCATGGATAGGACGTGATAGGCGCAAAAAGCAAGCCCAGCCGCAGATCTCAGGATGCACGTGCTCCTGAGGACGGCACTTGGACTCTCACGCACTGATGAGCTGTCTGGAGGGGTATCTATCGGGCAGGCAACAAGGTGGTTGAAGTTCCTTTTGCCCTGTGACCGGAAGTGAGCGGGCGCAGCGTTCGGCATGCCGAGTAGACTCCAGTGCCTGTCGCCGTGATTGGCGGCAGGGAACGCGCAGTAGCAGTGTGGTCTAAATGCTGACTAGGAGGCGTGAAAGAGATGTTTGGAGGCGTGGTACCGAACATGGCAGCCGCGCACGCTTCCCAAGTCGTCTCCAAGCACACTGCGCGCAAGGACACGTAAGGGCGAAGATGGCGGTGGCACCGACGGCAACGGCGTCGCAGCGTCGCGTTGAAACAGTGGTGAACGGGCGTTCGATGGCTTGCTTGACAATCAGCTGGGGGGTTCCGACCCACAACGCGGCCTGGTGAGGGATCGCTCAGCACACGCTGTCGGTCTGATTCGCGGCGTTCTGCTTGGGCGCCATCTTGCTGGGATTCTGCGTGCGTTCACTCGAGGCCGCAAAGACGGCCGCCCGAGTCCGGCATCGTGGTGTGAAGGGTGCGCTAGCACTGCCTTGTGCCTCCAGGCATTTGCAGGCGGGCCTGTTCCGGCCTGCATGCTTCGTTCAATCTGTGCGGTATAGCCGGATGGGCATCGCGCCAGGGGCCACCGCGTCCGCATCCGCCCCCAGCGTGCTGTCGTGAGTCTGAGTGTCGCGCTGAGGTCGGACACGCAGCTCCAGGAGGGAGGTCGCTTCGCGGCGTCCCCCCACGCCGCTTCGCGCAGCAGGGCGCGCCAGGGGAAGCAGAGGCTGATGTTTGCAGCGAGCCCGCGTCTCGTTGTCGCCCAGAGCGGGAGGCCCCAACGTCCTCGGAGGCGTGTGTGTGGGCTGGCTATAGGCGGCGTGCTATGGGCGGGCTCGAGTCCAGTGTCGTCTGTCTCAGCAAAGCAGCGTCGCGCATCCGCGCTGGCCTCTTCCCAGCAGCGCGAGGTGGAGGCAGCCAGTCACGCGTCGCCGTTTCACCGACGCTCGCAAACCCAGTGGGCGGAGACTGTGCAACGCTCGGTGGTACTCCCACAATCAAAGCGGCCCATCTGCGACCAGCGGGGACCCTCCGGTCAAGCCTCCAGCTTGTTATCAAGTCGAGAACCGCGACCACAGCCTAACGTCAAATCGTCCCCCTCCTCCTCCCCTCCGCGCTCCGTGCTGCCCGCCCGCGCTGCATCTCCGCACACCTTCACCCACACCGCTGACCACACCCTCGCTGATGCCCACTGCCGCCCGCGACACGCTCCCGCACTGCACCAACAAGCCCGCCCGTACCTGTTCTTGCGCGGCCTGGCGCCTGTCTCTGCCCTACCGCCTGCGCCCGTGCCATTGGCCCAAGCGCAGTGATCCAAGCGCGCCTTCGAGTCCCCAAAGCCCCCTCCCGGATTCTCGCATCATTGGCCTCACACGCAGCCTTTCCCACGCACTCGCCGCACTTTTGCCCCAATCTCCTCTGCAGCACCGCTGCATGCGCATTGCGAGACCTCCCGCGACCTGCTAGCGCCCGCTTCCCCTCGGCTCCTTATATCTCGCCGTGTCGGTGCTGCTGGCCCCCGTGCCCGCTGCCCACACACTCTGCGACGATCCAACGCCGCTCGCTCGCGCCTCGCACCGCAGCCCAAGGCACGCCGGGCGCACTCACCCACCCCCTTCGCGGCTCACTGCATCCACCGACAGCACCGCCTCACGCGGCCGGCTTTCTTTTCTTCGACGTGCGCATTCCGTTGCTGCTGCCGTGCGCGCCAATCGCGAGACTACGCGTGCGCCTGCCTGCCATTGGCGCCCGCCAAAAAGCGAACCGGGCATTACAACGTTTCGAAGCTGTTTTACCCCCAGAGTCGCCCTCAGCGTCCGCGACTGACCTCTGCCTGGGCCGGAACCCTCTGCATCTAGCCTCCGCCGCTGCGACATTGCCTTTGCTCGCTTGCGACACGCCTCGACCGCCACGCCCGCACCGCTTTGTCTCGCTCACGGCCCGCGCGACACCCTCCAGACAAAGAGAAGCATGGCCGGTGGGCCGAGTCCGAGCAGCACAAGTCCCTCGAACCTCTCCAACAGCCCGTTCCTGCACGGCTCGCTGAGCAGCTCCTCCTCGTCCTCGCCGCCGAAGCAGCTGTTCTCATCGCAAAACACCATGACCGCCGACGTTTTTTCGCCATCGCACGCCTACGCCATGCCCGCGCCCATAGGGAAGAGACGGGATCTGGACAAAAATGGGCTGCTGTCGTTCAGCGAGGCAGAAACCAGCCCAGAGCCACCCAAGGGTGCCCACACCATCTTTCTGCGCAAGCTCCCCACCAACAGTGACAGGGATGCTGTGCGCAACATGCTGCTCTTTGCAAAGGACCTTATTGACTGCGAACTGGTTTCCGCACCGTCCAGATCACCCGACGATATGGGCTTTGTCTCAGCCGTTGCACATTTCCGTACCATGGAAAGCGCAAAGGAGGCGCGCGACCTTTTGAACGGGAAGCGCAACGCGACGAATGATGCGACCATGATCGTCGAGATGTTGCACGACAATCTGCCAGGCACCATCGGGTCTCGGCGCAACACAGTGGACAGCACAGCTATGCGACAGGGATCTGTCTCCACCACGAATGGGATCGCCGGAGCCACGGCAAATGGTCGTCAATCTTCGCGATATAATGGGACCTTCCAGAGCTTGGAGAAGATGTCCCCACCCAACGGCACTCCGGGCCTTGGCAACGGAGAATTTCCGGTCCAGAATCTCTTCTCCGCGACCTCGCCAGTCAACAACTCGTTCCCGCATCGCATTGCTAACGTTGGAAAGAACACGATCAACGACGAGGCCGATGATGATGAAGGCCTTCTCAAGGAATCTATCGGATACGGGGCGACTCCTGTGCAAAATGCCATCCCGCGTAGGGGCACCAACTCCAGCTCGGGCATGCCCATTACCAGAGGATTCGCCTCGTTGTCCTTGAACACCAATGGCGTGAACGGTATGAGCCCACCGCCTATGCCCAATTACGCTTCGCCCCGTTCCGCGGCCACCATGCAGTCACCCGGCACAGCCTTGTCAGCAATGTCACCCCACTCCTCGATCTCATCTGCTATCGGCAATCTCGGACCAAATGCAAGCTACCAGCAGTTCCAGCAGCATTACAACCGACCAACATATCCTCCTGTCAACCCTGCAGATCAGAACCCGCCTTGCAACACTTTGTACGTGGGGAATTTGCCCGTGGATACATCCGAGGATGAACTGAAGGCCTTGTTTTCTAAGCAACGAGGATACAAGCGCCTCTGCTTCCGGACTAAACAGAATGGCCCCATGTGTTTCGTCGAATTTGAAGACGTGTCTTTTGCAACCAAGGCGTTGAACGAGCTTTATGGCCACCCGTTGCATAATAGTGTGAAAGGCGGCATTCGTTTGAGCTTCTCGAAGAATCCTCTAGGCGTGCGCACTGGCCAAGCGACCACGATGGGACCAGCCTCCGCAGTTACGCCTACTACGCCCTTGCCCGGCTTTGGAGGAAGCGTGGCCGCCCCTCCCGGATTCTCCACTGCCACGGGACCTCCACCTGGACTTTCCGCTCCTCCAGGGCTGTCTACTCCGAGCCATTCGAATGGCTCGCCTGCATTCGGCATGTATTCCAACGGCGGGTTCGGTATGGGCCATAACGACATGACTAGCCCTATTCGCTCCCAGCCCATGCCCGCGCCTCTGACTGCCAACGGTCCCGGCAATGGCTTCGGCGGGATGGGCGGCAACTACTCCGCTTACATGATGGGACGATAGTTTCCGCCTACATGATGGGACGTTGAAGTTTAAGATTTTGAATCGATACGCTGCCATGATTGATGAAGGTGTTGTAGGGGAGCATTGATTACAGCATGCGTCTGGCTTTTGATTCATTATTGCTGCGTTATATCCTGTCACTTCTGTCATTGCGCGGTGTTGTGTTGGTTTTGGTTTCTTTTCTTATTTTCGCAAGGGCATGGGTAACGGCGTGGAAATCCTTCATGGCCGAAGCGTCTGTCGGGTGTGGGCTACATTTCAGGCATACAGCGATGATTCCCCCTTGCGCGTTGAATTGATATAGGGTAGTTGGGAGCGGGCGTTCAGGAGTACACTTCGTCGATGCACATGCGCCACGCATCCATCGCTACTCCTGCTGGACTGGTCTGGAATTCGGGATGGCAGGTTGGATGCATCGATCCGGACGATGACGCCTCGCTTGGACCGAGGCTGGCGCACTGTTTCATGCCACCCACTTGTGGCACCAAAGCCAGGCATGGCTACTTCGACTGTTTTTGCGAGGGAGTGCATCATTCATCGGCTTTTGCGAACAAACATGGTACGGCGCTATTACACACGGAAGCATGGCTGGACTACAAACGGTTCGAGCAGACACTTGTTTGCGCCGGGGTTTCTTTCTTTTGCATGGTGGCTATTGTTGTTGGGATACCTGAGTCACAAATTTTCATTGCGAGGAATTGGTATAACCTAGGGATTTCTTTGCGGTTTGCTTGAGATTTTGTTCCGCGATCTTGTTAAAGAGAGCAGACGACATTCTGTCCTTACGGCACTTTAGGCTTCTGCTAGCATTTACTCGGAATGTTTCATTTGTGTTTTATGCTTCACTTCGATTTGTACTCTTTGGAGAGTGGTGCTTAGAAGTTTCTAGATATTAATAAAAGGATGTCGGGGGTGTACTCAGAGTACGATACTGAAGCAGTATGCATGTATATGAATAAGGGGTCAATGCGAAACGACGAGATGAATACCACGACTTCATCGAAAGCATATACAGGGAACCCAGGTCCACAACTGGGCATCAGTGAGCCACAGAAGAACTGCTGATGCGATGTGACGACGACCTGCAGCTGTCTCAGCATTGATGGAGCTAAGGCACAAGGTTTGCAGATCCTCGCCTGGGCACTTTATTCTAGAAGCACGATGTTCTCGAAGCTGTGACCGATCCACTATTGATTGGATGAAGGTGCTGTCACGTGCTCATAATGTCGCGCCTTCCGAAACGGCTTAGCGCAAGTCAAGGACAATTTTCGAAGCTGCAATTGGGAGCTCCAACCATCATCACACGCCATCACCGCCCTCTCTTTCGCGTTCTCGTCTTTTCCTTGTTGATAATTCAGGCAATGCGGTAGCAGATCTATCACTGCAACATGCCTCCACGACTGCGCTCCCCTAATTTCTCCTCCGTCTCCTCCTGTCCCTCCGTCCGCCCCCAGTCCATCGCACAGCCAGCCAGAGCCGCACGCGACTTCTCGCAATCATCATGTCGGCAGGTAACACAACGGCGGCGGAAGTTCTACGAATGGCTTAATGGTCCCGGCCGGGCATTGAAGCAGCCTCTGCCTGGATCTACGAATTATCTGGGGGCTTACGACAAATTCGGCAACCTAGTTCGAGGGGGCACAATGCCAGAGAAGGCGCCTGAGAAGCCCAAAGAGGGCGAAGCCGCAGCCAAAGAGGGAGCAGAGGGAGAGAGTGCGCCGGTTGTAGAAGGCCAGGAGTCCGCAGATGAGCTCGATGCCGCGCTTCGCCAGCACGAAAAGGAAGAGCAAGCGACGAAGAAAGATGACGAAAATAAATTGCCACCTGAGACGGCTGAAGATCTGCGACCATTTCCGCTGAACAAGTTCTTCCGAAGTCAGCCTGTACTGAGCGAGGAACTCCGGGAGGCGATATACCAATTCGTGGTCAAGGAGGGCAAGACGGTGCCGCTTGCGAGTATCACTTTCGGTGTGAGCAATGAACGTGTCGGCGCTGTGGTACGTTTAAAGCAGATGGAGAAGCAGTGGATTGCTCAGGTATGTTCGCACCTTTCTCTTCACTTACGCTTGCCCCTTCATGATGATTTATACAACATTCGATTAGTCTTTAAGACACCTACATGGTTATTGCTTCACGCTTTATGTCTAATCTGACATTGGCTACAACTTTATCGCTTTACAGGATGATTTTTGTTCCTCATCTAATGAACATCTGACAGGGCAAAACCCTCGCGATGCCATACTCTAAAGCTGTGCTTGAGATGGTTCCTACTACGCCATACATCGACACATCGCTTCCTAAGAATGCTGGAAAGCGCCCTGTCGTGCACGAACCAATCAATGACTTGATAGTCCATCCCGCAACCCGTCAACAACTATTTGTACCCGTCGCCGAATCACGGCACTTTACGCGTGAGGATGCCGGAAAGGCGTTCGACAACAACCTTCTGCCTGCCGATGAGCGCATCCCACATCCTGAGCTTGTGAAGGTTGTACGCGACGAAATCGCCGGGTACTCGAACGAAGAGCGCAGAGCTCTTGCACAGGAGCGCTACAGAGAGGCAGCGGAGAAGAAGAAAGCAGCTGAAGACGCCAAACGAAAAGAAGAGCTGGAAACTAGGAGGACCGTACCGCAGCGGAGATGGGACTTCGTCTTCCAGGATGTGAGCGTAGAAGATGCGGGCAGAGACGGAAGATCTCACAAGGGCGTCGGTTGGAGGTACGGTCTACCCCACGAGGACAGAAAAAAGGGACAAGTCAAGATCCCAACCAAGGTGGAGGCATAGTGGAAGTGTTGTACGATATATTGTATCACTGTGTATATCGACTTGTAGCATAGCAGCGGGTATTTTTGGCATTGGGTAGACGCTCGGATAGGAGCTTGTAGCTATACCCCTTGTTTTGTGCATCTTCTTTTTGATCCTAAGCGGTGTGCGATGGCATACCAGGAACTTTACAAACGCTTGAGTTTGTCACCTTGGTGCACCGTACTCGAGTACCAACACAGGTGCGCAGAATAACGTAGTTCTTCGAACAGATACTCCTTCATTTACCAACTGTACCCATTACCGGTATTGCACCTTCTGACCGCCCCTCTTCTCTAACTTGGCTTGCCTCTTGCTCGTTCCTGCTTCTGGCTGCGGCACGCCTGCAGCATCCTGGTACCCGCCGCCCCTCATCCCGGTATAGGTCGTCCACGCCAGCCAGACACTGTACAGCGGAATCATACCCCAGAAGATCCATGCCCAATCCCCAAGGAAAGTGACCAACAACAGATTACCATACGTCCAGTACGTAATGTCCCAGAGGTACTCAGTCAGACCTTTGGCCTCGAGGTCCTCCCCCGCACGCTTGATGGAGCCATCCGCAGCATTGACAGGTCGTGACTGCTTTTCAAACAGGAAGTTGATGAGGAGCTGCGGGGATGCAAGCACAAGATACAGCAGAAGCGATTTGCGGGTGAAGCTGGAGCGGAAGAGCAGGGCGCGGAACAGCCAGAAGAAGAGGTGGATGACGAGGGTTGCGACGAGGGTCTGGTTCAGGCGGCGCGTGTTGGCTGCGGCCAGCGTTTTGACAGCTTTCTGTGACAGTTTAGTTCTTGTCAATTGACGCAATCGGGGGTCACTCACTTGCGCCATGTTGCTCGCTGAATGATGGACGTTGGTCAGGCGCACAACGAAATGCAAACGGTGGACGGCAGCGGAGTGGGCATCTCGATGCGGTTGGCTCGCGCGGCAAGCAAGCGAATGGCGGGTGGTCCCTGCGACCTCGAACTCACAACAACAGGCACGCTCGAGCTCTTCCTACCAACAAGAACACTTCCTCGAGCCTTTTCCGCCGAAGTCCCTACTAACGCACTTACGCGCATATAACCGCACACCATGTGCTGAGCTGCCTTCACCAGTACTCTGCGTTCGCGAGTTGCCAATTCAGTTTGTCGACCTCGCCGGAAGCGTTCACCTAGCAACGCTACCTGACCGCACGCAACAACGACCCTTCACCTCCCGAATCCCGTTGTTACTCCGCTTGTATAACATGAAGACGCCGCCCCCATAGTCTGTTTACGAAAAATACCGACTGTTTGCCAACGCGCCCCGACGCGCCGAGCACCGCGACGTGAACGAGCCATGTCGCCGCCCGCGGGCGTGAATGCCCAGCTGAGGCATCTCGTCCACTACCACCTCGACAATGGCTTCTTGGAGAACGCCCTATTCTTCGCCAGCCGCCTCTATGCACAAGAGCCGCGCAACGGCGACGCTACACATCTGTTGGCTCTCTGCAACCTCCGTCTGGGTCGATACAAAGCCGCGTTCGACTATGCCAAACCGAGGGGACACCAGCCGCATCACCTGGGATGCGCCTACGTGTTTGCGCAGGCATGCCTGGGTTTAGAACGCTACGATGTTGGAGCCCAAGCTTTGGAAAGATCGCGTGGGCTGTGGGCAGGCCGAAATCACTGGAGTAAGCACACGGTGGTCAGGCGCTTAGGCGGGTTGATATTGACATGTTGCAGATAAGCACTCCGACACCTCGAGGCGACATATACCAGACGCGGCTGCCTGTTACTGCTTGCTGGGGAAGTTGTACGGCGCGCACGGCGACACAAAGAAAGCTATAGAATACTACGTGGAGTCGCTGAAGCTGAACCCCTTCATGTGGGATGCGTTTACCGGACTCTGCGACATTGGCGCTGTTGTGCGGCCACAGAACATTTTCAAAGTCACTCCGGAAATGCTGGCGTCGATATCTCACTCTGCTATGAACGGACATGGACCTGCTTCGTTGGCATCCAACGATAGCTTTGACGCAAAGAATCCGTTCGTATCCACTCCAGATGTCGACCCTTTCAATACCTCCGTGCGACCAAACGGTGACTCCAATGGCCTCAACCTTGGAGGTCCAAGTCTATTTTCTAAGCTAAACGGCAGCATACCGCCGGCTAACTCATCGTTCCATGATATGGATACACCCACGTCCAACGGCCAGAACGTACGGGACGAAGATGTAATGATGGGTGAACCTGGAGGACCTGTGATGGAGGATTTGATGATGAACGAGCGGCATGCACCAGATGTACCTCGCGCGCCAACCCGGAAGACCCGGATGCAGAACCTGAATGCTCCTGACGACCCGCCTAGGATGCGGCCGATAACCACTAGGAGTCGATTAAAACCAGCGTCTGAGACGACTGAAAGAACAGAGATTCCCCAGCCCCAATGGCACAATGGGCACAAGCGGACTGTGTCCGGACACTCCATGCACCATCCTGCACCTACCAATGTAGCACCAGCAGATCCGTCAGCAGCTCCCCCTCGACGGAGTACAAGGTTGCAAACCGTGCAGAGTGGCGCACACAACATGCTCAGTGGCATCCGCTCCTTAGGCGGCAGAAATGCGGTAGCACCGAGCAGGGACCCTGAGATGAAGGACCGCAATCTTCGAAAGGTCAGAGCGACCGGGACCAAGGGCAAGACAAGCTCCGTCGGAAACGTCGGCAGAGTCGTCAGTGGCAACCGAAAAATGGTGGTGGACGTGACGGAAGTGACAAAACTAGATACAAGAGCATCCAGCGTGGCTTCGACGGCGCCACCGCCGAAGATGGCTATTCCAACGGATGCGTCACGGGAGCAAGAGGCTTTGAGTTGGCTCCTAGACCTCCTCCTGAAGATAGGATCAGGTTACAGATATCTGAGCCGCTTCGAGTGCGTGAAAGCTGTGGAAGCCTTCAACTCGGTATCGACGCACCAACGCGAGACTCCTTGGGTGCTTGCGCAGATTGGCAAGGCATACTACGAGCGGTCAATGTGGGCAGAGGCCGAGAAGGTGTTTCTGCGCATACGAGACCGATCACCGTCCCATATCGAAGACATGGATGTCTTTTCGACCGTGTTATGGCAGCAGAACAAAGAGACTGATTTAGCTTATCTCGCACACACTCTCAGCGAACAAGACCGACTATCACCACAGACTTGGGTTGCCCTCGGAAACGCGTTTTCACTGCAACGCGAGCACGATCAAGCGATCAAATGCTTCACTCGAGCTACGCAGCTCGATCCCAAGTTCGCGTATGCATTCACTCTACAGGGACACGAGCATATCTCCAACGAAGAATTCGACAAAGCCAGCTATGCGTACAGGTGCGCGATTACCGCTAACAACAGGCACTACAACGGCTGGTACGGGCTGGGCAAGGTGTACGAGATGCAGCACAAGTTCGACGTGGCCGAGAAGCACTACAGGGCCGCCTTCTCCATCAATCCGAACAACGACTTGCTCGCCATGAAAATCGGTTCGGTGAGTTCCATTCCACATCTCGAGCCCCCTAAATCCCACTAACAGCGCTAGGTCCTCGACCGCATGAAGAAAACAGAAGCAGCCCTCATGCAATACGAAACCGCCATCCGGCTCAACCCCCACGCTCTACAGGCGCGCGTGAAGAAAGCGCATATACTGCTTAAGATCGGCTCCGCGGAGGAGGCTCTACATGAATACCTTATCGTCAAAGATGCGCAGCCTGGCGACGCGAATATCCACCTCCATATTGGGCAGGCCTATAAGAGGCTGAGGAATAAGAGTGAGGCGATCAGGTATTTTACGATTTGTATGAATTTGGACCCGGTGGCGCAGCGGTATGTTAAGGAGGAGATGGAGACGTGGGATGAGGATGAGGTTGGGAGCTGGAGCAGTGATGATGAGAGGGGGTGAGAGGGTGAGATGCTCGAGATGCATGAGCGATGCAAGAGAGACAAGAGCGAGTGGATGCTATTCTTAGGCGCTTTTCGACCTGGAGGAAGGCTCCACGTGCGCCTCCGCCCCCCCAACTTCTACCAAAACCAAACCAAAACCAAAACCAAGCGACGATGAGGGTTTGAGCAACAATCCATACCCCTTGGACTTCTTCTGCTCGACACCTATTATACCCTTCGATTCACTTTACTTCTTTTCAGTTGGGAAGACTTTCCAGCTCTACGCAAGCAGCATTGGAGCGGGAGCATTATTAGCATACTACGTGGCGTCTTTGGGTTGCATGTTTCGAGGTTGCTTGCTTTTTGCATCATTCATTATGCTGTCATGGTACTGTCATGGGCGGATGATGATGATTTTCATGATGGGGCATACTGAGCGTGGTTGTGGTTGTACGATAGAGAGGTAGAGAGGGGTGGGTGAAGTGAAGTGAAGGAATCGTTATTGGTATGATTTTGTGTGGGTGAAGTGATGTGAAGATGTGTGTGTGTGGGTGACTGCGAGCTGGGAATAATGAATGGCTGAGCTGGAAGGTATACCACGGGCTGTTGGCGAATGCTAGAGCTTTGAAAATTACGGAGTTTGAGGGACATGTCTTGAAGGTGAGCGAGTTGAAGCTTGCGAGACGTAAATCGGTATATGGTTCTCCGTGGTCTTCATCATCGCGCTCGACGCCGTAAAGAGCAGGCATACCTGTTATCAACACGAACTTTACATCCTCCACCATCTCACTGAGCGTCTGTGCAGTAAGGAAGTTGGGGCATCTCAGCCCCGTGTATCTACCTACATCAAACATGTTCCTCCCACCAGGACCTGTCCTTCTTGGGAACTGCTCGCTGCGTATCTCCGACATGCAGAACAAGTACTGTAAGTTGACGGTGGCTGAAGTATGGTCGGACTTCTAGCGGCAGCACCTCCTGCGAATGAACACTTGAGACAGTAGCATATTAGAAGTTAAATATGAACTGTATTGAGTGAGTTTGATTAATGCATACTATAAGATTCTGGCCTAACAAGATGAACTATAAGTACCTTGAACGAATAGATGGCTGAATACATAGTTATCAAGCTGGGAAAGGCATAGGTTTGGTCCTGCAACCAACGTAGGCAAATTCTCAGCCTCGTATTCTCTCACCGTCTGCCTTAGTCCTACGCGACCTTTACAGTGTCTACTAGATCCCATCTAAACCCCACATCACGGGCGTACTCGTAGTCTGTAACGAGATTCTTGAAATGCTGGAATTGAAGGCAAATCAGATTGAAATAGTTGTAGCGTGGCGTCCAATACCCCGTCGCTCATATTTGGGCTGCGCTATCCGACTCCAGCGAATGGCTTCGTTCTCTCGATTTCAGACGACTCGAAAGACAGATTATAGTACTTCAGCTTTCCACATAGCACTATACTCAGGCATCTTATGCATCAGGTGCTTCGCTTGATCATGCCGGCATCTCGCCGAAGTTGACGTTCACATGCCATTCTCCCATGCACTCCAGATCATCTGTCACGCGTGCACGGCGTGCATGTTGTGGATCATGCTGCGAACGCATGAGCTGTTCGTTCATACGGTGGAAGGTTGCTTATGATTGATTAGTTGCTCAGACAAATAGTGATCGACCCGCCCGACCTAGACCTTTTGGCTTTGGAAATCACTGCACTCTCATCGTGCCACCTAATCGCGTTCCTGGATTGCTGGAGTGGACGACGCACCTTGTCCGTTTAATTTTGGAATGCTATTCCTTGGATAGGCACCTAGTCAAATACACTGCGCAGCTGTCACTCCTACATCTCATATTCGTACGCAGCCTATCGTGTTCAAGCTCAGGACAAGCTCAATAAGGCTCCCGTACCCTGTCGTCGCATCCCACTTCGGACGCTAAGCGAGGCAGCACCAACAAGCCTCGGGACTTCAACATCGAAAAAGTTGACGCCCCGCCAAAAGCTGCCACCCACGCCCAACTCTTCACCGCCTTCTCACGTGCGGTTCTTCGTTCGGCCTACCGCACCTGAACTCCATCCGACATCGCATCTACCTTACGACACCTCGAATGCCACCGGCGACCGCATAGAATCCCCCGCGGCTGCACGCACCACGACCACCCGCCATGAGCTGGCTCCTCTACACCATGGCCGCCCCGCCGATACTCATCGTCTTCCTGCGCTTCCTCTCGCTCATTCTTCCCGGGAAGATGGCGCAGCTTGTCTCGTTCGCGGCCTTCTTCATCACAAGCATGATTATGATGAGCATCTCCGCCATGTACGGCGTCTTCGCGAGCATAGTCTTGAGAACTGTGGGATACGGAGGCTTAAGCCAATGGACGGTTGCGAGGGTGTTCAAGTGGCTCATGTGGTATACTACGGGAGTTACCTTTAAGGTGACGAATAGCGGCGGGGAGGAGGCGCTGTTGACAAGGCCCGCTGTGCTCTTGGGCAATCACCAGAGGTAAGTGCTGTCTCTTGTGGAAGTGTAGGGAGCCGGTGCATAGGCCCACACGAGCGCCTTTGGAGAAAGACGCCTGGCAAAAAGCGAACAGACAAACTGACAAGCCACAGCGAACTCGACGTCCTCATGCTCGGCTGCACATTCCCCAAGTACACCTCCGTGACAGCAAAGAAGTCCCTCAAATGGGCACCCTTCCTGGGTTGGTTCAGTACGCCTCTCCTCTCCTCTCCCATCCCACCTCCCTCCTAACAAATCCCCAGTGACACTCTCCAAAACCGTCTTCATCGACCGCGCAAACCGCACCACCGCCCGCGCTGCCTTCGACTCTGCCGCCAACACAATGCGCACGGAACGCCAGAACGTCTTCATCTTCCCGGAAGGCACGCGCTCCTACGCCGAGCAGCCCGAGCTCCTGCCCTTCAAAAAGGGCGCCTTCCACCTCGCCATCCAAGCCCAGGTCCCCATCATCCCCATCGTCGTTGCAAACTACGCCCACGTTCTCAACGTCAAGAAGCGCGAATTTCACCCGGGTGTGATCGACGTTAGTGTGCTCCCGCCGATCAGCACCAAAGGGATGACGGCGGAGAATGTAGATGCGTTGATGAAGAAGACGAGGGATGCGATGTTGGACGAGTTGATACGGTTGAGTCATGTCAGCGGGGAGGGGAACGGTATGCCGTTACCCAGGACATCAGGAAGGGACGAGCAAAGCGAGCTTAGGAAGCGGAACTAGAGGTGCATCTGCGAGGCGGCATGTGTAGCATCTGGCGTACAGGGCGTTTAAGGCATATATCCACGCGGCGGGCGGGCAGGCATTTAGCATTGATACACCTGCATTCTCACGATATATACCATCCACAAGGGTCGTTGTGTTTTCCGCGTGCCAAAGTGTATATTCACGAGACACGATTCAGCGTCTAGCAAACCTCGCTTGCACTCAAAGGACTCGGCGCAACCGCGCCCTCACTTCCCTGGCTTCGCATCGCATCGCATTAGCATCTCCACACGCATGGCAAGATTGCTAGGAACTGAGTAATTGACACGCGTGAAGCTTCGGTTTACCTTAAACAGTGCCCCTCACGCGGGGGCTGCGGGGCGCTCAAGCTCGGTACAACACATCCCATGTAGACGCGTGTAATCTCATAGCATACCTATTTCTACTACATATCGGACTCGTCTTGCGAGCTCGAAATACCTTCTATCACTTCTTGTTCTGGATCCTAGTATCACTTGTTTAGAATGGCGGCGCGCAAACCGGGCGTCACGGACGTGACTTCGCACTCTACACCTTTCTCTGTGAAGGGCAAGTCGGCGATAGTCACGGGCGCGGGTTCTGGTATGTTCAATCCGTTTAGAGATCATCTGCTGCATTGTTTACACTTGGGTAGGCATCAATTTCTCCTTCGCGGGACTGCTTCTGGCGAAAGGGTGTAATGTGCTCATTGCGGACCTCTCTCTGCGGGCTGAAGCGCAGAAACTCCTCTCGGAGTATGATGGAAAGGGCAAGCCTAAAGCAGTCTTTGTAAAAACAGATGTCACAGACTGGACGCAGCTAGAGCGCATGTTCGACGTAGCTCGGCACGAATTCGGAAGTGTAGACGTGATTTGTCCCGGTGCAGGAATCTGTACGCATCCCCATTCCCCTCCATCCCCTCACTGTTCTCGGAAGACAGGAGAGAGAAAAACAATGCTGACGCGACTCGGAGACGACCCCCACTGGACCAACTTCTGGCACCCCCCCGGCAGCCCCAAAAGCAAAGACAGCCCAACGTCCAACCGCTACACCACCCTCGACATCAACATCACCCACCCCATCCGCACAACACAACTCGCAATCTCACAATACCTCGCCGATAACGTGTCTCCCAGCAACCCCAAGCGCGTAGTCATCATCTCCAGCATAGCAGGCCAAGCATCCAACCTAAACACCCCCCTCTACGTCGCAGCCAAACATGCCATGAACGGCTTCATCCGCAGCCTCGGTCCTCTAGATGCAAGACTAGGCATACGCGTCAACGGCGTGGCGCCGGGCGTTATCAAAACGCCACTTTGGACCGAACACCCCGAGAAACTTTCTTTCCTAGATGAGCAGCAAGACGCGTGGGCGACGCCGGAGGAGGTAGCGGTAGCGATGCTGAGATGTGTGGAAGAGGAGGGGCTGGGGGGAGGAACGGTGTTGGAGGTAGGCGCGGGACAGACGAGAGTGGTGGAGCAGTTTAATGATCCTGGGCCGAGTGGGAGGGGCATACGGTTACGAATCTTGAGAGGAGCTATGAGGAGGTGTTTGGGTGGTTGGGGAGGAGGGGTGGGGAGGAAGAAGGCGGAGGCGAAGCTGTGAGGGAGATGGAGAGCGTGGTGTGGATGGCATGTCGAGGCGAGGGTGTCGGATGGTTTAGAAGGGAAGGGAGTGGACAAATGGCAGATTTCATCGAGTGGTGTGTCTGAGCACGTGTAGTGGAGGTCCAAGGCAATTCAGAAAGTCGAGTCGTCCGGAAAATGTTTCCGAGCTGAGTAGAGAATCCGTATTTCTGTATGGTTGAGGACGAGTTGCAGCACCTATTATTCCAGATCTCTGTTGTCATGGGCGTTCGATTTTTGCGCTCGATTTCTGCGCTCGATTTCTGGGAGTAGTTCAGTTGTTATGGTAAGTCGCGGAGGTGGCGACCGTAACTTGAAGTTTGCTTCACGCGAAAGTTGTCAAAGGCCGCTTTCAGGCAGATTTGCTATCAATCGTGGTTCTAGAGCGATTCTGGCATGTCAGCGGATGGCCAATAGGCTATCAACCTTCTGGGCGACTGAGCACCGAACCAGAGTTCACGATGTGCTTCGGGCGACATGCGTCCGAGAGCGCGGTAAGAACTTTCATGGTGGTAAAAGGTAGATGTTGCTCCGGAGATGGCGTGCGCGGAGATATGTGCTACCATTGGCGGAAGAAGCAAGTGTATCAGATTAGCCGCAGGGATGAGAAAGCGACAGACTCGTGTAGAATTGTTGAACTAGGCGCGGATAGCCTGCATGAGGAGGCTGAAAGGCGGCCTGTGAACCTCGCTGAGTTGCCGGCCGGCGGCGTTTGAAATTGGCTGAGGCTTGGTGGGCCTGACCTTCAGAGATTTATTCCTCGCTGCTTGGGAGGCAACGAAAGGTGGGATGAGAGGCAATGGATCAGTCGAGGCTTGGATTACCGTCTGAGCTGTAATGCTGAAGCTCAGGATTGCATCACCGGGCTGGGATGCGGTGCTGCTGCATCGGGCGTGTCAGAAACACGCCGTGAAGGAAACTGGGCCAGGGTTCTGCTTAGTACTGGCGCTGTAAGGCGCTGATTGATACGCCGCAGTTGAGCGGGTCCATGGCCACTCGCATTGTTGGTTTCCGGCCGTGTCGGTTTATCGGCGTGGGTGCGTCGCCACTGTGACGCTGCGGCGGGGCGCTTTTTCATAGCGGGGCAGCAGCTGCCAAAGCAAAACAACGCATTTTCCTTCATCCTCTCCAACAACACTGTCCTACTCAGTACTCTCCTCACCTGCTCGAGCCATATAACTAAACCCATTGAATTGGACTGCTCAAACCACACACCATGTCTTCCAGCCTCGATCAATTGAAGGCCACCGGCACCACGGTCGTCTGCGACTCCGGCGACTTCGCGACCATCGACAAGTACAAGCCCCAGGATGCGACCACCAACCCCTCGCTCATCCTCGCCGCCTCCAAGAAGCCCGAGTACGCCAAGCTGATCGATGCCGCCGTCCAGTACGGCAAGAAGCACGGCAAGGACCTCGACCAGCAGGTCGACATCACTCTGGACAACCTGCTCGTGCAGTTCGGAAGTGAGATCCTCAAGATCATCCCCGGCAAGGTCTCGACTGAGGTGGACGCGCGCTTCTCCTTCTCCACCGAGCAGTCGGTGAACAAGGCCCTGCGCATCATCGACGTACGTTGATTTCAACCTTCCACCACCGGTCGGATAGCGCGGATGCTAATTTGAGCAGCTCTACAAGGAGGCTGGCATTGACAAGGACCGTATTCTCATCAAGATAGCCTCAACATGGGAGGGCATCAAGGCCGCCGAGATCCTTCAGTCCAAGTACGGCATCAACACCAACCTGACCCTCATGTTCTCGCTCACCCAGGCCATTGCCGCCGCTGAGGCCGGCGCCTACCTCATCTCTCCCTTCGTCGGCCGCATCCTCGACTGGTACAAGGCCGCGACCAAGAAGGAGTACTCCGCTCAGGAGGACCCCGGTGTCAAGTCCGTTGGCACCATCTTCAACTACTACAAGAAGTACGGCTACAACACCATTGTCATGGGTGCCTCTTTCAGGAACATTGGCGAGATCACCGAGCTCGCTGGCTGCGACTACCTGACCATTGCTGTAAGATTCTTCACAAGTGCATGTCCAAATTGATTGCTAATTATCATAGCCCAACCTGCTCGAGCAGCTGTACAACTCCAAGGACGAGGTGCCCAAGAAGCTCGATGCTTCCAACGCCAACTCGCTCGACATCGAGAAGAAGACGTACATCAACAGCGAGGCCGACTTCCGCTTCGACTTCAACGAGGAGCAGATGGCCGTCGAGAAGCTGCGCGAGGGTATCTCCAAGTTCGCTGCTGATGCCGAGACGCTCAAGGCCATCCTGCGGGAGAAGGTCCAGGCTTAGAGGAGGAAAATATGATATCTGTCGTTTTCTTTGATTGTGCAATGAAATACATCAAGAAATTGGCACCGTGCTAGTTATGACAATAGCAATTGATTCATGTTGATAGTGTTTTTGTGTCATAAGCAAACCTACCCCAGTTGCATACTATATCACTGAACTATCAGACCAACAACACGCAAAATCTTGCACCTTTTTATATATTTGCCGAATGCTTCCGGGACAACACACCCATGTTTGCAAACTGGGGCCTACTGACTAGCTGTTTCTGTTACAGACGACTGGGGGGGTTGGTTTCATTAATCATCTGCTGGGGCGGGACTCGGAGCTAAGGTCGGAACTGTGCAGCTCAGTTGCGTCACGGCGTGCCCCGCTCGACGAGGAGCCGAAGCTTACAACGCACCGCTTTCCTTCTACTCTACATAACTTAACTACACGACTTCTGTCAACAACAACCAAAAAACATATCCCGAATCATCTAATCTATATATACCGCCAGAATGGTCAAAGCCGGTACGTCTAGCTCCCTTGGTCCTTACTGTTTGGGGTGAAGCTGGTGACGCGGGGCACCCGTCCGAGCACTCCGCGCGAGATTGAGCACATTTCGTGCGCTGCTACACCACTCACACGGCGCCCTGAGGGAGGGCAGCAGCTCAATTGGGCTAGAGAGTAGCTGTGAGGACCATGCTGAGCAGCGGGTGTTCCTGATCTTCCATGCGGGCGTCCGGGCAGCTCACCAATCGCCGCGCCGCTCGCGGGAGACCTTGATGGACAGCACGACCCGCTGCAGCGGCCAGCGGCCCCCAGAGCACAACAGAGGCCTGTATAAGAGAAGAATGGGGGCTAATGCATATGTGTAGTCGCTGTCCTCCGTGGTGACTCCAACGTCAAGGGCACCGTTACCTTCGAGCAGGCGGACGAGAGCTCCCAAACCACCGTCTCATGGAACATCACTGGGCACGATGCCAACGCTGAGCGTGGCATGCACGTCCACGCCTTCGGCGACAACACCAACGGCTGCACGTCTGCCGGCCCCCACTGTAAGACCATCTACTGGAAGCCTGTGTAGAGAAGAGGTGCTAATCAGACAGTCAACCCCCACGGCAAGGACCACGGCGCCCCCTCAGACGAGGTCCGCCACGTCGGCGACTTGGGCAACTTCAAGACCGACGGCCAGGGCAACGCAACGGGCTCCGTCACCGACAAGCTGATCAAGCTCATCGGCCAGGACAGCGTTATTGGCGTACGTTTTCTCCCCCTCTGCTTCCTGCTTCAAATGCTGATGAAATCGTACAGCGCACCATCGTCGTCCACGCCGGCACCGACGACCTCGGCAAGTCCGACCATCCCGAGTCCAAGAAGACGGGCAACGCCGGTGCGCGCCCTGCTTGCGGTGTCATTGGTATCTCGTCTTAGATATTCCGAGCATGGCAGGTGGCCTCGCCTGCAATTTGGACGTAATGAGTACGACGTAAAGAATGATATGTGGGGATATGCATCTGCTTGATAGTTTTGCTAGCTGCAATAGATAAAAGTCCCTCGCTGATTGTTTGCTCGCGTGCCGTGAATGTGAAGAACGCGCTCGGCTGTCCGGAGCATCCTGCCTCCTCGTCCTTCCCTCTTCACTTCTCCATGGCATTCACTCTCTGCCTCGGAAGTCTCCTCTGCCTGATCGTCGTGAAAGTCGATATGCTGAAAGTTGATACATCGAGCTTGAAGAAGGGAAGCCACTTCCAAGCCACTATGTGCGTGACGGCAGACCTCATGCTGCGACATCGTTGCGCCAAACCCAGAGGCATTCCCAACACCACTTTGCCCCAAGTTTCACGTGTCCACCCGTCCTCCAAAGGACCCATTCGCCCCTGCCCCAAACTCAGAAACATGCTGGCGCTCCGTCTAGTGTGTTCCTCACCTGGGCACGCGCCGAAAATCACCGCCTCGAGCGTTAGACCCCTTCAAGAAAGAAATTGCAGAACGAACACCGCGACGAGCGTCGAAGCACGCTGTACATGTTATGTTAAGCTGGGAAGATGTAACCAGGACCAACATACCCTCCCCGCCCCGCGCCTTTGCCACGCCACATCCAGTGCGCCTACACGGGGAAGAATGTATACCCTGCTGGCTACACCGTGCCTCGTGTCCTTAGTAAGGAACCAGCTTCTTCGGATACGTGATACGCTTACGGTAAATAGGTCCCTGGTCAGGGCACTTCGTACGTGACAACATGCTCTCTATGGTATATATAAATGAAGGCATCACTCACTCTGCTTCCAACGGCATGAGATTGCTATGCGTGATAGATTTCTGGGATGGAACACACCATGGAACTGATCAGCACCAGCGTAATCGAGCGGATAGATAGAAGCTAGATGGATGTGGATGTGGATGTGGAAGAAGGAGGTGTGCTGCGTGTGTGTGTGCAGCTGGGTTCCTTGCCTTGTATACTGACGATGTAGAAACGGGCTTTTACGAGGAAGGATGGAGATGGGGGGCGGGGGGGAAGTGTTGTCTGCCTGCGGGATATTTGGCGGTCGTGCGTGAAAGGGGTGGATATAATGGTGGTTAAGTCGAGCTGGCTGCTCAGGCTGATGGTCGTTTATTTCGACGCTGTCTCAGTCGAGTTCGAGAGTTCAGCTGCTTTTCAGTTGTTCAGGGTCGTCAGCATGCTGGTTTGGGGTGAACCCTAATTTAGTAGGTGAGCCTCGAGGGCCGTGTAATGGATGGGTACGTGTGTAAGCTATTCAGCAAGCTTTGCATAAAGCTTAAGTGGGGGAATGAGGTGCGATGGGGGATCGCTTGATAATGGTCGCTGCATGCACTTCGTTCGTGGATTGATGTTTAGATTTGTTCTGCATTATGGGTGGTGAACTGCTGTTGGATTGAGTAACCAGACTCAGAACGATGAATACGATGGAATTGATAATTCTAGCATTTTAGCATGCGATACGGATGTTCACGGGATTCGAGTACACTCGGAGGCCATGCATACCTAAGCAAGCCTTGGGGAGTAGAACCCCTAGCTAGTTGCAGCAGGAGAGGCGTCAAAGTTGACATGTTATGGATGCCTTTTTTTCCGCTGATTTCATGCTGGAGCAGTGATGCAGGGGGCTTTGCAGATGGATCGGTACATCACGTCTTTGCCGCCGGTTGGCGTAGTAGAGAGCGAAAAGAAAGCGCCGTTCTAAAAAGGCCACTCAGTTTGAGACGGCAATTGAATGAGAACCTGCGGAAGTATGAGTGACGATGAAGGAAAGGTAATACAAATGAAAGCGACCGAAGGAAGAACTCGGACTCTTTCTTTCCAAGGTTAACAATAGAAGTTTCTTACTGGAAGTGCCATCAGGATAGTATACCTCAGCGTAACCCAGTCTACAATAAATGTCTGGAGTTCTAACATGATACTGTATTATTGGTGTTCATTCGCAAATTGGCCGCCAGAAGTCAGACTTATATGCGACCCATGTCTGCTTACTAACTAGGTAGCGTCTTCTTGGAGATGGGTGGATACACACACGTGACACAATAACCTCCAGGGCTTCGGTATACCCGACCTTCCATCGTGTCTCTTCAACTGATGATCATCATTGTCAGCTCACATAGTGAGCAACGCCTTTCGGTCGGGCTTGCCCTTTCCCGCCGTATGCCACGTGGTCGAGATGGCCCCAGAAACTCAGCCCACAGCCTTGCGCCTGCATGAGCTGACGATGCATATGCCCCGCCATGAGTGAAGGGGGGCACAGCCTGGTCACCACATTGTGTCCTTTCATCCAACTTCTATCTCATCGGCAACACTTATGACGGAAGTGGTCGGGCTAGCTGTCGGCTTCATAGGCCTTGCCGGCTTATTCAGTACCTGCGTGGATGCCTTCAAGTTGGTCCAGATCTGCGGATCACGCACGGCTGACTATGGGGTGCTTCAGACGATGCTCGATAACCAACAATTTCAGCTGATGGCTTGGGGTAAAGCATGTGGATTTATGGAAGAAGATCATGTGAACCCAATGTAAGCTTTGCATTTAGCTTTCCTTCCAGCCCCTTGAGTTTCCTTTGAGGAATATACTTGGACGGAAACGTTGAGTAATACAAATTCACTTACAATAGCGTTGCGACGATTCGACGTCCTTTCTAAGGTATCAGTGCTGACCATGCTGCAGATTCGATGATCACTCATCGGCGCATCGCAACAGGCGCATAGAGGACACTCTGGAGAGGATCCGATCCCTTCTTGTGAACGCCGAAAAACTGAAAGAGGTTTATGGACTCAAGGCACAACGAGCCCCTATTGGCTCAAGATTGATCGTGGGCGCACCATTGAGTGCATTCTCGAAAGCTTTCCAAAGCACCAAGAAATTCTGTAACACCAGCCTTCAGCGGAAAGTCAGGATCACAGACTCTATACGCTGGGCCGTACAAGACCGCGAAAAGTTTGAAAGATTGGTTCAGGACCTACGAGATCTTGTTGACGACTTGAGCAAGCTTACTGAAGACACGGGGATCGCCAGCTCGCAACGCATAGTCGTCGAATATGAGATGGAGATGATCGACGACGAGCCTAGTTTAGAGATCATTGAGGCAGCTAGCGTGTGCGATGAAAACGACGACCTCCTTTCGCACGCTGCTAGTCGCCGGCTTAGCAGAGTACGAGAACGATCAGTTGCTGGACGGTCTGTTGCATTCCATGACAGCGCCTCTATGGTTTCAAACCAGCATTATGCTCCATCCGTAGGCACGCTAATCGAAGACGACGAGAACGAAGTGCTACAAGAAATTGGTATCACCAGGGTAGCCTACCGGGACTGGAGGAAAGTAAAACCACGCGCCGAGCTATACCCAGCCTTGAAAACACTCATTGTGGCTACGGGAACCTCCAATGACGTTTCGGATATCTCAAATGGTATTCATCCCCTGTCAAGAACGAATACATTTGATGGTGATGCGGTGGCATCGGGCAACGAGTGTCCAATCCGCGTTGCTATCAATTCCCGCACGCTGATCAGTACCCTTAAAAAGGTGACGTCGAACAATCTACGACTTTCACACAAAAGGAACGTTCTTGTATATCCATTCAAGCCACTCATCGTGTATTACGACGCAATCAAACAATGTTCTTCATTGATGGAGCAGAGATTGAAGGCCGTCGAAGATCGAAGCAGTGATCAAGGCGTAGGTCCGAGTGAGCAAAACCGTTCAGACAAGAGTGAACGCCGCAAAGAACTTCCGGCTGTTATGAACGCGGAGACTACAGACCGAAGACTTCAGGAAATCGATTGCTTGATTGCCTTTATCGAAAGTGACCTGGCGGGATTGATTCACCTCCAAAGCTCGATAAAAGACGGTTGTTGCGAGAGATAGAATTTGAACACCTGTGGTTACTCTTCACACCGGGTGTCGTCATAGTGAGCTTCACGCCAGAAGGTTGCAGAGGATATCAGGTACTCCACGTCACGGGTGGCCGCCCCATCATCGATCTGGAAAATTCATCGAAAACTGAACGGAAAGATACATATTCCTACGAATTCCAACCCGAGGACCAGGGGAGTTACGGAGTCATCTCATTGCAGAAGTACTCTGACTTTGCTATCGATTGCTTCTTCATCGATCACAACGGGACCTCTTTCGGACCGCGACCCCATCGAATCATCATCTCTGAATACTCTGGTAAACGCGACATAGAGGCCCTGCAGGCGTTTCCGTTGGCAATGTGTTCTTTTGACTCTGAGGAGTTTGTTGATCTCCATGAGCGTGGCAGGAGATATGTGCAGTACCTGGAAGGAATTCCTAGATTACAGTATCACGGCCCAGTTCTGTAAGTGATTACACTGGCCATTGATCACTCTATTTGCTGAAGAAGCGATTGTGTCGTATGGATCAAGTCCATATCCACGCGTCACCATCTTACAAGTCTTGTCAAATGTTCGTCGCTAACTGAAAATAACATGCAGTCAAGATTGGGATCCGCAACATAGGGACAGAGGCAATTGCGCGCATTGCTCTCGTAGTAGAACCGCCAAGGAAGAGGTACAAATTATTGGTCAATTTACAAAGCGTGTCTAACATTAGATACAGCAAAACAGCGAGATCATTGTCAACCATTCCGATGCTTTAGACCATTGCAGAGAGATGGGATGCTCCTGGAGAATCGACTTCGGCGGAGGCGTGATAGCAAGCCCCACATGCGCTGACAGGAGGGAGACATTTGAATCAGTCGACTGTAAAATCGCCGGCTGTAGAAGCTGCACGGATGTGTTCGACGACTCTTTGCTCGATCTTAATGCACGGGATCAGTTCATTCGGTCCTGCAAGAGCTTGCGAGATCTTAAGGGAGATCAGCTGGACGCTACTCAGCTACAGTTGCTACCGTTTCGACTTTGCGGGCTTGTGCTACAGAAGCGTACATGGTATGTAGAGTTCTAAATGCGCATTTGGAGGCTTAGCGTAGAGTAGGCTTGCATGAGATCCAAGAACAGCTCTACATGCAACTTCTCAGTCCTCGGAATTACACACCGCGGTCATTCAAAACTGAATGCTCTCAATGTGTCCATATAAACTGACAAGTTATCAGGCATCCTTTGCACATCGACCGAGTCCAATTGAGGGACACGCAGGCGTCCGACCTAAGTCTGGATGATCTTGTGCTTCCGGACCATCAGAAATCGATCCTGACCTCTGTTATCAATGGCCAGTTGCGCGGTGTTCTGACATCTTATAGCACCGGACGCAATGGTTTGGTTCTTCTATTCAGCGGTCCCAACGGAGCTGGTAAAACTGTGACTGCCGAAACCTTAGCTGCGAGCTTGGATATGCCTTTGATGACACTCAACATAGCGGATCTGGAAGGTACGCCAAAAGAGGCCGAGCGGAACATCACGTCACAATTCTCCCAGGCAAAGCGCTGCGGGTGCATCTTGTTTATGCGTAGAGCAGACCTCGTGTTGGAGGGTCGTCGCCGAGTGGACCGTGAAGGCAACATCATGGCTGCAGGTCAGTTCCTCTTTGATATAAAATGCATTTGCTAAATCTGAACAAGCTTTCCGCAGTGCTCTAGCCCACCTTTAAGGCACGTTGATCCTTACGACACACAACGTTGACCATGTCGACCAGTCATTCAAGTCGCACATTAATTTGACAGTATACTTCCCAAGACTGAAAGTGGATGATTATCGCAAAATTTGGGAGTTAGAGCTCAAGCGGCTGTCACGCCGTGGTGAATCATTGAAACAACATCTCCATGTGGACAGTGATTGCCATTTGTTTGGCAAAGAGCTTTTGAGTAATCCAACTGGCATTACTAGATGATATATCAGGAACGTGGTCGCTACCGCTCATGTCCTCGCACAATCAGAGGGGAGAACGCCTCCTAAGCTTACCCTCGAGCACTTCCGCGCGGCGCATAAGCCGGGCTGCAAATTTACCCCATACATTAGGGGGTGGTGAGGCACCGATTCGAGACTCACGTTTCGTTGAGAAGGATAGCAAGACTTAATCAATCTGAACACCGTTACAATTCCAGAAGGATGCACCGCGTTGATTCGCAGGAACAGGCGCTATAGATCTTGTTCTTAACAGAGCTCTGCGAGTGACGATACTGAAAGGGACTAACCGTTAGCAAACAGAACTGTCGGGTGCGAGGCTGGGGGTAACAAGATCGCGAGACGGAACCGTGACAAACAACCCCAATAAAGACGAAGATGGGGGAGAAGATATCAAGGATAATAAAACCAGGGCAGATGACGTTGAACAGACGATATCGAGATTCAGCAGTTGCAATAAGATTTGAAGATGGCCAAGCTGAGATTGAAGCGAGATTTGTTGAAGGGATAAGGGGCATCCACGAATGGTGGTGAAGAGAGCCACCTATGGTATGGTAGCGACTGTTCGGTTCACACCATGAGCACATCTGGTCCAGGAGACCTTTGCAATCCAATTCATATCTTTTTCGATCTAGCAAGTGTATATCTGGCACCACAGCGACCGGGTCTAGAATTTGAATCGTTTCTCGTGCTAACATGATCTTGCTGAAGATTAGGTTTTTTTTTCTTCAAAGTGTCAGCTTGCTGCTGCTGCTCGGATGCGTCGCCTGAAACCACGCATGGCCAGAACATCACTACCGTCCATTCCATAGGGGCTGCACGGCATGGCATGTAGCCCCGATCTTACGATGCTGGCTACAGTGCACTCAAGCGCGCACTTCGCAATGTGTTTTGGCTACCGAAACGGCGTCGTCGCCAGGCAGCAAGTATTTTTCTGACGACCCACACGGCTTCGAAGCACACATTCACACGCACATGCTATCGATATCATATGTATGCAGCGATTAAACGAACCAATGGGGGGAACACTTCACCACATCTTTGGCGCCACGCACGGTCCACCTCCATATCAAGTGTACGTCGAAGCCAATCGAAATTTCGACCCCAGTCTCTTCGGAAGAATATAGGCTCGCTAACATCTCGTCACACGGCACATGGAACACAGGAGTGTAGCCTCGTCGGCCCGCAGAGCGGATGTTGAGGCCGTACTCCGAAATACACCAAGATGATACGTTCGTTCGAGTTGCCCTTTCCCGCATGGAGGGGCACAGTCGGTCTGGAGTGTCTCATGCAATCGGGTCAAAGACAGTTTTTTTGTCATTGAGCGATGCATACGACATTCAAATACATACTCGAAATCCCTCGGTGCATCCTAAGAATGACATCGGCCTCAGCTCTGCGGTGACAACACACCGGGTGCTGATCCTCTATTTCCATGCGATTCTCTCGCCGATCACCAAAGAACATACCAATCCCAACGTTACCGAGCATACTCACCTTCTTCCCCGTCGATGACAAGCAACCGCTGGGTAAGGCACCAACAAACGAGCGGGTGGAGAGTGGTATAGGATACGGACTGGAAGTGGTTCCGATCGAGCGGTGTAATACCTCTTGCGGAAAGACTGTTTCGCCAGATCATGAACAGAAAGAGGTGCTGTACACGTCGTTGACACATGTGAATACACAAACGAAACCGCTACCTCCGCTTCCGAAAGCTGCTTGGAAAGTTTCGGCAAAGGGCAAGTGGTACCGCTTGTCAGTGAAGCGGCGTATCTTCGTGCTGTTATGCGTTAGTCATCCCAGAATCAATTCGTGTTTTGGTCGTGATCTTACATTGACCTCAGGTGCAGTTCGGTCTGTTGTTGATCATATGCCTCAGTCTCCTATCCATCAAGCCACGCCTGACTAAACGGTAAGCCTTCTTCTTCACATGATGATACACTCACTGAACAACTGGCAAGGGATCCAAGCGAAGCGTCGGACGGCTCAGTGACCTCACCGGGCCTCCCTCTCGGTCCTACCATTCCCGACGGGCCTTTCGTCGTCAAGCTTAACACGCCTCGCCAGCAGAGCTCTGCTTGTCTTGCTGACAGCGATGACGCCGATGCATGGACGTGCACCTCCGACGCAGTGCTGCAAATCGCAGCCTCTTCCTCCGAAAGTCCCCTAAACCAACCGACTCTGTCCATTCGATCGACGAACAGCACGGATCCAAACAGATATGGAGAGCAGGCTCTTTCCATCATCGCACTGCAATTCGATGAGACCTATGCTACGGCCCACTCGGGGGAAGAGCCGATATACCGCTTTGAAGCACTGTACGATCGCACCGTGCTACTGACAGCTGCCCAACTGTCGTTCCTCGGACCATCTGAGCAGAACGCCGGACGAGCGATACGAGCGACGACGTCACCAGATGACAAACCGTGGCTGTGCCACTTCAACAATACCATTATGGAGATCTTCGTCTACGTGTCTCAACATGCTGCTGCACCGGACAATAGCACGTATAGCGCAAAAGACAACAGCACAAACGCCACGCCACAAACGCCTTTTCCCTACGTGGTTCAAATGTCCGAAATATATGGCCCGAACGGCACGCGTGCCTACTGCGAACAGCAAAGCGTGTCGGATCGCGGTGATTTGCGCAAGAGCGATGCGCCAAAGTACTTCCTCAGTACAGCCGACACTTCGAAGATCTACGATTCACACGCCGACAGCGATCAAAAGGCGCAAGCAAACATGGCGGAGAGCGCTTGTCAATGCCAATGGATAGTACAATGACCCTTTCCTAGACGTGAGATGGAAAACACGACCTACAGCCCTCACATACAATCCAACATATCTACCTCCTACCCATCCCTCTCCGGTGCTGCCATCATATCATCAAAGCTCGCACTACACGCCTCAACCACATTTCGCGACGCATCCTGCATATCCACCACGACAACGCCGCCTCCAACCCTTTGCATAATCATCGGCTGGCCCGCCCACGCATCCGCTTCCGCTCACGTAACATCAGCACCCACACCAACACGCACCATCGCTCCTAGTATCCTCCTCGAACGATCCGTCAGCCAAGAAGATCTCGCCTTTCATCAATCAGCTTCCAAAAACCTCCGTCCGCTCACTTCACACATTCCGCTGCCCTACGCGGAACATGTAGACTCAGACATCGCAGCGCAGTCACACGTCACAAACTCTCTGCTTTCTTCACGCCGAATCAAGCGCGTGGTATACCACCGACCAACTCGGGACGTGGCCGCCTCCATAGCCACTTAGATAGCCAAACAAGCAGCCAGTCTTCTTGAACCCTTCTTACACATCCAATCTGACAATGCACTCTAGAGCGCGTGCATCCATTTAGCCCGCTTCCTTTCCCACGACATCAGCAGTTTCGTACCGGTATCTCACCCCATCACCTCACCGTTGCACTGAAAAATCACCTACTGTATTGTATTTATCTTAACACATCTGATACCAAAACACACACTTCCTATCTATCCCACTCCCCCTCCATCCATCCCCATATATCCTTACCAGAAAGACCCGCGCCCCACGCTAGATATAATATACCACGCTTGAGACATACCCTCAAAATCCACTAAAACACCCAAGAAAAACCCCTACCCTCCCGTAGAAAAACCCAATAGAAAAAAAAAAGATAAGATACAAGAACCATAAGATACCTTGTTACGACACAGGCACAGTCCACTCCTTCAGTAACATGTCCACGATATCCCTCCCTTAGCAGAACCCTCACCCTCACCCTTACTCTTCTTCCTCTCATGCGCCCTGCCTTCCCCCGTCCTGACCTCCGCCTTCCTCTTCCTGCCCGCCTGCCCCTCATGCCCGGGCTCGCCATCAAGCGACCTCCTCGGCACATGCGCTACCCCCTATCCCTAGGCTTCAAATACGGGCTCGGCAGCTCCTCTTCTTCTTCACCGTCGTACTCCCTCCCTGCTGAGCAACAGGAACGCCCGCCTGTAGATGCTGTTGTTGCCTCTGCTCCCCACCTGACTCTGCCCCCGACCCATCCCCCTCGACACCGATACCCTCATAAAACTTCGGTCCTGCAATCCCAGGATTAGCGCCGCCCAAATGCGCGGGATAGGCTGCCATACCCGCAAACGAGCATTCACCCGCGTACTTCGTAGTCGCGCACGCGGTGCACGACGGAATCTTGCCATCGCATTTTATGCTGTACTCTCTGCAGCGCTCGCACGGGTTCATGCTTATCTTGGGAGAAACGTCTGAGGCGAGATCCTGCACGCCGGGCTGCGGGCCTTGGTTCTGGATGTAGCGGTTTATGGTGGCGAGGCTGTAGGGGGATTCTGGTTCGGGGCTTTCGGGGCCGCTTGCGGGCTTGGCTGATGATGCTTGGATGTTTGCGGAGTCGGACACCGCGGTAGAGGGGCGGGAGGGCGATCTCTTTTCTGCCAGGGAGGGAGATAGCGCTATTAAGGGTGGTCCACCATGGGGCGAGATGATTTCAGGTCGCTGCCGGTTTTCCGGCCGACTCGAGCCCAGAAGTGCGTGATCTCTGTCGTCCTGTGGCATTACAAGACTGAGCGAGCGGCTTCCTGAGCGAGAACGGCCGAGGATGTCGGGGGTCCGGTGAGCTGCATGGCCATTCCCACGATCCTCAAACCCACTGGAATCGCCATCTGTTTGGCTTACCGTGCGGTAGTGTTTTCTCTTTCTGTATGATTGTGCGTCCGTCTCGGCCAGTCTCCAGTTGACGCCCTCTCTGTCGGATGATATGTTGCCAGACTCGATGTTAGGGCGACCTAGAGTATTCGGAGGAACACTTCGCGATGTGTTGCTATGATCTAAGTGTGCCGCTGGACCAGGCGCTGGGATAGTGGAAGCCGCCGGAGAATGTGAGATGAGGTGTCCGTCCTGGCGGAATGGAGAGGGTCGCGAGCCGGTGACGATTGGAGGCAGTTGGTGACGGGCCGGAAGCATGTTAGGCGTATGCTCTTGTGGGTAAGCGGCAGGCTGATGAGGTGCATTTCCTGCTCCTGGAGCAGGAAGAATATTGCTGTAACGCCTATGGGTTGAAGCACCATTAGCCGTATCAGGTTTGGGCTGGAGTTTTGGTAGACCAGGATGTGACTGTTGCAAAGCAGCCGAAGAGGCGTGAGTTTGAGCTGTTTCGGAGTGCTTTCTTTCCTGGGCATTGACTGTTTGCCAACCATGCGTTCGTTGTGGAGTCATTTCCTCCTGCACGAGCGGTGCTACTGTTTGAGTTCTGGCAGTATCCCACGCAGCATGCGCGCGTGATGTCACTGCTGGAGATGCTGCTGGTACTTCTGAGGGGGTTGGCGCACCACTAGCACCACTCGAGTTAACGGACCTGCCGCCAGGACTGTGATGTGGAATGCCAGGTACAGCATTACCGGGCGCAGGCAATATGTGTCGATGATGCTGGTCGTCGGCTACGGGCGACGCGCCCTCTGTGTCTGGCGCAGGAACATTGCTGAATCGGTAGCCCTGAGGTAGATCTTTATGTCGTTCTAGATGCCGCTGCAGCAAGTCCGCCCTGAAGAAGACTTTGCCACAAAGCTCGCACCGTACTTGATTTGGCCCATGGTTCTTTTGGTGCCGTCGTAAATGCTCCGCTCGTGTGAACGACCTCCCACACTCTTCGCACACGTGAACTTTGAGCCCCTTCTTTGCTTTCGAGATTCGACCTGTCTTCGTGTAGACGACCGGGCCATTCTCGTGCGACCCATGTTCACCATCGCCATCGGTTCCACTGTATTTGGCGTCGTGGTCATCAGCAGGTGACATCATTTCACTAGTAGGACTGGCGTGGCTTGCGTGTGGAACGGCCGGAATAGAACTTGCTAGGGGAGGTAGCTTTGGGCGACTTCCTGGTCCGAGAGGTTCAGAAGAAATGATCCAAGCAGGGGGCGCTGGGGCATATTGTGCCTCTACAACTGGTCTGGCCGTATGTGTGCTGTTTTGTTGACTCTGTGAGTGAGTCTGCAGGGAGGTTCGGTCTGCAGGCGTGCCAGAAGGGCCTGGTAGTGCCCCAGGTGTGTGTTGATTTTGTGGGTGCGAGTCGCGTGTCGTTTCGTGTGGCTGGACACGCTGATGGTACTGATAGGGAAACGAAACATTTGGTAACGGTGCTACCGTCGGGGTAGCACTTGTATGGCTGGCCATTTCTGATTCGAACTTGCGGCAAAACCTTCGATACAATTTGAGGACTTTGTTCCGAGGGAAACGGCCCCTAGATGATTGCACATTGCCAATCTCGCAAGACCGCTGTAATGCCGTGATGCGCTTCAATAGCTTTTGGACGTGAGTCGCGCAATGAGCGAGGTCATTGACTGTTAGGTCCTCGTCGTCGTCGGTCACTGTCTCATCGCTGTTGTCGCTGTCAGATGTTTCAGGTTTGTCGCTTAACGCGCTAGGCGCTTGTACCGTGCTTCTGGCGAGACCAGAAGCTTTTCCATCCGAAGAAACACCGCGCGCGGATGAATGGACCAGAAAGTTGATGGTCGGCACACGTGATGGGGCGGCGGAGCCATTGAGCGTTTCATCGTCGGAAAATAAGACGTCGCCGAACTTGGTTTCAAGCGCTTGTAGAGCCTTCAGTGAATCCTGCTGTCGTTGATGAAGTTCCCGAATCGACTCCCGCTCTTGCGCAATCAAGTTGTTGTCGACGTTCCCTTTAGCCTGCGCATTTGCTAGCTGGAGGACATGCAGCAGAAGCAGGTTGCTGTGCTTTAGGCTGTCTAGCCTGCGCCTCAATACTTCGGTCCTCTGCTCTTTTGACTGATCATGCGCCCGCGAAGTCTTCTTTTCGTCTTGACCTGGGTTATTCCCTTTTTCGATGAATTCTTGAACGTCGCCAAACACGGCTTCGCATCGCTTGGCCAGGTCGCCAGCTTCTGAGAGTGCGGTCCTCGACACATCATGAGCAACGTCTTCTCCAATAATTCTGCCGACACCATCGAGGGCGATGGCGGTGGTTTTGACATCATCCGCGATATCAGCTACCTCTTGCTGTGTGTGAGCGTCACCGCTCGCAGCGTCGTACAAAACAGAGCTCAACCGAATACCAGCGCTGGCTATTTGCGCGATGCTGGCGACAAAGCCTGCGACCGCGGCCATTGCTCAGATGCTGGGTCTCTAGTCGCGAGGAATGAGATGTCATGTGGAGGGCGACGGCAGCGCGTCACTGGAAACCATCGAGCGTGGTCGCTCTAAGCTAGAGATGCGCTAGCATTGGTATGCTCAGAGCATGCGAAAACCTCCGGCAGGATGCGCAGAGGAGAGAGGGGCGGAGAATGAGGGGGCGCGTGAGGGTGAATGGAGAGGTGAAGATGACAGTTGTGGGGGCGCGAGCGGGAAACGCTGATGCGTCCGGTGTGGCTGTGGCGGGAGTGGCTGCGCGCCCGTTCCACAAGCGTGGGTACATATTATACTCTGCCCTTGATGACATGCTACCCGCGTAATGGATGTATTGCCGTGCAGCGGACATCGCGCAGCACTGCAGGCGGCACGGAGCCAGCCTCCTAGATATATGTTTTAGATGCAGACTAGGCAATGCATCAGGCTGGACGATGTGCGCGAGGCTGACCGCTGCCTTCGTTCCTTCGGACCCCACTCCACTAACTGGATCCGAGGCCCAACATTCCTACGACCATTTCTCATTGTTGCGCATCCACTTCAGCCTCCCAGGGGTATCGGCAAGGTAACCTGACCAGGGGCAGATGCTCGCTAGCTCAGCGCCGTGCCATCGCCAACCTTCGACGCGCGTTGCCACTCCCTTCCTCCTGCCCGATTGGACCAGGCTGCTGGGGGTTTGCGCACAGCGCAAATGCCCGTCGCATCACCACCACACCGCGCATGCATCGCATAGAGGAAAGGGCGATTTTCTTTGCGCTCAGGGCCAGCGTCTCTCTGCATTCGCTTTGCGCCTTGGCACTGGGGGCACTCGTGGACACAAGCATGCCAAGGTTCGTTGGTAGCACTGTGCCTTCGACATGAGCGACCCAGTGCGGGCGATTTATACTAATATATGCACCGATGATGCTTCGAATTCATCTCAACGCGGCGTTGCCCGATTAGCGATGGGATTCTCGAGGTCGAGTAGAAGGTAGTGCTTCTCCACCATGAGCTAAGATCGACGCCGCCCTGACGATCACCTTCACCACGCGAAGTCGTGCGTCAGGCCACGAAGTCGCGCGGAGGCAATACCGACATGTGAATGAGACCTAACACATGTAGGCTCGCAAACATACGATACGCTCAAGGCCTGCGACAACATGAACATGTCCCGCCGTAAACCTGACGTCATATCGATAGCGGCAATACTGTGTAGCTCGCAAAGACAATAAGAGAAGGCACGACTCAGTAAGATCCAGACCTACAAGCAGTCACCTTCAATCTACATACACTCCGGCTCACCAGCTTCTTCTTTGTTGATGTCCTCCGCCTATCTCCTAGCATCCAACTCACAGTTCGCCGACACAGTGATACCTAGCAACCATCCACAGCAGGATTTAGACCAAAAGGACCCAGGCGATCGACATCCGGAGGAAGGCCAGATGAATCGGGCGCAGACGGACCAGCGGCACGAGCGCTCTGATCAGACTGGAAAGCTCGAGATCGACCAACATCAAGAGACGGACCAGCTCAACAAGCTTTCGGACGGGCATTCTGCTCAGCATCATGCAAACCTCTCCAACGGCGTTCCGGTCAACGACGGTACGAGCGAAAAGACCAAGCCTTCGAACGATACGCCTGCCAATGTCGACAATCACTCGCACCACGATTGCCAACATTGGCATCACGTGGGCGACAAAGTCAAAGAGTACATATTGATAGATAGCAAGCCAAAAGACGTGTTAACGGAAACGCGGCCAAGAGAAGACGTCATCATACGATCCATTCGACCAGTCCCCATCACCATCAAGCGAAAACCCTTCATCGCGGGACCCGACAGCAAGCTTCGCAATGCCGGTAACGAAATCCCTCGCTTCTTCCCCTCACACACGGCTAACACTACCAGGAACTGCACGCGCATACATGGCCGCCACAGAAGAGAAGCCCTACGGCACAACGCATAGAGACTGGGCGCGCAACCACTCGCACCAGACCGTCCTGCAACAACACTGCGACTTCTTCGACACGGATCGCGATGGCATCATCTGGCCACAAGACACCTTCTGGGGCTTCCACAAGCTCGGCTTCGGCATCATACTCTCCCTCATCGCGGTCTTCGTCATCCACGCCAACTTCTCCTACCCCACACTTCCCACCTGGCTACCCGATCCCTTCTTCCGCCTCTACGTCGCGAACATCCACAAAGACAAACATGGCTCCGATAGCGGCACGTACGACCATGAAGGCCGCTTCGTTCCCCAAAAATTCGAGGATATCTTCGAAAAGTATGCTGACGGGAGGGATTTCGTGACGTTATGGGATGTTAGCAACATGATGAAAGGACAGCAGTGCATCGCTGATCCGATCGGGTGGGGCGGCGCGTTCTTCGAATGGCTCGCGACGTACCTGATGCTGTGGCCCGAGGATGGACGCATGATGAAGGAGGATATCAGGGGGATATACGATGGCAGTCTCTTTTACAAGATCGCCGCAAGGCGTGCGTCGAACAAGGCGTACGGCTACGAGTAGGAGGCGGAGTGGCGGCTTGTCGTCGAGGTCTTCCGGCGGGTGTGGGGATATGCGTTGTTGTGGGTGTGTGCTCGGGCTCACCAGCTATGGAGCTTTCGCCCCTGGAACCTCCACATTTGGGGGTATTTACCCTTGGGTCGTCGTGTCTGGGTGTATCGGCCTTGGAAGTACGCGGCGGTGGAGACTGAACGACTCGTCGACGGCTTGGAGAGACCTTCGGATGTCGAACTTTTGCACGTCAAACCTATGGACGTCGTTTCCTCAGACATCAGAGATGCGAACATCGCATCCGTGGACAGCAGACCTCTGGGCGTCATTCCCGTCGTCTCTTCGGAACAGAAGCTTGTGTTTACAAACCCCTTGCACCTAGAGCGTACAACCATCGTGCCTCAAACAGCGGCCCTATAGACCTTCACCCCTTGGATATCATGCACCGGAACATCACCTGGGTAGCGGCTACATGCGCATAGTCTGTATTACTACTCTCACCATTGTAAAGTTCCCCTGTTCATGTTCACACCGTGCTTTCCGCTATAGTATTTTCAAAAATATCGGTGCTTTACGCAAAGAATGTGCCACCTTTCACGGCGCTGGAATAAGAACTTCGTGAGCTTTTAGCCAATAAAGTTACTATAAGGAGTAAATCAGTAACAATCTACTATAGTACGCTTATTTTGACAGTTAAGTACTCTATTTTAGGCTCTACTATGCCTAAAAGATAAGTTTAATAAGATCTAGCTAATGCTTTACTCCTTAGTTACTATATTAGTTAGACTTCTAATTCCAGCGCCGTGGGAGGTGGCACATGTTTTTTTTTTTTTTTGAAAATGATAATAAGGGTTGGGCGAAGGTCTGTATGCGCACACATTGGCGAATACGAGATGCTGCATTGGGGGACGGGGGGAGGGGGGCTAATTGACTGCTGCGCCACAATATACCGCCACAGACAGATCTCATTGCTGCAGCGCTCATATGTGTTCACATTCAGCTGAGAGCGTTTCAGACTCGAGAGGCCTATTTTCTGATGGTTGGTTGTGAAGCCCCGACAGCTCGAGAGCTAGCTAACCGCATTGAGCCACGCATGCAGTTCATACTCTGAGGCTGTGGCGAGGAGAGGCGCAGCCGTACACAACAGCCACGGCGGTTATGTCGTTTACTTTTCCGCCATAAGCCTCGTACGGCCATGTAATATAGGAGCTTCTGCCCAGCCTTGGAAGTCGCTTTAGGTTCTATGCCGCTTTACCAACAACAACGGAATTGCGCTTCAGTAGCTGTTATTCGTCAGAATTATTCCAGATAGCTGATCGAAGGCCTTGCCCTCGTGGACAAATAACGTAGCGCTGTGACCCAGCTGTAAGTAGAAAACCATGATCGCAAACTGCGAATGCAGGACTACTCAATGGAAGGAGCTCCCCCTATTATATGACAGGCGCTACCTTCAGCTTGTTCTATATAGGCGGCTTCCGCCACCCTAGCTTTCCATCACTCATAATCCTCACTTTGTTCAGCATGACTAACAATCTTCTTGTTGGTAGGAACTTCCCAACTCACACCGGTACACCCCATGACCAACCATACAGAGCTGAACACACTTGTACCTTGGCAGAGCGGCCCCAAAACGCGCGGTGGGTTGAGCATAGTATGGACCTGTTTGGCCCTCATCGTTACGTGTACCTGGACAACACTGCATCTCAATGTGCCGGGACGGGACGATACTTCTACGACACAACTCCTACGCAAGGTCAAATGGATGCTCATCATGGTCATATTTCCGGAACTCGTCTTTGCGCGCGCCGTGGTCGAATTGAAGATGGCGCTCGATGATTACTTCGAGATGGCTGGCCAGACAGAAAAGCTACAGCGCGTAGGTTGGTGTGTGCATCCTAGCACGTCAGTCCGTTGGATCCAGCGAATTCTGGGAGGGGTCCAGATGCCTTCACCGATAGTGCAAGAATCTGACGTGATCGACAACGTAGACGATGGTCGATCGTATCATGCTCCAGTCACGATCGACAACACCGATGCTCCGACCGCGAGCGGCAGCCTTGCTACGAGATACAACTTTCCCTACGAACGAAACTGCTACCGTGAGATGTGTGACGGTCTTGCTGAGGAAGAACCCGCATGGGACGAAGTCACCTCCGCAGAGAAACCAAGATATACCGAGGCAGAGTTCAGTTCCGCTGGCAAAAACTGCAGCGAACATCGTTGTTATAGATGGACCCTGACTCACACGATCTTCGCAAACATGGGTGGCTTGACGTCGCCGATGAACAACGGCTCTGAAGTTTTGTACACGGGAAGGCACCTAGCGTGGGGAAACCCGGGTCGTACAGACATACTGAGAAAAAACCATTTCACGGAAGACGACATAAATGACAAGAGTAAAGGAGATGCTTTCGTGCGGGCTTTATGGGTGCTACAAATTGCACGGTTACTCATGGACCTGATCGCAAGGACATACCAGAAATACCCGATAACGCCTTTTGAGATCATCACTGCTTCTTTCGCCGCTTTATCGTTTATAGCAGTCATCATCCAGTCCAAGAAGCCGTTGGATGTGCGCAAGCCAATCTGTTTACGACCCCAGGACGAAAAACCAGACTATGATTCCAGGGGTTTTTCGAGCGAGTGGAGCGGCTGGACAAGCTTCACGAAAAAATTCCTCTCACGAGAACTTGCCGACTATTTCCACTCTGAGCCCAAACGAATCATGAACGATCATTATCGCAATGAGTTTGAAACTTTACTATTGTCTATGCTCACAGGCTCGACGATAATTTTCGGTCTGATACATTGTGGTGCATGGAACTACGCGTTCCCTTCAGTTATCGAAAAGTGGATGTGGAGAGCTGGAGCTCTTTCAGGGTTGGCGCTTCCTCTACTAGTACTCACTTTTACGGTACTTCTTCATCCGGTAACGTTCAAGCTGTCTGTAGAGCACTCCACCCTCTCACAAGAGCAATACAAGAAAGTCGAGTGGTTTTCACAACTTCTCATGGAAAGTATCCCAGGTTACAAAATGCATGTCCGGCTCTTCGACTTCATGCAGTACGGGTTGTTGGCGCTGCATCTTGTCTCCAGGATCGCTTTGATTGTCATCGCTCTGGCAAGCTTTCGGTCTGCACCACAAGGAGTATATGTCGCCACATGGGCCTCTTTCATACCTACTGTACAGTGACTCAATAATAACGGGACGTTCAACCTTTGGGAGAGTGCGTTCTTCTACTCTGCCACAATTCAATTATGCGTAATCTGGCTAGGCTACATCGATGTTTGCAACGCTTTGATTGGCCCACATCATCCGAGACAGGGCACTACAATCAAGAAGTGAAGCTTACAGCAGTGCCATTACTCTCAACCTGGTGCAAGGCAAGCATGAATGAAAGAATCCTTCCATGGTCAACCTTGGCTCTGAGAAATTTACTCAGATAAGAGTTGCCCGTTTTCAGTACTGTACAATCTTTCGTCCGCTGTAAGTAACCCCACGTAGATTAAGCGAAAGTATTACTAGAAACGGGTAATGCTGCGGAACTATACTCGAAGAGTAAGAACAGGTAAACAGTATGCCCGAAGAAGAAAGGACAACAGCCTGGCATTTTAAGGTTGTATGTTATTCGAGTCGTCTGCAACACGGGCGCTGATCGATAAGTTGCCGAAAAGGCTCCGAGTGCACTGCTTACGATGTCTCATGCATTGCGGCGTAGCTGCCTGACTTATATCACTCTGACACGGTGAACCTGTGTTCCCAATTTGAATTAAATGGACCACCTATACTCCGTAAAGCTTTCTCTGCTTGCGGCACTCTCATCATTCCGCTCCCACGTTGGACACTGTCACTTTTCTATAGTCCAACTCAAGCTGGTGTAGCATCAACTAAATCAGTTTACTCTGAGTATACTTCACTAGTACATATCAAGACAAACCCCATTCAATATGAATAACCCAGGCAGCAACAACACCTTCAAGCCTCCACATGCCCTCGTGCCCACTCCCAAGCTCTACGACGAGCTTGTGGGTGACGGCATGGAAAACCTAGCCAAGGGCACCGTCGCTGGAATCTTACCCATCAATCCTGCTTCCGTGGTTCTGGACATTGGATGTGGCACCGGCGCCGGTACTACCGCCGTGCTTGACGCCGTAAGCCACTCCAAAACCGACAAAGCCCACATCACAATCAAGGGCGTCGACATCCACGAAGGTGCATTAGATATCTACAAGAAGAAAGCTGCCGAGCACAAATGGCCTGCCGAGGCTATCAAAGCGGATGCCAGCAACCTCGACACCATCGCAGACGCTACGTTTACCCATGCAATCGGCACTGCGTTTCTCTTCGCTCTGCCAGAAGATGGCGTCCCCGCGATCAAGGAAATTTATCGCACACTGCAATCTGGCGGCGTGGCGGCGTTCAACTCGTGGGCTCATGTACCTAATATGGATCCTCTGCGCGTCGCTTCAGCAGCTACGCGACCTGAGGGAACGCCGGAGATCCGGGGTGGCATGGATAAGTGGGAGGATGCTGAGTTTCTCAGAGGGGTGATCGAGAAGGGTGGATTCGCGAGCGAGAAGATTACGATGAGGAAGCGGGATGTTTACGTTACGGGGACGACGATTCAACGCTATGCTACTATGCTGTGGAGCTTCATTGGCGGGACCACAAAGGCTGGATGGCTTGAGTCTGATGGCGAGAAGTGGGATGAGGCGATTGAGATTGTGGAGGCTGAACTGCGCAAGGCGGATGGGTTTAAGGAGCTGGAGGGTGGGAGGCTGAGGTTGAAGTTTGTGGCTAACATTGCGGTCGCGAGGAACTAGTATGCATCAAGAAACAGTGGTCACAGCATCATATTATTTTTTAACAATTCAAGTGATGCGGCATTCCCTTATACCGGTCAGCGTGGAAATACACCTCCCTCAAATCCGCATGTCTTGAACGTAGTTACTTCTGATAGCAGGCACCTATACACAGGACGAGCTTATATGCAAACCTTTCCTCCAGCAGCGCCAAACTCTCCATCACCCCACGATCAACCTTATTCCCCCACCACACCACTCGGCCCAGCCTTCGCAACCCAAAGCACCGGCTCCACATTCGTAAAATTCACAACATCCGGCCCAAGCTCTTCTCCACTGTTCATCACCGCCTTGAGCACCTCTTCCGGCGGAACATCCCAGGTCAGCGTCGATTGGAAGAGATACGGCGGTGTCTCGCCCGAGAAGGGATTCGGGTTTGCGAACTCCACGACAAACCATGACTTTAGGCCGCTGGGGCCCCAGATTTTTGTGGCGAGGGCGACGTGGTGCCCGGTGTAGTAGGCCATGTTGAAGGTGAGGGGGGAGCCGGTGGTGGGATCGGAGGAGGGGTAGGCGATTACGAGTTGGGTTGTGGTTGGGGACATGATGGTAGTAGCAAGGGATTGGTGAAGCTTGAAGATTGGTGAGCAGGTGTTTTATTAAGCGGAATATTCGTTGGGATACCTTTTTATGCGCGAATAGTGTCGAAGGTAGTGCAGGCTTTCGATATTATCCGAGCCAGTCTCAATACTATGCAGCGAATGTGAATCTGGCGATTTTCGGTGTTCCCAGCCTCACCTTTATAGTATCCTATGTGTGGTTAAAAGTAAAGCTATTGGTTCGCAGATTCTTGCCTGTCTACGATGTAAAACACGTGATCGCTGAAAGTTGCTTCAAGTAGAGATAATGAGGGATGGTGCATATCGCAAGATGCTACACTATCAACTTGTTCACTAATCGCTACATTGGTAGATCTCTACAGATGGAAGCGAGGAGGTTCGAACAGGAAACTGTCAGCTCAAATCGCGCAGTTCATTGTCGAGCGATGCACGTTCCCGCTCGTACGCCGCGAGCCGGTCCATCTCCTCCTGTGCTTGTGCCTCCGTCAACGATTGCTTGCTTGCCCACTGCCGGTGTCTGTTGTGTTCCTGGACGAGATCATTGATGCGCTGTCGGAGTTCTGCTCTCTTCTTTTCTCTAATTGCTGCTTCGATGCCTTCAGGAGCACCTGTGTTTTGTTAGCGTTAGGCGATTTGTGTACGTGGGGGTTATCGTACCCTGGCTTGTCCCCGTTGAAGGGGATGTACTTTGCGTGTTTGATTTGAAGAGACCTTTACTCCAGCCTTTCATTTTGTCCCCTGCATTTGCCAACCCGCGCTCAAGTTTACTCCCCAAGTGTATGACTGGAGCAATGCCGGGGCTTATCTCCCTCATGCCGTTCACAAGTGAATACGACCTTTTTCTAAAAAGATCGAAGTCGTTGACAAGATCTTCATCCAGGAGGATGTCATACTGGAGGCCAGCAAACACATGAAGCCGTACTGTTTTGGGTGGCCATAAATTCATAAGCTGGCAATTGACATCCGTGAAACCAAGTGTGTGGACGATGCTGCAGTCTGCGAGCATCAGCTCTTCACAGCGTTTCTTAACAACCAGGTTCTTTCTTGATGCGTACTCAGCACTGACGAGCGCTATCTCGGCACCAGTATCTGCGTGTGCAGTAACGCCATTCCCGTTGATAATGCAGAGCACGCGATTCGTGGCTTCACCCACAGAGCACAGTTTTAGCGAACGTCTGCAGTCAATCGGCAGGTCCACTAGACGCGAGGTGTATTTCGAAAGCGTTTCTGTCGCGTGCAAAAATGCCATGCCAATGAGAGCGGGGAAGGCAAGGGACTTGAACACGTTGAAGTAGCATGTCATCTCCTCTTCTCTTCCATCTCCTAAGAACGTAACGTCGGTAGTGATGCATCCTACCGCGGTGACTATCTTTCCGTTAGCCAAGGTGAATTGGCCTTGCGAACTGGGACTGTAATCTATATCGTAGCCCAATTCTCTTGCAAGGTCGAGTGACATGTGATTTGCCATCGTTCCAGTGTCATACTTCGTCATGATATTATGACTACCGGCCGTCGTGGAGAAGCACAGAGGCAGACCTTTCCGGAATTTCGGCAATTCCGAGGGCTTGTACCCCGGGGTCAGGTCAGGATCATAGATTTGAACATCCTCATATCCGTTGGCACGACGAGGAGCATGTCGGCCTCTCGCCTGGGACTGCAACGCCGCCAACCATCGCTGGTGAATATCGACCTGAACGTTCCCAGCTTTATGTGCTGCAGGTTGTGGGGCCCCGACGGCACCGCACATACCAAGCTTTTCCGTAGCCCTTGGGGAAGTCAGATCCTTGGTCGAAGCGGCTAGCGATACCAACAACTCCGCTTGACTTTGTGCTGCCTCAACTTCCGTATGTTTCTTTTCTGCTTCAAAAGCGTTCAACTCTGCGGAAGAAGAATCCGTTGATCGAGTTCGAGTCGAAGTGGAAAGATTGGAATTGCCCAAAACGGCCAAGCAAGGATCATGATGAGCCTGAAAGGTTAACTCAACTTTTTCAAAAAAAAAAAAAAATTCAAGAGGTCGTACATACTTGAAACTGAGCCAAAGCACTGAGCGCGGTCGCTGTCAACGGCACAGGCGTAATTTGTCCACGGACATTACTTTCTTGGGTCGACCCTAAAGCAAGCTGCGCCAACTTTAGAGCCAAGGCATTGTCTTCGGTCCTATCCCAAAGTACACTGGCAATTGAGATGATCTCTTGATTTACTGATCTTTATGTTGAGTTCTAATCGCAAACAGTGGATGTGGATATGGTACTGACTTTTGCCGGCCAACTTGTAACGACGAACCTGGCTCAGTGCATCATGTATGTTGCGGTTGGTGAAGCTTAGATTTCGGAGCGAGTCAGGACTGAGGAAAGACGCGACATGGTGGAGCACATCAAAGGGTACTCCACCGAGACCGTGAGGCATCTCAAAAAAAGGCAGAACAGAGTGAAGTTCCGCGATGCAGGGAAGGACTCCATATGGGATTTTACGACCGGTCAAGGTAGGCTGTGCTCTGCCGTGGTTCGCTGTACGGCGAGCCTTATCGAGATGTGATAGGTGGACCAAAGGCGGGGTGCGCATGGCAACCTCGTCACGTTCGCTCACCGGTTGAAAGAGATAATCTTCAAATTCTCCTGATGTTTCGCAGCCTTATGGTGTTTGAAGCTTCTTCATGCCTACTGAAACGGGTGACAGAGATGTAGAATCAGGAGGCAATAACTTACGCCCGTTAGACGGGTTCCCTTCACTGGCACATTTCATCTCGAGCGATCCCGACCGTACGTCTCTAGTTTTCAAACGCTTCGATAAGCTCGCTGCGCGAAACCTGCTCTATCTTCAAAGTGAGCTTGCGGAACTGGAAGCTAAGCAGGCATGTCGAACTTTGAAAATGTGATAATTGCATGATGTTTATCTAACCAAATTGAATGTAGCATCAATTCGACGAGGAAGATCAAAACTTAGGCAGCAATGAGCTCGAAGATCAGATCACCATGGACGCGGCCACGAGTTGGGAGTCGTTTAGAGATGCAGCCGACGTAGCCGGGAATGAGAGGCAGAAAAGGCGCATTCAGCTTGTGTCGAAAATCCGGACCAAGTTGAAGGAGTACAGTGAGTTCCGGATACATTACGGTAAAGATACGCACTAAAACAGATGCAGGAGAGGCACTTCTTTTCGAGAGTACGCTCGCAGTGATCAAACCACCTCCCACCCGCACATTCGACGCCATCCACTATGCCTCGAGACGTTTTGACAAGACTGTAAATCGCTGGGATCCTATCTTCTCGGGGTACAGTACAGAGCTGTACAGTACCAACGAAGATCTTGTCCTGCTCAAGCAGCCCGAGTACGAGGATAGATTAACCCTTTTCGTGCAAAGATATCTCCCAGTTTTATTTGCTGTAAGTCTTTCGTCGTATCTCTTAGTAAGACCTTGATGTGATGACACCTCATTAGTCTGGAAAAAGGGACGGGGACATGGTGTACGTTCCAGAACGAAGGATTGCCAGATTCGTCACCATCATCAGCATCCTCATGGCCGTGGTCCTTCTCTTCGTGGCAATCATCACCCTCTACGTTATCACACGGCCGACTGTGAAACTTGTCATGATAGGCGTCTACATGCTTCTGTTCGCTGGAAGTATTGGGGTATTCACAGCGGCGAAGAGGTCAGAGGTTTTCGCCGCGACTGCAGCGTATGAGTCCATGAATGGCTGTCCATTTTTCAACACTAACGGTGCACAGGTATGCCGCAGTATTGGTAGTTTTTGTGAGCGGTAATTTGGGATCAAATCCATAAATCGCGCGACCCATAAGCATGTTTTCCTTCGGCACTTCTATCACGTGCTACTAGGCAACGTACATGGGAACATTCATCAGTTAATTGAGCTTGTTGATAAGTGGCAATACCTACAATATAATCGAGGCACACATTAGGGCTTGCTAGCACTGGGAGCTGCGCATTTAAACCCTTCATCGCTTCTCCCACTTCTATACACATCCTCCACACCCTTGTCAACATTTGCGCCACCTAGACCTTACCGATCATGCACACAGGCATCCAATGTTGCACAAATTTCTCTATATAGATCTGTGCCATCATATACAATGACACCCACAAAGGATCATTCAGCCTTCCCCTGAAGTCCCGAATCCATACACCGTTCATGGAGAAACATGCTGCTTCGAGCACATACAAACTGTTAGAGACAGAACTTTATGTAGATTGACGCCCTTGCTTGCGTGATGCATCACCGCATGTTACAACGATCAGCACTGACCATCCACCACCAAGTAATCAGACCTCAAGTATCCTTTCCCACAACCCCCTTTTCGAAACCAGATCCTTCGTTACATCCGCTAGAAAAACCTCTTTCTCCTATCTTGCTCATCCTCGTAGCCTACCCGGTCAAGTCGTAGTTCTATCCCGCTAACACACACTTGCACACACACACACACACATAGACACATGCATACACACATATATACATATACAAACACATACATACATACCCATACACACCCATCCACATACACCCGCATACCCTCCCTAATAAAACCGTCACCACACCTGAGAAAAAATCAAAGTAAAGTCAACGGTCCGATCTACACAGGGAGTGGAGTCCCAGGAGCCACACATCCCTCCGTCTCCCACACATCCTCCCACCTGTTCATTCTCCGCACGCATGAACCGCCTAGATCCTCACCTTTAGTATCCAGCGAGGAAAGTCAAAGACCACCCCTCAAAGTCTCTAGTAAGAAATACACAGCCCACACCTTCCCCCACCCAGCACGCAACCCTCCCCGCAAGCTCTCTCAGCACATTCCAACAAGTGAATAATCATCACGCATCACGCGCACACCAACTCACGAGATCTCCAGCCCCAGCTCCAAAAGCTAACCTCACTTCCATTCACCATTCAACACTTATCGAAATCATCGCACGCCCTACGTTACGATACATTTATCCTTAAACCTCATGCATTACAATTAATCCACCTCAGTCAGTCTCTGTCTCATCTATCTATGAATCAACCAACCAACCCCACCCCATCCCACCCAATCCAATCATCACCCCTCCGTTTAACAAAGTCGTGAGTCTCTCCTCCCATCATCCAATCCAAACCACCCAACATCTATATACCGAAGAATAGCCCCCCCCCAAAATGTCTATCAATGCAGATAAAGCCAAAAAGCCGTCCGTAAACGCCAGCCATGTCATGCTACCAATACGATACGCAACCGCCCCATGCCGTGCCAAATTATACATCGACTCCAGCTGGACGCCGTCTGGTTGATGGCGAAACCGAAAAATGCTTATTGAAGAAAGATGAAAAAGTGTGCGTGTCCATCCGCTCACAGCATCAACGCCGCAGCGAAGAGCCCGATGACAGCTCCGAACGTCGACACAGCGATAGGGGCAGCAGCGCCCGGGGCGTCAGGGGCTTGGGGCGAGCCGCTTTCAGAGGACGTCGCCGTGGGAGTAGCGGACGAGACGCGGCTAATCGACCCACTAGGCTTGGTGCCGTTGATGGAGGTGAGCGGGATAGCAGAGAGGGTGCCTGAGCTGGCGGGGGAGCTCGTAATGGTGGAGCTGGTGCCGTTGGCGCTCGTCACACTCGTCATCACGCTCGACGACTCTGCGCTCGAAGAGGACGCTGCTGTGCTCGAAGCGACGGAAGACGAGCTGGACGAGGACGGTTGGTCGACGAACGTAGCCTGAATGCGGATCTCGTTGCACTGCGCGCCTATCGACTCGTCGTAGAGGTTGTTGAAGCTACCGCTCAGGCAGTTCCACCACCGCGTTGTGCCGCCGATGGCGAGGGAATCGTTCTGGCAGACGGAGAAACCGCCTGTGTAGAGGGCACCTGCTTGTGGGGGGCCGTCGAATTGGAATTGGTGGTTTGCGACGACGGAGCCTGTGCGACCGAAGCCGTCTGTGAGGACGCCGTCTACGAGCGTGAGGTAGAGGGAGCCATTAGCATCCTAAAGGCTGTGTGTCAGCTCGTATCACTGCGTACAGTGATGGTTCGAACGTACCGCCAAAGCTGTCTCGCGCTTTGCCACTGCGGACGCGGAAATGTATCCAATTGTGAAGTTGCCCTTGGGGCTTCGGTCGCAACCTTCTGGTGCAGACGAGCTGGGCTCGATGCCAACCTCAACAGCTTGTGCGTAGGTTGTGGCCGCGCAAGAGAGCGCAGCGAGAACTGTGGCCGTGCGCATCGTGGAGGTTGGTCGTTATGCGCAGGGATATGGATGTTTGTTGCGGGGCGAGAGTTTGGCGAGGGCGCGACCAAATAATGGAAGGGGAGATTATGGGATGAGAGCGATAAAAAGTGTCCAAAACACTGTTGCCGGGTAAAAGTGCAGCGCGAGAAGATATGGGGGTGGGAGTGGATGAAAACCGGCGAGGAGGCTGGTACGCGTCCAAGTTGATTGTTGGTGCAACCAGCAAGGAAACAACGATCGACTGGCGGGCGTGCCTGCCCATCCCCGCCCCAATGGGGCAAGTGCGTGGCTAGCCTGCAGATTCCAAGGCTTGGAGGCTGCACCCCTGAGTCTAAATTACGAATGACGCATTAGCGACCTTTTAGAGCCCGCCGTCTATCGTCTTGCCGTTGATATTGTGGGCGCGCGCCAAACAACAAGCCATTGTTGGAAGCAAGTGGATTTGCCAGCCAGATGCAGCGTCATGCACCAGATCGGACTCGATCGAAATGAAGCACGTGAAAGACATTTGCGCTTCATCAACCTTGCACGACGTGGCAGGCATCACCAATATTGCCAATGGTTCCGATGTTGTTATTGAAGATAAACGCAAATTGAGATGAACGTGGCGTCGCGCCACACGCCCCACCCGCTGCCCGTTGAGATGCCGGACTTTGCAAGGCTGCCAATCCAACACGCGGCCAGACCACCCGTTCTGAGGCTTGGAGAATGTACCATGGTAAGACATGTCGCACCCTTCGTCGAATTTTCATACCGAAGTCCACCTGGTCAGACATTCGACATTGCGGACGGTACGTGTTGCCGGCACTTTGAAATTCCTTCGTCGAGTCGTCTTGTGCTTCATCATGGCGTTGAATTGTTGCTGGCTTTGCAAGCTGTGCATTTTCAGTGCACATCGCCGTTGCATCGTGCTTGCCGCGCTCCTTGCGGTGCCTGTCGCTGAGGACCACCTTACTTGCCGTCTCGTGAGGTGCCTTGCATTTGCGCAACCACCTCTTGGCACACGCGACTGACAGCCGTGTTACTGGTCGCTGTAGCCCTTGCCACGAGGGCAGGCGACTCGTTTCGATCGCGTTTCTGAATGTCCGGCTGGTTGAGTATGCCGGGGTTGTAAGTGTCCGCACAGAAAGCAGACAGCATCTTCCCTAGATCCTCCGGCTGATGCAGCCAGTTGAGGAAGGCATATTTGTACCAGCCTGCGCGATTGAGAGCCGGCATGTACACTGGATACGAAGCGGTCACTAATGTCGATTCCTCTTGCAACTTCAGCTCCTGCGAATGTGTCTGTTGCTGAAAGTTCCACGTAGGCATCAGCGAAGGTTGGCATGGCACCAACACGTGTGGGACCCCTTCGAGACTCCAGATCTTCCCAAAGGCGCTGTACGAATCGTGTGCAAAGAGTTCTATAATTATTAATAATATGCTCATATTATATGTGTTGGGGACCTACTAGCAGCCTCTTCGGGCAGTTGCTGCGCTTTCCAGCTTTCCAATACTTTGCTTGCTTCCAGTAGTCCTGTGGTCTGAGGTTCGAATCTTCTGTCTATACTGTCGAAAACAAGGTCTGCAATAATGTAGAACTCTCGGGTCGGTAACTCAGTGATGGGATCCGCAAACCTCCATGGGTCCGCTAGAGGCAGGCTACTTGTGCTTACAGCGCGTCGTGCGATAGTATAACCAGGTCCCGGAGAAGCATTGTGTCCCGAAACTGGTCTATAAGCTCGGTACGACGCAGCTTGTGACTGGTTCGAAGGGACTTGATCTGTTTTGGAACCTTCTGCCAGGCTCAGACTACCCAGATCAGCAGGCAGTTCGGCAATGAATTCCGTGGGGTTAGACTTCAAAGGAGCACTTTGCGACGTTGAAGTAGGCGATTGGGGTGGCTGCTGTCGTTGTTGCCCAATTTGAGAGTGCTGTTGCTGAGGAACCGCGGCAGGAGTGGCAGACTTTTGAAGTTCGGACGATTGTGGTGGTGGATGGCTCGCGCTGGTCGAGGGTTCCACTTGCTGTGCCTGTGGGCTTACCTGTGGCATTGATGTCCATTGCTGATGTTGAAGATGCGGAGATCGCTGCGGCTGTTGCTGATTAGGATGCATGGGAACAGGCGGTGCTGCGTTGTACTGTTGTGGTGGAGGAGTTGGGTTGAAGTGGGCCGGTGACTGAGGCGCAGGTGAGACAGGTTGCTGCGGCGCATGGGTCTGATAATTCCACTGCGGCTGCTGCTGTTGTTGCTCTCCTGGGGTTTGAGCTGGTGATTGAGGTACGGGAGAAGTATGCTGATGCGGTGAAGGAGACGGAGGTGCCCATTGTTGATGTTGTTGCTGCTGTTCTGGGGGAGGCGGACCATGTGCAGATGACGGAGGTTGCTGAAAATTGTTCTGCAAACGTGACTGCGCCCCACCAATCACTCCGGTCTGCTGGCCCGGAGGCTGTCCGTAGAGTGTCTGTTGGGATACTTGATGAGGCTGCGCCTGGGAGAAGGGTACCTGTCCGGGCTGCCCGGGCCGCTGGCTATGGTTGTGACCTTGTTCTCCTGAATTAGTGTTCACGCTAGGACTGCTACTTTGTTGATAGGGAGCTTGTTGCGGAGCTTGCTGATGCTGAGGAACCTGTTGGTGTGGTGTTGGCGGTGCTTGCTGAGAAAAGTAGTTATTCTGTCCCGAATTGCCCGAACCAGGAGTCCCGTATGCTGATTGCGTGAATGGTGACTGCTGTGGTGTTTGATACACGCTCTGTGCCCCAGGAGTGAATTGTTGGCCTTGATTTGGGTAACTTTGCGGCTGAGCTTGCTGATATTGTTGAACGTGGGGTTGGCTATGTTGTTGGTTCTGTTGGTAGTTTTGGTAGCTTCCCTGAGGTGTAGCATGTGGGTTGTAGACTGGTTTTGAGTGCTTGTTGCCTAGCTTGGAGCTAATTGACTTCCCCAACTTATCTAACATAGGCTTTCCTTGCGTGACCGCCTGATTGAACTGACTGGACACCTGTCCGAACAGCTTGGGCTTTTGAGAAGCCGACGGATGCCCTGGAGCGGGTGATGCGTACGGCGAAGGCGCTTGGGGCTGCTGGGAGCCATAGTGGGGTTGCTGCTGCTGTGTGAAGCCCTGTGACTGTGGCTGCTGATTCGGCGGGACATAGGCTCCTGGAGGAGGTACAGACGGAAATTGAGACATGGCATGCAATCACGCACGTCGATACGCAGGCTCAGAGGGTTCGTGTATGGATTGAAGACACGTCCGCGCGAAGCGGCGCGCCGGATGAGGCTGGCGACATCTGAGGATCATCAGCCGTGCGGAATACGAGCCGGAATACGAGCCTTGGCGCCTATCGAGTCAGACATGTTCACAGACGTTGGAAGACGAAACAGGCAGCGAAGAGGATGAGGCGCACGTCAAGCGAGAACGAATGCTATGATCCCGTGCCCAGCTATCTACGCGGGCGGATGTTGGTAGGAGGAAGCCGCGACCCGGTTGCGTTGCCGCTTCCCACCTGCATGCAGCTGCCCGATTGGACGCACCTACATTTCCTACTTCACCTTTCCGCTCCTCAGCTTTCACATACGACGCAACTATACACCATAGGCCATCGAGCGCACTCTTAGGCATCGACATTCCCTCTCGCTGTTCGGGGACGATAATGGCCCGCGGGGCTCGCCCCACTGCGCCTTTTTCGCAGGGGTCGCATAGGTACACCGCAACTTTTCGACCGATAGGACATCCATCGCCCCTCCCGTTCTCTGTGGCCTCGTTCATGGGAGCACCTGCTAATGACACTGTGACGGGCCTTACACCATCGCAAAGTCGACATGGTCCTTCCGAAGGAGCCCTGGCAGCCAAAAGACACAAAACTCCAGTATTACGCATATCGATATGATACACTTTTCTTGGTCTTGAACTACATACTATGCCCCTTCACTTGTGGATGTTTCTATTGCTGGACCACGCCGAGGGACCAAGTTGCCAGCGATATGATACACAATGGTTTATCCGTAGACGAGCGCATGTCCGATCTGCACTTTGCACGTCAAGGACGCAAGTTCAATCGGCGTAATACCCTTTCCACCGAGAAGCCTGGCGGTGGGAAAGTAAAGGAGATACTCAGTCACCATAAGAGAACATCAAGTCAACATCTCTCGCCACTCTTTGCCAAGCTGCCATACGAGATTCGTACCCGTATCTTCCAGCAAGCCTTGTTCGACACAGGGGCTGTCTTCATCGACACTGTCCCCATCACATCTCATCGAGGAAGCTTGCACAAATTACGTGTTCGCGCCTGCGAGCTGGAACTCGGCACGCCTCCTGGCCTCGGTGATCTCTACAAAGTCAGCCCAAGCCATCTTATGCGCAAGTCTCGTGTAGACACAGCGTTGCTCCGAACCTGCCGTCTTGTGTACAAAGAAACACTCCCTATGCTATACGCCCAGACGCGATTCGTCTTCAAAGACCCTAGGCATCTGGTCGCCTTCTCTCACAGTATACCCCGAACGCACTTTGAACACATCCGCTCTATTCGCTTGGACTTCTCCGAAATCTCGAAGGCCTATCAGAGCGATAATCGCACATTCGTGACACCATTTCTTGAGCCTATGCAGGAATTCCTAGGCGTTGTTCGTCTGATGCGGCGGCTCCGATCCATCTACATCGTCTTCAGGATTGCCAAACATATGCGTGTGCCACGCTCTGAAGTCGACATACTATTGGAGGACATGCAAGAATACCAAGAAAGAATAATAGGAGCTACTTTTGAGCAATGCGAAACCCATCTGCTTGTTTTCTTCTGGGCGAAGCTGGTTCATCAAAGAGTAGAAAGAGGCCTGCTCGAAGTTGAAGCCGGCTGACTCACGCGACAAGTAGGCACATGATGCCCTTCTCCATTTTCCAAGAGTCTACTCTCATTGTGCTTCCTTCCCAAAACGGGAGATTCTTTTGGATATGCGGTCCAGTACGATTACGCTTGGTATGATACCGCAACTCGATGACAGAAGAAGTTGCATAGATCTCCGCGTCCTTCATCTCGCAAACAGGCGTGCAATATCATATGGAGTGGCGTTATATTTCTACATGATCTGACAGCATCCTTTGCGCTATCTCTCTTACACTTCTCTAGACACCTCAATCTCTCGAAATGTTGTTCCGCGCCTTACCATATATAAATATCAGGTCATCACAACTCTGTCCGAATATAGACACACTACTACGCACTATCCGGCGTCGACGTAAACGAAACCTCATACTCGTCAAGCTCAGCAAGCCCCTTCAGCTCCTGCACCGCCTCAACAACACTCGCATTCGTAGACGACCGCTCAAGTTCCTGTATCAGTTAACATCCACATCAAACACTCGGACCGCACATCACACTCACCTCCCCACCCTTCCAGCTCAGAATCCCCGCCCACGTCCCCTCATCTCCCTCAACACCCCACCCACTCCACTGTCCAGCCATCCCGTCCTTACCCACCGTCTCCAAAATCTTACTCCAAGCCGCTGATATCTCACTCTTCTTGCTCGCCGCAGCAGGAGCGATGAATATCCGCGCCGCACCTTGGGCTAGCAGATCCTGGAAGCTGGAAGAATTGGGGGTGGGTTCGAAGAGTTGCGGCTGGGCTTTCGCCGCAGCGTAGGGCACGAATGCGCCCATGAAGGATTGGAACGCTGGGGAGGAGGGGTAGAAAGTGTGGAAGGACTCGGAGCGATCCCATTCTTCGCTCTGTCAGCCCAGTATAGTTCTTTTGCTCGGCCTCCCCACATAACGCCTCTTGACACGGTGAAGATCTCAAAGTGGTAAACAGTAGGGGAAGTGCAGAAGCGGAGGAGAAAGACGTCGCTCACCGAGACCCAGCACAGGCTTATACTCCTCAGATACATCTTTCCCATTATGCTTCACCACGTGTCCAACACTATTCGACAGACTCCCCGGCACGGCGCTGAAGATCTGCGGCGTGCTCTTTCGGATGTGCGACAAGCCTGCTTGGGCGACTTCGCGGCGGAGCGTGCCGATTACGAGCTCGGAGATGGGCATGATGGTAATGACGTGCTGTCACAATTGTACTTTAGGGTTGACGCTGCCTGAAGATGCTAAGGATTAAGCTCGTTTTAGTACGGTATGCGAAGGTCAACGTGTTGAGTGGCTTTATATAAGGCCGTTGCAAATCGGTGGTGGGACTCCGCCTGTGGAGTTCCGCCTGCTTACTCGTATGCCGATCAGGAAAGTGCTCGGCTGACCGTAAGATATTATTAACGTTATGTGTTACGGGAGGATTCGGGTGGCATAGTCAGGGTTTGCAGAGTCGCAATGGTTTTACAGCGATGTTCGGGTAGCGTGCGCTACAGAGACGGAGACCGGTCTCCGAGCGTCTGTTTTTGCTGTACTGTAACACCTAGTACACCAAAAACTTCCGGAACTCTGCCATATCCTGTCACGATCGATCGTTGCTTCTTCCATGGTGTACGGTCAGGTGCGACACTTTTGGTCTCATTCCTAGTCGATTTATCCCAGCGCCACTACGATAGCCGCAAAATCTTAGTGATGGCGAAGAGCAAAGCAACACCATCAGCAAACCATTGGACGTTAAAGTTGAAAACGATGTAACGCTGCACACATTGCAGGCGGAATGGGCGGGAACAAGGATGGTGCGAAGATTGAGGAGTACCCGAGCTATGACAATGCTTCTGGTGGTACGCTACACCTTCCACCACGTCTGCCTCCCACTGACGGAGACGACGCCTCAATATCTTTCTTCCTCACTGCCAATCCTCCCTCGCCATCGGCTAAACGAACATCTTTGTTCCCGTCATCGCGGAATTGGGCCACACCTTCGGCACTCTCTTTTCAAGTGTGGCAGCCATCCGTCGCGCTCTCCTGGCCTTCCTCATCATCAATATGATTGGTAGCGGCATTGCGACAAGAGTCGCACTCCCTTCCTTCTTCTCGTTCTTCCTTCCTGCTTCACGGTTCCTCATTGACACGAATCTCTTCTTCTCTCAAGTCGCTGCTTTCGCTGCTATTCTTGCTGCAATGCTACTCACGGCGATGATCAAAGGCGTTCTAGGGTCTTAGAAGGTGTGTGCCACGCGCTGAGCTTGTTTTTCAGCGAGGGAAGCGCGGCGCTGGTGTTTTTATGGATCATCTGGGCTTGCACGTTAATTATGAGTTCGTATTGGGTAATGGTGTGGCCCAACCAGAAAGCTTACCTCTTTTGCTGCGACGCACGAAAGCTAGCAACGGTGTTGCGATACGCCAGCATTGTCAAGAATGGCATGGAATCTAACGCGAGGTTTTGTCGAGTCTATGGCGGCGTGTAATAACCCGTCGATCCTGTGCTGTTCGTTGATGAACGAAAACGTGCAAGCGGTGAGCCATTCGCAGTCTGCACGTTTCCCTGCAAATGAGCGTTGCCCAGCGGTCCAGAGGGCAGTGAATAACGCGATGGCTGTGTCGTGGGCGTCTGGGCGTCTTGAGAGTCCTCGTAGGCAAGGCGGATCTTCTTGGACTCGTCCATATATGGGTTGAAGCTTCCTAGTAACATTTTCCTCACGTCGCCGTTGACAGAGAACATTTCGTGGTCGATGATGTCCCTGAACACATGTTGTTAGCTAGTTTCTGAGGCATCATCTTGGCATTTCAACTTACTGGTAACCTTTGAACTCCATGCCATCGTCAAGGGCCCGGAGACGTTCGGTAACTGTAGGATCGTCCCCGAATTGTATAAATTCAATACTGACAAATCGTTCGGAGCTGTCTGTGTCATTCTTGATTATACCTTGGGCGGTTAGGTGTTTCAGGAGCTCTTCGATGTAGCTGTTGATCGCATCCGGGTCTTTCATAGCATGCCAAGCACCGTTGGTGAGGATGAGCAGAGTCAGCGCTTTTCGTTCATCTGATGTCTTTCTCCGCCAGCTGGGTTTGCTTTTGGACTGCCCCTGGTCCGGACTCAGAAATTCATTAAATATGTTTCGAATCGGCGCAATGATATTTGTCTCGGTCCATATGCCGTTCTTGGGACCTTTGTCCGTCATGATCTTTCTGTATTTGGCTTCATCTTTCTCGCCTTCGAGACTGGCCTTGAACGATTTCTCGTTCGTCTTGCCTGGGTTAGGTACTGTGAAGTAGAGGTCCATCCCGTCCTTGTCTGATTTCTTAGCCATCAACACGAGGGTCTCCAAGAGATAGACTGCCTCGGCCCAGTATGGTCTCATGCTCGAGGAGTTGTCGACAAGAAATTTCTACCCAGGGTCAGTGGTGTCTCGCGTGATGCGGTAGGAACGACATACGATGTCTCTCTTGCCAAAGTAGGTCTTCACGAACTGGTCTTCCTTTGAGCTCAAAAAATCCTTAAACGAGCGATTGGACAATCTTTCATGCGCCTGAATGACATTGATCGGATCTGGAGTCTTTCCATCATCCGTTCTGACCGACATATAGGTTGAGGTTCGATGTTGTATGGGACGTGGCGGCATAGAAAAAGGTCGATCCCTGCCACTATACTCAGGGGATTGTTGGGTGAGGTCTCTTGGAACGACAATGGATCCGTTCTTGTACGTGTGGGAGTGCTTTGGGTCGGTTATGGATTCGACCGGTCTGGTCATAGAAAGCTTTGATAATGACTCGAATCTTGACGCTGTTTTTAGGAGTTGGCCAGGGACCTCTAACCGACCCATGAATTTGCGTATCTGCTCGCGAGGTGCAGAGCCGGCCTCGGGTATGTTGGCTTGACTAGATATGGAATCGGGCACGCTGTCTGCGTTTTCGTCGAGAGCAAGAAGCGCAGCGAGTAGATCTTCACAACCCTCCGGGATCTTTTCCTTCTTACAGCCTTCAAGTAGCCCTTGGAGCCCAAGATATAGCTTTTTGGCAGACATGGTCCGGTTTCGAACCAACAAGTCATTCTCCGTAAGATCGAGCATCTTCCTGGTCACGTGATCGGTATGGCGAACCGAAGCACGGAGATATTTGTGCCACTCTTTCACGACGGGAAGGATGTCGGTTCCGTCATGAAAGAAATCGCCCTCCATGATTGTCGGCTCGCTGCCCTGTTCGCGTGTACGCCGAACGATATCGCCGATGGCGCGTCGCCGTATGTAGTCGAACTGCCTGATGCCTTGATAGCCCAAGACGATCCACGTAGCAGCCATGGAAAAGATGCAGCCGATAGACCATAAGTCTACACTTTGCGACACTGCCACCTTCGAACCACTCTTCCGTGCGGAGCGTTCAGGAGCAGCTTGAGCGATCAGCGTTTGCAGCCCATTTCGGATTATATCGAAAACGTACCATACGTAGTGGTCCCACCTTCAGCTATGATCTTAGGAAATGATTCGCCATCTTTCTCCTCAAGCGTCTTCTTGAATTTGGCGAAGCCAGGATCGGCAAGTTTGTATTTATCGTTCACCACGATAACGTTCTCAGGTTTGATGTCGTTGTGCCATCTGTGGAGACGTTAACACGTTGAACATAGAGTAATGAAAAAGGCTAGTTGAACTAACCCATGATATCGGTCATTCTGGGTCTTGAGATCATGGATGCCCTTGAGCGCATCCACAACTTCGATGAGCGATCGCCAAAATTCTTCGATCTCTGGGGGGGAGTAACTGGCGGGTTGCGCAACCCGAAGATACCCATCAGATCAAATCGGCCGTACTCTAGTAGAATGTTCATCTCCCGAAACGAGCTAGGATTTGCGTCTGTTGTGGTACCACGTAGTATCGCAAAGTAACCTAAGCACTGTATCATGCCTTTGTTCCGTTGTTGTTGCAGAGCTGTGAAGGCCTGTTTCTCATTCGCCCAGTACGAGATCTGGGCACTGTCGAAGGTCTTGAGCGCAAGCTGAAAGCACTGTGTGAAAACGTTAGAACGGCAGTTGTCTTGAGTGGCGCAAGCTTACCATGCCGAACTCCTCATCTTTGAAGCGTGTGTGCTCGTCTTTCGACAATCTAGAATCGAGCTCTGAAGAGATGTAATCGGCTTGCACGAGGATTTGGAATACTCGAGCCTGTCCACCCCGTCCAATTTCCTTTTTCTTGCAGATAGGAAATACTCGCTTCTCGGAGAAGTTCTTGTCCATGTCGAGTGTGAACATGACCGGGAAATATTTCCATTGCGCTTCATCGAATTGTTTCGCAAAGTCGGCACCTTTCCCTCTCGTGGTATCGGCACCTTGTTCGACAATATGTCTAAACTTGTCCTCGAGCTGTCCAAGTTGCATGGGCAATAATTGATCGACTATGTCCTCCTGCTGAACACTATGTATCCAATGTCCTAGTCCAATTTCCAGTAGGATGCTGAAAGCAATGATGCAGCGATCTCGTGGGTATGGTTCGCCGCAGATCTTCTTGTAAGTGATATAAAACTCCGAGCCATATTGACTGCTGGGGGGGTTTGTAGGCCTCATCCAACAGTCGTTTCGCAATTGGGTCTTGCGCGCCCGTTGTGTTGGTCATCCATCTGACCAGATCATCTGTGCGGACGTAAGGTTGTCCCTCGCCCTCAGCAGGTGTGATGGTATGTCGGCGCAACTGTTCGCAAAATTGCGCTGTCGTCCGCGCAGCTTCGTCGTGCGACATTGTAGCGGCGCATTGAGCGCGGGTCGAGTATCATCGACAACAGATACTACGAGATCTGCTACGACGAGGCGGGCATACGTTGAATGGGTAGGGTAGGCGGAGAGCAGATAAGTCGCGTCGGGGTTGCGGTGCGATTCGGACGAGATGCGAGTGATTGTAGGAGCAGTTCAGCTGCACGGTTGGGAGGAAAGTACAGGTTTTCTACAGACCGCTTTCCTCCCAAAATTTCCTTAGGCTGAGCGACAGGCACCCGTTCATGTGAGCTCGTAGCATTCGGCTGTCAGCTCCTCTTCCGAAGCGCCCCCAGTCCCGTTTAGGGCTTGCTGCGAGCGCCTCAGTGTGGCGAAGTGATCGCACATCATCATAACTGTGGAAGTGCTGGGACATTTCGCGATCTTCAACTGTGGCTGCGCATCGCCAGGCAACTGCTGTGGAAGATGCGAAAGCAACGATGTCATCAAACAAGACTGCGGCACCCAGCGGGCGGAGCCGTTCCGAGTAGTTTGGTGGGCCCCCTGACTCGACGACCAGGCACGAGCCGCCGTGACTCCTTCGCGTTCGCGCCGTAGCCACACCCACACTGCTCTCGTATCATCCTACCTTCGCATCTCCAGAATCACCGCGAGACGACGACGAATTTGCACAAGACAAACTTTAAGAAGATGTATGAAGCAGTATATTGTACCTCTCTCTATGTTACACAATACAATAGGAATTCATGTGCGATCTCCGAGCGTTGCTTCCCCCCTGTCAAGCGCCCTTCTTCTCGTCGTACGACGGAGCCAGGCGCCGTATGCGTCTCCTATCAGCGATGATGAATGCGATGAGTCCCATGATTACCGTGATCACTGTTAATGGCACAGTTATTTCCAACCATCTTTCGAGGGCCAATCCGGAGTACATTGCTTTTCCATCTGGTGAGCTCTGGTACTTCACGATATCAGTACTGAAGAATGTCTTTCGGGCTTCAATTAGCAGCGCCTCGTACGAATACTGTGCAATACTCACTGATACAAATGTAGCTGGTAGGTATACAAAAGTCCCAACGGTGATGACCTTCATCACGATCGTCTCTCGGTATGACATGGTCGTCAGATCTTCCATCTTCTTCGTCGCATGACTTTGGAGTTTTTGGAGTAACTTCACTCGATAAGCTTTCATCTTTATGCATGATTATATGCGTCACATACCAAATTCTTTCTGTTCTCTGTCACGTCTGTCAACAATTGCAATCGCCGCTTATACCCCGTGAAGGTATGCATCATGTCGGTTATCTGCTGTTTGAACAAGTCGACCGTGTCTGCGCATTGATCTCTCATGTCAAAGTCATTGTTTTCAAGAAGCTTGACGTAAAAATTTCGCAGTGAGGTCATGACTTCGATGTTTGCGTCAAGTACCATGGCGGCATTGGTGGCCTTCTCTTCGAAAAACTGAACATCTTGGAGACTTTCAGGGCTAGAATCATTACTGATCCACTTATTTACCAAGATGTGACCGCTCTTTAAAGTTGTTAGTGATACAATGTCGTACGGAGGAAAGAATTAGCGGACCTTCTGCTCGATAGCATCTTCGAGGTACTTGACATAATCTCGCCAATCCTGAGAAGCCCAGTGGCAATTCATGAGATGAACTGTGAGGCTGGAAGCGAAGCGATGCTCGCGACTATCGAAAGAAAGATCCTCAGGCACACCGGCAGTGCCTCCAGTCAACTCCAGTACTTCTTGACGATAATCCTTGACTCTTCCTTTAGCACTGATCCACAGTGCAGTACCTTCCGAGACATCAAATTGATGGTGGAATTCGTTTTGCTGTATCGACCAAGTCTGATCATCAACTTCACTCTTTGCGTCTCCTCTGGTTCTCGCGACTCTTTTCAGGTTGTAGCACATTTGGTATTGTCGTTCACTGCAGCCTAACGCACTCACGGCAGGTCCATAAGGACCGCCTGGTCGTGCTGCTAGGTGTTGTCTACTATTCGCTGTCACCTGCTGGGACGGTCCAGTTACATGCGCTGCCGTGCTACGTGACAGCGTAACCTGGTCAAAGAAGCCACTGAACCCTAATTCGCGCTTCTCCGGAAGTCGTTGTGCAAAGACGCTCAAGAAGTCTACCATGGCTGGCATGACTTGGTAATATGTGAACAATCGTTTCAGCATCCTTGGCGTTATCTTCAATGGCTCCGTTGAGCTCTCGCCGTATAGGAATCTCTCTACGTCAGCTACAACCACACGCAAAATTTATTGGTCAGACTGACATAAAACGATATTTAGGGACTTTTGAATTCAGATTCCAAGAAACCGCACCTGTGGATGGTTCGACGTGCGAATGTTCACCAAGCTGTTTTCGCAGCTCGTCCTCATTGATAGCCTGGTGGTTCAAGAACCCTTTCGTGTCAATTAGCACAGGATTACGCTTTCCGATGGAAACTGCGACTTACGTCTCTCATCATGGTTCCAGTCTCGGAAATGCACTTTGACCTCTCTCTCATCGTGTGTTAGGAAAGGCGGTTCCGCTGTCTCCAAACGCATGTCGTAGGCTTTCAAGACCCCTCTGTATGTAGGCTTGTAGATCAGATTCTGCGGGTAAGTATAAAATCTTTCATATGATTGAACGAAAGGGATTGATTGTGCTTGTTGCGCCATTTCGAGATAGACGTGAAAGCTGGATCCTTCACCAAAGGGTGAGCATAGCTTAAGATGTTGCTGTTCTTGCCATCCCCTCGCTGGCGCTAGACAATGCAGTGTTGATGAATTGTTGCCGCCGAGGCTTTAGTCAAAGCCTTCAGGCGTAGTCCGGTGACATGGTTTGGCAAGCTGCATGACACGGAATGCGAGCTGCGGCGCGGCTGAGCCACGCCTCAAAGCCACATGCAGGCGACTTCAACACATGGGCGCAGGAGGGAACATTGACATATTTCGCAGCCTTCCAAGCAAACTAGGCAGCAGTACAATGATGGCAATTCCAAGCTGCGACACTGGCCGGGGCAGATTTGGATGCTAGGGCGTAATGTCTATTGCTACGGGTTTACCCGTGGCAGTTGACACCACACAATGAAGTAAGGCTACGCCCCGCTTTATCCGCCCCCCTCGCTGTCAACCTCCTTCGATCGTTTTTTTCCGATTTCTCGCTGGTCTTCCTGTTGCGATATCAATGCGAGAGCTGGACAGCCTGTGAACGCACTTACTTCAGTGACCTTATCCTGTTCAGGAATCATGAACCTATAAAAATCGTGTCGCTGACAACGTTAGCCCATAGATATTGCCTTAAGAGCAGGTTTTCCGCATACAAGGACAAGATCCAGTTCCGCCTCGCTGACGCCAAATCTTCCCACTAACCATGCCTTCAACTCGTCCCTTTTATCGACCGTATCCAATCCGTAGCTCGACACTCTTTCCTGCCTCAGCTTCTTCTTGTTTTGGGTTCTGGAAAACAGTTTCTGAATTCCAAAGCTTTCTGCACGTTTTGGGGCTGAAAACATCTTTGAGGCGCCTGTCGCCCCAGTGTGTCTGCGCTCCGGGGGTGGCACACCTGACGGTGAAAATGTGGGTGGTGACATGGCGCGGCAGCGTGACGTCTGACCGGGTTTCAAAGAGTCGCACTGTAGGCTATTCGGCTGAGTTTCTTGCCTGGGGCAGGCTGAATGTCTTATATGCTGCCCGAGGCTGGTAGGGCAAGGCTGTAAGAGCCGCCTCGATCGCCTCGCTTAAGAGATGGTATGCAGGTATCCTCAGCCTCGTATTGCCGGCCTCCCTACAACTCAACGAATGCTTTGAATATACACAGGCGGTAAGGCTTTCTCATCACGAAAACGAAACTTTCTTCACGACATAACTTGGGATGGCCACAAAGATTCTCCAAGGCTTCAATGTTGCACATGTACAACCTGAGCATGTCTGACTATGTGCATGCCGTATGCAACCATCTGAAAATCAATCTATGTGCCAATTTGGCGCAAGCCAACAAACGATACAGCGAACCAAAGGGAATGCGTGTTTTCTTTTTTTTTTTATGTCTTCCTCGATTGTAAACGGTACGAACATTGCTGTGTCAATCCATACGAGAGGGATCTACCATAGGTACCCTTCACGTCATACAAACGTCACTCCCCAGTTGCCAAATGGCAGTCAAGCGGTAGCCTGGGCTTCGAACTCTTGAAGCGACATCTCTCAGAGGTTCACTATGGCGTCTATACTTCGATATCTTACGCCTCATACACATCTCTCACTACTGTTTCTTCCTGTTCAGAAAAAACTTTCCCATGTTTCTGAAATTCGAGGCTCCGCCATCGGCCTTCTTAAACCCGTGAGACTTCATTTGACCGCTCCCAGAGGGCGAGCTAAGGTATTCTGTCTTACAGGTATTCCATGAGGCTTGCCCGTCGATTCGCCTCCTCACGTTGCAGAGAGTTCGGGGTATCGGAGCATGAAATTCGATCAACAAAACAGCTGAAGCTACCCACTCTCTTGTAGCTCGTAAAGACCAGGAAACATGCCAGAATATTGATTGTACTTCCCAAAACGTTTTTAGCATAGCGTGAACTCCATCCTGTTACCTTGTATCGACGGATCCCTGAAAAGTTGTGGTACATACGCCATTGACACCAATTCGTATAGATCCTCTCGAGGTCTTACGATGAAATGTATGCCTAGGTCAATGTCGAATTGCACTAGAAGATCCCCTTTGCGAACCGTGTCCCTCGTGAGACCGACATACCCCTTGTCTGTTTGGATGATGGTGTTCTCTAGGTGATGTTCTTCGATGGCTCGTTCGACGTGACGATGGAGGCGGGGAAAAACCTTTGGCTCTTTTCCGTATAGCTTCATGTTTGAGCATGTCCCTAACGCCATAGATAACGCTTCAATAAGTTCTTCAATGTCTCGGACCCAGCGAGTACCAAATATGTTGATCTCATCGTCGATAATGCTGACGTTAGGATTTGGTAACAAATGTGCTAAATAAAACTCTCTGCGAACCCGCTCAACAAGCGAGAAGGCCATAACTACAAGTTTGTCCTGATTGAGGTGTTTTTCTGTATTGAGCAATGCCGGGACGTCAGGAGAAAAGATATGTAGCGAACGCAGCCATCCGTATATTGCTTCTGCACTGTCGAAGAGATCCTCATTTGGGGATCGGAAAGCGTCGAATGGGGTTTCGCGCGTCTCTATCCGTCCAAAAACGGTACCAGAGATCGTAAGTAGATGTCGACCGTTGTACAGCACCTTTTGCTGGACTTTGTCAAAAGAGTCGAAGCGCGCAAGCTCGATATCGGGCCAATCGACGGACCAATCAGGAACCCATGATGCGACATTCGGAAGCGTCTTTGGAAAAGTTGCTGGTCGAAGGAACGTACGTGTGGTAGATATTGTAAGTTCTAACATCAGGACCGTGGCTTTAGAAAATACCTCATTAGGACTGAGTGTATAATCTGGTGATAGAGGTGCTTGATTAGGCCAAGACTTTACCAATCCTAGTAGTGCGTAAATTTGGTCTATTGGGTTGGTTGCTCGCAATGCTTTGGCGGTAACGAGGCGTTTCCTTACATTTATCAGTACAAATCCTAATGTCCAGGATTCAAGTCCAGTAACGACAGCGCCAGGAGGCGAATACCAAGGTACGGATTTGCGGATACGTTGATCACAGTAGAGCCTGACTGCCGGAACAGCGATCACACTCCGAAGGTTCATCTCAGATTCCGGTCCACAAGTTCTCCACTCGTCCACGAAGCCACCCAACAGAGTGATTTTGGGGGCTGGAAACTGCCTCACAATGAACTGTAACAGATGGTGGTGAATTTCTCCCATGAAAAGGAGAGAGGCGACGACACGCTCGGCGGCAACCGCTTTGTCGCCATGTACAAACCATGGTGATCTGGATAGGATCAGCTCCTGGAGGACCCAAACACGTTCCCACCAGGGTAGGCGTATAAAGTCCACAATATCCTTTCCGGATAAGCTTGGTGGGGAGCCAATGACCATGTTGACCTGACTGAGAGCTGACTGGTTACGGTGCCGACCCCATAAGTTCCATAACGTTCTCCTGATTCCAAGCCCTCCTGGGATACGATCATAATTTTTGGCGTTATTCTCCATCTCATCCAACATTGGTATGGAAAGCCAGGCTTGATGCACGGAATCTTTCCAGATCTCGAGCACCCGCTCGCCAACATCATTTAAAAATTGCATCGTCTGGCGAGAGTTGACTCCAGGAGCCCCAAGGGAGATGAGAGTTTTGGCTGCTGCCGAATATATGGCGTCCATTTGCGCAACTTGCCAACTCTTCTCTGCTAAGTCCTTTTGATTTATGCATACTGCGTCGATCCAAATGGACAAGTCGACCTATAACTTATAGGTAAGAGAGTGCCTAGCAATGGGTACATGACCTACAGGCAGGAAGTTATTCCTCTGTATCTCACTAAGCGCGAATAAAAGATTCCGTCCTAACGGAATACATGCTCCATGAGGTAGGATAACCGCCGAAACTGGTGCTGGATCACCCCACACATAGGACAGAGCATAATATGGTAGATGTTCATCCGCAAGGCTGATGTGCACCAGTCGTCCAGAGATGCACTGCTCTTCGTAGCCATAAGGCTGTCCAGAAACGAAGTCCTGAATGTATAGGACACGGATCTCCTTCTTTTCTATGCTGAGAGGCCCATACGTGGGGATTTGCGACATCTTGGGGTGAGCAGCCTCGAGTAGAGAAGAAGACAGGCAACAGAGTGGCGGACATGCGTGGGGGCTGGAAACGCCACCACCACATGCGCTGACTGATTGTTACACTCGGTGTTCAGCCAGCGAACCAATGCAAATTACGAGAAACGTCCTGGAGACTTGGCAAAATATATCTTGTTATTTTGATCCGACACAGTGAGGCTGGCATTACTCGTGTTTATCACTATCTCATAAGTAGAGGTAGAAGCTGTGAGACTATCGTGACAATATCCTGTAAAACATCAAGGAGGGAGTATCGGCTACTCTAGCTTGCACAGCACGACATAAAGCACGTACCGCAGATAGTATGCTAGGAACTCCGATTGCTCTAACATGCGCTTGCGCTTTTGATATTCCCGCACATGCCTAAACTCCATGTAATATACACCTAATCTTTGTGAAAACCCGCTTGGGGATCACTTGCTATCCTCCGCGAGTCCTTCCTTTTCCATCTACGGCCATGCCTGTTACTCTCACATCATAACCCATCCATGTGTATATCATCTACTGCGTCTTCTTCACACTTCTCTCCGTCGGCGCACTGTACAACCACAACGCCACGAAAGCCACCCAGCCCACAACCGTCACCCAGATACCGCCGATCCAGACCCATGCACCGCTAATCTGCCAACTCCTCGGCCACTCGTCGTGCGCGAAGTGACGTACCGTGACCTGCCTCTTCTCATCCACGTTGGACAGGAACGGGCGGCGGTAGTTGATGCGGAAGTTGAAGATGCCATGTTGGTCAGGGGTGCGGAACGAGACGCCGAAGATGGTGGAATTTGCGGTTTGGGAGATGGGGGTGAGGTTGAGACGGTGGAAGGGGGAGAGCATGCTGAATTCGAGCTGGAGGTCGTCGTTTTGGGCGGGGAAAAAGGGCGCGAGGTGGTCGTTTTCGTATTCGGAGACTTCGACTTGGAAGGCCTGGGTAGGTGGTCAGTGCTGGTTAAGAGGTGTATAGGTGTTGGTGGGATGACTTACGACGTCCTCCTTAACGCGGTAGATCTTAGGGTTATGCTCTGGGACGGCAACGCTAGTATTTAGCTTCTTGCTCACGCCCTCGTCGTGGTAATGCAGGAATTTGCCGATCTTCAGGACACCCGTCTCCTTGAACGTCCAGGCAGTGACCTTCTGGACGAAGTCGCGGTTGGCGGTCTTGACAGCCTGGCCATTGAGCGTAGCTTTCTCCGCAAACCACTTGTTCTGAAGCAGCTCCGAAGAACCAACGACAGTCAAGCGCGCCGAGTTGTGGGCCTGGACCGAGGAGATGATGTTCAGCTGCTCGCCGGTCGCGAAAGGATCCTCGACGACATCAGCCTCGTCCTTAGGGTTGTAGCTGTATGCGGTGCTAGGAGCTCGGAGAATCGGCTGAATAAGTGGCGAGTCGTTTCCGAGTGTCTGGCCCACAGCGCGCGGGACCGCAATTAGGCCCTCACCAGCAAAGTAGTTCTTGACATCTGGCCGGATCGCCTTCGGGAACGGAAGCAGGAGAACATCATGCTTGTCCGCAGCAGAGGTAGAATCGAAGTTGAAGTGGTCAACCACCAAAGCGCCCTTGTCCGACGGGACATTGATGTCGAGCTCGAGAAGCAGCGACTGGACGGAGGATGGCGTGGCGTGTTCGCTGGAAAGAGCAACAATTACGTTTCCTTCCTTGTTCATGAAGTCGAGGAATTGGTTCGCTGTGAGGGCGGGACCGAGGCCTTTCGATTTCGCCGGGAGGAGGATTACGTGGTCATAGGCGCGTTCGCCATGTCTGAAGAGTGATAGTTTGTCTGCTTTAGGCGACTGTACTGTTGTGTGGAAACCTCGACCTAGTACAACAGTCAGTAATCTGTTGGAGGTAACGAAGCATTGCGAGCTTCGAATGTGTCTTGAGTCCGAGCAAGATGGTCGTTCAAGAGATCCAATCTGGATGGAGGTCCAATTCGATCGCCACGTTAAACCTTCAAGGACATCATAAATGCCCTCTCACTGCTCAAACACTTGAACAGAAGAGAGAAATCAAACATACTCGACAAGTCCTCTAACAATACACTGTACTTCTCCTTCTCAGCCTCCTCGTCGAGGATAACCAGCAATCTCTGCCCCGAGGAGCTCAGCGCCTGCACCGCGCCCAGCAGGGCAAGCAGCAGGAAAGAAAATAACCACCTCATGTCTGCGTTGTGGTGAAGTGGAAGCTTGTCAACCGTGTTACGCGGCGGGAGCTCAATTGGAGACGTATGCGTTTGCCAAGACTGGCCCACACGGCGCGCGGAGAAACGTGCTACCCGAGGGAAGCTAAGCTTCGACCGCGAACATCACTCCAGTGTCAGTGTGAAGCTCAAGCCATTGCGACAGCACGATTTGCGCGGGACACATACTGTAAGCTTTTCTACATACTTGGATAGCGAGGGAAAATGCTAATGCGAGAACAGGCCACAATGTCCACCGCCGCCCCCTTCTTCTTCAAGGAGCCCATCCGCTACCTCCGCTGGGCCTCCGTCAACAAGCCCGCCTACTTCTACTCCATCTGCGTTGGCCTCGCGGGCCCAGGAACCATCGCTGTAGTCGTACCGACGAGGAGGTACTTGGGCTATGAGAGGATCGCAAAGGTGCCGCAGACATATCCGAGTATGTGCGCGCGGGGATAGATGGAAGTTGCGTGGAATATTATGCTAACTGGGCGTAGTACCGAAGGGACCAAGGCCGAGACCGAGCGGGTTTGAGGACGAGTAGAGCAGGAATGCAAGTAGTGGAGGGCGTATGGGTTTCGAAGAGCAGGAGGATATCACACTGGAACTGGGTGGAGGTAGATTAGGGCCTGGGTAAGAGGCCAGAGTACTATCAGGCTGTACTGTACAAAGTCAAATTTCCTTCAACGCCAAATCGTTCCCAACGCCGAAGAGCGCTCTTTTAAGGAAAAGTCCAACAGGTGAACCCCCAAAGAGGTATAAATTAGCAGTTCAAATCATGTCAAGAAGGAACGCTAGAGAAATGCCTACCAGAAGAAGCTATCCGAATCGACCACGCTTAGGAGCGCGCACCGGCTCCTCATCATCCTCATCGTCCTCGACTGCCAGATCCTCCGAGCCCGTGCTAATCTCGCGCTGCTCCTGGTGCCGCTTGGCAGCTTCCAGATTGCGCTGCGCGATGTCGTTTCCTCCCGGACGCTTGCCCTTCTTGCTCGCCATGGCGTCGTCGCGGTCATCCTTCAGCCAGAAAAAGTCGCCATTCTCGAACTCAACGCAGGTCATGTAGCCGACTGGGTACTTCTCAACATTAAGTTGGCAATTGCTCTTCATGAGGTTCGACTTCTGTACCCACTCGGCCATGCACTCCTTGAGCTCGCAAACGTGGTTTTCGATTACGTTGATAGCCTTCTTCGTGATGGGGAACATTCCGTGGAATTGCGAGATGACGGCTTTGTCCATGTAGGCGTCGCCGCCGGCGCCGATGGCCTTGTACAGTGCGTAGCCGCCATCGTCGGCGGTGTGGCCTTTGTCGGCGATCATGCGCTGCGTGAACCAGTGGCGGAACCAGGCCAGAGCCATCCAGATAAGGATGTCCTTTGCATACTCTTCGCGCTGTGGTAAGTTAGCTGATATAGCATGTACCTTGGACTAAGCAGAAATACCTTGATAGGGATGTCGTTGGGCTTCGGAACCGCGATATCACCGGGATAGTGAGAGGCCAGCTTATTCTCCAGTGCCCTAGTCCTCTCAACAAGACGGCGATGATACTTCTCGGCCAGCTGCTTTGCACCCGGGGTCTTGGCCAACCCTGACATCGCGGTACGATTCTTCTTCCAGTAATTCCAGTGGCCGGCCAGATGAATGATGGACTCGCGGAAGATCAAGTCGGAGCGGATGCGGAAACTCATATTAGCCCATCCTTGTGGGTTGGCCTGGATAGAACGGAAGAGCGCCTGGCCGTGCTTCAGAAGCGCGACTTCCACAGCTTTGCCTACGATGATCGCGCGTTAGTCAGATACTGTTGATTGTGCTGACCCAGGAATATAAGGAAAGGAAGAACCTACCGATCAGGGCGACGCAGCCAAGGTACTCCGAAACCTCGATCAGACCGATGCAGTCCACGAGTGCAGCGCCCATATCATCGTCAGCGATGCGGATATCCTTGCCGTAGAACGCATAGAGAACGCGCTCCCAATTCTTAAAGATCTTCGTTGGTATACGTCCGTTCTCATTCATGACGCGGCCAGCGAAACCATCCACGCGCTCGCCGTTGTGATTGAGTTCCTATCGAAGATGCCGTTAGCGAAGGCGAAGAAGAGTCGGCAAGCGGCAACGTTTATAAGCCATCCGGGGGGCAACACAGTGCATCGAGCGCAACTTACGATAAGTTCGAGCTGGCCTGCGGGATACTGGGCGGTCGGCATCTCTACCAGCTCAACGACCCAGCGCCTGCTGATGCCCACGTACTTGGCTTTGGTGCTAAGCCTGGCGGCACTAGGCTCCGTGAGCATGTCCGCGAACAAGACGCTGCTGCGTGCTAGGGTGCTTGCATGGAAAGGGTATTTGCGGTCATGACTAAGGACGATCTGGACGTCGTGCGGTTGGTTCATGGTTACGGTGGTGGTGTACTAAAAGTGTCGTGAGTTGAGACTGGAGATTCGATGCGGCGTCATCGCTTTTATGTCTCTTCGGGTACCGTGGGTCGACTGGCAGGAGCGAAATTCTGCTCGTTGCTAGGGCAAAGTCGAGCTAAACTGAACTTGACCAGTGAAGGCACAACAATTCAACCTCGTAACTGTGCTCAAGGCAAGACAGGCGAGAATTGTGTGGACTAATGCAAAGAGGCGGGGTCAGAGTACGTACACTGAGGATATATATGAGGAGCAACAAGAGCCAAGAATGGACGAGGGAGTACACAGCGTACTGGCGTAGTAGTATAGTGTAGAAGAGAAGAGTGCTCGGTGTGCCGGGAGTCTAAATAGACGGTAGAAGCAGCCTGTCATACCTCAGCCCGCACTTGCTTCACTCACTTGCTCAAGTAAAGGTAGCAAACAGCGGAGATACTGCGGGCTGGCATTTCATACTCCCTGTTCGGCCGACGTAAAGTGTATTGAGGCTACTGACGGTACACTAGCACGCTAATAACACGTTATCGGCGTTTGCCACATCAGAAGACTGCACCAAAGGGCATGCGGAGTTCTCAGTCTCTTACCAGCATTTTGCGATTCTGCCGTTCTAAAAGCTAATTGTAAGCCTCAACACCAACATTCCCCATCTCTAAGACCATAATGCCACCAATAGACTTGCTTTGCGAATCTAAAGACGTACGCAGAATATCACACAACATAGTCTTCGACTGAAGAATTTCGGCTGCAGTATGGTTCTACATGATTGTATCCCGTACATCACGAGCTATGAGATACCTGCAACAAACGGCAAGCATGATTAGTAGTGTAGCTCGACGCGAATCCAGAATCTATGACAGTAACAGCCGAGCAGTGCTGGGTGCATCGAAAACACAGCCACAAACTTTTCTTCCGCACTTCTTTCCTTCCAAGGCTTTCTTCCGGCCGCTATGACAACTTCACATATACAGCATCCACAACACTTCCATTAGCATCATGTTCTCTCTTCTTTTCCTACTAGCCCCTTATCCTACGATCCTGCTCATAGGAGATTGCAAGGCTTAATGGTATAAAGTTTATGTCCGTATTCCAGACCAGAATTTACATCTGTCACTCCAGCGTCCCCAAGTTCGGCCCACGAAAATATTCCTACGACCAGAGTGCGAGAGGGGGTGAAACATTTCATCGCTGATAAGGGTAAGTATGAGGCAAGCAAGAAGAGTGTGGACAATACAAGATGACGAAACGTACACATGATCAGTCTTGCGTAAGGTGAGATGATTTCCAATGGAAAGAAGCGTGTTCAAACTAAGGATCGCATACTCGAAACACCATTCAAATGCGCGTTATTATTGTAACAATTCCATTTCTTCGTATCCTCATCGTGCTCCATTAATCAAGCAATCGCTGCCTGCTGCTGCTGCGGTGGAGGTGGAGGCGCCTCCAACCGTGTATTCTCCGCCATCATCCGTCCGAACATGATTCCAACGCCCTCGATGACGCCAATGAGCACACCGCAAGCAATGGCGTTGTTTCTCATAGCTTTAGCACCGCCTCGCACAGCGAGCGCGGCACCGGTGCAGAAACCTCCGAGGATTCCGTTCCACGGATCTTCTTTCTTCCTGCACCTCGTCAGCCTTCGCGAACTGAAATTGCACCGACAATTATGAGGTGTGTCGCGCACCTGATGCCTTTTACAGCGCAGTCAAATGTGGAGAACAGCCCGCCCCAGACGCCGAAGTTCCCGCCTAGGACGGGTGCGCGTGCTTTGATGGCCGTGATCGCGCCGATGCGCCGTTCGCCGTAGGGTGAGTTACTTTACACATCTCGGTCAGTATGCGTAAAGACATCTGGACTACCTCGTAGTGCCTCATGAGTAGTACGTACCGGAAGCCCTTCACTCCATGCCAGATCGCTCCACCCACTGCCTATGAATCGTTAGCATCGCAATGACGTAATCGGCCAGCGTAGCTGTCAGGCCAACATACTCCCATGCAGAATGCACCACCAAAATCGTTGAGGGCAACCCACGGGCAAGGATCACGAGAGTGGTCCATGATGAGATGACATTGGTGACAATGTGTGGAGAGCTTAGAGCTGGAGGTGCCAGGAACGCAGCTGCATGTTACACGCGGGCGTCGCGGGGTAAGCGCGACCCTTGAAAGCTTGGTGCACGTGGCCTTTCATTTGCAGAAGGACCTGCAAGTGATTGTCTAGCTGGCTAAAGAGCAAGAACTTGTGCTTCAAGTAGAACTGATTATGAAAGGGGATCTGAGTCTCCGTGGGACATGGATTGCTGGCCTTTACGATGAAAGAGGTCTGTAGAACTACCAAGGTGCTCAAGCGATCCACGGACATATTGGTGCCTAATGTGCAGTGCATTGCATGACTGGACTGTGAATGCTTTTGCTTCCAACAATGCGTTCAACATTGAACCAGATACCGGTAGGCAATCCGGAAGCTTGCCTTACAAGTATTGAGATGTCGTATAAAGATACGCTGTACCTGCGGAAGACATCGAAGCCAAGGCCGTAAACAGCTCCCACAATGAGGTTAATGCGACCTCACCTGCATCGATGTGCATGCGCGGTCAGAGCCGCCGACTTCAGATCCGGCGGCCCGCAAATTAGTGAAATGCTTCAATGTCGCCTCAACTCAATGGGGCGGAACTATTCGAGACGCAATGGGTTTGGTCACAGCTTCTTGCAAGATGAGCTTCTTATCAGGCAAACACGAAATGTGCGAAATGTGGAAGTAAGCGGAAGCATGCTAGCAGCTCTATGGCGTTCGTTGGGTTTCCTCGACAGGCCTTGAGGCCTCGAAAAGGGGAAAGGTAATGTCAAATGTGGCGAGTCGTGTCGAGGACGTGAAGCCAGGAGTTATTACCAATCCTCTTTTGATATTAGCGCCCCTTGCACGGTCTACAGGAAGGCCGACCATGCATGCAGGTCAACGTAGATAACCCAGTCCCTCTCAACTGCTCTCACGTACCTCTGTCATCATCGTCGCACACCATTCACGTCCACGAACCGAGTCCTCCGAGTCGAGCTATCCATTTGCTGAAGTGTTGGTGGTTTGGCCGCAGCGGAGCCACCTCATTCTGCCAGCGTGTGCTCTTGGCATTGGGTGGATCTGTAATCGCACGGGTGGACATTCGACACCTCTACCACCAGTCCCTACGCGCTGCGACTGATATTCTGGGATATATTGTTGGATAGTCTGCAGTAGGTTGACATCCCGGACTCCGTGGCACGACACATACACTGTCAGCCAGCTGCTATCGAAGCGAGGGGCTTTCCGACCACACTCCGCTAACCTGCCACCAGTACCGACCGTTTGTGGCCTACACCGTCCTCCCCAAAAAAGGTGCGTCAACATCCTCAGCGACCCCCGAACATCATAGCACGCGAGCAGTGACCTAGCGAATCCGGGATCCTAAGGTGAATATTGTGGGTGGCTGAATTGTGCTGATTCGGTGCGTAGAGCTTGGTTTGGATAGAATCATCATTGGTCTGCTTGGAAGTGGCGGCGGCCTGCGCAACACAGTTGGACAGGAGCGGAGGTGATTGCCAATATGGCAGCGGCGACGGCTGGTAAGTATTGGGGTTCCGTGAAAGGTCCCCAGATTTTTTTGTTTTTCCCTCCTTGACACCTTCACACACAACATGAGCTCGGCGGGCATTCTATCGTCGATAACGGCCTATCTGACATTGCCTTTCCGCTTCGTAGGCTACGAGTGGAATCGCTCCTCGCCGCTGCGCTCGTCCCCGGACACAGCGTCCCCCATGTACCCCGAACGGCCCATCCGCCCTCTCCCCAAGCGGCGCCTGCGCGATCGCATGTCGCCTGAACAGGCCGACACCATCATATACCCGCCGAACCCACCCTCGACAGGTCCGCTTTTCAACTTTCCCTACTCAACCGGCGAGAGGAGCAGGACGTTGAACAGGGAGGGCGCGAGCGACCACCATACCTGTCACTGCGGGCATAATCATTCCGAGGTGGAGAGCGACGAGGAGGACGAGGGCTTCACAGACGAGCACGGTCTGCCTCTACCCTCATCTCCGAGCTACCACTACAGCCGGAATCTGCCTGGCAGACCACTGGCGGGCGCGGTGGGCGCATATCACAAGCCCGGGTCAACATCGTCTTCGGTGGACGGCTACGAGTCTTTTGAGAATACGAACAACAAGAAGAAGCGGAAAATCCCAAATATGGGCGGTGTCAGCACGCACCCCACGAGCCTATCAGCAGAGATGGCTAGCATGGGCATATCGCATCCCGATGAGCTCGCTGGTCTAGATGGCAGGGATGGGTCTGCAAATTACTACACATCGGCACCGTCAACACCGCAGCATAACAATGCAGGCGCAGGCATCTCGGGCGCAGGCAGAGGGCGGTTTGGACGTACATCATCTGGACGGTCAGAGCGGCGTGTTTTGCATAACTCGACAAACATCGCCAACGCCAAAGCGAGCAGCAAACGTATGGTTTTCACCTGGGAAATTGCGACTATTACAAGGCGTCCGTGCGCTGACTATTTATTTTCTAGGACCTTCAGATCAACAAGGTATCATCTCAACCGCCATCGCCAACGCACAAGCGACGCCACCGCACGCCGGCAATGAGAACGTGAGCTTGCTACACCAGGAGGCGGCCAAGCCTAGCGCGAATAAGACACAGTTTACCTTCACTTGCGGCTCTGATTCGGCCAAAAATATGGTCTGGCCAGGTCAGGAGAACGGATATCCTCAACCTCCCGGCGCGTATCCTACATCGGCAGGAGCACCCCCACCCGGAAGCGGGCCTCGGGCACGACCCCCGGTTCGCCCTGATAATCCCGCCGTCAGCAACCAAGGCACGCAGACAAGTCCTAGCATGAACGGCACGGGCCGCCAGTCCAGGAACGCTCCCACTACTGGTGGAGCTCCAAACCAGCAAGCACCGGCACCGCGAAAGCCTCGCCGAAGCGCCGCGAAGCTATACGCCTACGCTGCTCGAAAACGTCGAATCGAACAAGAATACCAAAACTTTCACAACCCACCTGATCCTGCGTGGATCTGTGAATTCTGCGAATACGAGGATATCTTTGGCAGACCTCCAGTGGCTCTCATCAGGCAGTACGAGATAAAGGACCGGAAGGAACGGCAACGTTTGGCCGAGAAGCGCAGATTGCTGGAAAAGGCTAGGATGAAGGGTCGTAAGGGCAAGAAGGTCAACAAGAAGGCGCAGAATAACGCCAACAACGCCCAGAATCATCAAAATCCTCCACCTGGTGACTACGACCGGCGTCCGGAGAACGAGCCATTAGACGGCCAGGATGAGGACTACTACGACGAGGAGTATGACGACAGCCCAGCCAACACTGCTGTGCAGCCTCGTCGCTGCGATCACCCTGGCTGTCATCATCACCACCATCATGCGCCAGTCATGCCTCCCGGCGATACACGCGGCAGAGAGCCCAGTAGGGCCTAGCTTCCGGACAATGCGGGGTGGGCCGCCATTGTTCTTTTGTTGTTCATTTTTGTACTTTGCCTTTGTCATTCTACCCTGGTCGAGGTTGGACGCATTTATGTCTGGGTTGAGCAGCTACTCTTCGAGTCGATCCTCTACTTTATTGGGATGTCTCTTGCAGAGGGTTGCTATTCACCCTAGCCAAGTCTCCGTTCTACGGAAGAGTTTACGAAAGGCTGCCCAGCCTGTCGCCCCGAATGGATACTCGCCACACATACCCCGACCGCCTCGACCGGTGCCCCCTTCCAGCATCATCATCCCACTTTTTCCAGCGTCTCAGCATCCCATACATCATCCCCAGCATTGCCCGGAGCCCCATATTCTACCTTCCTAGTCCATTACCTCGGTCTAGCGAGCGTGCAGGTGAGCGATTTGCTTGCTCATCCCCTTTTCCTGCCTTCGGCATGGAACTACCACCCCACTCCATATCAACAACCCATTCGAACCCTCATTGGACGATCTAGTTACCATCCTGGATTAGCCTCTTACCCAGGGACAGTCGAATGAGACCGTACGGTTTACAATATTGCGAAAGAACTTCAACACAGCGTTGGATATACCGTTGCATACAGAAACTGCTACTGTGGACTAGTTGTATGTATCACTACAATTCCACTCGTTGTGACATTTGATGTATCTTTGCGAGCCTTGATAATCCCAATCACCGATGTGAATGTACGTTGAGCTGTGAGCGTACAAATGTCATTGCCTTGTTCTTGAGCGGCGAAGCGGTCAATGGGCCAATGAGAGGACGAGCTGCTCCGACGCTCGAACCCCACTTACACCCCCACCTACAGCATCGCGCCATCCGAAGCTAGATCACTACATACAACTCTCAAAAGCTTAGACACTGTTGGTCTTTTATCCTCAGTTCCAGAATCTAGGTTTTGCTTGGAAGGATATATGATGGGCGCACCCGAGATCCACAAGTACGGCACGGATGACGGATGGCACGGAAAGATCGAAGAAGGCGGAGAATTCCCACCTGAGAAAGATAGATATCACCTCTACATCGGTATATTACGCTCTCTTCCCTTCGTGCTTCATTTGTTGCTTCGTTTGACCACTTCATACCTTTTCACCGAACTTTCCTCTAGTCCGTTCATAGACCGGTCCACTTTATCTCACAAAGACCCAGCTTACATTCTTCAATGTAGGTCTCTTCTGCCCCTTTGCGCACCGCGTAAACCTCGTTCGCTACATCAAACACCTCACGCCCTTCATAACCCTCGATGTCGTGCGGCCTTACCCCAAGGACGGTGGTGGATGGCGCTTTCCAGCCTCCAACGATGAATACCCCGGCGCTACCGTGGACAGTCTCTTTGGCAGCAACTTTCTGAGCGACGTGTATTTTCGGGACGACAAGGACTACAAGGGGAAATACAGCGTGCCCTTGCTCTGGGACAAGAAAGCTGGGCGAATCGTGAATAACGAATCAGCGGAGATGCTGCGGTGGCTACCAACCGCGTTCAACAGCCTGCTAGACGAGGATGCTAAGAAGATTGATCTCTACCCTGAGGCGCTTCGGCGCAAGATCGAAGAAGCAACACCGTGGATACAGTCCCATATTAATACCGGCGTGTACAAAGCTGGCTTCGCCCACACACAGGAAGCATACGAAGCAGGCGTCGTTCCGCTCTTCGCCGCTCTCAACAAAATCGAGAAACTCCTTGCTGAGAACGGCGGTCCGTATGTGCTCGGGAAGCAATTGACCGAACTCGACTTGCGACTTTACGCAACAATCATCCGCTTCGACACCGTGTATGTGCAGCACTTCAAGACCAACCTTGGGACCATACGGCACGATTATCCCACCCTGAATAACTGGCATAAGAATCTTTACTGGCATGTTGAAGGGTTCAAGGAAAGTACGGATTTCAAGCACATCAAGGAGAATTATACGAAGAGCCACGGGGATGTGAATCCCTTGGGTATCACGCCGTTGGGACCGTTTCCGGAGGTCGAGGAGGGCTACGAAGAGGATTGGGGAAAGGTGAGGGTGGGCGAAGTAAGCCATCCGACGGTGTTAAAGGAGAAGCTATAGGAAGACGCGTCTCAGTATCTTTCCCTGCGCCTGACCCCAGGTTATACGAACTCTACATCATCTTCTCTACTCCCACATGCTCCTCCCTACCTCCTACCTCCACCTTCTCTACATCATCCTTCCCCTGCTCCCTCCTACCCCTCCTGATCAACACCACCGCAACCCACACAGCCCTCGTCCCTGCACTCAGCGCAAGCCCCTCATAAACCGCATACGGCACCTGAAACAGGACCGCCGTCTCCCAGCCCCGCCATCCGAACAGCACTGCGGTAAAAAATCCCGCCGGCACCAAGAACCCCAGAACATACGGCGTAAAAAACCGCCACCGCTGTCTCTGCACATCATACAATTTCCACTGCACCACTGCGAACGTGCAGAGCGCGGCGAAAACAAGTGACGTCGGCGGATCAAGCATGAGTATCCAGGCGCGCTGTAAGCAGTCCTGCCGATCATCCCACCTAGATTAGCCCATGTCTATGTACTGCGAGAGGTGAGACGGTACGCTACGTGCGGACTTTGCACGCCCTTGTATGAATCCCTCAAGCACCCGTGGGAGCCAGATTTCCTCCTCGCAGTATGTGCCGCCTACGGCGTCCCACTTCTTTTTCCAGGCGAGGACATGCCGGGATAGTTCGCCGTCTGCGAGGAGGCACATGAGGGAGAAGGAGGCGAGGTTGAGAAGGAAGATGCGGAGGGAATCTATGAGGGGCGGTAGGGTGGGTGGAGGGGCATTGTTGCGTGGTGGGTCGACTGTGGTGGGTGTTTGAATGTTGCTGGATGGAGGAGGGTTGAGAGGTCTTTTGTTAGGTGCGCGAGGTGTGATTTAGGGTTGGGGGTGGCGTAGTTGGAGGGATGTCCGTTGAAACGCGGCCCCATGTAAGGCTGTGCAGTAGTATGACCGGGCTGGCCGTTGTTGACAACGATTTAGGGATGGCCTAATGCTTTTAAGAATCTTCGAATAGACAGAGCAAGAGAGGCTGCATGGCATGCTGATCCAGCTCGTCAGGATAGCGTGAGTTATAACCATGACTGTATTGATGGAAAAGGTCACAACTGATGGTTTTGTAGGATTTCTATGAGAGGATGACACTTCAAGAGTGAAATTCTCTGCAGCTTTGATATGCCAGAGTTGCTAAGCTTACAAAGCGCATGAAACAGTCAGTCATGGTTGAACTACAGTACACGAAGTCTTGCTCATTCGCGCAACTACAGCCTGTCTAGCTCTCGAGAACCTGTTGGCTCAAGCAACGCACGCGATCCAGGCGCCAGGGAAGACCCCTTCCAAACCCGCTCCAGGGCGTTTAGGTACTCCGATCTATACTGTGACATGTGATTGCAGTGCGGCGTGCCCTGGAACTCCAGCTCTCTGACATCCCAGCTCTTAGCCCTTGCCTCGTCAGCGTGGCTCGTAATATCCTCCCAGTCAACATGCTCATCGGCCTTGGAAAACGCGTAGCAGATCCTCCTGCAGTCGACAAACCGTGCATCAAGCAGCGTACGTCGATATATCCTCTCAGGCTTCTCCCACCCAATGAGCTGGGAGCCAAAGAGCACATTAATGACGAAGGTTATAATGATGGGTCCCACAATGCGCCAGAAGAGGCCTTTAGGCAGCGAAAGAAGCATCGAGTGGAACGACTTGCGATAGGTGCCGCGTGCAGGGCCGCTATCGCATATGATACCGTTGAGAGGGATGGCATGACCTAGCTGGCGTTCGAGCACGATAAGTAGCTGCGTTGCAGAATTGGTGCCACCGTTCGAAAAGGTGTGAATTATGATGTTGGGTTTCGCTCCGGATCGGTTCGCGTTGGCGCAATCGTCGAGTACACTGAGCACCACTTCTGCCGCCGGTCTGATGGCTACCCACTGTCGTACGTATGGGCTGGCGATGTTGAACACGCTGGATTCGAGAAGAAGTATCTTTGCGCGCGGTGCAATCTCGCGATACCCGGCTACGTACTTGGCTATGTGCTTTTTGCCCGCCCCGAGCCACGTGCAGAGAATGACAAGTTCACCAGGCGCGGCGTCTTGAGGGATGAAGAGCGATATGCGTGGTCCTAGCTTGGTGAAGACTGGATCGGCGGCTGCTAGGCTGGTCATGCTGGCAGAGCCTGAACGGCGTTGGTGGAGACACTCGAGGTAAATAGGAAGAGTTTACTGCATTTAGGCGCAGTGAGAGACAGCGAGACCAAGGATGACTTAAATACACTACACTTTGTTATGAGCATCCTTCTGGTCGCCCCTATAGACTACCTGGGTACCTAGGTAATGTAGAAATGTAGACTAATCATCGCTTCGGGTAGCTACTTTAATCGGTACTGGACTAGGCGTCCTCCGTGCTTCGCCCCCACCACTGCGAACAAACCACGCCCGCTTCTTCTCCTACCTATGGTGCTCTGAGATTCTACTACAGTTCCCGTGTCTCGCGCATGCCCATAAGCTCCGCCACAATTGCTGCGCGCCTTCTCTTGGGCGAAACCTCGCGTACGATCCGTTGTGTCTACGAGGGGTGATACCACAGCGGGATTTTCCGAGAAGGATTTGGGGCGTACTTGGCGCCCAGATTATATTCCCAGCGCTTCTGCACTCGCGTACTCTCTGTTGCTGCTATTTGAATATAGATTGCATTCCTAGAAAATGAGTGGGCCTTTACCAAACTTGAGTGAGAATTGGAAATTGATCTTCCCTTGCGGGCTTTTGCACAACAGGCCAAGGATTGGAGAAATGCTGTAGGTATGATGCTTAGCGAACACAATGTTGATATATAACCAAGAGATCTTACAGGTTCTCTTTTCTCTCTCTGGTATTCCTACCAACATGTGACCGTAATTCCGGCGTCTGAAGCGTTTGGTCTGTAACAGTAAAGACAGCTTCTACATATGTGACACAAGGTAACCGCCAGAGAAACTCCTTTAAGCCATGATAGGGATCCAGACTACACCTTCCGAGACGCCTTAGTGACGTTCATGGCGACCAGCCTCATTCTGGGCTTGCCACGACTCCATCACAAGTTGAAGACTTTCCTGGAAGTCGAACGTGATCTGAGCCATAGTCTTGATGTGGTCCAACCGCAGTTTACCACCATCCATGGAGCCCAGGGACGCCGCCGAGAAGAGCACATTGCGGATTTGGCGTCCATTGAGTGGCTTGAACAATTTGCTCGCCTCACCCCTGTGCTTTCCGAACCAGTCGATGATGCCCTCTCGGTCCTCTACTTGCTTTCTGTTGAGGGGCTTCAGGAATTCTTCGAAGATGGCGATCTTATCGGGGTATTCCAGATTGCTGTACATGATACCAAGATTGACTCGCGATAGGACAGCAACATCAAATTGCTTTATGCGGTTGGTGGTGAGAATGAGGATTCCTTTGTAGTACTCCAACACACGCAGGAGTACGGATACTAAAGCGTTACGTGTGAGATCGGACGTGTTGGCGCTCCGCGACTCAAGAAAGACATCCGCCTCGTCAAACAGCAAGACGGCGCGCCAGCGAGCAGCGAGTTCGAAGAGTGACTCAAGGTTGTGTTCGACGACTGCCGGATCCAGGCCAATGTCTGAAATGCTAACTGCAAAAAGTGGCTTTCCCGTCAGGGAAGCCACGCTTTCGGCAGTGAGGGTCTTCCCTACTCCCGGAGGACCGTGCAACAACATGACAAGACCCTCGCCTTTGCCCTTGACAATGTCCTTCATCATAGGCTCTTTCAGGGTGCTGCTCGAGTGGCTTTGGACGAGCTTTCTGATCAGGGTTTTATGTTCGTCATCGAGTTGGAGCTTATCGAAAGCTACGTCATTTGTTTCTTCTTTCTTGATCTTGATTTGGTCGACGTGTAGCTCCAGCCATGTTCTCGTGGTGAGGTGATATCCCAGTACACGTGGGGGGCACAGCATATATTGCTCGTCACTTTCGAAATCCTTCTTTGCTGGGCACCTGTCGAAAGCTCGGCGTTGGTTGCGCCATAGAGGTTCGTTAACTGCGCAAGACCCGCAACTACATTCGTCGTCTCTGTTAGAGTACACGATGTTGCCCATAGGAGGATATCGGCCAGTGTTAGGATATACATCAGTGTGAGGAGCGTGCTGCAGGTATGAATTGAAATCAACCATAATGTTACCATTGATCTAGCCACTGCTTGTCAGCAATTGAGCTCACGGGTTCCTAATAATCTCATGAGATGTTCGACTGACCTGTCGCGCTTCGGATGTCTTGAATAGAGACTCTGTTCTGCGCCGGCGACCGAACATGACTCGCAATAGAGTTTCGTCGCCAGAACCCTACATCGCCGAGTATCAGATTAACAGATCTTATGTTTGAAGATTTTATGTGACTCTTACTCCTGATTGTTTGTTTTTGAGCCGCTGGAAACCACTTCCATGGGATATCGCAGTACCATCGTACTCAAACGTTTGCTCTCCGAGACGATCCTCAATCGTCCGCACACAGTACTCTCGGAATAGCTTCCCGCGAGCGATGAGTTTATTTTTGAGCTCTCCTATCTTACGTTCCTGATCGTCATCCGTAAAGTGGTTCCGCAACGGATGACAGTGAAGCGTATTGATCAGCTTCACCCCTGGGAACTCTTCGAATTTGAAAAGAACTGGAACGCGGGTGAAATGTTTCCCATTCCAGTCATAGCTCCAACAGTGTAAGTTGCAGACTTGTCGATTGTCTTTAGGCAGCCCAGAATCGCTTTCCGTAGGGTAGTAGCTGCTACACTCTTTGACTACGAAGATCTGATCTTCTTTCATGAAGGATGTGGAGTAAACTATTTCTCCTGGTGGGAAGATCGTCCAGAGGTTGTCGAACTGGATCGTACTGTTCTTTACTGCTGCCTCTATGGCGGAGAGATAAGCTTCAACTTCGGGTGAAGAGCGGACACGCTCCATGAGAGCAACCAGGTCCTTCTGAGCTTTCCCCAAAAACTTTTCTGGCTTTTGCTCCACTGTGGCTGTTTGACTGTTCCGCTTCGCTTCTCCGATCTTCTTCGTAACACTTCGCCAAGAATCAGATTCAAAAGATTCTCGGGCAAGTTCCTCTAGTTTGGTCCATCTCTGTAGGAGCGGCTCAAAGGGGCTGATCAAAGTAATCTCGTTGTCACTGTCCTATGCCAATGTTAGTGCTCAGTTGTGCTGGGAGCTTAGCAACAGACACCTACCGCCACAACGTGCATCCTTGGATCATGAGCGAAAAGTACTCGGAAGATGTCGCGCAATTCCACACTGAGAATTTGAACCTCCGCCCATTTGTATTTTCTGTTCTCACCGAAGCGACTTGTCCACACTATGTCATCTTCTTCCTTGCGTTTCTCAGCGTGGCCGACTTTGAGGATTTCATCCTCAGATACGTCTTTGGTCTCTTCAACTCCATCATCGTTGTATCTGACATTGCGAAAGCGTATTCTAGTGGCGAGCGGCTGAGAATCTGGATTTGAATTAATACTAGTCCGTTTATCACCCGTTACGTGTTCGCCATTGGGGCGGAACTAGTGTGGCAATTAGCTACAGCATGCAATTCAAGCCAAAGGAACCGACCTGCTCAATCCGATCATTAGATGTCAAGTCCTTCGCACTGAGCTTCGTATCCTTCCCACGCGAGCCGACTGTAATTTTGGTACGCTGTATCCGTGAGCAATATCATCTTAGTACTCAGGATCCCAACAACATACTCCATCCGACGTTTTGGCAACCAGGCTTTCTAAATCTGCTACACGCTTCTCGAGAAGCTCGATGTATCTTGCTTCAAGTAGACGAACTCTCGAAACCGAATCGGTGTTGACATCTCCGCCGTTTTCCATTATGATCTTACCCTCATACGACCCCAAGTGAAGAACTGACTTCTCAATATACAAAGCTTCTGGTTGTGCGCGAACGGGAAGGCTTATCCTGGTTATAAAAGGCGCAAGGCTGAGTTGAATGATGAGACTGCCTGGGCAAGCTCTGGTACCGGGAACCACAGGATATTTCTTGCTGAGCTGAGAAATACCCTACATATCCTCGTCAGCGGAAGCTGCATGTATCGGGCGATTTAAGCTATTGGGCTCTGATAAGGATCCATACACAGCCTTGTTGCGTTGCGTTCACGAGTGTAACCCGCTTGACTGCGATCGGTCGTAATTCGTGTGTCCTGACATGGGCACTGTGTATCGTTACGGTGAGTATTGTGACGCTCTGCGCGAGGCACAAAACAATGGTGATTGAATCGCATGCGACACACTGTTGCTCGAGTTCAATAGAAATGCCAACCCGGCATTGTTGTGGCAACAGCCTGACCGGAATATGCACATGTGTAATGAGGGGAAAGGCCGCCGGATAGAGCATAGTGGTGTCATTGCGTCGCTCAAGTGCAAACAAGACGACCTCTCCCATTCGTGCCGTAGAATAACCTTTCCGATTCGTGCCACAATCGTGACCAAATCCTATGCCTGTCAGACGAGGGACCAATCCCGGAAGAGTGTGGTGCGATAATCATGCACAAGGCTGGACTGGCAGCAACCTCGCTTACATGCAGTGAGAAGGCAACTGAGACCTCTAAGCTCGCGTCAGTCGTGTTGCCGTTGCATCGTATCAGAATGACTGATCAAAGTCCGTATCATCAGGTTATCAAGTGAACAGCTACCCAAGTACCGACTGATGTCCGGCTTCACGACAATTTCTCAGCTTGATTGAAGAGCTTTCTTGGCAGATAAGAAGGAACAAGGCTGTAAAGCGACCACAATACGAATCGATAAGAGCTGAGGGGTCGTGCATACGCGCTTCGTGTCAGACGCACTGCTAGCCTTCGTGTGAAAGAGTGTGCATACCTATTAAATCGGAGGTTTTGCTTGACGTGCGCCTGGCAGCAAGGCCAATCTCATGCGGCTGGCTTGCCTGCAATGGAGAAGCAAGAACTTCGTGATGACCCAGGGACAAAGCCAGACAAGATCTCCTTCCATTCGGTGTATGCATCGTCCCAATTAGAGAATTTCTGGGATGGAACGAGCGACGAGGTGAAGAGGTATTCTACCTCGCCCCCCAACGGTGGATACCCGCTGATCAAACAGAATCGTCGGAAGTGCCGCCGACGTTCAAAAAAGCGACTTCTTGACGGACGAAGTTCTACGAAAGCTGTCGAGGAAGGAGAAGGATTACCTGAACGGATCGTCAGCCGATGAACTCGAAACGGTCCTACAGACGTACTTCCATCGTGCGACCGAACGGCAAACGGCACTTAAGACAAGTCAAAGAAAGGCCCATCGAGCGGAGCGTAGGACCTTTGAGTTCTTGGATAATTTCCACAACTACGCTGAAGCTTATTCCGGAGTCATCCAGATTATGAATGCCGCCCCAGGCGGAGGATACGGTGATGCCGCATACGGTGCGCTGTCGCTCTTCTTAGTGGTATGTGCATCGCTTTAAAGATATCTATAGCAGTAACTGATCGGCAGCATATTAGGTCGCAGTGAACAAAGTGAAAACCGAAGAGCTCATTGACCAAATGATGCAGACCCTTCATCAACAGTATTGCAGGATCAAAATGGTGAAGGACGTCTACAATACCGACCGCATGAAGCAACACGTAGCAGTAGTGTACCGACTAGGAATTGAATTTCTCTATACCGCCGTTCGGTACTACTCGAAAAGTACCTTCCGTAGATGGTGGCATGTCGTGGCACAGCCACCGAGCATGCAACTGACGAACAAAATCTCGGAGATTCAAGCCGCTGTTGAGGAGATGAGGAAAGAAATGGAGGTTCTCGATGGTATCAGACTGGGAAACATCGAGACGAAACTTGAAGAAACGGCTGCACAGCTTGATAGGACGGCAAAACATGTACAAGGTACCTCTTACGACGCGCCATACTGAAGCGTATCTAACAGAAACAGCTTTGCGAACGCAAGTGGATGACGAACGGCTAGAACAACTGCAACAATTATTAGGAGTTGCACAGAACGATGTGGATCCTGCCCTTCAGGTTTACGCTGATATCTTGCGGCAAAGGTTCGACATGCGGAAATGGCCCCCGTTCGACGTAAGCGGAACTCTCTACAGCAACCCGGACTTTCGAGCGTGGCGAAAGACCGATGACCTCAAACTGCTCATTTTGCGTGGATCGACCTCGCAGCCACCCAACACCGATCTCAGTTGGCTTTCTCCTAGTGCTGTGCAGCTTATCAAAGATGCCGACGAGATCTTCGGGGATAGCGCAACACTTCTTCTACGCCATTTCTGCAGGCTCATCGATGACTGGCACAACCGAGACCGAAAAATCGTAGCTCAAGTCATTGTTAGGAGCTTCATCCTTCAGGTCCTGAGAGATCCACGTAGCGAGTCCTTCTTCCGCAATGACCAAGCGTTTGCAAAGACGAAGCGCGGGTTGGAGTCGGTCAACAAGATCGACGAGGAAAGAGCCTCCGAGATTACAAGCCAACTGTTTGGCATATTACGGGGTTTGTTGGAGACTTTCAGAATTGAGCAGCTTATCATTGTTGTTGATCGATTGGACGAAGTCGCCGATAACCTCGAGGTGTTCATTGATCCACTTTTGGAGATGATAGCACACAATGACTGTAGAATCAAAGTGGCAATGACGTTGCGTACCCCTCGTGATCTGAAGGAGGGTCGGATGAAGCGCGTCTTGGGAACAGGGGGATATAAGATTCTGGAATTCAATCAGGATGATTGAGGCCAACGAAGGAGCGATTTCGATCGTTGTGTTTGATCGACGCATTCGGGCGCCATCGATCATTAGGATGACGCGAACCGACCAATATCGAACCTCAAGTTCATTTAGCGAAAGAAATAAAGGCCCTAGTCGGTCATCAGTATAGCGAGTGGCTGATTGCCAAAAGATGTTCTATGAGAAAAGCGCAAGTCGTAGGTGTTCGAATGATCATCATGCATTTCTATCATAAATCGCCCTACGCCCACGACAACTCCACACCCTACCACCGTACTCCACGCTCACTTGGTATCTCATGCAATAAAAAGTCGTCCCCGCCGATCGTTCGAATGTATACGTCTTGAGCACTGGTCGTCACGCTACTTCTTGACAACGCCATCCTCAGCGTTGAAGCAGTCTTCAAAATTCTTGGTGTGCTTGTTGGAGGCGTGCTCGGTGAGCAGTTTGCGCGCGGTGGTGCTCTGGAAGGTCTGGAAGCATGTCTTGCACTTGACCGATTGTGCGCTGGCGTTCTATACACGAATCAGTAGGCGAACACGACTTCAGGAGAGTATACGCACCGACTTCAGCTGGCTCTTTGCTTCCTTGGGGCCCTTATCGGCGGCGCGATCGCGCTTCTGCTGTGCTCTGCAAAGCGGTCAGTAACCCCGCTATAGCGACTGCGCGTGGTTGTTTCGTACTTGGCTCCGTTGCCCATTTCGTTCGTCAGTTGCTCTTCGCTGCCTGGTTAGTCGGGGAATGAAAAGGTTGGATGTGTCCTGCGGGGGCTACAGCGCTTGAGGGATGTGAACGGCAGTGAGATTTTTATGGAGAAAAGATCTAGACGGAGGGGCGGTCACCGTTAATCGCTCGGTGGCGCTTGCCCGCTTCGGGAAGGCCGACCGCGCGCGATCACATGGGCCACGCCAACCTTCTGAGAGGTCTGCCCGCGAAAGACAACATCTTTTCATCACCTGGCTCTGTGTTCTCGGGTTCTTTCAATCAATGGGTGCTATAACTCTCTGTGCCACCCTTACTACTCGCATGTTACCTAAATCGAGCCATTTGCTACGTCAAACCACGGCTAACGCGTGTCAATCACGAAGCTTTGGCATTACCCGTCCAGAACAGCTTTCACAGCACACAAAATGACACGCAAAGCCGTGATAAACATGTGTCTAGAGAGCTCAATGCTTAACATCATTCGCGGTCGCTTGACCACGCGACGCGAACCATTCCCACCTTGTTTCAGCAAGGTCGACGTGTAACCAGCGATATGTTATCGACTGATTGCCTCCCAAATGCAATTAGCCACCTCCGTCTTCTGGTCTTTACTCTTTTCTGTTTTCATTCTGTCTAATTTCTCGCTATATCCTCAATTCGCCAGCAATCACGGTCAAATCTCTCGCTCTTTGATTGTTTCGCACAACTTCCCGAGCACTATCACGTTTAGCCCTGGTTTCTTCAACTTTCTTCATTGCGCACAACTTTGAGGCTGCTGATATAAGTGCCATAACAGACGACATTTCCCTTTGATCATTCTCCACCCTGTTGTCACTGCTACAAGGGCCAGAAAGCTCGATCCGCTCGACAGACCGTTCAAAGTCCTTGCGCAGAGGCGAGAGCCATCAACGACTTCAGCGTATACCATTGACACAGAGCGATGTCTCCATTCACGATGGCCCACTTCCACATATCGCGAAAGACGCGTCTACGGGCCGTCATTGCGATATCAGTCACCTTCTTCGTCGCCGAAATATCAAGTAAGTCTCCCTTCCTATTGCGCGACTACTACTGACCTTGAACAGCCGGCTTCTATACCAAATCTCTTGCCCTGGTAGCTGATGCGTTCCACTACCTGACCGACCTGATCGGCTTCATAGTCGCCCTCGTTGCAGTCCACATGCAGGAACGTAAGGATGCACCAGTCGCACTCTCTTTCGGTTGGGCCCGCGCCTCACTCCTTGGCGCCTTCTTCAACGGTGTCTTCCTACTTGCGCTTGGCCTCTCCATCTTCCTCCAGTCTATCGAACGCTTCGTCGATATCAAGCAGGTCGAGAACCCTGAGATTGTCTTGATCGTCGGATGTATCGGCCTTGCACTGAACCTAATCAGTGGAATATTCCTACACGAACACGACCATGGGGACGGTCACGGACATGGAGACGGCCATGGACATGAGTCCAGCCACGCCCACGATGAGGAAGCTATCCGTGTCGATGAGCTGTCCGGTCTCAATCATTCAGAGCACAACCACCATAACATCCTCACCTCCAAACCGCATCGTGACCTCGGCATGCTCGGCGCTCTAATTCACGTCCTCGGCGACGCCTTCAACAACATCGGCGTGATCATCTCCGCCCTCGTCATCTGGCTCACGCATTCGTCCAAGCGCTTCTATATCGACCCTGCTATAAGTCTCTACATCGCCCTTATGATATTGGGAACCGCCATCCCGCTTACCCGCCGATCTGGCACCATCCTACTCGAATCTGCACCCGACGGCGTCGTACTAGAGCACGTGAAAAAGGATCTCGAGAGCATCCCGGGCGTGCTGGGTGTGCATGAGCTGCATGTGTGGCGATTGAACCAGACGAAGAGCTTGGCGAGTGCTCATATTGTAGTGCGGGACACTGAGGTGCGAGAGTTTATAGGGCGGGCGAAGATAATCAGCGAGTGTCTGCACGCCTATGGAATCCATAGTGCCACGCTGCAGCCGGAATTAGCTGATGGGAGTGAGGTCGGAGCAGAAGGAGAGATACAGGAAACTGAGGAAGTAGGAAAGTGTAAGCTTACGTGTGGGACTTTGTGTGAGCCGCTTAAGTGCTGTAATTAGGGAGAGCAGCGTACGGAGTAGACTCACATGTACGCCAGTGGTGTGGGTATGTCACGTTGAACAGAAATTCACGAAATCACCGCACAATATCCAAAAATTATCTTTGAAGATAAGGCATCGAGGGGAGATATACGTGGGCAGATGTCACTTGGTGCGGCTGTGATCTGCCATGAGGGTTTGGTGAACAACACTTATCAATCGAGGGTGTACAAACGGGAACATCCGCTGCATCTCCCCGCGCGATTACATCGTTGTACATTGCGCCATAAAAGTGACAGGCGAGCTAGTGCACCTTACTTGAGTATGGAAAAGGGTCGAAAATGCTGAACATCATTAGACGCTCCCACGTGACCTACGCAAAATGGGCTCACGTGATTCTCTCCAGGCCGGGGCTATACCGGTAGCGCTCGCGTCGTCCTTCGTTCCTTTCTCGTCCATCACTATGTGTTTAGGGCACTTCGATTTCCTACCATCGGTGATACCTCCATCAAATTTGATCACATCTCTCTTCGATGATCCTTGCGATCATGGCAACGAGTAATGCTTATTCTTGGAGCGCCACAGCGGTCAGTACTGCATAGCTTGCATTAATTTGAGACAGCAATACTATTTCCAATGATCCTTTTTCCAAAACAGCGTGCAAACTGCCCCTGAATGATGTTCTAACAACCCCACTTTGCTGCCTTCAGCTGCAGCCACCATCACTGTTCATCGCGAGCTGTCAACCATCTTGGAAGCTCGCTAGGTATCACTTTAGCACACCGCTCGGCTGGAAGAGGTCGATATGGGCCCAGATGGGCTTGTCTCAAGATACCGCCTCTTAAGTGATACACTCTAAACTTTTCTTTTTTGGCAGAAGAGTACTCGCCATGCTGTAGGTTTCGGTCATCTCCGTGGTCACAATTTGTTCACGACTCAGCAAAGCACAAGCTTTAAGCGCCACGAACTTGGGTTTAAGGAAGTGCTCTGAGACCAATGCTAGGCCGACAGATCGATTGCGCGTGGTATGCAGCAGTCTTAGGCGAAAACACGCATTGGTGCATGCTGCCTTGTAGCATGGTATCTCCCTCCCCTGGCCTTACAATGCATATTGTCGCCACCGTGAATGAAGCGCGGAGTTGCAAACGTCGTGCTCTTTCAAGATGCTTCCGAGATCATTTCTTCAGATTGCGGTAGTCTGCATAACCCTTCTCTCGTGCTTCACCGTGCACCTTGGCTTCCGTAGAAGCTCCGGTAGACCAGTGCACATCGATCGAAGCTTTGATGAAGATGGTCGACCATCCTTAGGGTCGATCACAAATGTGAAAGTCATCTTAGACTTCGACGAGCCGAAGAGCGATCCCATTTGGCACATTCAAAATGCGACCCTCGGGTTCCAGAAGATATACGCTATATCGATGCCCCACAGAACGGACAAGAGAGATTATCTGGCGTTAATGGGGTTAATTTCAGACTTGACCATCGACGTTGTGGATGGTGTAAATGGCAGTGCAATCCATACGAAGGCCCTTCCTGCAGTAGGTCCGCCATCACAATCAGATACTTGCACATGCTCATGGAACACAGTACTGGAAGGGCGAGAAAGCTGCTGGTGACTACGGATGCTGGCGCGCACATATGAACGTCTACCAACACATGCTTCAGCACAACATCCAGTCGGCACTAGTTCTGGAAGACGACGTCGACTGGGACGTTCTCCTGCGTGCCCAAATGCTCGACTTCGCTCGCGGTGTCCGCGCTCTCCAGAACGCAACACCCCCTTTCCACTCTCCCTACGGCGCCAACTGGGACTTGCTCGCTCTAGGACACACCGGCGCAAACAACAAGCCGAACAAGGTCCAGAATTACTGGGTCACGGAGAACGATCCCACAGTCATATCCGAGAGCCGCAGAACCTGGGGTCGCAAACCGGACCTCAGTATCGAGAAGCTTGCAGGCGAGCACACGCGCATCGTCATGGAGATGAGCAAGTTCACTGCGACGACCGCGTATGGTGTGAGTTTGCGAGGTGCGGCACGGTTGCTGTACGATCAAGCACTTCTTCCGAATGCGAATGCCATTGATATGGCTATGCTTGCTCTCTGCCGCAAAGATCCTTATGGTTCACCGTTCTGCTTTGGTTCATACCCTATGATCTTTGGTCGGTATCGTGCTATTGGTGCTCAAGATAAAGACTCGGATCGGAGGACGATGTCGAATGAGGTGCAGAGCGGATCGGGTGGCTATCAAGATAGCGCGGATAGGCTTGAGCCGGAAAGCGAGTTCACTGTGTTTCCGGTGAGCTTGAATATCGGGCGTCTGATGCGCAATGAGTGGATGCTTCCAGCAGTGGATCCTGAGTCGGATTTGGTGAAGGAGATAGACTTGAGGACGTTCCGGTTTCCGAAGGGTAAAGAGGTTATAGTGAACCCAGAGGAGTATGTGGAGTATCAGAGGACTGTGGCGGAGTGGCAAAAGGAGAAGGTAGAGACGATCAGTTGAGCGTGGACATAGAGTCTACGCATAGGTGCATCTCTCAGGTAGAACTATTACATGCATCGATTCGTAACATCGAACGCGAAACGAAACAATGTCTCTTATGATGACGACTATACGAGATAAAAGCTCTACTACTAAAGAGTGAGACATGTCGGCTCTTCAGGTGGGATTAGCAGTGCGCGAAGCGCAAGTCTACGTTTCGGCGCCCTTACTATCTACTCGAGAAATGACCACATCCTCCCTCCGATGTCCTTGTTGATCTTTTCGTACGATTCGCCCTTCCCTACTCTCTGCCAGAACTCTGCAATCTCCTCTTGGTACAACATTAGTTCAACTGGCGTGTCCCAAGCGGAGGTGCGATTTCTAGCTATCTCCCCCCAATGTGCCATTCGCTGAGGCCGCAGACCATCACGGTTCGATGCAAAGTGTATGAGAAGCGAGCCTTCGCGTGAATGTGCGCGATTATTATCTTCGTTCTTTTCGGTATCGGGCGGAAACCCGTTGAACCAGCGTTGCGGAACATAGGCCACGTTCGAAGCCCACCACGGCTATTGCACGGTCAGCACGTTCAGAGATCGAGAGCAAAAGAATAGCCTCACCCGCTTGATGGCTTCTTCCATACCACTTTGTTCAGTGTACTTTAGGACGATCTCCGGTTGATACTCTCGAATACTCAGCGCGCTCGCGAACAGCTTGAACGCCCACTGGTTGACCCTAACCATGAACACGCCATTGTTCAAACCATTTCGATCGTTCGTGACAAGGAGATGGATATGGGAGAACTCAGGGTCCGGTGGCACAAAAATGTCGAGCGGTATCTGAGGGTTCATGAGCACAGTGTCGCGATCGTGCCACAGAAGCCATTGCAGGCGCTGCTCCTCGGGCTTTGCGAGCTCTTGTCCGATAATGGTCATAATCCAGCCGTGTTTAGACCAGAGGCCTCGGATCATGTGTTCGCGGAGAATGCAATGCGGATAACCGTGGATCTCGTTGTGTAACGCGTGTGAGGCGATGGCGGCTTCATATGGAGGGTCTGGGTCGCCGAACGATGCGGTGCACTTCCCAAACTTTGGATAGTGGGTCGTGGGAGAAGTGTAGAGATCTTTTGGAGCCCATTGACTACCATTGTCGTTGGGAGTCGTACTGATGTTGTCATTGGGGCTGTTGAAGTTGTTGGGACCCTGGACTTCGCTGAAATGGCTGAGTGCACTTGGTATGTGTTCTGATACAGCAGAGAGGACGTTCCGCTGATCGCAGATGCCGTATACCAGCAATCCAAGGAGTGCAAGAATGCAGTACCTCAAGATCAGTGCAGTGCCGCGGCGATTTTGTCTGCCTCGACTCGCGTAGGGTTGTTTGGTCGGCAAGATCGGATCCATATTGTGGCTCCCAACTGAAATTTAATCAAGCAGTCTTGATGCAGTAGGTGGAAGTGTCGACAAAGCTTTCTTGAGATGTTCAGGGAATTAATCGAGTGTGGAACCAGCAACAAAGCCGAATGAGTCCGTTGATGGGTGACCCAGATGTGCATGTGCATACCTACCCTTGGTGGCTTGCACATGGCTTGTCAGAAGCTGAAGTCGTCTTAACCAAACGATCGAAGAAAAAGCAGAAGCTCTTGGCATGAACATGAATTTGTTCACCCTCATCTACCCATGGTCCCATCCTATCATGTACGTCTGGTGCTGTCTGGCCCGTTCAGCCACATGACTGTAATCAAGTCCACCGGAGCTTAGCGCTATGATGCATTGCAGCTTCTTTATGGGATAAATCGTTGCCTGTATGAAGCAAATACAGACGAGATGTGAACTGCGTGAGACAGGAGGTTTCCGATCAAGCACACTCCAGAAGCCTTCTTCGCACTAAACCGTAACTGGTCGCGCTAACGCCAACACAAAACGCGTCATTCGCAGCCAGATCAAACCAGACAACTCTGCGCGTCTCGATGACCGACCGTAAGCCTCTTTTTGTTAACAGGGAAGAAGGCACTTGCTTCATCTTCGGAACATGGCGCCCAGGGATACTGCTGTCGAGGGGCCGACTCCTCTCCCCAATCGTCCAGCTGTCCCCATTTCTACACGTTTTTAAGGCTTCCTGGAAATCTAGAGATAGAAGGCACAGATGCGTAATGCCCACCACTCATATCCTTGTTGCATCTTCTCTATCATATTCGTTCGTTATCCCTTCCTAGTATGAACTAGTCAGTCTGTTGAGATGCTCCGATACACCCGCTCGTCTTTTCGCAACCGGAGCCTTTTCAGACCGCAATACTACCTTACCCTGGTCGTTGCTGTTTTCATCATTTCATCATTTCATTTTCTTTCGTTACGATCACGTTCAACTGCGTTTGAGCGATTCGTCCGAGATGATGTGTTACGAGGCCCGGATGACAAGAGCACAACAAAAGCGCCGCATGCTGCACTACAATTAATCGTAAATGATCGGACGGAGAGCCCTGATTTGTCACACGGTACCTTCACTCCGCCTACCAACAGCGCGTTGCGTTCCGCCGCTCCCCTCCGATTCGAGATCGCGGAGTCTCCTAACCCACCTATTAGAAGAGACAGACAGTTGTTGAGTTTTGCAGAAGAGGACGATAGTATTGAGGGACACAACACTGATGGTGTGACTACTATCCGTGGGCACACTGCAGATAGTGTAGAATACGCTGCAAAGCTTGGTCAAACGGACGATCAGCCTGATAGCCTGAACGAAGACGGATTTCCCGCTCCTGATGATGTCGATCGGACAGAAGTGAACGCAAGCCCCAAAGACACGGCTACAGAGCAGCTGACCGAGAAAACCGTCATACAAAGTCCGCCAGCGCCAGTCAGTACTGTGGTAGATCTACTGGCGGTAGACAAACAAGTTCCGATCGAATCACTTGAGAAAATGTATCCATGGTCCGAGCGATACACTTTTCCTGACTGGGACGAGTGTGTTACCGTCAAGGAAAAGGCAGATAATCTTCCCGATCTGCTTCACGTTACCTTTGAGCAATCCGTGCAGAATGTCACTCTTGATGGCTGGGAGGATGAGTGGATTGCAAAGGCTCGATACACAGGTCCCAAGCTTCAGGAGCCAAAAATAGATTTTGTCTACAACTGTGCGTACATGACCTTCCATTTACTAACAGGCTTGCTAAGGCAGACAGGGGTCAATGGATCACAATCAGAACTTCGATCGACGATGCGGCCTTACGAACTCAATTCCTCCCTAAACGATCCAGATGGCGTTTGGATGGCATCTCATGGGACTAACCGCTATCGCGAGTGGGACGAGCTCCGGTATTCGATTCGAAGTGTCGAGAGATATGCTGGGTATTTCACCAATCGCATCCAGATTCTGGTCAATGCATTCCAGATATACTCTGAAAACAATCAATCTGGTCTGATGGGTAAACAACGGCCTCGTTGGCTTAAGGAAGGCTCGGCCAAGGTACAGGTCGTTTCCCAGGAGGAGTTCTTTGGGCCAGAAGAGAGGAAGTGCTTACCTTCTTTCGACTCCCTCACTATCGAGAACCAACTCTACAATACCAAATCAGAAACCGACAGGGTGAGTTTCTTCCTCTACAAGAAGCATGCTACGAACACTGACAATCTTAAGCTATTTGCTCTTTCAGACGACATGATTCTGGGCAAACCTCATGCGGCTGCAGATCTATATTCACCCCTGTTCGGACCAACATTAGGCTTCAAGGATAACGCATATAACACGTTGAAGCCTCCTACCGACGCAGACGCAGAGCGATTCGGTGAAAAGCCATTCCTCATATATACCTCCTGGCTTCTTAACCGGCGCTTTGGCGCACGAAAGCGTAAAGGCCAGGTACACTTTGGCCACTCCTTGTCGCGAAGTGTTGCCCAGGAAGCGATCACCACATTCCCTCGACCGGCACTTCGCAGCGCCGTTCAACGTTTCCGAGGTGAGACTGGTTTCCAGCTCTATTCTTGGTACGTCATGTTCCACTACACAATGGAGCGTCATAGAGAAGCGCTTCTCTGGAGTTATGTCATGCTGAGAAGCGATCAAAATGATGATGGGTATCTTGACTGGAAAGAACGAAGAAAGATCCTGGACGAACTTGCTGAGGGGATGGGCAACGAGAATCCTGAGCAGTATCGTCGCCGGACATATTACCGCGTTGCTGAGCATCACGAGGAAGCTGGACTTGAACCGCCCAAAGTCAACACGGATGTCCTCTGGACGTCGCTCGACGGGCCAATCATGATCAAGGGACTCAATTGCGATGCCTTCGACACTGAGGACTGCCTAGGTCCAGGGTTTTCGATGGAAACAAGCGACGCTGTGGCTCGCAATCCTGTCTTCTCTTCGGCTGCAATATTTGATAGGGTGGCCCGCGAATCACCACGATGCGGTGATTGTCTTCTGAAGCTTATTTTGAACAGAAGGCGTTCCGGCTTGGGCACCACACTACCTCATCCGGTCAAGAAACCTCAGCAGCGTGCAACTGTTTTGAAGGCTCTAATGAAGTTTCATTATACAGTCGTCAGTCCAGACGCTTATTTCTATATGGTCACTGACGCCGAGCAAGCTCGCCACACGCTCCTCAAGCCGTACATCAAGCATAACAAGAAGGCGGGTCAAATATGTCTCAACGATGACGTCGTAACACAGGATGAAGTGGAGCTCGAAGAGCTCAGGAAGGTAATGAGTGGATTGCTAGAGGGATTGTTGCCCAAGCCATCGAGCTTCGAGAAGTGATGGCCGCATGTCTGTTTATCAATGTATCGGAGGTTCAGGTGTTGTATGATATGTAATATAGTCTTCTTGATACTCTAACATTTCAGCTTTCTCCATCACAAGTAGAAGCACCTTCGACCAGGTCAGGTGATGTGGCGCGCGCATTGTACCTAAACCATGAAAGCTTACGGCTTCTTCTGTGCAAGGCACATATGTCGGGATCTTCAGTCAAATGCCCGCCATACTGTTGTGCATTACAGCCCGTTCGCAGTTGTCCACAGACCCGATGGAAAAAGAGGCGAGGCGGGACGACCGGAGGAGATGCCGCTCCCATTGGTTAAGTTTGACCTTTTTCTCAGGGAAGCAAATTTTGGCGAGTTCGGTCGGCGAGCAGGCGACGCCGCCTAGAAAATTCGCCGTTCAGGACGTAATCTCACATGATACGGAGACCAAACCGTTCTGCTTTTTGCGCCAGACCTACCTGTTGCTCGATCAGTATTCTAGACCTGGGTCTTCTCAGCTACATATCTATATATGGCATAATTACCCAAAAGGGGTATGAAGCACGCGACAGCAACCCACCATTATACTTGCAGGCGGACTCCACCGTTCAGTGACAATAGAACATACCCACATGGCCGATCTATGGTCAGCTCTATGTAGAGGCTTGACTATATGGATAGGTTGCGCACGAGTAACATACAGGTCTCCAGGGTATGGTTGATTACTATCGGGTCCACTTGGGCGGCGCTCTGGCGAACGCCACTTTACCTTAAATGCAAAATATGGGGAAGCTCCTCTATTATCCAGGTGTAGCTCAAGTATTCCAGGCGATTTGTTTCGCGAGTCGGGATTTTATACAATATCTTGGCCAGTCTTTCATTCGGCGCACTCTTCGCTCGTCTCTCGCTTTCTATCTTTCGGGTAACGAGTCGGTTCAGCACTTACCCAAGTGATTCTTTCAGCAATTCATCTACCACCTGGATTTATATTGTGAACTTCATCATGCGGTATTCCTTCCTTGCATTTCTTGTCGGTGCCGTCACCAGCCACGAACACAGACAGTCAAGTCCCCGCGTCGGTTACACGACGATTACACCTAACGGTTCGCATGCTCCTGTCACGGTGACTGCGCAGTATCAGCCGATCCCCTCCTATATCCCGTATGCCTCTACTTATGGCCAGTACCTCTGGGTCTCGACCGTCGTTACAGATGCGAATCGGAGACAATGTACTGTCACCAAGACTGAGCAGCCCGTCACAATCCGCCACTACCGCACAACAATAACGCGTACAACCACAAGTACGAGATTAGCTTATGCAGCCCTAACCGGTACATATCACAACGAGAAGCTGTCTGCGGCCTATGAGACGAGGAGTTGGGAAGAATTGTACGAGATCATTGGCGAAGCTGAATATCGCTACCTTGGGCCTCAAGCTTTGAACGGCTACCCAGGATCTGGTCTATGTGACAGTAAATGCCACGGCGGTTCGGGGATCGAGTATCAGCCTGTTCGCGTAAGGGAGTACAAGCACGGCAAGTGGTCCAGCTATAATACAGCTCCAGCCCCAATTAGGGGCACATTCTCCTTCCTTAAAAGCATATGTCGCCTCTGTCTCCAGATTTCCAAAATCGAGTCGCCCGCTCGTTTCTCGTATGTAGTCGGTGTGACACTTACGTTTTGCACCATCCCGTTGATCTTAGTAGGGTAGTTGAACGTTACATTGTCGCGCTTTGCTCGCACCCGCAAGTAATCATCCATCAGCGTCTGAAGCTTTTCGCAATCTTTCCTCGACGACAAGTTCGCGTTGAAGGAACATCCGTTTTCACCTGCGATGAAATAACCATCTTCCTCGAATGGACTCAGTGCTACAAAAAGTACCTGGCCAACTCCACCAGTAAGTGCATCGCTCTGGGCAAGTCCAGGATACGAGTTCTTCAGCTTCCAGGATAAATCACCATCAGACCAGAGCACAACCCAGGAGCCGTGCAGCCCGAGGGCAACATGAACTGGCGTGAACTCGTCCTTGTTGCGCTCCAGTTTGGTCATCAGGTCTTTCGGAAGTCCATGAGAGATCCACGTCGAGCCACAACGAGCGAAGTAGCTGCCCTTCGGCCCAATACTCAGAGACGTGTCTTCCAGCTGCTGTTTATCCAGCCATTCGTGAAGATAATTGTAAGCTTCCCGCGATTTCATAACTACATTCTTAGAGATGCATCGATTCTGTCGCGGACCCATGCACACTTACAATCATCAACCTCTTCAGCTCGGACCACTTCAAATTCTTAGTGAAGCCCTCACATCCCCATGATTGACTTACTGTACCCATTATTTCAGTTATGAACGATCTTAGGTTCTCCATCTTCGTCATCGCCGCCGATCAAAAAGCCAGTGGTGTGCTTGTACGCTACCCATGAAGGTTCTCGTATGCCTATGTCGTTCCAGTCACTGTTGTTCGACCATACGAATCTCCAAGCGTCGCCGATGCGCACCCAATACCATTTCTCCGGTCCGAAAGCGAAGCGCCAATCGGATTGTGGAAGTGTTCGCGGCTTTCGGATGGTTGCCTCTTTGTTTGTGGAGGTAGGAGTTACTTCGGGGCTGCCAGGCGTTGCGAGAGCCTCTCCGTCAGTGCTTGGCGTCGTTGGAATATCCTCGTCGCCGGACATAACGAACGTGTTGAACATCGACGCGTTGTTGGGGTCAACACAAGTTTTTGTAAGTGGTTAAGGCAGGCATCAGTCAGTTTTGACGTCATGGCGCTAAGTGTTTGGGGGCCGGCCTTGTGGCCACCTATCAAATTGTAGCCAGGCGCCTCGAAGTCTTATGGAGGATGATGAGAACTTTCCAGGGCTAGATTAGTAACACGCAGGGATCTGTTAAGAAGAGGATCTGAACTGACCACAACAGGCTACATTCATAGTAAGCTTCATCTGCGTAGCTAAGTTCAATCCCCTGCTCTTCTCTAGAGTTCACTGTGATCAGAGTCGTATTCGTCATCGTAGACATCATAATCATAACACATATCTTCCAGTTCGGACTCGGAATCTTCCAAAAGCTCCGTTTGACAGAGCGTCCAACCGAGATCTTCCATTTCCTTCTTGACCCAATTCATTGGTTCATGTTCGTGTACTTTGACGACGATCTTTTGAAGAGAGGAGGGAATAGTTCTGAATTCGGAGTCGGCTAGTGCTATGGCTTTGGTAACGAAATTGGGACAGTCGAGTGCATCGGTCCTAAGCGCCATCATATTTGTGCTGTATAGCGTTGTGGTTATCGTGATCAAATTACGACAGCGTTCTCGGATCATCCTAAGAAGGGCGGCGCTTTCAAGTCCTAAAGCGACAGTTTTCTTGTCGGGACAGCCAATATCGGGAAAGTCGATGATGAGGTGTCGTACAAAACTCGCGTTGTCTTGCCCAATTCCTGTTAGAAATGCGTCTAACTCCTCGGAGTCACAATCCTCGAAGTTGAAGTAATTCTGGGCGTAGAGGATCGAGGCGGCTTCGGAAGAGACCTCTTTACTCGCAAGAAGAAGCCCTGGAGTGAGCATGCCGGCATTGACACTTCCATCCCCGACGTTCCCCGCAAATGAAATAGGATTTTCGAGCACCAAGACTCGCTCATATATGTCGTTGCGAACTTCGCTGGGGAGCTTGAGGAAGGTTTTAGGCATACTGACAGTCAGAACTTGTAGAGTATTATATAGTATGCAGAGGCTGGCTCTTGAAAACGAAAGAAGCAGTTCTTGAGTTGCAATGAGAACATTCACAATTGAGATGTTTGATCGAAGAAAACGCCCCGTATGCGGGGACTTCAATTGCAATTTCGCTTATATGGCTGGGGTGTAGGTTACACCGCATCTTGCATCAGGTGGGGTAGGGAAATCGTTCACCGCCATACCAGCGCGCACACAAACCTCACTCAACAACCTTAGTTCCAGCGTAGCGAAGATTGATTACGATCAGGGCAGGCTAGTAGCGACGTGGCAATACATTCTCCCTTGCCTAGCCCTGCAGATTCTACCAAATGCAGCTTAGACCTGATCCTCCGCGCATACGACATGCAATAGTCTCCGATGGTGCAGGCCAGTGCACTCAGATCATTTATACGCACCTTTTTTGCTGCTCTTTCTACTATCTTTTCTTGCCTAATTAATAGATAATACAAAATAACTCGTTTCTCTCGCCTATTTAGTTATAGTATGCGAGAACTATAGCTAGATAGATAATAAAAATAACGTCCTTTGCTACGTATAAACGATCTCAGCGCACTTACATGCCTGACCTACACCGTCGGAGACTATTGGGTGTAGTAGTCGCACAAACGCGTTTATAAGTCTAGCTCGTAGAAGTGACTTTGCAGGTGAGGATTCGCTCTAAGCACTCAATTGGCGCCTTCTGTAGGAGTCTCTCAGATACACCTACGAAAATTCGGTACAGCATAGTTAATAGCCGTGTTTGAGGTAGTTTTAATATATGTCACATCCCAGAGCTCGAGAGCTTGCCAAAATGTCGAATCGGCCGATCATATCATGCCAACGCTGTTGGAAACGGAACAAGCTCCTAGAAGGAGCTCGCGCATAGGTTGGTAACCGTTATCTCCGAGCGTTGTCATCCAGATAGCCCATTTTTGTCGATTAAACGGGAACATCCGTTTCCATAATCCAGCGCATCCGGGGGAAACCACCAATGGTACGATGAGGAGTTGGAGGATTGATCGTCAGATATTTCTCGCGGTGTGTTGGCAGATACCCTCCGGCTCGCCAAAGGTCGCCTTAGAACTATGCTGGTCCTACTTAAGCCGATTGTCGACGGCGATTGTTCGTATGTACGGCACTCATGGGTAGGAAATATGTCTCCTTCTTATCCGTTCTCGTTGCCTTTTATGCATTCCCCGTGTGTTCGGCTATGCGCGCGACGGCTTTCGTTGCGGAAAAAGTATGCTCGAACTCGAGATATAAAGGCATCTCTAAATTTGGTTCGAGTGTGAGTGCCGTTATGCCTGGGAGAGAAACCTGGAAGGAGATAGAGCCGTATCGACATAATCATTGTGGAGCTCTATGGCGAGACCGGTTTGATATTCTAAAGTAAAAATAAGGGAAACAAACAGTTGGTCCATTCAACTAAGTCCTCTATCTCGCATCCAAAATCGGCTATCAAACAGTCCGGGGGTTCCTCAATACATGACAATAGTGCTAGTCCACACATTCCAAATTGGCTCCAGCTTCATCTGTGCTGAATTCGTCGAAGTCCGTTTCAGAAGAGGATCCACCCTCCGTGGAGAATCGCCCATGGATGACCGTAGCAGGTCTCTGTAATGCTTGTTCCAGAGTCATTCCTGCAAAGAAAGTATAATTTTCGTCCTCTTTCATCGTACTCTGGATGGCCTCATGTTCCTCCAAATCCAACTCGGCTCTCTTTGCTGCGAATCGTTTCTTGATTTCAACTTGTCTGAGTTCAAGCATGTCCTTGTTTCTCTCCAACTCTTCGATTGTGCTTTGGATTTGCCGCCGTGTAGTTGAGATGGTATTAAGGAAGTCATCATTATCAAGTAGGGTGACAAGCAACTCAGCATCGATAACGAACTGCAAGGCTCTGTTTGCCGTAAGGCGAAGGCGGTGAACAGCAGCATGTCGGAGTTGAGTAATCGAGTTCAAGAGGGCAGTCAATGGTTTCGTCATCTCCTTTGCATCGTAAGGGTGAAATTCGGCTTGATGTCCATGGAGGATTCTGGGCCACCGATTGAGTTCAACTGCTTCGGCACAGTCCCATCCCTCTTCTAGTAGGACTCCGCCTAGGTTTTCCTGGGCAAAGGCATAACAAGCTTGTTCAAGTTTCTGTTGAACACTAACAAGCAGCCGATGTTGAACATCAAAGGGCAAGTAAACAGGGTATAGCGACATGGCAGCAGATGTTGGTTGCGCGGGTTGTGCAACTGTGACCCGAGAAGCTGTTGCCAGTATTCAGCAGTTGTTAACGACCATGCTCACCAGAAACACATACCAGTCTCAGCAAATTCATTGTCATGGCCTCCAGGTTCGTCTTCCCGTCCCTTCATCACGTCTTGTATGGCCGCATCCTCATTCTTTGCTGCTTCTGATTCAGATATAGCTCTTTCAGCGGTCTGAGTAGGAGAAACGTCAAAGACCTCAGGGAAGCGCATTTTGGCTTTCAAGGTCGACTCGAATATCTGATCTTCTAGAAGGCACTTAGCTACATCGCACAAGCCAGTAATGGTGTGCTCCTGGATAAGGTTTCGCACGTCGACTTCGTTTCGATGTTTTTGAATTTGTTTGAGAACTAGCTTTTTTTGACGAAACTGAGCTTTGGTCCCCTGAAAGACTCTTTTGAGAGCTAGGTAAACAAGCCTTTCGTCAGGTGGATTTTTGGCCATGGTGTGCTTGAGGTTCCGCTTCGAACGGTGGTTCTCCCCTGCTTTATAACATGATGTTTACCAAATAAAAATCTTCAAGATATCGGCTCCGACAACATTAGAATGCGGCTCCCCATTCCCGGATTCCCCTAGTACTGAGCATTCCCCCGGCACTTTGACTTCTGGGTTCTTTGTTCTTCTGAAGCACCTTACTAAGCTGCTCTAAAAAGCACAACGCCAAACCCTCTTCATTTCGCAACCTAATGTGCAACAGAATGGCACATCTTCATCACCCTCGATATTAGGCTGACTTCGAGTGCATCCACCCCTAATGTTTTGTGAAGTTTGTTAGGATGGAACATTTCACGAGGCATGCGTTGGACGTACAATATATATGAATTAAAGTAGTACTGAGAACCTAGATTCCCTTAAATTACTGTATACTAATATTGCTGGCAATACCCTGCGCATCCAATCTGGTGTCTTGTTCCTTCACGAGAACACTTCCCTCCCTTGCCAATTAATGCCCCACATGTATACGCCGGCAGCACCTCAGTTCACTTTTGTCCCAGATATCTGCCCACAGTTGCTGATGACAACATCGTTAACCGGCCTATCCCCAGGTCCCGTCGGAGTATTCTCGATCTCTCTAATGACTTTCATCCCATCAATCACATCTCCGAACACAACATGCTTTCCATCCAGATGAGGAGTCATATCAGTCAGGATGAAGAATTGGCAACCATTAGTGTTCGGACCGGAATTAGCCATGCTCAGAAGTCCAGGACGGGTATGCTTAAGGTTGAAGTTCTCGTCGTCGAAAGATTCGCTGCCGAAGATGGTGGCGCTACCGGTTCCATCGCCGTTCAGAAAGTCGCCGCCTTGGATCATGAAGGAAGGGATCTGAAAAGGCATGAGATATAGTTGGATCGAATGGATCTGGGTGTGCTTACCACACGATGGAACGTGCTGCCTTTGTAGCCTCCAACATCTGCCTCATTGGTACAGAATCGGCGGAAGTTCTCCGCAGTTGCGGGAACAACGTCTAGGTACAGCTCCATCTGCACGCGGCCAACATTGCGTCCTAAACGAATTGATTAGCGATAGAATGAAGAAAGGCTTTCTCATAGATATGGTGGCGTGGTAATGGTACGTCTCAACCAGTACGTGCGTCATGCAGCACATCGATACGCAAAGCGCAGCTACATTCTCAACTAACCTCCAATTGTGATATCAAAGAACACGATAGGATTATCCGGATTTGTCGGTTTCTTCTCTGTTGACCCCGACTGCGCAGCACCTTGAGCTCCGGGCTCATTTCTGACGGCATGCGTAGGACCCGGCGGCGCGCTTCCTCCGGTCTGCGCCGGCCTCGACATCTCCGTCTCATCTCCCTTATTCTTACTCGAGCCACAACCCATCGCGGTAGTGTTCTGATTATGGAATGCGTTCGTATTATCGTGATTAAGTGCACGCAGAACAAGGAAGGCAGTTTGTTTTTGATCGTCAATACACTAGACGGTCAGCCACAGCTATGACGACAATCCCTGTGTACGCCACAAGGGCTAGCAGTAGTACAGGCTCAGAATCCACAACTCATGACGCGTCTTGTCGTACCCGCTTTCATCAAGTCTCAGTATGGCGGTGTTAAGAAAGGGTGTGTGTGCATTCACGCGCGGCAAGAAGATTGTCAAAATATATCTAATAACTCATCTAAAAGTAGTCAGTTTCGATTCTTGCCGTCGCCGCCTCTTGCCGATTCATACCTAGATACTGCTTCCTAAACTTCCGCCTTCTGAGCATACCCATACGTATGACGCTCCCTGTGAATGGTACTGTAATGGCAAAGTAGATCCAAAGAGTCTGCTTCAGAGCCGCACTACTTGCTGTCATGCTGAACAACCCGGTCACGAAAGTCATCAGGATGAAGATGGACGCAAGCTACGTCAATCGCGCCATGTTGTAGGCTTCCTTGAGTGCTCATATGGATTCCTCGATGAAGATCTCGGACGTGACGACGCCGGCCAGCCGGTCCACATGTTATTGCATTTTGTGAAGCGTTTCGAGTACACGGCGGAAGTTCGACGAGATATCTTCGAAGTTGTAAACCTGTTTCCTTGGCCCTGATAACCAGTGAGCTTGAATAAGAGGTTTGTCCTCCTTCACTACCGGACAAGATTTTGTGAGGTATCAATTTAGCTCGACTCCGTGTTCTTCCAGCCCGTTCATATAGACTAGTATCGTCGCCGAGCATCTTCCTCTGAACGTACCTACGAGAAAAGACTAGAGATCGGGTCTTTTATCGTCACTAAGCCCCCTTCCCCCAATATGAAATTCTAGATAACTGCCTATGCTATTTCTAATAACCAGTACGCACGGTGATTGAATATCTTCAACTCCTTCTTCCGTCATAGATAATTCCAGTCGTAATTCTAACCCGTCATAGTTCCACCAGAAGGTTCAAGCCTAAGTTCTCCAGGCTGCACATGTACGCTATCGTTGCTTTACAGAGCTTCCTCCCCCACCTTATCATGGCTCTGGTACCTTTTCACATAATTTTAGTCAATCTGTACACTGTAGGAGGCTAATTATGACCACATTCTATTGAATCTATTGTTTTTGGCTTATAAGTAGCTAAAACCGACAGACGAAACGAGAACACGGTATGCACAGCAAGAGGTGATAATTTTCAGTAATGATCCTTACGAATCCTTGATTTCGAAATGAATATATACAGAATAAGCCAAGTATGCGTGACCCCCCTCACGCACACGCCCTCCACACGACGCTCTAGCACGTAAACACACTAGGTCCGGGAACAGTGTACGTCTGCGCCTTATACGCATCATACGTGATACCAGCGTCCGTTCCCTTGTAAGCACCCGGGAACGCAACGAGGCCAGAAGGCGTAGTCGATCCAGATCCAGTAACCTTAAGCTGATGGCATCCCGGGTAGAACTGCGCACCAGGGTAGGTGTAGGAGGCGTGCAGTGCGATGATCTCGTGGCGGACAAGGTAGTAGCCGGGCTTGAGGCAGGAGGGGACGGTGTAGGTGGCGACGCCGCCGGCGGACATCAGCTTGGTGTCGCCCCAGGTGTTGGAGGTGCCTTCGCGGCCTTCTTCTTTGACTTTGAACCAGACGGCGCTGGAGTATTGTTAGCAATGGTCATGAGGAGAGGGGGAAGGGGAGAGGAAGCGTACGTGGAGTTGGGCATGTAGCTGTTGCACCCAGCATCCGGGCATCTTGCCATGTAAGTCACAGTGGGCCCGACGTGGCTCTCAGGCCAGAGCGTCCAGCGGAGCGAGATCTCGGATCCCGCAGCGACTTCGGCGTGGAGAGCAGCAGGGGATGATCCCACGATGCCACCCACGGTGTAGCCGCCGCACTGGAGGTCAGCGATTGTTACATCCTGAATGGGACCGTTGCCCTGGATGGGGCGTGAAATTCGCTGCGGCGCGGGCGAGGTGTAAGGATCGGTGTAAGGCTGATAGAAGGTGTAGACCTTGTTTGCGATGGTCGCGTTGTCGACGTAGCCGTGGGCAGCGACGGCGGCGGCGAAGCCGAGAGTTGGGAGAAGGTACTTCATGGTAACTTATTCAAAAGCGAAAGACGATCCTGCGTTGTTTTGGAAAGAAACGAATGTGAATGAACGAGGGTAGTAATAAAAGAATGGAAACGGTGCTGGACCTGGAGTGCGTTGTGCTGGAAAAACGACCGCCGTCTTTTATATTAAGAGCCATGCATGTTAACATTAATACAAGGGGAGCAGCATACAACGCCATGTGGGTCGCATAGCGAACTGTTTGAGATGTCCAATCTGGTGTCGATCATGAAGGACGATGTGTAGATTAAACGAAACACGCTACAGCGAAAGGGTGCGGTCCGTGACCACCAAGACCTTCCTCCGGCGGAAACATGACGACTTGGCGATTCGAGAACTTGCGATGGGAGAGGGCAGGTCGGTGGTTGGCGGATTTGCGGGACGGGTGGTAGCTGCAAGTGATCATATAGATGGTGGTGGGATCGTGCATCCCCATGGGCAGCCTTGCTTGCGACTTGTAGGTGCACTGCCGGCGGCAATGGTTTGTTGGTTCTTGGATCTGGGGTGCATTGATAGTCCAAGAAGTCTTGACGATTTTTTCATTGGTGGAGATATGGTGTTTGGGCGTTGCGGGACGACGAGCGGCACGTGTGTTTCATATACTGCGGTACGACTTTCCGGGTTGACGTGGACTTGGCCGTTCGCTTCGGATGTCGTGGGGTAGAACAAATTGCTGTGGATGCAAAGTAGCCGCGCTTCGCTTTGAAAGGAGCGATAGATTCGTCATCTATGGTTTCATGGGAATCCTGGCGGCAATGGCAGTGGAGAAGACGGAAGGGGGTTCCGGATGGGTGTTGCTTGGTGATTCGCATTATCCCAGGCGCATGTCAAGACTCGAGACTAAGTCAACTGTTCCACAACTCGCAGCAGTCCTACCAATGTAAGCATGGCGAAGTGCTATGTCCGCATCTTTGGCCTGGAAATCTCACATCGATATCCGTGAGTCACACCCTACTTGGGCTTCCCAAAATCCGGCTCCGCAGTCCAAAATACCACCCCATCAGGAATCGCCACTACCGCACTCCTAGTGAAGATGTGTTTCGCCTTCTTCCACTCCAGTCCTTCTAGCAAACCTCCTTTAACAGCAACAACTGGTGGGTCTCCGCCTTCAACGACATGAGCGTGCAAGATGCGGCTCCCACACTTGTTGCAAAAGTAGCATTTTTGCTTCCTCCCGCTATCACAGATGCGCGAGAAGTGGGAAACGTTGGGGTTGTCGTCGACACGAAAGAAGGGGAAGATGGCGGAGGTTCCGAAGGCTGAGGCAGCTTGCCGCCTGCAGTCGATGCAATGGCAGTGGTAAAGGTTTAAAGGTTTGTCTGTGGGCGTAACGAACTTGACGGAGCCGCAAGCACATCGACCGTTCATTTTGCGTTTCCCTTGTGGATTGCTCGGAATCTGAGTATGACGGCGCAGTCCCCTTCAAGTTGGGCATCCTCTTATTTATGAGGCTCAAAGGCCCCGCATCCCCACGAGCGGGGTGTGCCACCGTTATAGAATCCGGCTGCCTGCAGATCGAATTTCATCTGCCGGTCCTCTGGTAGTGCCTTGGGATCGGTTTTGATGATGAAGACGGCCATTCAGGGTCTCCGTCTCCTGCGAGGAGCCGTCGCAGGCTACATGACCAAATCCCCGGCAGGGTCAGGCTAGACATCATTGAGTGCGCTTTGTGGTCGCGAGAACAACTTGCGCAATGTAAACACATTCTTGGAATTTGCGCAGATGGTTCAGTTGTTCCCAGTGACGTCTCGAAGGTTCGGTCGCTCATTCCTCAATTGTGAGGTCCAAGCTCACCAACCCCACCACATTCGAGTACGAGCAGCCCCGCGCGTGAACGCCGCAAACATTGAACTGCTCCAAAACACGACACGATACCCCCAAGTAAACGCTGCAGCACCCGAACCATGGTGATCAACTACAGCAAGTGGGTGAGCTCTCTCCTTCGCTCTCCTGTCCTACGACATATACACTAATGCGGAAGTGCAGGATGCCCTCGAGCTCTCCGACGACAGCGACATCGAAGTACACCCCAACGTCGACAAAAAGTCCTTCATTCGCGCCAAGCAAGCCCAAATCCATCAGGAGCGCGACCACCGCAGACACCAGATCAAGACCCTCAAATACGAACGCATCATCAACGACGGCCTGACTGAGCGTATCGAGAAGCTCCTCACAGCCCTCAAATCGCATAAAGATAAAGATGCAGAGGACAACACAGACCAGCTGGTCTTCCAGTCGCTGATGGAGGGCATGATGGCAAGTGGGTCCGAGGACAGGCCGCCACCACCGCCAGAAGGTGTGCATGAGCATGTCAAAGAGAAGCCTACATACCCGCAGATGATGGCGAGCTTGGTGGATACCGTGAAGAAGGAGATGGATGAGAAGAAGGTGGTCGATAATCGGTTAGACGCGTTTATCGCAGGGCTGGGCGAGCACAAGGAGAGGGTCGAGGGGCTGCAGAAGCAGTTACTGGCGAAGCTGGCGGAGCTCGAGGCTGAGGAGAAGAAGCACATCACCAGCGACGATATTAAGGACGGGTTCAACTACTCCAACGTCAAGACGGAGGCTTCCTCGTCAGCGCCGAAGAAGCAGGAGTCGTCCGTCGAGTTGCTCAATAACCCCTCACGCCCCGCCGCCCAGCGCACCGACACAGGTCAAGACTCTGGCGCAGACGGCGACATAGAAGAGGGTGTAGCACTCGCTGACAACGAAGACGATGTCGAAGCCTCACCGTTGGCTAAAGAATTTGCAAAAATCAAACGCGGCGACTGGTCCACCTGCCTCTCCTTCATCTCCGCCCACCCCGAAATCCTCAAAGAGAAAGAAACAGACGGGCTCCTCGTGGAAGCCTTCAACAGCGAACTCGAAGGCAAGCCCAAGCACGCCGCGCAGTGCGTGCACCAAGGCCTCCTTCTTCAATACTGCCGGCAACTTGGCGGAAGAGACGGTGTAGCCCTCTTCTTCAAGCGCGTGCAGACGAAAGACCATCAAGCAAATAAGCTCTTCAACGACGACGTCGACTCCACTTACCGCCGCATCCACGACCGCGCCGCAGAAATCAAGAAAGAGCGCGAAGAAAACGCGGGCCAGGAAGGTGTCGAGCAGATTCAACTGCACGCTGTCGATCCCAACACTACCATCAACATCCAGGTCCCGCCGAAAGAACCCACGTCCACAGACGAAGAAGGCCGCGCGGTGGAAATTGCAAGCAGAGAGATCTTCGAGGCTTTCCCTCCGGGCTTGCAGCGCGCGCTGGAGAGCGGGAGCCTGGACGAGGTGAATAAGGTATTGGCAAAGATGAGCGTGGACGAGGCGGAAGAGGTGGTAGGGAAGTTAGGGGATGGCGGGATGTTGAGTCTTGAGCAGGGCGTGGTGGATGCGACGACAGACGAGGGGAAGAAGGTTATGGAGGAAATTGAGCGGAGTCATAAGATGCCTGAACAAGGTCAGGCGGTAAATGCGGTGGACGAGGTCGATTGAGGATGAGGTGGGCAGATGCGATGTGAGCTAGTCCAATGATGCATTCAAGCGGAGTAGGATTATGGTTGCATGTGTACTATAGCTGATAATGGTACCTACGAGTCATCGCAAGTCGAGCAATAGCCGAGCAATGAGATACCCTTCATGATACATTCTCCAACAGAAAAGAAGTTCCGAGCAGCCGTAGTGTTGTAGTCCACCGTATATGGCAACTCTGCAATATGCCCAATGATGGACAGCAAGCCCCCATGAAGATCCCACCCACTCGCTCAAGCATAGATTGGAGAGCTGAATTGCACCCAAGAAGCTTCTTGAAAGCTGGAAATTCCCACAGCCTTGAAACCTCAAACGACTTATAAGGCCTCCTAAAATTCACTACCAATCTCATTACAGACCGAACGTTCTTCACTCGCCCCGCAGGCTTCGACCAATTTACTAAATCAAGTCTCCCAGCGTCGAATCAATCCCATTCATCGCAGTATCGCCCTCAAATGCCGCAAACTCATCCTCCGCCGCACTCCGGCTCATCTTCCTCTTCTTGAACGTAGCCTGCCCGTACACGCCGTTTTCATCAGCTGGTCTTGCATGCGCCAAGCTATGCAGCAAGTCCGCGCCAGGAAGCGTGTTGGGCGCGCCGATCGCGGTGGCAGGCTCTGTGTTGGCGACGTCTGTACCACTGGGTGCGGGGGCCATGGGAGGCTCGACAGGGTGGGCAGGCATCTCGGGGAAGACGTCGTCGGGGACGTTTGGTTGTGCCTGCAGAGAGGGAGAGCCAACGGGCGTGAAGGACTCGACTGGTGGGGGTGTGAGGCCCTCTACTTCGGGACGTTCGTGGGTGGGCTGTGCAGAGTGTGCTCCTCCGCCGTTGCTCGTCTCTGCAAGACCGCTCATGATGGCGGCTTCGACCTCGCGCGTGCGGTTCTCGATGGCTGCCTTGCGGGTCTTGAGATCTGCCATCTGCGCCTCGTCGTCGCCTAGCTTGTTGCGAGTTGTCTCCAGGAGCTTTTCCAGCCCCGAGACGAGCGCCTGTCGTGCTTTGATGCTGTCTGCCACCGCGTTCTCTGCCGAGGCGAGTTTCTTGACTAGTTGGCCGAGCGCGGCTGCGTGCATGGGCGGCGTAGGAATGGGTGTGCTTGGGTTCGTGAGTTTGTCGTACTCTTGGTTTGCGGTTGTGACGAGGGGCTTCGCGGCGAGGTCTGCTTTCTGGAGAGTGGTTGCGAGAGGCTCTACGGGCTTGAGGTCGGGTGGAATGGAGGAGCCGGAGAAGAGGGAGCCGCCTAGTTGACCGAGAGGCTTCTTGCTTGATCGTGAACGGTCGGCATCTGGTCTAATTAGAAATAGTCGCATAAAAGTGAGCAAAGGATTAGAATGTACCGTCAAGACCACGCTCGAGCTCCTCTATAATCTGTGGTCGGAAGACCTGGCGCGACCTCCAAACTTCGAACACCCGCCTCATCTTCGACTGAATATCTGGTGGGGAGCCCTTGTAGGCTTGGGTGCTGCCTCCCACGACGACGGGGTCAAAGGCCCGGAGGAATTCCTCCTTCTTGCGGATCTTGGACTGTTGAACAATTTCTGGTAGATTATTAGTTTGAATAGGTGAAGAGGCGGGTTGAAAGTTTACCATTTGCGAGGTAGATGAGTGTCAACTTCTTGTTCGGTGTCATCTCTTTGACTCGTTGAGACCATAGTAGAGCGATTTTGTCGGCATGTCGTCTGCGGAATTGCGGTTAGCTCGACTTGTGAATGGGCACGATGTATATCGTCAAGGTAGGCAAAGGAAGTATGCAAGTGCAATATGCCGGTCGTTGTGATGGAGCACGTTTGCGGGCATAGTGACATGATGTGAAGTCAAGGAAATCAGTACCTATGGAACAAGATCCACTGGCCAACAGACGAGATTGAATCTTGCGTCTCGTTCAAAGACGAAAGCTTCGCCTTCAAGCTGTCTTCCGTAAAAGCCATCCTGTCGAGTCACACGTGTTGAGTTGCCAATAGTTGAAAGCGCGACCAGGCGTAGAAATCAAAGTCTCACGCGAGCTTCTGCCCTTGCGAAACAACTATGTAACCCGAAGCGCGTACTATGTAGACCAAGGCTCAAGTGCTCGCAGAATGCGCCAGTGACCGAATGGAATGTACACCGAGTTGCTGCTGCAAGTGTGGTGGTTACGTGTGAGGTAAGTTGCGCGTCAATTGAAGTGAGCGCAAGCTCGAGCTTCTTGGCGTCGGTCAACCGCTCCTTGCCGTTTACGTCCAAGGAGCAACCACGACGCAACGACCGCTACTTCCTCCGCAACAAACGATCCGCACTCCGCAAAAGACCACATTTCTACCTTCGTTCGACAGTGCCGTCCAATCTCTACCGCATATTCCCACATACAAAATGGCGGACCGATTCCCGAGTTTAGATGAGTTCGATGCTGGTAAGACAACTATTCAAGGCTGCCTTCAGTTGGCACTTGCTAAGTGATCTCAGGCCAATTCGAGGCGCGTGGCGACAGCAATATCGATCTCGTTGGTGAAGACGGTGGCGATCTCGACTTCGAGGCTAGAGAGCGTGCAGTACTCGGCGATGCCGCAGACGAGTTCGCGACCGGAAATGACAAGCTGGCCACAGTTGAGGATGGTGACGACGACCTGCTCGGCGGAGACTCGTCTTTCCAGGCAAACACCGGCAACGAGGAGATGATGGGCTTTGAGAGCTCTTTCCCGGCAATTGACACAACAAACGAGGTACGGCATGCATGATTCCTACCAGTTCGCGAACAGCCCCCAAGGACAACATGGCATCTTGAGCTTTGGATTCGATTGCTTCTTTTGTAGTGATACTAACGGATGCAGCATATGGCACCCGGTGGCACCATCACAGGCTCAACTCTCCCCTTCCTCCCCGGCCAACCGCAACCCTCCTTCACCCCAGCGCGATCAGATTCACCCGAGCCCGACGTCATCCGTGAATGGCGCGAACGCCGCGACCTGCAGATCCAGCACCGGGACGAAGTCTCAGCCGAGCGCAAGAACAAGACCATCGACGAAGCACGGCAGAACATTGACGACTTCTACGAGAATTACAACAACAAAAAGGACAAAGAGGTAGCGAAGACACGAAAAGAGGCCGAGGAGTTCCTTGCCAGCCGCGACGACACAACTGCTGGCGGAACCAGCTGGGAGCGCATCGCGAAGCTGGTGGACCTGAGCGGCAAGGGTGTGAAGGGCGGTGCGTCGGGAAGCGAGAAGCAGCGGTTCCGGGAAATTCTTCTGAGCTTGAGGAAAGACGAGAAGGCTCCCGGCGCTACTGGGTACTAGGTGTAGATCGGAGCGGGGTGATAAAAGGCGCGGTTAAGACTGGTGGATGCGGATCTGGACTTTGGAGGGCTACGTCGGTAGCCGACAGCATTGCACTCTGCGTGGCAGCATTACACCTGTGCATAGGAGACGCGCGGTCTGGAGGCGTTCTTGTGGACCGGCTTTATGTGCTTGGTGTTACCTGGTAGATTGCCATGATCTTTATACATGTGTTAATACCTCAGTTCTTTTGCCTTCAAGACTTCGATCTCTTCATCGTGCCTCTTGCTCAATATCCCTACACATGGAGCTTCTGCTTGCTACGGAAATGCCAGTCTGATGCGGTGCTTAGTGCACCTGCCCCGCCACTGTGAAATTCCTCGAGACCGCACTTGACGAGTTGGATTATAGGTGTACGGTAAGGGTAACTCAAGTATGACTCATAACTGGGCCATCTGCGCGCAGGTCCTAGGTTCAGAAGCGGGGTATGTTGAAGGAGCGTCACGTAGGCAGTAATTGGGGGACTCGGTCACTGTTAGAGAACAGCACGCCTTCGGCACAGCTTGGTGCCCGATGCTGTCAGATCATCTGCAGTCAGATATGGTAACTCGTGGAGTGAGTCATAGACGCTCTCTGAGTCACACACAGGTGGCAGATGTGCCATCACACTGGTACTCATCTTGATCGTCGTGAAACTCCGAGAGTAGGTGTTTCGCAAAGGTACAATATTGCTCACTTGCATAAGACACTTGATGGCCACGCAGCGAGGACGGATATATGAACCAGAACTCGTTACTTGTGACTGTTCCTGCGATGAAATATCTCTTACTTCCTCATGGCAATGTCCTCTATAGTGATTTAGGATGCAGTATATTTTAACAATCTGAGTAAAGTGGCATATTTAGATTCAAGGGGCCGTTCTAGTAGTGTACCTCTTATTGCCAATGAAAAAACTAGTCTTGAAAGAGCGTATACTTGAAGTTGATGCGATGCGCGTGGGAAATAGTACGATGGGCATTTATTCCACGAACGGGCAATTTCGGGGGCTCAGAATTTGCGAATGCATTCTAAATGCCATTCTAAACATTATTCGATAAGTTGCAGTACTTATTTCGGATTATTGCTGATGTCGCGTTGCAGCTCGTGGGGTGTGAGGACGGTGAGGAGCGCACGGGCCCCCTGGGTCGCGCCTGCTATTCGGGGTCGCACCTAACAAACTGGCACTTGCAAACAGTGCTGGAAAGCAGCACGTTGAAATCTCGCGCTTTCCCGCCTAATACTGTTGCTCTGTCGCCGCCGCGCAACCCGAAACGGCTAGCCACCACTGCCGCCTACTGTGTTGATTCAGCGCTCGCACGCCCGCCCTGCTCATATTTAAGTATCCGCCCGCCCCGTCGCATTTTGATCTCCTCTTCTCACCCGCATTTCATCGCCCAACGCGCCAGTTCGACTGCACGCGTTAAAGCTCCACAATCACCACAACCCATCACAACTTCATCAACCCCATTACACTTTCAATATGACTGGACGTAAGTAACCATTCTTTGCACTTTATTGTCGCGTCGCGCATCGCTGCCGTCGCCTGCGTCTGTTCTGGGTGTTCGTGGTCCCACCGCCACTTTGGCTTTGGTGTTGCACTCCAGAGCCGCATCCGTCGGCACCCCACGCTACCGCCACCCAGCGCGCATCAACGCGTATCAACGCGACGCAACCACACAGTCGTCGCTGCGTTCACATTACCTTCCTACATTTACTAACATGTCTTCACAGGCGGCAAAGGTGGCAAGGGACTCGGCAAGGGCGGTGCCAAGCGTCATCGCAAGATTCTCCGCGACAACATCCAGGGTATCACCAAGCCCGCCATCCGTCGTCTCGCACGTCGTGGCGGTGTCAAGCGTATCTCAGCCAGTATGTTCCTCTTACCTTACCATCATGTCATCACGTCGTTAACCATGTGTAGTGATCTACGAGGAGACCCGTGGTGTTCTCAAGACCTTCCTCGAGAGCGTCATCCGTGATGCTGTCACCTACACTGAGCACGCCAAGCGCAAGACCGTCACCTCCCTCGACGTCGTCTACGCTTTGAAGCGCCAGGGCCGTACCCTCTACGGTTTCGGTGGTTAAGCGTCTTACCTTCTTCCGTCTCGACTATCTGTTCGACCGTTTGTCGATGGCTGCAGGCTGTCGGTCAGAGCGCGTTGGATATCGTGACACGCTTTTGGGAATGGGATGGGTTCCTGTTTATCGGTTTTCGGCGTTTAATATGGACATGAACTCATGAATAAGTATGAGTTGGCTCTGCTACGCGACATGCGTGCAGCTGTGACTAGCCACAGTCAATACACATCTTCAGATACCCCAGCTATCCATCATGCTCGTGATTATATTGAATGCATTGCCCACTGTGATCCACCTTTGTCAAGCTCGATGTGTCCCATGCCCCGACTCTCGCCCATGTGCTTTTGCGTGAACATTTTCCCTTGGCTAATTGTGAAGTGATTCGCCATATGGGTACCAGAGAACCCAAGGCGACGGTTTCCTTTCGCGGTCATCGAGGAACCGAGCATTCGGCAATCGCTGTGGAGCCAAAATTGCACAGGAGTTAGTCAATATCGTCTGCTTCCACCATCCTTCAACCGCTTATTCCGGTTTCGAGGATCGCGACAAGTCCCAAGGTCAGCGATGAGATTCCTGCAGCTGTGTGGTCAGATGACCTCGGGCCACAATCCTTAGCATTAGGCCCAAGAACAGAAAGAAGATGTGGCAGCAATTTTCAGCTGTCCACGTGTGGGTTCAATCAGTAAGTCGACAGTGCGGGCGGGCACAGTCAGAACACTTCCCTACCAGGTAGCGAGACCCGAGGTATTCGGCCGTACAGCGCTTTATTCTTTCTCACTCCATGTCTCGGCACGCTCTTAGAAACCTGTCGTGGAAAATCGAAGGCTGGGGTACATTGAAGGGAACCATGGCTCCACATGGTTTTATCACAGGCGGACGTCATCATGCACCTACGCAGCAGGGGTGATTCAAGTAACTCCCGAAGCACATGCAAACCCGATCACGGCATACGTCAAGCATCGCGAGCTCGAGCTTGTGCTGCGGTGGAGACATATGGAATGATTATCGCTTCCAGCAACCGAGTCTTTGGTGATCTCTCACGGAAGGATCGGTGGAACGCTCGGACGATAGCGTTGGTTGGGCGCGCAACTGATGGCGGGAGAGCTACGCATCGGCAGATCTGTCACCATTGTTTGGGTCCCTCCTTGCGGGAGGGCTAGATTAGGCTTCCGGGCTTTCGTGATCGTGCCTGGTCCTGAAACCCAAATGCCTCGTGAGACTCAGGAGAGAGTCTGCGGCTTCGGTGCGGAGCTGTGCCTCCCCGCGAGTTACAGAACCTCGTTGTAGTCCATTGTGGAAGCTGCGCCGCCCGCTAGGAGCGACAGAACGCATCTTGGTAAGGCGTATATTCGCTCACCGGAGGACTTGCTGCATTGCTTTTGCATTTGTCTCGCGGGCGGCGTCCTGGTTGGGCTCAGCTTCTATTGCAACTTGCGGCAATGACGTAACGGATGCCGCTTCCCAGCCCAGTCGACCCCTCCAAGGCCCGCGCCTTGCCTGATCACTAGGCCAGAGTAGCCTGCCGCAGTATCTAGCCTTCGACGCCCACTCTCCTCTCTTCTCTTCTTACATCCACCAGTCCGCCATCCGGGTGCTTCAAGCCCGCCCGCCCGCCGTCTTGAGCACCGTCCCCTCGCTGACTGTCCCGTCCCGCCATGTCGCGGCGCTACCCCACAGCCGAGCTCTACGAGGAGCGCCAGCGCGACTTCTATCGCAACGGCGGCCGCAGTGACCGCAGCTACGATGAACTCGATATAGAGCTCCGCCGCGGTGGAGACCCTCGTCGTAGCGTTCCCGACTTCCTCCACCAGGACTACGACCGACGCTCCAATGCCGGCCAGATGGTAGTGCGGGAGCGCCGAGAGGAGGACTTCGATACGCGCTCGCGTAGAGGTCGTGAGGTCGAAGAAGACACCGTCATGGTCCGTAGCGGCCGTCCTGGGCCACCTTCTAGTGTGAGGGGGACCGAACGAGACGATATCAGCATCCGACACAGCGAGGCTCCTTCTCGCCGTCCACGCGAGGTCGAGCGCGAAGAGACCGACATCACTATCCGCCATCGGGATCAGTCAAGGCCGAGAGCGCCTCCTCCACCTCCTCCGCCTCCGCCTCGCGAGGTCGAGCGCGAGGATATTGTCTTCCGCCGCGGTGGTGGTGACCGCCCAAGGCCCCGTGAAGTCGATATCGAGCGCGAGGAAGTGAGGTTTCGAGAACGATCTCCAGTACGGCGCCGCGATGTCGAGAGGGAAGATTTCGTTTTCAAGCACGAGCACCGCGAGGACAGCCGCACTGGCCGTGACGAGCATAAAGACACTCTGGTCATTAGGAATCGCGAGAGGAGTCTGCCACCCCCTCGCGTGCGTGGGGAGATGGTCGCAAGAGAACGCGAGGAGTTTGTTGTCCGTCGCCGAGAGCCCTCTCCACCACCTCGCGAACGCGAAGTGATCAAAGACGAGATCATCATTCGACGCAGGGAAGAGCGTTCACCTACCCCGCCTCCTCCACCTCCACCACCGCAGCCAGAGCCGGAGATTCGTCCGCCCATCATCCAGGAGATCATCACACACCACAGGCACATCGACCATGGTGAGTTCAATCGATGCAATGTGAAGAGCAATTTCTGACAAAATTTCAGGAGTTGAGCGTGCTCGTTCACCTACCCCGCCACCGCCTCCTCCGTCCCCCCCTCGAGACGAAAGTCTGGAGATATCGATAAAACGGAACCAGTAAGTAAATCACTTGTGTCGATCAACATAAGACTCACATGGATCCAGGAGTCGCGGCCGCGGTCGGGATTTTGAAGAAGATATCATTTACGAGCGTGAGACCATCGAGCGACCAGGGCGTGAGACAGATATCTCTCTGAGAGAAACGCGATCTCTTAGCCGACCAAGGCGCGCCCGCACCGCGCCGATCGACTCAGACTTCGACCAAGAGGCTGAATACTACAACCGAAAGGCCTTGGAGCGGACATACCCAGGGGAAGCGTACAATGGGGCTACCAAAGACTGGGCCATTGTAGATGTGCCACCTGGCACTAACCGCGTCCGCATGGATGGTATCGGTGGTGGAGCGCAAGAGATCACCTGGCAACGCTACAATGGCGTACGCCGCTCCAAGTTCATCAGTGGAGATGAAGAGATTGGGACGGACTTTGGTGCCCCTGCTCCTGCAAAAGGAAAGCCCAAGGACATGTGGACCGAGATTACCAAAGATCTCGTGCTCAAGGAAGCTATTGATTCTATGGGCTACAGTTATGACGAGACGGATGACTTCTTTTATGTCATGGAATATCTGCGCTACGTGAGTGGATCTCTTGCCTGCTATGCGATAGCAACTAACAGCCTGTAGGAGGACGTTCTCCAGCTCGTTGAGATTTCCGACGACATTCGCCGTCGACGCAAATCTCGCATACGCCAGATTGAGTATGAGCGTGAAGAGATCCGTGGAGGTAGACCTCGCGATTGGGACGACAACTACTCGGAGCACGAATTTGTTCTCGATCGCCATCGAACCAGATACCGCTAGATGAGTTGCATGTGCATCAAGCTCGCCGCATACAGCGCTTCGCATCCTTGCGTGGAGTAAGTGAAGGGAAGTGTGTTTTACAAGCAATCGATCGGACAGGTCTTTGGCTAGGCCTGGGCATCCCATTATGGCAAGAGACATCTGCATTCCTCGCTCTGGCCGAAATATTGGGAGTTGTACGACCTGCCCTAGCTGCGCAACATTCCCTTTTTGGACAATGGACTTCGACTACTCGCCGCAATAGGAGGACGATACCCACGGGTTTAATGGCATGCCATCAGTGGGCATGGATGCTCAAGAGCACGAAGCGAACGTTGGACTTTGCATACTTACGACTGTCACGACTAGCATTGGAGCAACGGAGGGCATTTGCTCTCTTAGTGTGTAAGGGACTTCGCACCCGTTCTATTCTGTATGTGTTTCCTTGCCTGAGTGGTGTTTGAGCGTAGTAATGATTGTTTTTGTCTTCTCTTTTCCTTCTGATCAGTATCGTACATGTATGCAGGCGAACATGAGCGGATGTCGATAGCGCGTCAGTCAATTCTCATCTTACCTCGTCATAATCTCCGTCAAATCAACTTTGGCAGTAATCAGAGTGACTATACAACGGACGTGCATACAGGCGTCGGCGAGCAGAGCGCCACAAGCGGTGTAGCGCCCCAGGCAAACAGGAAGGCGCCTCGCGCCGCATCGCCGTCGTTGAACCGGACGATATGCACCCGCGCTGCTTGGCCGCGTGCCCACCGCCGCGCGCACACAGCTCGCGTCGAATCGGAGGAATGATGACGAGCTGCGTGTGTGCGGCAGGGTGGGCTTCGCCGACGTGCACTCAACGTTTTGTGTGGTGTGGGCGGGTATTTTTAGGTCTGTGCTGGCGACATCCCTGGCGTCTGTACGCGCCTCTGGGCGGCGCGCGAAGTGATTGGGTGGGGGCGCTCGCCTGCTGATGCAAGGTGAGAGCGCAGACACGCAGGGCAGACCTGTGGGTGGGAGTGGTTAGGCGCTGGAGGGGGAGAGGTGAGGGTGGGCGCGAGGGCTGGCGTAGTGCGTTGGAGCGGAGTGGCGTTGATGTATATACTGGGTCGGCGGCTGGTGCGAGGGAGGAAGTGAAGGGTGGCTGCTTGAGAGGGCTGCTGACTGCGCTCTTGCTCTTCTCTTTTGCATTCTCTTGCTTCCAAGGACTGTTTTGCTCTGTTCGATTTGTCCTAGTTGTGTCTTCTGGAAGGATGGTTAAGATGTGGAGGTTCGCATTCTGCATCAGGGCGCTGCTGGTGGCGCGTAAGTAGTAGGATGCTCGTGTGGAAGGGCATCGCTGACAATACCCAGTCTTCACAACAAGTGTGTGCGCACAGCAGAACGGGTCTGCGGCTTCGACATTCTACCTCGATCAGACGGAGACGCAGTTCTCGCTGGCGTTGGCGAAGAACTCGAGCGATGTGTATATCTACTTCACGAGCCCGGCGTACTCGTGGGTCGGCGTGGGGTTTGGAGAAAGCATGCAGAATAGTTTGATGATGATTATGTATGCGAATGCTAAGGGCGATAGTAAGTCTGCTGCCTTCCTTCACAGGAGAAATGTAGTGGCTGTGCTAACATCCACTAGACATTACCATAAGCCCACGCTTCGCGACCGGCCACTCCGAACCGGAATACAACCAAAACTCCCCCTTCGAGCTAGAGATCCTAAATGGAACGGGCATCCAGGATGAAATGTACGTCCTCCAAGCCGTCTGCCGCTCATGCCGCGTCTGGCCCGGCGGCTTCATCGACATCTCATCTACCGCCCAACCCATGATCTTTGCCTTCGGCCCTGGCACGTCAAAGCAGTCCGACGACCTCAACGCACCGCTCCGCCGCCATGTCCGCTACGGCCAATTCACCATGGACATGGTCGCCGCAACCAGCTCCAACGCCACGGTCCCTCAACCCACCGCCCAGCTGAAAGGCGCCGTCATACAGGGGATGGTGAAAGACCGCGACAGCAAAGACCTCGCGCACGCCATCCTCGGCTGCATCGCCCTCTTCGTCCTCTGGCCCCTCAACGTCGTCTTCGCAGGCTTCTTCCGCAATATAAAAATCCACGTCGGGACTTCCATCACTATACTCATCTTCCTCGTGATTTCGTACGCTCTGGGCATCGCCACGAGTCCGCAGTACAACCGCGTACGTCCCCCTTCCTTTCCCCCTATCAAACTTAATACTAATATGTGCTGTGCTGTGTACAGTCCAAAACCTACACCTCCCCACCAACTCCTCGCCTTCATCTCCCTACTCCCCACCCTCCTCATGGCCCTCCTCCCCACGCGCTTCTTCGCCAATCTCCGCGCCTGGATTCCAAAACTCCACTCCCCGCTTACAACACTCACCTTTCTCCTACTCGTTCTAACAGGCGGTCTGGGCCTGCACCTCGCCATGACGCCCACACCCTTATCATGGCCTACATCGCCATCGCGCTGCTCGTCTCCGCTTTCGTAACTACCATACTACTCTGCGTCCGGCGGCGCGGCTCAGCGTATGCGCGCGCCACCACGCGGCGCAGACTGGGTGAAGACGACGAGCAGGACTTTGGGCTCGCGAAGTGGGGCGTTAGGAAGAAGCTTTCTGGGAGTACGGTTGGGAGCAACGGCTCTTGGCAGGCTGGAGGTGGGTATACGCAGCAGGGGCATGAGAGGAGCGACAGTGCAGGAGCTATGCGCCGGGGATGGGCATGGGGAGGGGACGATGCCTGGGCCGCAGTATTTGATGAATATGCATCCTGGGGTGCCGGTTTATGTGGGGGGCAGAAGTAGGCTGCAGCGAGGGAGGGGGATGGGAAGGTTTTCTTTTTCCTTTTTTTTTTTTTTTTTTGTGGGAAGGCGTTTGTTTGAGATACCATTGATTTGGGGGGTGTATGGGCATGGGATTGGATTGGATTGGATTGGATTGGGGATGGAACGGGGCATTGGGCATTCGGCATTGGGTGGCGCTTTTACTTTTGCTGGGTTTAGGTATGCTGAGGAGAGCATGTAATGTTGGTAATGAATTATGGTAATCTTCCGCACGGTCACCTTTCTGCGCATTGTGTATAGTGATGGTGACGCTATCCTAAGTGGTGTGGTTGTGTGAGCGCCAAAGTGGTTGATGTTCGTCAGCATACATGTGCAGGTTGCGGAAGTAAGGCTTTGGGATCCTGGGCGGAAATACTTTGAGGGGGGTAGATTTCAGACTGAAATTATCTATGACTGAAGAAGGAATTGAAGACATGTAATCGCCTTGCTCACTGGTTGTTAGAAATAGTTATGTCAATGGTTCATATGGCGTCTACTGGTAAAAAGGGAGCGACCCCTCTCCTGGTCTTTTCTCATAGCTACGATTAGAGGAAGACGCTCGGCAACGACATCAGTGTAGATGAACGGGTTGACCGAGCCAGAGGTAGTGGGTGTGTGAAGCTTTAACCGAATACGGTCAAGCTTGTGGCTACATAGGCAGCGACTGCCAGACGATACCCAACTCCTTCCCAACGCCGCCTCCACATGCTCCTAGAAAAAAACTCCAATCGAGGAAACCCAGATTCATCACTTCGACTGTCTGGCGCATTGATATGGCGTTCCTCTCTCACGCTATCCCCTGGCACAGTCTCTCTTCCATGTTCGAGTACAGCGATGGCTCCAAACCGGGACCTCAACACCCAGATTTATTCGCAAAGAGCGCGCCAAGTCATCGCAAACAGCTTGAATATTTCGCTGGCACGTTCCAGTCGACTGTCCGTGAGCACTCTCTAGCCGAACGCAAAACTTATCGGCCCGGCCAAAATTACGCGGAGCGAGCAAAGCAATGGACTGTATCCGAGCAGAAAGATACGACTGTAGTGGAACATAATCCTTCTGAAGGAACTCCAAACCATGGAGAGTCCCAGCAGACTTTGAGGGAAAAGCGTAATGCCGAACTTCGTTCACAATCAACCGAGTCTTGGCCGACATCCTCTCCAGAGCGACGTTCCGTTAATCCACCAGACTTTGCCACAAAGTATATGTCCTATGTACCTACCAAATCCGGTGCTCACTACGGTCGTGAAGGGTTGGTTGAAGATTTCGCTCACGTAGAAGCGTGGATAGACTTCGTCGCCCGCGATGCTCGCTACGCTGGTGGCAACGAGGCCGAACACAATCGAATTTGGCTTGACCGAAAGTCCTGCTCAGATATCTTACGGCTATTGGTCATTGACGCTGCCATAACATCGGACTTGGCGAGGAAGATGTACATGGTCGAAACGATACTCCTTCTTGCGCATCACCCGCAAGTGGGCCTCAAAGCATTCGTCAGCGACGGCATGGCCTGCTGCAACATAAGTGTTGGCTTAACCTCACTAATCGAGATGGTCATCGTACCTTTCGTATATCTGAATCTTCTCTGGACCTATATCGATGGCAAACCGTCCTCTCCGTTGCTGCAGCCACGCGAGCGCCTGCAAGAGTACGAGTACAGTCATTATCGCAACTCTACATTTGCAAATCTATTACCGCGACCGGCATATATGAATACGCAAAGCTTCAATAACATGCTAAAGGTGGTGCTGGAGGAGCACGGTCATGTAGTCGAACACGTTTTCTTTAATCCTCTTCTTGCTCCTTACGATAGCGGGAGACGGTCTAAATATCTTGAACCTTATCAAAGGAGGCATAAAGACGAAAGTATGAGAAGAGAGCGAGATGTCTTTACCGATTTACCCATGCTGAAAGAAGCATTGAAGGGGACGTGGAAGATGCTAATCTACTGCGACATGCTGTTCAAAGAGATTGGGCAGCCTATCAATTGGGAGTATGTGGTCCTAAACAGCATCAGCGATCTCTTTCCGCATAAAGGTGGGTTTGAGAGGTTGACAGAAATGGGCTGGGTGGACTATGAATTGGATCGAGAAGAGCATGGAAGCTTCGGGTTTTTCGCTACCGACAAAGGTAATGACGGAGCGTCGTAAAAGATCTCGGTTCTTAATCTACAAGGACAACGCAGCTCACGGTGGAAGCTACTTGAGCCTTGCGATCGGCGAGTGCAAGTAGGGACCAATCAAACCCTTGCATACAGCGCCTGAGTCTGCATAGCTGCACAATCTGTACTACCCACCTTGTGGACATTCGTCCAATTGGCTAGACGCACGCTTAGACGAAAGAGTCTGGACGTATTGACCATCCATGCAGACTGAGATATTGCACCAGGACTCGCCCTGCATCGCACGGCACGTGGATGGCCTTACGACAGGGCAGCATATGGACGCCAATCGGTGTAGCTTCCCATGGTGCAATATTCGATGGTTTTCGCCATGCATCCCCTTATCAGTCGAATGCGCCGTCATACAGAACGGCTTGTACCACCCCAGGTTAAGTCGGGTATATGTTCACTTACCCCGCCGATGAATATCATTTCACATCTCACCTACCTTGATCTATCAGTTGATCGAAGAACTAACTCGGAATGGAGAAAGCTACGATCCTGTCGGCCGAGAAAGCAATCCCCTCTAATATAGATAATGGCTCCTCTGTTCCTGAAGCTGGAACGGTATCAGACCAGGAAGCGATGCGACGATTAGGAAAGCAACAGCTTTTCAAGGTATGTCTTCCCTCCTGAGCCGTTCTCAAGACCAATGTAACTATAGCGCAACTTCGGTTTTGCGAGCATCTTTGGGTTTGCGCTCATTCTGATGGCAACGTGGGAAGCTGTCCTTGCCACTGTCGCTTTCGGACTGGGCAATGGTGGTCCTTCCGGTTTACTGTACACGTACATTGGCGTGTGGATCGGCTTCACTCTCGTTGCGGTATCGATGGCCGAGATGGCATCTATGGCTCCGTACGTGCTAGATCGAATACTGCTGACGTCGCATCTTTCGAAAAGAGCTAAATGTCCGTAGAACAGCAGGAGGCCAGTACCATTGGTGCTCTGAATTTGGGCCTCGCAACTTCCAGAAGCAACTCTCGTACGTTGTTGGTTGGCTGGGTATCCTAGGCTGGCAGATTGGCGTCACGATCGGAGCGTTTCTATCCGGGACAATTCTTCAAGGCTTGCTGATCCTTAGCTACCCATCCTACAGCCCGCAGCGATGGCATGGTACCCTTATGGCGATTCTGATCACCTTCATTACAGCCGGCTTCAACATGTTCTTTGTCCATTGGCTACCATTCGTCGAATGCATCATCTTGTTCCTGCATTTTGCGGCCTGGTTTGCGATGCTAGTGCCGCTATGGGTCCTCGCACCGAAGGCTTCTAATGCTGAAGTCTGGAACTCCTTCATTGACTCCGGTTGGGGAAACAGTGAGCTACCCTTCCGTTAGTACATACGATGTACAGGCTGACCCTCCATTCTCGTAGCTGGCGTGGCCTGTCTCATTGGGTTGTTAACCAACGTCGGCGCTTTCATTGGATCAGATGCTCCAGCTCACATGGCAGAGGAGCTAAAGGATTCTTCCAGACTCCTTCCTCGAGTTATGTTTAGCACAATGATGGTGAACGGCGCGATGGGCTTCTTTGCACTCATGTAAACCTACCTCAAGCATTCGTAGCTCGATTTTTCGAACTCGCTAACGATACCTACAGCACCTTCTGCTATACTGTTGGGGACATTGAAGCAGCCTTAACGACACCAACCGGGTACCCTATCATCCAAGTGTACTACTCCGCCACCGGTTCCGCCGCGAGCACGTCCGGCTTCGCCTCGCTGCTCATCATTCTCAACTTCGCCAACAACCTAAGTAACATGGCAGGTGCATCTCGTCAACTCTTTGCCTTTGCTCGCGATCGCGGTCTTCCCTGTTCTAGCTGGATTTCTCACGTTTCGCCTCGGTTCGGTGTCCCTGTCAATGCCCTCCTCGCCTCCACTCTGGTAGCCTGCGTTTTCCACTGCATCAACATCGGCTCCACAATCGCTTGGAACATCATCATGTCGGTTGGTACCGTGGCAATGGTAACGTCCTACATGATCTCAATAGGATGCATAGCATGGCGTCGCATGAGGAAGCTGCCGCTTTTGCCGTCTTCGTTCAACCTCGGACGCAACCTTGGTCTCACTGTAAATGTTCTGGCACTCGCGTTCTGCATCCTTGTCTTTGTGTTTGCTTTCTTCCCACCTATCCCGGATCCTTCTACTGTGGGTATGAATTGGGCAATTGCGGTGTATGCAGGTGTGCTCGGCATAGCTGGAGTGTACTATGCTGGCAGTGCGAGACATCATTACGAGGGTCCTGTGGAGTACGTGAGGAAATCGGTCTGATCATTGAACCCACGTAGATATGTGGAGATGGGACTAGTGATCTTGAAGGGCGCACTTGTCTTCCTTCCCGTCAGTAAGCGAGGTCATGTGATTGGTCGGAGGGCTCCGAGAACCAGTCATCAAAGCAAACCCTTCATCGTACTTGAGTAGAAGAACAAGACTGTCTCTTATCGAATAGTGGTTCCTGTTCGGAGTATTCGACCACAAGCGAATTCATCATGGCCACGACGACAACGCAGACGCTGGAGTCGCCATCAGCCATCGAGCTTGAAAATCGCGACCAAGAAAGCAATGAACACCAAGATGACCAACTTCGAGCTCTGGAAACCGACCCTAACGCAGATGCCATCATGCACGCTTCTCTACTTGCCGACTCCGAAGTACCGGACGGTGGTTACGGATGGGTCGTTGTTTTCTCCGGTGCAGCCATCACCTGGTGGTTCGTTGGAGCTTCATACACTTGGGGCGTGATGCAGGCCGCCCTCGTCGAGCAGAAGAAATATTCCCCCGCCACGCTCGCATTCGTGGGATCCCTCGTCCCTGCGATGATCGCGATCCTTGCCATTCCAAATGCCACGCTCATCAGAAAAGTTGGTGCAAGAGCTACAGGGCTTGCTGGCATATTCTTGCTCGGTCTGGGCAGTATTCTAGCCGGGTTTGCGGTAGACAGCATCCCGGGTCTCTTTATGACATGGGGATTGGTCTGTGGGATAGGCACAAGTCTTTGCTTCATGGTAAGTATGGCAATCGCTTCGTCGGATACGTAGCTAATATATCGAAAGACTGCTTCGATCACACCAGCACAGTACTTCAAGACCAAACGCGGAGTCGCAAATGGCATCGTCTACGCTGGAGGCGGCCTCGGTGGCACAGCCATGAGTTTCATGCTTAACGCCCTCATCGAAAACGTCGGCATCCCCTGGGCGTTCCGAATTTTCGGCTTCATGATCCTGAGCACTGGACTGCCCGCCGCATGGCTAATGAAGGAACGCGTGCCCATCCGAAAAGCCCAGTTCGTAGAGTGGACGCTTTTCAAAGACGTCAAGTTCGGACTCGTCTTTGCCGTCGGCGTCATCGGCACGTTCCCGCTCTTCGTCCCGCCTTTCTTTTTGCCGCTGTACAGCAACTCGCTCGGCCTTCCTTCGGCTGCGGGCGCCGGTCTCCTTGCGGCTTTTAACTTCTGCTCCGCCATTGGGCGGTTGGGATCGGGCTTTGCGTGTGACAAGCTGGGCTCTCTGACTACTCTGTTCATCACGCTCCTTCTCAGCGCAATTAGCTTGATGGTCATGTGGCCTCTATCAAGCTCTCTCGGCCCGCTTATAGCCTTCGTGATCATCAACGGTATGGCTAACGGCGGGTTCTTCTCCACCATGCCCACTGTAGTGGGCAACGTGTTCGGCTCCGCACGCGTGGGTGTTGCGATGGGCATGATTGTTAGCGGATGGATTGGTGGATATCTCATGGTAAGTTTTTATCTACATGCCAATCCTACATTATCATGCGCTGACTGTTTCTCCTGGTAGGGTGCGCCGATTGCTGGCTACATCCTAGATGCTTCTGGCGGCGAGAACAAAGGTATCGGGCCGTATCGGCCAGCCATATTCTACGCTGGTGGGATGGCGGTCGTTGCTACTATCCTTTCGGCCATCGTTAGACTTCGGGTTGATAGGAGCCTGAAAAAGATGGTGTAAGACAGCCTTTTCACTAGAGGCACATAGACATGGACTAGACGAAGGATCATAGACTGTAATAACATGACTGTATTATACTTGTTACACGTTTTTAATTCACCAATCCAGATCTTTATTCAAACATCAAAGGTCATGTATACAAAGGTCGTATGTCGAAGCTCGACCTTAAATCAGTAGAGCAAGTTGCGTGTTCGTACTCGCAATACAGTCACACCTAGGCCGTACTGCGGTTGTAAGGGAAGGCCAGGCCAGGCCAGGCACTGTAGAAGCATAGCTGATGCTAGGATTCCTCGATGCGTAGACCTTGCCTCTCATGGAATCCTCGCCAAAGAGCTTCGCTTGCTCAGATCTTAGATTCAAAGCGCCACAGGATTGCAATCCAGCCTGCATGGAGGACAACGCTATATACCTATTCTGATCGAAGAAATCCAAGTTGCAGCAGGCAAAATGTGTGAACGCTTTGACGTGTATCTCTGGTCGGGGTAATGATGGTGGTCCCACGCGAATCGCTAGCCGCAAGCCTAGCCGCAGGCACTACCAATGAGATGGCTTGGGATTAGTCCCGGGCGATTTCGCCCCTCATAGGAATTTCACGGGATCGTGGGTCTTCCGGATTTACTTGCTGCTTCTTGCTGTGAGGGTACGCTCTTACTCTGCGATATATTTTAGTAGCATTCCAATTTCAGCATCAATCACAGGCTCGGTGGTGTAGTTGGTTATCACGTCAGTCTAACATTCCGTTAGGCCACTGAAGGTCCCGAGTTCAAACCTCGGCTGAGTCACTCGATCTCGATTGTCTTGCGTACTGCGTTTAATTCGCAGCTTGCTTTTTTGCGGTTTCGTTCGACCCATGCGCTTCTTTGCGATACTCATGGAATCGGGTTCAATTTTATGTTTGCGACTCCTGAATGGCAGATATTGCAGCCGCAGTACTTCACCGCACCACCCAATCTCATCTTATCAGGGCTCGCGTCCGAATTAGGTCGCTCCGATCCGAAAGAAGAGCCAGCTCTCAATGAAGAAGACGCAATAGAGGGACGATATCGGCATTATCTCGAACCTCGTGTGAATTCGTTATGTACTCGCAAGAAGCCTTGCTTCTTCTTCTAATCATGATTCGTCTCCTTTTCCCCCGAACCGCGCTTCGGTCTGAGCTTCAAGCTATGCAAACCATCCCCCCACACAACCCTAATCCTGCTTATCCCTTCCCCCTCCCCACCACCGTCTCACCCGACCCCACACTCCCTCCCTCGTCCTCACAACATGAAAGCTAAAATCCTGCACCCCAACCAACCTCTTAACCGCCTTCATCAACCTCTCCACATCCATCTGTATGCACCGCGTACTAATCTGTATGACTGCAAACGCCGCATACCCCGGCTCTCCAATATGTTTTATACTGAGTATATCGCGATCTACTTCTTCGAGCTTGGAGGAGAGCGCGTAGGCGGTTGGAGCAGAGAGGTACGGCGGGAGGGCACGCCGTTTGAGATGCTGGAGGAGAGGAGGGAGAGGAGGCTGGTTATCTCGTGGGAGGTGATATTGGAGGCGAGGATGATGCGGCGGAAGGAGTGGTACCAGTGGAGGCGGGTGGGGTCGGATTCGTGCTGCGACAGGGAGGGGTGGGCGAAGGTGCGGGAGGCGAGGCCGAGGAGGGCGGTGTACTGCGTTATGCTGGGGCTGTTAGAACTTGTTTCCCCTCGCAGTGCGATCTTCAAGGTGAAGAGGGGCTTGGGGATATACGTACTTGCTTACGTAGCCGATGATGGCGTCGTATTCTTCCTTTGGAAACTTGCCGCCCAAAGGGAACTCGTAGTTTACCATTGCGGAGTGCTGGCGCAGCGCCTGCAGAGTGAGCATCTGCTTTGCGAAGACCTTGTTTCGAGCTTTTTCTAGCTTGTAGGAGGGGTTTGTCTTTTCGCTTGGGTCGCCGCCGTCGCCGCGGATACGTCCCATTACTGTCTCGTGCATGATCGAGTACAGGTTCGCAGACAGGTAGAGCGAGCCTCCTAGTTTCGTCCGGAGAGTGGAATGCTCAGTGATTGGGTATGGGACAAACGTCCAGAAGAAGGCGACGGCGATACCGGCTACCACGCACGCCAGTCGGTACGGCCCTAGCACTATGATCTTGTAGTAGGGCTGGCCATTAGATGTGGCTTGTGCGACACCCAGCTTGCGCACCTGTAGCTCGTACCCTATGATCATAACGCAAGTGACCATAGAGATGAGACCCGGGATGATGAGGTCAGGCCTCTTCAGCGGCACCCAATGTCCTATACTGATGAAAACGTACGCGATGACGAGGATGCCCGGCGTCTTTTGATCGGGGATGTACCATACGAGCCATGCAGCAAGCATGGCTACGAGCGTGCCCAGGATGCGCCAGAAGAAATTGAACATGGACAGTCCAGATGTGGGCGTCATTCCCAGAGCCACCATAAGCATAGCCCAGACTACACGTTGGCGCGTGAACCAGAGCTGCGTATCAGCCAAGTATGCGATGATAGCGATGGACATGGTTGCGCAAGCGACTCTGAAACCGAAGGCCGACTCGGGAGAGCGCAGAAAGGTCGTGATCTTGCGGATGAAGTCGCCGAACCTTTCCCAAGCGTTTGCTGGCTCCAAGTGTTCCGGGTCTTTGCGCCCCTTGTAGGCCTCGCCCATGTGTACGACTACGCCGTTGCGATTCAAGCCCACATTTGTGGTTTCGTCGTCTTCGTTTGCATCTTGCGGTGAGAACATGCTGGCGATCCATTTCCTGAAGCGCTTCTTGCCGGGTGTCATGAGCTGCTTCTTTGCGGTAGCCTGGTCGTGTTCGTCCGCCCATTTGACAAAGTCGAGAATGGCTACGCTGACAGCATGCAGCAGGAAGTTGATATAGAGGACGAGGAACAGTTGCCGTTGTTGACGGTGCCTGGTAGTCACCTGGTGTAGCTTAAGTCCTCGCACTTCCAGATCAACTTTGGAGTCCTCGAAAAAGTTGTCGTCTGCCTTGATGCCTTTCCATTCGAGCCAGTAACTGAGGATCCCTTCTCTGCCGGCGTAGAACTCGTCGCTCTGCTTTTCAAAGTAGGCCGCGAACTCTTTGTCGCCAGGTCGGACCATGTCGCCTTTTGCTTCAGCGTCAGTGTTGCTCGCGCCATTCTTTTTCGGCGATTTCGCCCATGCGAGACGAAGCGCGATGTGCTCCAAGCCTTGGTCCATAGCATCTAGAATATTCTGCACCGGGTCATGGGCAAAGGTCATCAAATGATGCCAGTCATCCATCACGTCCTTCTTGATGTCCTCTTCTAGTTCCTTTTCCCACCCGTTGAGCTCAGCAAGACGCTCGAAGATATCGATGATAGATGCTACGCCACTCAATGGCATCATAATACCACGGAGACTCTTGAATATGCTCTCGTAGTCGTCCGGAGTTAGCTTTCCATATGCAACCTCGCGTTTCGCAAAGGGAAGATCCGCATTGAGCTTTCCATGCAGCTGGGTAAGAGCTGCAGTCGCAGTCTTAACGGCCGTAATTTCAGGTCTTATTTTGTCTTTCTTCTTGTGCCCGCCATCTTCCGGCTCGTCTAGGTTGGTCATCGTCTGCCGAAACATATCCTTGGTCTCTAGGCTCTGGAAGTACCCTTTGTGCGCCTTCAAAGCGCCTCTCAAAGCCCCTATGTAGCCCGTGAATTCTTTCGTCACGACTTTCCGACAAGATATCGGAAGAATGACGAGCGATACCGCCGTTGCAATCGCGAAGCCCGTCAGAAACGCCTCCAGCAGTCTCTGGACAAACGCCTCCACCTGAGCCGTCGTCTGGAACGTCGGGCCGCTCGTACTCGCAACGTTCGTGAAGATCTGGTACAGCACGCACGGGAACGCGAACTGTGGGAACTTGGCTTTTATAGCATTGACGAACCAGATCTGGAAGAACAGCCATATGGCGCACACAGCTGACTGCGACGAGTTGTACCGATAGCGCGCGGGAGGGACACCGGGAGGTTCGGTATGCACGCGTGCTTGCACAGCAGACCAGAGCTGCAGCACGGCCATGGCGGCTCCGATGCAGACAGCGATTACATTTATTGTCATAGTCTGAATGAATTTTGCGCGCGGCATGATGCAGAAACCCAGGATCGCGATAATGGCCATGAGGTAACCCAAGGTGGTGTACGTCTCCGCGATGTCGTCGGCCTGGTACATCGATAGAGCGATGACAGGCGGCAAACCACCCTTTAGCATCATGAGAACTGTCGGTACATCCAGCTGGGTCTTCTTCAATGCTTTGGCGAAAATCGATGGCTTCTTCTCTTTCTCCGCTTCGGGTTCCTGAGCGGTGGCCTCCTTGCTCTTGCCATTCGTACCCGCGCGCCCATTAGCGTTCATCCGCTCCCGTACCGTCTTTTCCCCGTTGGCTGTGACCTCGTCCATCTCTTCCCCATTCCTCTCGGAGCTGCTAGACGCTCCAGCTTCCATTGCGCATCTCAATTGCACTTCGAACGAATAGTAAGGGGTATCAAAATGTACACAAAAAGAAAAGAACGGAAGAAACGGAGGTTATTGAGTGCCGAGGAAAGATCATCCTCAAAGATGTTTTCCCCGACCCTCCGCAGCGATGTCCCAGCTGTGCTAAATTAGCTTCGCCGGACGCATCCACCACCGTCGTCATAGGCCGTCCGAGTGGATAAGCTTTGTTTAGCGCGGATCAAGTGGTGGCTGACAAAGACACCTAAAACACCTGCGACTTGCGCCAGATTGGGCAGGCCAAAGCTTCGTATATAGCCAGACACAGGCACCCAAGCGAGCGCCTTCGTATACACAATTGTGAAAAGACCACATGTAGGGAAATGTGGCAGAGGTATAAACATGGTATCTTTCGCTCATCTTGTATGCACTTCGCAACTTTACTATCTATATCGCGATCCTCTCAAAGCTATACTTGGGCACCCGCTTGCTGATCAGCATACCCATTTCTCTCGCGCTCCTCTCCTTCTTCTGCCCGCCCTTGCCCGCCTTCGTCTTCTTGATGCCCAGATCTGGTTTTGAACCCAGCGGTAGCATAGGCAGCTCGTCAGGTTTGGTGTTCAACGCAAACGGCTTGCCCTGCTTCTCCAAAGTCTTGCTGCTCGGCTTCTGAGATTTGGGTAGCTGCGAGCTGTAGCGGAGGAGCTCGCTTAGTATGCCGCGAATGTAGCGAGCTTCCCAGAATCCTGTGAGTGCTTCTTCGGCGTCTTCACGGAGCTCTTGGATGAGCTGGTCGGTGGATGTGTCGCCAATTGAGGTGAGCCAGAGAGCTGGACCGATTGCATCTAGGGTGCAGCTGAGAAGTGAAGCGATGATGGCAACTGCGCTATCGTCGATTTCCTCGGATGATGTTTCGCTCTCGACTTCTTCAGAATCGCCGAAGTCGTACGGAGCAGTCCAGCCACCGTTCTTCAGCTCGTAGTGCAGTACCTTAATCAGCGACTCGAGGTCGTGTCGTGATAGCATGGAACGAAGTGTGGAGCTGATGACGTTCGGAGGGAACGTGTGGAGGCGCATCAGGGCGGGTCGAAGTGTGCCACTGATGATCGCCAGACCGTTATCGAGTATTGCCAAAGCGCGGTCAATCTCATGCGATGCCGCTTCCAACTCTGATGTAATGTCCACATCCATAGAAGTCGCATTTTGGTCGGTTCCGTTGGTGAGTAGCTTGGGATTGTCTGATGCTTTAGGTTGGTCGTCAAGACTCTGCATCAGCAATCTCACCGCCTGGACCACCTCGCCGGCAGGAAGAAAGTGGCTGTGATTCAAGATTGCCGAGAGAATGTGTAGCTCTGGATCGAAATTTACAACAGCGCGAACAATGTCGCCATCGCGGATGGGCGTGGTGATACCGAGGTTGCTAGACGGGTCATCTAGAAGAGCGCGGCGGATCGATTCCTTGGTGAGGTTTCCAGAGTGCATAAGCCACTCGAAAACGTTGGGCGGAAAGAATTCGATTTTCAGATATCCGCTGGGGCCATGCGATGAGGGTGATTCTACCCATTGGAAAATTCTACTCAATGCGTACGCGGCGTACTGCTGGTGTCGAGATCGTTTGGCTGCCGAGAGCGTCTTGGACAGGATCTTGGAAAGTATCCATTTGCGTGGCAGGTCAGAGCTTTCCTCTAGAGCCCCAGACTTCGTCGATTCTGTAGCTTTCGTTCCGTTTGCGACAACTTCATCGTGAACTCCATTGACAGGCTTCTCCTCCGCTCCAGGTCCAGTCTCGAGCTTTACACCTAATTCGGCGGCGAACATCTCCTCGAACTTAGCAACTTCGCCCTTACGGGCGTATCTATCAAGCTTAGGAACTCTCTCCCGCCATTTGGCCATATCTTCTTGCTTATTTTCTGACTTTGATGCAATGCCCTTCCCCAGTGAGTCGGCAAGTCGGGCACCCTGTGACTTGACTCGCTTGCGCCTGGTAGATTCTCCAAGTTGGAGCCCAACGAGCTCATTGTTCCACGAACCTACCGCTAATCCCTGATCAGCATAGTAGGCGATCAATGCAGGAGCTTTCGAAGTGGTTTCTCCGGACTCAGTGGCGGTATGCTTTCTTTTTCGGCCATCTTTCGTAGGACTTTGAGTGCTAGATTCGACGGAACGCTCCGCGTGAACAGAGTTGTACTTAACGTTTATGATTTGGCAGGATGATTGCGACGTCGTAAGGAGTAGATCCTGCGAGATGCGCAGAAACGAATCAACTGCAATGGTATCTTTGCTCAATTCCGAGGAAATTTTAGGAACAGTCCCAGAAAAGTCATAAGTCACGAGCCCACTGCTGCGTAGGTGGTGAACAGCCCCACTACCTGCGTGTATGATGAAATGGTCGTTGCTGGGCTCAGACGATACGGATTCGAGGTTCGATGCCGGTAAGTCCCAGGCGGAAAGGTGCTTTAGCGGCGGGAGGCGGCTCGACAAGAGGTCAGGCGAACGCGGCTGAATTTGGAACAAAGCAAGCATCCTGCGACCGTCTGCTCGTCTACCGATAGCAGACGTGACTTGAGTGAGATCCAATAGGTCAGACTTCTCATCCAACGTTGGGTTTAGCAGGGCCACTATGTCTTCGCGGTTCCTCAACAGGCCGTTGGTGAGAGCTCTCGCCGGGTTGATGGAAACATGTTCGATTTCGAAAGCCATTTTTGAGGACTGGACCAGGTTAGAGACGCTTGCCACCCATCTCACTACCTCGAGATCTGCTGAGAGGCAGATCACATCCCCGTTTCCAAAGGAGACCAACACTTCGTGCGACGCATTCTGTTGAGATGTTCCAGCAGGTACAGGAACAACGTCTATGGACACAACTCTTTGCGATGCGTCCGAGGGCGTATAAGTCGTCTTGACGGTATCCGTAATGGAGTCTTTGCGAATTTCTTCGGCGAAACAGACGAGGTGAGGTTTTGCGCCCGGCGTGTTCTGGGAGACGAACGCATACGTATAGCGACGAGATGCCCTCTTGGAAGACCCCTTATGGTATACAGAAAATGGGGCCGATGCAAACGATGTCTGTGGCGGCAAAGCGTAGGACGCTACCAACTGAGGATTTTGCAACTTTTGTCCGTTAGTCCTGATGGCAGTAAACGCCCGTATGTACCTACACTGTAAATAGAAATTCCTTCTCCATCTAATCCCACAGCAATCTCGGTGCGCTTCCTCTTCTTCGTGCCGCTGATGCTGCAGACGCTGGCGGCATGTGTGCGCCCGTCGTGGGAACTTATCGAGTGCGGCAGCGAAGCCAACGTGAAGGGCGCTCCAATTTCCTGGTCGGACGACATATTTTGCCAGACTGAGCCTTGAAGCTCGCTCGAAGTCCGCGTGGGTCGTTGTTCGGCTGGTCAATCGGTTCGCAAGCTGTCGCAAAAAAAGTTCCAGTTCAGCCCGCGGGCTGGCAGAAAAAGAGGCGGTGGAAGTGGACCCGAAATCTTGGCGCCGGTTGCTTGCCGCGCAGGGCTGCTTGACTTGAACTCAACATTAAACAATGCGACGTCGAGTATAAAATTTTCTTCCAAGCCGAACTACGATTAGAACTCAAAGCGATCATATATGAGTCAAACTGGTAAGCTTTACGAGTACGTACTGTCGTCGAATGCAGCCCTGACGCTGTGATTGGTCGCTCACTTGAACTGCCGCTAATGGGAGGTACGCGAGCGCGACTTCCTGACGTCGCGTCTGCGGAAGCCGTACGCGTGCAGCCAGCCCTCACTTTCCTCTTTCACCAATTCTCTCACTCCCACACCCTCCACGAACAATTGTAATCTCCTTCCGTCCTCGCTCCAAACCTACAATCGAGTGTGATATTTTTCAAACTATGCTCCGGTAGCTATCGCAAATAAATGGCCCTCGCTGCGGTGCAGACTGCAATGAATCTGGAGGACAAGCCAAACGTACATCCATTCTTTTCGAAACCTCACAGTGCGTACGATACAGTTAAAATGTCCATGGTCCTTTGAGGCTTCTAACATCTGTAGAACACGCTGCGCCCGAACAGCAGCCGCCTGCAATCGAAGTCCCGGTGGATACTACCCAAGATGACCCCGACTACGAACAACATGAGAAGGTGGGGAAGGGACAGAAGAAGCGCGGAAGGAAGCCTGGCAGCACGAACAAGAAGAAAGAGAGCCCTGCAGGAAACAACCAGTCGTTGATGGAGAGATTCACCCAGCCAGCTCGCGCTCAGGCTGCAGCGGAAGACGCGCACATCGGCGCAGCGCAGATAGCAGAAGAGCCAGCTCTAGACGAAGATCCGAACCAAGACCGACGGAAGCGAAGGAAGACAAACTCTCCAGCAGCCCAGGGTGGTACTGCTGTGGCTGGGATCCCGGCGAATGGGTCGCTGGATTGGCACCAACAGTTGGAGCGAGAAGCAAGAACGTCGGTGCCATCGCAAACCATGCCGACCGATTCTAAACCGCAGTCAAACGACAATACTGCACACACAGCAATGAACGGGCACCATCGACCTATGACACCACGAAATGACGCTGCTACCGAACCTGGCACCAGTGCTGCCCAGGGCTCAGTCTCTGCATCCACGACAAGCAGGGCTACGCCGAAAAAGAAGATGAAGGTTAGCAAGAGCGGCAGACTCGTGTCAAGTCCTCCAGATGCAGAACCGGAAGTCACACCTCCCAGAAAGCGGCGAGGACGCAAGCCGAAGCTAAAACCTATGCCAACTGTCACAATCATCAAGTACGGACAGAACGATGTGAGCAGGCGTGCTATTGGCGAGAGAATTGAGGCCATTCTCAGGGGCGACAAACCTGTGCCTCGTCCGGCGACTCCGAAGAAAGTACCTCTAAAGCCTTCCGGTCCACCTAAACCCACCCATCCCTTCTTCCTTGGAAAAGCCGCGCCCAAGGACGATGAAGTAATCGGTAGTAAAGGTGCTACTGATAACCAGCTTTTACCATCTCCAAGAGCTCAGAAGAAGAGTGCTGTGACTCCCGGAAAGTTGAAGCTTGAAAGCCAGGGCTTCCGCTGTGCCGTCGATCCGCCGGCCTTCGGGGAAAGAGGCAACCGCCCTCCGAAACAAGGAGGTTTGATTGAAGCTCCATGGCCTGCAAAGGACATGGTACACGTTCGCCAACTGGACATCAACATGCCGTTAGAGCCTACACCACTGTTAGAAAAGCCTTCGCTTAGAGCTCGCAAATGGAAAAGTAGAGTCCTCGCAGTGTCATCAGATGAAGATCTCATAGCGAGGTTTGCCACACAGCTTCGACCGTCGATTCACAAAAAAAACAATGTCACCCACTCCGACTTTGCACCACTCGAGGATGTGCGCCTGCCTACCCGCTTGCTGACTACAGGAACTGACATACAAGAAAGACTACGCGCTAAAGTCGCATCGTTGTCGAGTTCTTATGGCAAAACGACTGGTGTACACCCGGCGATTGCAGCACTTTTTGCCGGTATTCAAGAAGATCTTACAGCTTTTGACCTAGGCAAATGCGAATCTCTATCCTGGGTTCAAAAATATGCCCCGAAGTACGCCTCGCACGTTCTACAACCAGGGAAAGAGCCTGCAGCCCTGAAGGATTGGCTGCAAAACCTTACAGTCCTCGCTGTAAGTGGGAAGCATTCCGGCGAGAAGGCTGTTGGAAAGCCTCCCAAGAAAAAGAGGAAGACTATTCAAGATGACTTTATTGTTGATAGTGACGAGGAGGAAGAAGAAGAGATGATTGAGCTACCTCCACTGGATTCTGACATGCACGATTCAGTCTTCTCGCCGACCTCTCTACGACGAGCTCGTTGGACCAGAAATAAGAACGTAGTGCTGATCAGTGGGCCGCACGGCTGTGGAAAGAGTGCCATGGTCCACGCAGTAGCAAAAGATCTAGGCTTCGAGATATTCGAGATCAACTCAGGCAGCCGGCGGTCGGGCAAAGATATTCAAGACAAGGTCGGTGATATGACCGCAAACCATCTCGTCAGCCACAAGCGGAACGAGAAATCGATCCAATTAGAAGCGGTACTAGCAGACGACACTGATACTGAACGCCACAGCGATGCTCTGCGGAAAGACCTCGATAGCGGGCGACAAGGCACCATGATGTCGTTCTTCAAATCAAAAGTATCGGCCGTGGAGAAGTCGGAGCCAAAGCCCAAGACAACAGAACCCAACCGGAATGTGGCCTCGTCCGGACAGGCTACTCTACCAATTGCACAACCGCAACGCAAATCACAAAAGCAGTCATTGATCTTGTTTGAGGAAGCTGACGTTCTGTACGATGAAGACCAAGGGTTTTGGGCGCAAGTTACCAGGCTTGCCTCTCAATCAAAACGGCCAATCATCATCACATGCACGAATGAAGCTCTCATCCCAATGCATGAACTGCCGCTGGCCGCAATTTTGCGAGTCTCGTCGCCCCCTGTATCCCTAGCGACCGACTATTTGGTTATACTGGCAGGCCACGAAGGCCACGTCTTGGAACGGGACGCTGTCTCAACTCTCTATCGATCGAAGAACTGTGACCTCCGAGCCAGCATCACTGAGCTTAATCTTTGGTGTCAAATGTCTGTCGGCGACAGGAAAGGTGGACTAGAATGGATCTACCAACGATGGCCACCCGGCAAAGATGTAGATCAGGACGGTCGACCGCTTCGCGTAGCTAGCGAAGGAACATACGTGGCGGGCATGGGGTGCCTTTCTCACAACGTGTTCAAGTCTCAAGATCACATAGGCTTCGATCGCACAGAAGAACTGCTGAAAGAAACATGGGACGAATGGAAAATCAATCCCAACGAATGGAGCGGGCACTACGATATTGGATACGTATCCGAGGGGCAGAGCAGTGGCAAGCTCGATGAGCTCAAGCGCCTTGAGACCATCATAGAGTCAACTAGCGCTGCTGACGTATTCTGCCGCATGGACTTGCCGTCTTACCAGCAGTACTTCGAACAACCTACAGATCCGTCTTTGCCACGTCTATCCGAAAAAGCTCGGCTCAGCTACACACTCGCCGCTCCGGTCCTGCAGGTCGATCATACCACCGACTTCAGCCACTTTGACAGCAATATGCTCACCCAGGCTCATCTCCAAATCCAACGTGCGTACGGTGGACGACCAGAATCTGCTACCGAGCAAGCTATGTCCATACCAACAACTGAGCATGGCTTCACGTCCGCCATACTCGAACATAAAGTTCGCCAGGCCCGCGAGATCCAGCTCTCACGGCAGGATTTCTCCCACGCGTTGGATGTCCTAGCATACCTGCCTGACAATCTCCCCGCCCTGAACACATCCTATAACCTCACAGCATCCTCCTTCGATCGAACTTTCCAGATCGTTGTCGAGGACTTGGCTCCCTATGTACGGAGTATTGTCGCCAGCGAGCTGGTGCTCGAGAATCAACGCATTCGCTTGGGCAACCTGCTCTCCGAAGGAGGGAGCCGAAGCAACAAGCGGCAGCGAACCACAAGGGCGGCGCGCACGGCGCTAGAGGGTGGGTCGAGAGATACGAAGAGGAGGGAGAGGTGGTTCGGTGAGGACTTGAACCGCACCCTTGTGATGGATACGGCGGGAAAGAGTTGGACTGGCATGGGATTCGGGTGTGAAGAGGCGGAGACGGCATCCAGGACCGAGAGCGCACCGGGTACTCAGGAAGAATAAAGCGCAGGTTTGTATATGTGCATTTGTGGGTGTTTGGGGGTCAGCATTGCATCTGGGATACTAGGAGATGGACATAGGAGCATTTTCGTCTACAATTTGGACGACTGGGTATCATCTATCAATCATAGCATATACGACCGGCATTTTCTGATCGTGCGTTCAATAACGCAAATCCATTTAGTCCCAACTTTTGTCTATCCCTCCCACGCTTTCGTAACTCATGACATCCTCCCTACCCACACTCACAAATCCGGATCGAACTCATCCGGCAACGGTAACGCCTGCTTATTGGGTACCTCCACTCCAAGCTCACACATCGGCAACGGTTCCGGCACTCCGTTCTGCGTATCTGCCACCTTTACCTCCGCCTCGGCATTCACCCCATCCTCCGCCGCCCCATCCATCGCCTCATCACCACCCCACTCCCTCGCCTTCTTCTCCTCCTCCTCCTCCCCTCTAACGCATCAAACGCATTCTTCTTCTTCTTTGACTTCGCTTTAGCTTCATTAATATCCTCCCACCCCTTCGCCCTCTCCTGACCTTCCTCTCCCGCCCCACACTCTTCGCAACCTTATGCTGCAGCTTATCCAGATTCTCCTCCGCCCTCTCTGCGCCCTTGAGCTGCCGTAGTCTCTGCGCGCGCTTCAAGGGCTTCGATTTCTGCGCGCGTTTGGAGATGCCGCTGGAGTGCTGGGCGGCGAGGACGTGGGTTTTGCGGTTGTGGGGTCTGGGGAGGTGGATGTGCGGGTGTGGGGGTGGGTTTTGCGGCGGTGGGGGCGTCGAGGAGGGGGAGGCGGCGCGGCGGGCGGCGCGGGAGTGGGTTGATATTTCTGAGGGGTGGATTAGAGGAGGAAGGGGCAGGAGGGAGGGAAAGACGTACGGCGGTTTTGGGTTTGGCTGTTTTGGCCATTTTGGTGGAGATGGGTGGGTGTTTTGGTTGGTTCTGTGGATTTGGGGAGCGCAGGGTCCAAATGACGATGTTGTTTGCTTGATATGAGGGGGTTTGAAGGTAGGGACGTAGAGAAGGGCACTTGTTTTGTTGTTGTTGAAGTTGACGTTCGTCCCACCAAAATTCCCACGATAGAAAGTTTTGCCAAGATTTCGGAACGCTAGCAGGGGTGGGCTTGCTCCACTCTTTGGCGTTGGACTCGGCTACTGCGTCGTGCGCAATTCGCAGACAGTGCCAATCACCCTACGAGCAGTCTAGAGCAATGATCAAGGGAATCGTCGTGATGCATGCTAACCGACAGACTGGCAGGAAAGCACTATCAGGGATACGGAGCTGATTGAGTCCTTATGGTGGTGGAAGGATCGTTCGGACAAATGCCCTACCTGAGGCAACTAGGCAACGATTAGGCATCCACAAGGCAGCGAAGGCGCCCATAGACCCATCGTCGAAACTCCTGTCCCTATAGACTTATAAAGCTTGAAGCGCATCCATCCACAATCCCATCTGCAATACACTTTGTTCTCGACAAACTTGGAAGAAAATTTGAAAGCAACTTAAGAGATGGAGCTCAAGAACATCATCATATTGGGAGTACGTTGCTTTAAAAGAGCTTTGGAAATTGGGTAAGACAATGACTAACAAGAAAGGCTCGTGGTAATGTGGGCACCGCACTCATCGCCGAACTCCTCAAAACGCCAGACACGTTTACGATAACCGCTGTCTCGCGTTCATCTTCGACTAGCACGCCACCAACCGGTCCCGATGCCAACATCACCCGCAAGGCCGTCGACTATAGCTCCTTGAACTCCCTGAAGGAAGCTTTCACCGGCCAAGATGCAGTCGTAAACTGTGTCACTGGCGGAGCGACGCAGTATGAGCCGTCAAAGCTTATCATCGACGCTGCTGTCGCCGCTGGGGTGAAGTTCTTCTTCGCGAACGAGTACGTAGGCAACGTGGGAAGCGAGCAGTTCAAGCGGCTTCCAGAGTCGGCCGCAGGCGCCAAGGTCAGAGTGAGAGAGTACCTCGAGAAGCTCGCGAAGGAGGAGAGGATTACCTGGACTGCGTTGAACGGCGGACCGTTCTTCGACATGTGTACGTATTTCCTTTTCGGGAGTGCCTTACTGTAATAAGGGTGTCGCACTGACAGAAAGTATTGTAGGGCTTATGAAAGGTCCCGCGGGTTTCGACATCAAGAACAAACAGGCGCGCATCTACGGTTCGGGCAACAACCCCCTCTACTGGACACCCCTACCCACCATTGCCGTCGCCGCAGCTGCGATTATACGCAATCCCTCCGCCACTGCCAACCGCGGGGTCTTCATCTGTCCCTTCGCTCCAGGCACCCTCACACAGAATAGTCTTCTCGCTGCATTGGAGACTGTTCTCGAGTTGCAGTTCTCTGTTACGCACGTTGATGTTGCAACGATCAATAAGAATGCTAAGATTGCGCTGGGGAGAGGGGAGGTGGGGAAGGCAATGCGCGGGTTTACTATCAGCAATCAATTTTATGAGGAGGATTGTGGGAATAATTTGGAAGGGCTGACGGAGAATGAACTGTTGGGCGTCGAGGAAATGAATGTGGAGGAGGCGGTCAGGGACGCGATTGAGCGGTATGGAACGGACGTTTCCGTTGTGGAGAGTATGTTTAGGGTCGAGCCTTGTGATGTGTGAGCAGAATCAGGAGACCTGTCTCGCAAATTGGGTGGAGGACCGATGGAGCGCGTCATTCTCAGAGTCTGCTTGCTAATGTCATTCCGTCATTCATTTATTTCTGATGTGTACATGCGTTTGCTTGTGAAGTACCTGCGTTGGCACCTTGAGAAGTTTAAACTTAAGAGTTTAAGAATTCGGTAGCCACGCATTGAGTGTGTCCAATGTAGCGTATTCATCAAGCTCTTGTGCCACTGACATGAGGCGTGTCTTCAAACGCGTCGGTTGCGGCATCTTGAAGTCTTTCAGATTGACCTTGGGACGCACCGCCCCATACTGCTGCAATGTCACGCCTAAGGAGCCATTGCAGTCACGCAAGCGGACCTGAGCCAATGCTTTGTGCCACAATGCAGTGGCACCGAGTACTGGTTCCTCTTCCACCAGAACATCGACGTTGAGCACGGAAAGCGCGATGAGCATCCGTCGAGCGTACTTGTTCACCTTCTCCTTGTCGACGCTTTCGTATATGATGTGCTTATACGAGCCGCGGGCCACCTCAATTGGAATGCTAGCCTTGAGACTCCCGCCATAGAACCCCCTGATGTTGTTGGGTAGTGGGATCTTACTTCCAGGCTCCATCACGGCGACCCATTGATCGACGATTTCCTCGGGCACCTGCTCTTCGCCGCCGCCGAAGTGATCGTTGGCGACAATGTCACGTAACGCTTCTTTGTGTGTGTGGTAACTTTCTTGGGGCGATAGCTCTAGTATATCCTGTGTCTGAGCACTTTGTGGGTCTGCCTTGGACGATCTGTCCATCTTTCACCGGTTCTTAGGGTGCAGTAAATCGAACTTTGCAGTTACTGTCTGAGCTTGCGGTCTTCTTCGTCAAAGTGTGATCTTCGGTAATATTGAACGAGCTCTCACGATGTTAGTGAAGAGTGCTGGTCACACAGGAAGTTCGATAGCCCAGTGATGTACGAACCAAGAGTGCAGATTACCAGTTTCGGGTTGGCCAAGTGAGGCGGGCTACCCTGAAACGGCCCGAAGTATCCTGGTTCCTAGACAGATCTTTTCAATCGCGGAGAACCTTGCGGGTCAGGCGCCACCCGAAGCTATAGGATTCTCATTTTGTGTCGGTGGCGGTGAGTTGGTAGTAAGCCCGCGTAAGCGCTATTCCCTGGAACATCCACGGGTTGCCTGACAGCACGTGATCAAAGTGCCGGAATAAGACGCTGAGAGGTTTGTTTGGGCCAATGTGGATTATATAAGCGATCCAGTCCAGACAACCACAACCCTGTTGGTCCCACCTACTCTTCTTTCGGAGCCATATCATGGTATTCGATTTGTTGAACCTTTAGCTATCATTTGATTCATTGGCAATAGTCCACAATTTAGGCTCATCTTAATCCCTTCGTAGCCTTTCAACTACCATGGGTACCAAAAACTTTACACGAACATTCAAATGTTCAGCTGGGTCGGTTTATTACGTCAGTAAACGGACGTTTCAGGAAGCTGATGCGAGTCGCATTCGAAAACATCTTGTCAAAAACATAGCCAAAGATCCGAGAGGCGGTTCTGTGTCTGTGCTACAGCAAGAGTGGGCCTCACGGTCAGCGAATGGAAGAGTATTGTTACACTGACGGTTTAGTCCAAATTCCGGGGGCTTTAGTAAGAGCGGCTTCTCGTTCTCCTCGTTCAATCTGATTACACTTCAGCGTGCTGTCTTGCATCGATGGGAGCAATAGCCGCATAGCCAGTCTTTATGTTGCACAAAACACCAATCTTCAGCTTAGGCAAACCTCGCTGCCCTGGGGAAAACTGGGGCAAGTTGAGAGGCCTCGCAGAAGCTCCAATCAACAACACTATGTGCGAGCACCAGGTACGCTGTTGTACGTCACCGTGAAGGCACAGCAACACTGTCTCGAAATAGTACGCAAGGCATGGACAGAGCACTTCGACGAGTTTGAAGTATAAAGGACCATAGAAATCTACCTCAAAAGCAGCATCATCCAGCAACTACACAACAGCTTCTACCTAGCAGCTCCAATCTAGCACAAAGATCTTTTTGTCCTTCATCTACACATACCGAAAAACACTATCAAAATGCAGTTCATCACCGTTTTCCTTGCTGCCTCCTCCCTAGCTGGCTCGGCCCTCGCCATCTGCCCAGGCTTCAACTACGGCATTGGCAACCAGCAGAAGCTCGGCAATGGCATTAGCAGGTGGACCGTCTACGACGATAGCTGCAAGGCCGTGGATGGCCTCACAACTACGAAGAACCCGTGCACGCAGGGTATCTTCGGCTGCTCTGGCTCGCCGATCAAGTTCAACTCCTACAAGAGCACATTCACTGGCCTTAAGTGAGTTGCGAACAAAGAAGAGGCTGAGCTTGGGTGATGCTGATGATGTGAAATAGGTACAAGTGCCGCACAGACTCTCGCTCTGGCAAATGTGGTAGCGATGTCATCTCCGTTTGCGTAAGTCCTTTTGAAAGCGCTCCATCATGGGATATCGATTAATGAAATTTCACAGTGCCGCAACGACGGGAACTAAAAAGGTCATGGGTGGATGTCTAGCATATGGTGCGGATCAGGAAGTAGGTGTGGGCGGTTGCTTTGCCATTATTGGCAATGACATTCTTTTGAAACGATTTCGTATAGTACAGTCTTCAGCATAGAGAATTCAGGGCCCTTTTCTTGAGCTTTTAGAAGTCTTCGCAGACTTACTCGTGTCAAACACTCGTCATTTGTTCTATTATTAAGGCTAAACACGAAGAGCTCGCAGAATGTTGGTTCTGGGGTACCCATCTTTCATCTGTTCACTTAATCTATTAGTACTAGTCCAGACCTTTTCCACATTGAGTCGCGAAATACCGTGATAAAAAACCTTTTAGTACATTATAATCTAGAGATTACTACGGCTTAAACCGTGCCCAATTACGTGTATTAGAAAATGTGGCGTCCCTGCCGGTTTAGTAGGGAAGCACACAAAGCTATCTTAATGCCTATTAAGCAGCTGCATAAGAGGCTTTGGTCAAACCTTGGTCTGTTTGTCAGCCCCCAGAGCTAGTGGAGACGGATGTACGTTGCCACGAACCATGATGAACCGTGTTGCCGACGACATTGACATTGGCATTCGCGTTTCGCCAGGTCAAGCGGTTCGTCCTACCTTCGAGACTAGGCGCTCGCCGAGATGGACATGGTCATCCTCTCACTCTCTGCCGCCATTACTGTCACCCTATTGTTTCCCACAGGTGGCCACGCTCGCTGGAGTACCGTAGTATGATTGCGTCTGACCTAAGTGCTGAGACAGACCCCGCACTTCGGACCCGCTACGGTGTCGTTCTCGAAACTATATTATGTAGGGGCGCACACACCTTTGAGCTATGGCTTTAGCATATGATCGAAGAATTATTTAACTCCACGTCAGAGTCACTCGACAAGCGTTCTGCCGAGCATCAACAACGATAGCGGTGCCTCGCCCTAAGCTGCCGTTACAGATCATTGCCCAAAACGCAGAAAAGATGCTGAGGCCGAACCAGGTCCCCTCATGTTAGCCATCTGCGCTTGTACACCAGTGTGCATATCCCCTATTGTCTGCGGCAGTATCCATTTGCTCTTATCAAAACCTCGGGTGCTATGAAAGCCAATGTCAAGTAGGCCTTAACCAGCCTAATCACGTCGGATTAGGAGGCCGTAGCCAATCACCCTCCACGGTTGAGCTTCTACCAATCAGCGCTTTATTCCGACAAGTCACATCCCAAGAAGAAATTACCGCACCGACCTTTCATGTACTGTCAACGCCGCAAACGCTCCTTGTTCGTTGTAGCAGCGCTTCATCCCGTTACGAGTTATACTGTCTACATCAGTGTGGCCAACGGATGGAACGGATCGCCGATCCATTCCAACGCCACGAATTCAGGGATCTCCAGTCCAAATCCGTCGGAACGAGTGATCAATGTGTATCACGGCAATAACCACAACTCCCATGAGGACGATTCCGTCAGAAAACGCATGGAACGGATCAATGGAAAGTCTGATGGAGAGACCTTGCTATGAAATACGACCTCTTTCCTCATTCGACCGGCCTTTGCCTCATGCTGACGATACCAGCATTGTCCCATGAATACAGGCACTGTAATACCTGTGACGTATTACTTCGTACACTGTAGATGATTGCGCCGATCAGTTATCATCATTCCAAATCTGCTGAATATTTTTCTGCTCCCCCCACCCCCAAGGAAGCTGCGATTGGAATCCTCGTCCGAAAGTGAATTGACGACTTAGTCTTCGTGCCGTAGATCATCTACTAAGCTGAGCGTGGTAGCACCTCGTCCTCCTGTATTTTGGCAATTTGTTTTCGTGTGCGAATGGAGCCATAGATTGTCGCAAGTAAGGAAATCAAGGGTAACACGATGAACAGCGCAATGAGCGCGGCGCATAGAATCATAGCGAAGACCGCGAATCCATATGCTGCTTGTTGAAGATCAGGAGCTGGACTTTTAGAGTGTGCTGACAATGATAGATTGAAAGCCGACAGAACAATAACAATGACACCAAACGCTGACACTGCATTATTGTACTGGTCCATGTAAGGTACATAGCTTTCGGTCAAGGCATGGGGGAAGCCTTGAAGGATGCTGGACACGGAAATCTTGTAAGGCGAATATCGGTAGATGGTGTCGAGCCGATTCAAACGCAACTCGCCGTATTGGAATCGTGGGTCCATGGTATTAGAGTCCTTAGGGTCGAGATTTGCTAGTATCGTACGCGCAAATTCTACCCAAGCTCGGTAGTCCAAGTCCACATTGACCAGACGAGATTCTTGTGCCACCTGTAAATCATGACCAAAGCGAATGAGGCCACAATAAGAGTACAGAAGCCCGCACGCTGCCCGGTGCAATTGAGGTTCGCAGGATATATAGGCCTCCCAGAAATCGTAATTGAGCAGAAAGTCCGGGAGTGGTTTGAGAAATATTCTCGATTTCGCCCAAACGAGGTGAAGATCCAGTTCTTCTGCGATCACAATTTCGCGGCGCAGGAACTTTTGGTAGTACAAGGAGCGGGGAGCTCCATGGACGGCGATTAGCCACAGCATCTTGCGTATGGCATGGAATCGAGAAAGGTCGAAAAAGGCACGGAGAAATCTGTGCACCTCGCTTCCATCCTCAAGTCTCAGTGGCTGCAGTTCCCTCGCTAGGGGAGATAGATCGTTGAAGGCCGCAGGGAGGACTAGGTCCTCCCGAGCAATCAAGGAAGAAGTCCGTGGGAACGGGGGCTTGTATGCTGGCGACGCGATGCTCTTCCCGGATTTTTCCATAGAGAATATAGTACCACGACGCTTGTGAGAAAAGATTGGAGTTGCAGTTAGATTGGTCAGTTCAAAGCTCTTTTGGGGAGTTTAGAGGAGTATTATATATAGATTTTGATTTTCATCATGATGGGTAAATGATGTCAGAGCCAGACCAACCTGGCGCCGCTCGGAAACTTTGAGGATGCCGTGAACGGCGTTGACTCTTTGTGAGATGTCGCAATTGTGACATAATTCATGATGTTGAACATGGGTTTCCCGTTCTTTCTGGCTGTAAAGTATTACTCAAAACGCTGACGATAGCATTCCGAGAAATGACTTAAACTAATCTTAGAAAAGATACAATTGGATTGACATCGAACACTCGTTATTTATTCTATGAGTTAGGCTAAAGCACAACAAGCCCTCAGAATGTTGATTCTAGGATATCCATCTTTTAGCCATTTCGATTTTGTTTTACTGGTACAAGTCCAGCCCTTTATAAAATCAGACCTTGAAATAGCATGATCAGATACCTCTCAGTATATTAGCGATGTAAGGATCCCTGCAGCCTGCCCTTATAATTCGATAGATCCCGCAGGACTCCGTCCTGTCTCACTAGACGTTTCTTCCCTCTTCATAAGATCCAAATGGTTAAAAATCCTGATCTCACTAGCTTCTTTCAGCGCAACCATGGCCTTTTCCTTGGTCGATACGAGAGTATCACCAAACACAAACTGTTCTCCGATCGTAAGTTCATATGCGTATGCGTAGGCGCCGGAAGTAGAGGACGCTTGAATTAGAACGAGATTGATATCATCGACGTCGACAGGTTTGCAAAATTTCTGGAGAATGTACGTCAAGTTGCCTGGGTCTCAAGGATTAGAAATGACAACTACTACAATCTGCACAAATACTTACATGCGAGTGAGAAGTCCTGACGTGCCGATAGAGTTGAGGGGCTATTCTTGACTAGATAGTGTAGGCGCTCTCTGATTTGATGGGTGGAGCTCATGATATTTGGTTGCTGGAAGATGCTTTGAGGTATTGTGTGGTGATACTGTGGTGTGTTACTCCCGGGTCGACCGGCATTAGATAGAGTTATCAACGGTAATTGTTGTCGACTCTTCGCTACTGGTCATTTGCATTTGCCATAGAACAATCTCCAATCCTGTACAAACAAAAAGGACCATGTTTGATTTCTATCTGGCTGTTTAGTCACACGCGAGTCGGCGAAGCTGTGAAGTCTAGTTATAGCCATGGAGCACAAACAACGCTTTTCCGTACCGTATCGTGCGAATAGGTGATGCGACCCATTCTAGATAGTGGAGAGAGTATAACATCAGTAATTTAGTGCGTCTTCGTCCACTCTCTGTACCAGTCGAGACATTCAGCATTCGCAACGCTTGCGGAGGTCTTCACGTTTAAACCGCAAAGAATTTGCTTCACTGCACCTTCGACCCTGTTTTTCGTTAGCTTGCTTCAAACATTGCCTCAAAAAAGTAAACTTACTTCTTCCCGTTGGTCGTCACCGGGATCTCGGGACACTCGTCAATAATGCCAGGAACGTGTCTCGCGCTCAGAGCTTGCTTCACCGCCACCTTGATATTTGTCGCGAGCTCCTCAGCAAACTTCTTGCCATCCGCCATTTTCAGAAACAAGCAAACAGTCTCATCATCATCCTGTTCTCTCCTCCTCCCAATGCAGAGCGCATCCGCAACGTCCTCAGCAAAGTGCTCAAGTACAACATTGTAGATCTCCGCGGACCCGAATCGAACACCAGACGGCTTTAAAATCCCATCGCTGCGACCCAACATCCATACACCTCCAGTCTCAGGATTGAATCGCACGAAATCACCGTGGCTCCAGATCGGTTGCCCTTGGCTGTTCTTAAATTGGTCGAAGTAGCTGTTGTAGTATTTCTTTTCGCCGTCTGCGCCCCAAAAACTGACCGGCTGGCAAATGAATGGCTTCGTGCAGACGAGTTCGCCAGGCTCGCCCGTATCCGAAATGTCTTTGCCGGTATAGTCATAAGCTGCGATGGCCATGCCGAGTCCTGCAGCCTGGATCTCGCCCTGGTAGACTGGTATGAGAGGATTTGGAGCGCCGAAGAGGGATATGATGTCTGTTCCGCCGGTGATGGACCCCAAATTTATGGACGAGGGGAAGGAAAGGTATACATAGTCGAAAGTCGAGGGCGCTAAAGGTGAGCCCGTGGAGTAGATGGCCTCGAGGGTGTTGAGCGAAAGACCGGCAGCCTTAGGGTCCAGAGACTTCTGTTCCAGGATGGAGAGGTATTTGGCCGACGTACCGAAATGCGTGATCCCCACCTCGTCGATGAGGCGATGCATGGCGAAGTCGTCCGGTGCAGATGTTTCGGGGTTCTTCAAGTCAACGTAGCGGAATGGTGAGCCATCGTACAGGACGATTGTGGCGCTTGAAGCTAGACCTGAAACTAGCCAATGCCACATCATCCATGTGCACGTTGTAAAGTAGAAAAGGCGCGACTGGGGTTCTATTGAGCAGTGAAGGATGTGCTCTTTCTTATGTTGAAGTAATGTACCGATAGCGCCATGGACAATGCACTTGGGCGCACCAGTGGTTCCGGAGGAGTAAAGAATGTAGACTGGATGGTCAGGAGACAGGTATTTGAAAGTAAGCTCGTTGCTTCTCCTCAAAGATGCGAAGGTCTTGTAGTCATATGCCTTTCCGGATGCGACCTCAAGAGACTCTACAGAGAATTGCACACTGGAGACGGTCGGGAAGATGACGGTGGCTTTCAAGGATGGGAGCTCCGATGCTATTTGACTTACTTTAGGTAGCACCGGATGACTCCGACCGTTATAGAATGCTGCATTGTCCGCAAACAGCACCGTGGGCTCGATCTGTCGTAGCCGCTCCAGTACGGCATGTACGCCAGTATCTGGACTAACAGCCGTCCATATCCCTCCTAACGAGGTGGTCGCGAGCATGGCGACCAATGCGTTTGTGTGGTTTGCGACATATCCTGCCACTCTGTCCCCTTCTTGGAGACCTACTTCCAACAGTCCGGATTGACATTGCCTCACGAGCTCCCTGAGCTCTTTCCACGACACGGTCTGGCGCGTTGTCTCGGTAGCGGCGATGATCGCAGGGCTATCTGGGTCTACCTCTAACGTAGGGAAGAGTAGATTCTCTGCGAAATTCAGAGTCGCATCTTTGAAGAACGCCGGGCGAGGATACATCGGTGCTCGTGGATCCACCACCTAAGTACATTAGCCGCCGTCATACTGAATATTCTCCCAACACTGACCCGCGACGCCCCAGTCTTTGCTCTGACCTCGACAAACTGCCATACACAGCCCCAGAATTTATCAATGTGATCAATGCTCCATTTGTGTAGTTCTTCGTAGCTTGACAATTGCAGTCCATACTTCTGGTTCACACTGTGCAGGAATCGGAACATTGGTGTGGATTGCGGGTATGGGTGTCGCCATAGCAGCTTCGCAGCTTTGTGGTGGCCATTAGAAAGGTTCGTCCCATTCGTGCCATTTGCCTGGTCGCCGTTCGCCTCCATGTTTAACTGTCTTAATTGCAGCGTACAAAGACTGTTATACTTTTTTGTTCGGATAGCGAAGGCTTTATGACGCGGAATAATCGGGGAGGACCCTTGCTACTCGGAACCGGGTCCCCACGTTACGTTCTGCGCCTATCCGAATTAGGCTGATACCTCGGTAAAGAACTAGATAGGAGAGAGCCGACCTGGACTCATCTTCTTCAAGGCGAATTTGAATCTTTTGTAGTTGCACGAGTGCGGCGCAGGCTTATCCAGGAATCTCGATATGAAGGTAATGGTTATCAGTCAACTTGATTGGTGTAACGGATTCCGCGCAACTGTGAGGAGGGTTGCACCGTATGCATGACCGCGTTTGCCTTGTTGCCTTGTTTGTGCTGCTCTCGAAGACGTTTCATTCTTTCCTTCGTGCATTTCGGGCCCCTCAAGCGCAGGGGGCATCCTGTTGGGTAAAATCTTATGAAACCAGGTGTCATTTTTAGGTGAGAGGACATCTGTGATCAAGTGAGGTATATTGAGAACTTCGGTAAATGCGAGGACTTTGACGACATTATCGTAGCACCCGATGTGGGAGTTCCTCCGTCTGGTCAGCAGCGATACATGATATAGATGCATGCCGTCTTTACAGTCGACGACGTATAAGCAATAAGTTCTTCTCAAGAGTTTGTGTCTGGGTGCTCCAAAACATGTATCAATTTGTGCAGGGGAACTAAAAAAATGGCCACCGGGAGTTGCAAGAAGCCGGCGGAAGTTCAAATCGGCGACTGGCCTTCTTCTTCGGATTCGAGGATAAAGCATCTGGGTTGTAATGCACAAAATATGCACCGAGCACTATGCCAAGGTCTAGATACGTGATACTACTGAGGATGCGTGCCCTCTTTTTTGATTATACGGCTTTCGCGTCCGATCGAGGATACACGGAAACATGTACGCATGTCAAATGAAATACTATCATCTAATTTTTTTTCCACACTACGGCAGGAACAAATGATTAAATGTGAGCGCATGCGGGCTACGGCATGTTTTAAGATGCTCTCTCAGACTTAGTATTCTTGCTAAGTGTGTTTTGACAGATGGACCATTTCGATCCTCATGCTTTCCACCCCTGACTCATGGCTTCCTGCCGCCTCAGTAAGATGTTCAAGACTTCTTCCGTCTGCAACGTAACTCGTGACTCCGAGGCTACTCTCCTTTTTAATCTTGTTCACCCTCCAACTGCCTATAGTCGGATTCTCCATATTGTTCCAGCCCTCACCCGACCGACCCGATCTTCCTGGTTGCCGCGAATTCCCCGCTTGTCTTAAACCCCCTGTATCTTGCGAGATACGCGATAACTTGGTCGTAATGAATCGTCGAATGCTCTTTGCAAAGGGCGTATTACCAAGCTCGGCAACAGAGGCAGCGAGCATGGGTGCGCAAGAGCAGATGACGCCGCATGAGTTCTCGAGGATCTGGAAAAGAACACCAATCCAAGCCGATTGAGTAAGATCTGACGCGCCGTAATGCGTAGTCGGCATCAGACAGTTCAGACGGGGAAGACCACTAAGTGTGGCACTGAAAACGTCAGTTGAAATGGCTTGATGTTCTTCACAAACTGTGCAACATACAAGAGCCCTAATAGAAAAGCAATGCTGACGGTTATTTTATTGCTTGCCTTGGTATTGAGTCTCCATATGATAGGTAGAGGGAAACTGAGGATGAACACGTCCAAAAAGACATGTATCAGGCCGGACGCGATGCAGAATTCTTTCAGCTTGATACATTTACCAGGAACCATGGGGTCTCTAAAGCGCTCAAGGGGAATGCAGGTTGTCAGCATCCTGAAGACTATGAGTAAGACAATCTCTGAACCATGAGGATGGTTACTGACGTCACAACGGTGCTTGACCACCAGCAGAGCACAACGACCATCGCTGTGTAGCAAGCATATCGATGCCATGAAACGGCTTTGAAGATACGAACATATAGGGACAAGATGGCAAGCTGGAGCGTCGACGAAGTGGTCGCCCAGAGTATGCTGACACTAGTGAGAGCCTATCATATAGTTAGCAAAGTTGCAGAGTTGACGTCTTGCAGGCGCGAATGTGCGTCATACCTTGAACACAGTTGGGACGTTCTCAGGCTCAAGCAGACCATCGGGAAGTATTGTTCTGCCAAGTCCCCCGTAAACGACGCTGATCACGATACTTACATAGCACCCGAAGGAAAGAAACAAGCCGGTAGCACACAGCCAGTCGTCCCAAAGTAACTTTTGCTGTCTGCGCCGACGCAACCGGAAGCGAAGGATAACGGAGAGAGTCGCCAAGACCAGAAAAACCGCAGGGACTATGACAAGTGTTCGCGACTGCGATGTGTTCACTGCAAATTGATGGACCATCTTGTTTTCTTGTCAGTAGGGGAAGGCTGAGCTCAGGTATGTTTTGCGAAAAGGAAGGGTAGACAAGCACTCAAAGACTATGGCAGCCACTTATATTCGTCGCATGCACCGTAGGCAGCCTGGAGAGCGTACAGAAACAGGCAAAAATTCTAGAGCGCAGATGAAGTCCGACAACTTTCGGCTCTCCAATGAATGCACGCGTGTCACCTACTCGATTGGTACGTAATATATTTATTAGCTTCCTGACCGGAGGAAACACAGCATGGTGCGCGAGTATCATTTTGCCTGCGCCCCGAACGGCCCTGGAATATTCCCAATTGGCTACTTACGTCGCCACCATGGTAGGTGGCGTCGTACGAGAGCAAGGGCTGAACCTCAGTTTGGCCAATATCACGTCATTTTATACTCCAGATGGGGCCATTTGTGCGACATGCTTGTATATCGCAACCGTCTATCCACCCTCCATGATAGTGACTGCTCTTCTCCCTGGCTTCTCTCCTCTCTTGAATAAATGAGGCTACTCCCAATATTTATTTGCTGGGCTGGCACCACCACATGATGGATAAATTTTCATGAAACGTTAGGGTTAGGGTTACTGTGCCGATCGCGAAGGACAAACCTGTTCGCGTCTTGGATTCTGCGACTGGAGAGGGGATATAAATGATCGAGGATTCCGAAAGATATCCTAGTGCTATGTTCGTGGAGACGGACATTGACCCTATCTGGTTTGATGAACACCGTATCGCGCATGACGGGATGATTTGGTCAACAATCAATCCTGGAGCCTTAGCCTTAGGTTGATAAGGGATCTTATCATCTCGTCCATCAGCGAGATAGGTTCACGAATATCACTCTTGGACGGTGCCACGGTGAATGGTCTGTTCAGTTTCGTCAAGCCGGGAGGCTACATCCAGTTTACTGATGCAGATCTGATGGGCTTTAAACGAGGGTAGCAACGTGAGGAGACATGGATCCTTCCTCGGGTCCGCAATTGGGACACTGGCTGAAGTCTGCGGGAGCTGAGGATGTTCAAGTGAGGCCTATGTCGCTGAGAATGGGAAAGCAAGCTAGTACAACCGAGTTAGTCTGATATCCCGACTTTTGCTAGACGTCTGATGTGGTCCTCTTGCTCCTTAGGCTAATATCGAACTCTTTAGTGGGCATGAAGAACCCTTCTATGCTCCCATTAATAAGACTTATTAGTAAATTACCATCTAGCTTACTATTAGATTTTAGATAGGAATTAGTTTCATATTTTTAATAGCGAAGAACCTTCCTGATAAATATTTGCCGTACCTAAAGGGCAAGTATGTGGCATTAGAGAAATCTACCTTGATTTTTCCAGCGTCTTTAGGTTTTCCATCCTCATCGCTTTCGGTCTTGTTGTGCACATTGCCAATCTAGACATTGGTCGTGACTTCATTCATACCTATGGTACGGATTCTTTCCGTTTTGGCGGAACTGGACCGCTCTTCAGCCATACTCCTTATCTTTGCACGCCATCTAGCAGTTTCCATTATTACCACCAAAATGGAAGGATCCTTGCACAAGAAATTCGGACTCTCGTCTTCAATCTTTACCTTTTGCGTAAGCATACGTAAAAGGTGGGGAATGGCCCTAGCCAACGGTCGCGTATCACGACAGAAATAACTTTGTGGCTTATATGGTGGCGCACTGTACCTATATGATCGGCACCTGGCTTTTGTCGTCACCAATGGACCCCCACGCCCCGGGACGACCCATATTACACCGGTATTTGGCAACGTAACAAATAGCGATAGGATCGGAGACGTCGAGCCAATAGTGCGTTATCGATATCATAGAGCCCCCCTCACCGATCACTATGCTGCCAGATTATAAGTTGACTGTTACAAGAGCCTAATCGGGCCGATCACATCGCCAATATAGCCCATCATTTACGAAGTGATATACCGCATACACGAGCGCGATGTCTGCTGACGTCGATATTGTCAGGGTAATGACGGCTAGGTACCAAAACAGCATCTTGATCAGAGTTTTTGGTCCTTGCTGAATTACGATACATGGTCGAGATAAATCGTTCATCGAACTCTCCAAGCCTACCTACTTGATTCTCCGGCTTCTCAGACTAATCTCAAGCTTCTTGGTCGGTAGGAAAAAGCCTTCCATGCTTCCACTGACCGGGCTAGGCGGGATAGTACCCGCAGCCTCGATCTCATACTCGTGTATGAGTCGCCCAAGAATCAGCTTCACAACCCGGGTAGCGAAGAACCTCCCTGGACACGACTGCTTGCCATAACCGAACGCCAGGAAACTCTGGCTCGGGGTCTCTGCCTTGACCCTTCCGGCGTCCTTCGGCGTTCCGTCGGCTTCGCAATTACATGGACCTGAACCTGCGAAACGAAATGGTTGGAACTCACGAGGGCTATCGTAGTTGGCTGGGTCAGAGTGGATTGATTGCGCTGAAAACACGATTCTAGTTCCTTGCTTTAGCTGGAAACCATCGTGCAAGGTCACGGGCTGTTGAGCAAGGCGAAGAGAAACCACTTTCAGAAATCAGTATTCGAGATGATTGATTGAGTGAGAAATACTTACGAGCAGAGGGTACATGAACGCGAAGGATCTCTCTGACGAAGCTGTCCAAAAGGTGTAAATGGTTCAAGGTATGCTTGCTGTCCCACGATCCGTACTTCTTCAGTACATCCTCGATCTCTGCACGGATAAGCTCTATGCATTCCGGCATTTGTAGCAGTTGCCAAATTGCCGCATGCACCAAGGCTATGCTAGATCCCGTACTTGCGAAGTGTAGATGCAGTACGCGGATAGCATGGCGGAATGAATCGACTTCCTTCGGAGATGCAGGTGGCATGTCAACCATCAATTGTATAGTATCGAGGTTCTTCTTGATGTCTGGTCGGTCCTTCTGTGCTACCTATACGTTCTTCCACAACGGGCACGATATACTTGTACATAGCTTTTCGGATTTGCATGCGGTATGGAATGCTGAAAACCCAGTAGAAGGACTTGCGGAAGATTCCTAAGGGTATGAAATTCCACAAGGCGCCAAAGATCACGTGGGACATATTCAGAGCTTCTGTTGTAGCGCGGTAGTCCGCTCGTCGACATAGGTCAGGTCCTACGAGGATCCTGTTCGATATGTAATGCACGAGTTTCGAAGACAGTTCCATGGCTTTGAATGTTTTCCAGTCGTCGAGCACCCCAATGTCCTTGTTGAAAACGAAGTTTGCCTCGTCGTTTAGGAGGGGTATGGTGTTGTCTAGATTAGATAAGCCCCTGGCCTCTGGATAGTAGACAGACTAACGTGCCAACCTGCGAATTGAGGTATTTCGATACAACATCTATCTCCATAGTGTTCGCAATAGGTATATCCCCGACAGAAGCCTCCATGTTCAAAGCATCGCTGAGGCATTTTGCTAGGTTCAACGCATGCCGATCTTGTGTCTCCAAGTCGCGGAGGTACTCAGGTGGCATGACGAGGAAACGAAGTCCCCAGAATGTGACTGACCATGGCTGGCCTTTCTTGCTATACTGGGCTCAAAGTCAGCTTTGTGAATCACGTGTTCACACGCGAATGTGCCTACCTTCTCGTAAGCTGGTGGTTCGAGTTCGTGAAGCCTCCAGCGGTCTGCAATAGACCAGTGTAGCCATGGCTTCAAAAGACCTTGACCAATGAACGGGTATTGCCCGTAGACAGGTGCGCCATCTCCAAGCCAAACGCCGATAAAATTTATAGTTGCAAAAGCAAGGAACAAGGCTGATATCCAGTATTCACCAGCAACGTGTAGCAAATTGTCTGATTTCAGGTTCTTGTCCATATTGGAAACTGCTTTTCGCGGGTGAAGATAATGAGAACCAAGGCTCAAACTAGAAGTTATATCACCATGCGGCGTAGCAAAAGACGGTGTAGCAAAAGAGGGGGTGCATCTGCCTAAAGTCTTCCCCAATCAGAGCCTGAAGCAATGGCCGGGCTGGGGTTGAGAGGTATCTGAAGAGTATTGAAGATGACGCGCTTGGTGAGTGCTGAGCTACGTTTGCTTAACTAAGTGAGCGAGCATTGAGCATGTGCGCGGTCAAGTCCATCGCAACTTATTAGAAGGGACTATCAGTACGGATCTCAACCAGAGAGGTACATGATATGAACGTCGAGGGTACGCTCGCTTAGTTCGCGAATAGTTTCAGGTCATAACATCCCTTGTTGATGTAGACTTGTCGTGTAGCCAGCCCTGACACTTCTTCGTGCGCCGACTGAGCTCTGAACCGGGTGAGGAATGTACATCAGGCTGAAATCCAACCTACGACGACGCAACAGCCAGAGTGCTGGAGTTTGCTGACCGTGACGTAGCAGCCGAGGGCTCGGGATGTGCACGTGCACACGTGAATGCTAATTTAGCCTCACGCTAGTCCCCATTTGCACACTCGTAATCTCACTTCGGCCTGCTGCCACCCTCCATGTCAGCACAGCACACCGGCGGCACTGACAGCTCATGCCGCGGGTTGATTTTGGGATAACCTGCTGAACCTTCCGCCAGGTTCGACTCGTCACGATTGCAAGGGTTAGGCTGAGGAATGCGCCGGCGGCACACCCATCTCATCTTCCATTCCCGCGGCTGATCCGAGAACGCACTGTACCTGGCGCCACTCCATGTTGTGTACCCAACTTTGGCCCACCGTCCTCGCCTGAATCCCACGCGATGATGCAGGCTACCGCTGATCTGGCGTCTGCGTGCTCACCTGGGCACCGACCAAAACTCTGGCCGACGACTCTGCAAACGTCTTGCGAAGAAGTCGAAGTTATATTTGTTTTTTCAAGCGCCACTTGGATGATTCCCCGCTTGCGGGCCGCTGGGTGAGACGGCAAGGAGATGTGGCTCTGTCAGACCGCAATGGCAATGATGGCCCCGCGCTCAGCTGCTTGCGAACGGTGCACATGCCCTGAGGTGTAGGCCGACGGCGAGTCATTACGAGGTACTGATAGAGAATCATGACAACCCCACGATTGCAACCCCCTTCGAATTGACGCCATAGGATTTCGTGCTACACTTGGCAGAGCTCAACGTTTTCTTGACAGGCCGTTGTCGCGCGTGCTGGACGGTCATCTGCTCGTCTGGCGGCGAATCCGAAATTGTCCAAACGGCGACCGCCTCGTTGCCTTCTTTCATATTACGACTAGTGCGATGGTCCGCATTTGTTTTCCCGCCTAACAGATCCTTGGTGGCGTCGGCGTGATGTGCTGAATGCACATGCAGGATCGCAACGGCCACGCCCATCGCAGCCCGCTGCTAGCCCTCAGGCATCAACACTTGGCATCAAGGGGCAGTTGCGTGCTGTGCATACTTAGCCTATTCTTCCGGTGGTCATCCGGACGCCATGCATAGGTCTGTCACATCCTCCGGCGGGAAATCGGGCTGTGTCGACTCTTCGAGACATGCCATAGGGCCTGTCCATTCGTGGGCAATTCGCGATGTGTCGTGAATTAGAAGGTCGTTGTGCTGAGGCGATGGCCACATGCTCTTGAGTTGCGCGCCAACCTCCAACCAGGTCGAACATTATTGTGACTACATCGACGTGAAAAGCTCCGCCTCTGCGGCTACACTTTTGATACAAAACCTGGGCCCGCGCACTCTCCCGTCAAACGCACGTCCTCCCTTTCTTTGACTAGCTCGGCCCCAAAGCAAGGGAGACGACTTGAGTGGGGCATCGACCCAGTCTGTCGGCGTTGGCGCCAACTGGAAGGTTCAGCCTATCACAGTATGCGCCCCCGTTAACACCTGCATCAAATATGCAACCCTCCACACGGAGACACACCATGCGAAGCCATGGATACGACCCTCGCATGGGCCTTCGGGTTATACCCCCACCCGCTACAGCGGTGCGGCAGTGGCTCAGGTCCACGGGTCGCCAACTAAGCTTTCCCCAGCAATCTTCCGCTGTCCCGTCATCCCCGTCCAGCTGGTTAACCAATCCACGTGCATTTCGGACACCCAGCATTACCTGCAACAAGCAATGGTGCCGATGTGTTGTCAACGCTTGGGACAATGAGCAATGTATGCCGTGCAGATCTTGGTTCGACTTTCATCTTACCGGAATTCTTGCACCTGACCCCACCGAGCGGATCCTGGATGCTCTGAGACGTTTTGCCATAGCCCATACCTGCCTCTTTCGTTCCCTTATCCCGGCTCAGCCCGATCGGATGAATCAATGGCCGCAGTAGCTCTTCGTTTTCGAGCACGAGTGTGCCTTTGTCATAGTCCTTCAGCCCGTTGAAGGCCGAACAGTTGAGGTATATATGGCTAGCGGGCCGCCTCGTGAGACAGTACACCACATTTCCTTGCTCCCTACACCCACAAGAATACTGTAGCTGCCCTCTGTACAACCGCGATGGCTTCACAAAATCTTGCATCACATCCTCTCGGCGCCGACGGCGCTCAGTACGTTTCCCATCCAGCAAGCACGCGCCACCACAGCGCTTTGTACTCACTGCATATGCCCGAACTGACATCAGCTCAGATCGCCACAAAGCAAAACCAACCGAACCAGCAGGACAGTCCTCCAACAGAAAACCTCCGCAACGCCAGCCTCTACGCAGAAGGAACTCCCTTACGCCAGTGAGCAGTGCAACACTTTCTCTCCAAACAATTAACAACCTAACACCGCCTTCCAGTCCAAGTATTGCAAACGCGAAGGAAACCTGCGTGTCCATACCACATGCCCATCGTAGATCTCGATTCCCGACATTCCACGACAAGCGAGATGACGCCCATGGAGAGGTTCCTGTGCGCTTCGCATTCGGAGCAGCCGGTGACTTTGTTAGAGGGTTTTCGGGTGGGGACGGCGGCGTCGGGAGGATGCACGTGTGGTCTGGCGCCGAGGAGAGAGGGGATGGCTATGTTGTGAGGTGGTGGTTAAGCCCGTTTGGGGGCGAAAAAGTATGTTTAGTCGAGGTATGGGTTACATGAATCTCTTGCATAAGCGGCCTATCTGCTGTATGGAGATCACGTTAGCGGTGGCGGTGAAAAACGCTGTCTCTAGAGTACACCGTTCAAGAAAGGAGATCGGTGCTTTGTTAAAGTTCTGCCCGTATCTCCCACATTTGTGGATACAATTTTCAGTCACTCTATCAGTGCTCTTCTAGAGTCTCACGGCCGCTTGAAAGGAGCCTCTGCATTACAAGCTACCTAGCCCTTCCGCAGAAATTTTCAACCCAGTAGACTTGCAGTACTAAATCACAGGCCCTTATTCACCGCATCAGACAGGAGTCTTGCAAGGACATCGTTAGCGGACTCCACTCCGTCGACATTACCGGCTGCGTCAACAAGCCTCTTGAATGTCCCATCTTCCCAGTGGAAGACAACGACAATGCGATGCATTTGAACCTCCCCGGTGCGAATGATAGTGTTTGTGATCGAAATCTGGTCAGGGCGAGCGTCGATACCGCCGTGGGTGCGGGCTAGGAAATGAATGTTGTTGGACATGATTTTGAGACCCTGGATTCTGCTTTCGATCATCTGCTTGCTGGCATCTTCGTTCAGAAGCAACATGTTGTATACGTGCTCCGCAAGCGGATGCAATGGAATCGTGGACATGATTCTCAATGTAGGCTCTGGGTATTCAGCAAGTGAGGTGACTGTGGACGAGGTTGAGGGTAGCGGATTGCAGTGTAGGTCGCGGTCGAGGCGTTTATAAGTGACGCACTTGATCTGCGAAAAGTTTGCGCAAGCAATATGATGACATGTGCAACATAAATGCTTTGCTTTACCTTCGCCTGATGCGTATCTCATGAGATGCATTTGTGGCGAGCGCAAACAAGTAGACTCTGGTGGGGACAACGGCGGAAAGAGACATGGCAAACATCAAGTCGCATGCTCGTGATTTTTACACTTAGGAAAGCTCAATAACTTGGAAGCGGGGATTCGTCTTCGTTCTCGACAGTGCGTGGGGGAAGTCCATGGGGTAAAATTCTGGTTAGGCCAGCTCATCAAGTTGAGAATATCCGTGAGATCCGCAACAGGCTATACGATCAAATTAGAGAGCCATAATGGCGATAGAACTTCAGATGGGACTATGATCACATCAGGATCCAGGCTCTTGTATTACAGTAAATGCAGTAAGCTCAAGAAACAGACCCGGAATTGTCCGCACAGTCAAACGCTTTTCCAATGATTCCAGTATCATATGCCATCTTGATCGACAGCGCAACACCATATCTAGTGTTATAGTCAGCTTCCAAATCACTTATTTGAGTGACCGTACTTACGTTCCACCAACGACCATAAACAAGCCGATGAGTAACACAAGAATATGAAGACCATATATCAGCTTCTGTGATGGGCCACCGGTTCTGTACCCTTTGGAGTCGTGCATCCAGAGCAATGCTGGGAATACAAGCGAGAAGGGGGCGAAGCACAGCGATCCGGCAAGACCCAACAGGTAGTTGAGGATCGGAACGGCGCTCGCGATGATGAAGCCAAGGATGCCTAAAATCAGGTTGGAGCCAAGCCAAGTGGTCCAGTGAATCGTCGTGTTCTCTTGTAGACTATGGCAGGAAGCCTCAGTTGGGAACCCCATATCAATAGGTAGTCTAGCTTACTGGTGTGTGTTCCGCAATATTCGCACGAAAATGAGCTTAGCGGCGACATGCTGGTATATACCTGAACAAGTTAGCTTGTGTCTCGTCGAAACCATAACCAGATATTGATCGGTTCCGTCTTGCAGTAGCTGCCATATAGGGCACGACTCACCAACGCCAATCACTAATCCAGGCAAAGCGATTCCATAACTGATCTTTTTGAAAAGTTCACCGGCGCTTCCGAACGCCGGAGTTGCAATCCAAACTCCGCACCATCGGAAAATGACAAGCGAGAAAGTTAGATACAGCACTCCGACGAAGAATCCTGCAACCAAACAAGCCTTCCTGTAATCCGTAGGGTTCTTCATTTCCGATACCACAGGCATGTACATCATGGAGCCGCTTCCACTGATAAAAATGTTCGCACTCGCAGTGATGCCAGCTGCAAAGGACGGATAAGCAATTGCGGTCCAGCCGAGCTCAAAATCGCCTGTTGGTGGCGCGATAGCCGGGCGGCTTTGTTGCGTGACAGCTACAACGAAGATAAAGACTGCAATGAAGAATGTGAAGAAGCCGACCCATGTAAGCCATCCCAAGCGCGAGAACGTACGGACCGAAGAGAAGCCCGTGATCAATACGGCGGAAACAAAGCTGAACCATACAGTGCAAGCACCATGGTTGGAAAGCGCATTGAGTGCAGTCGAGCATGATACGATACCAGCAGCTGTAATTAGCACTTGAGCTATCATGATCTGGATTCCGACGAGCTCTCTGCCGATCCGACCGAATATGAGGCCGCACATATCGGCCAGCGTATGGCCTAACGGGCGGGTATAAAGTCAGTATAAGTGAAGACAAGAAGGGCGAATACCTTGTACATGTCTCAGCCGAGCGTAAGAGACATTATGTCTCTGCCATGAAGATACATCCACTCAATATTACATGTTTTCTTACATTCTGGATGGCGGTTGCGGAAATCTCCGAGAATTACGGCCGTGTACGTGTTCAAGATCTGCCAACCGACGATCGAGAGCGCTCCTCCAACAGCACCAAGCGTGGCAAGCGCGCCAGGCACAGCCAAGATGGACATGGCGAATTGAATTTTTAGGAAGATGATGGTTGCTCGAGGCCTAAAGAAGAAGTAGATTGTAAGCACAAAGTCGAGCGATCGGACCAGGCTATTTGTCGAGACGCCGCGTGGCAACGCCTTGTTCGAAGGAATTGCCGTATACCTACCAGCTGACGGTTCTGAAATCCACGCCTTCGGCTGACTTCTTAAAGACCTCATGGGCCTCTCGCACGTTCATCTTCTCACTTTCAAGCCCGACTTCATTGCCAGTATCGGCTCTTTCAATGTTGTCCTCATTGACACCTGGCGCTGGTTTTGCCATGCTGATGAGACCTGAAGCCTCAAATGTGTCGAAAGCTATGAAGCGATGTGAAAGGTGTAGGAATCGATCCGCGGGGCTGTCCACTAATGGTCGATTTTGAGAAATGCAGACTGCTTATACTGATTCGTCGCCCTTACCCGACACTAAATGAACATAGCCGGCATGCATTTCGATGTGCGAAACATCATGGCTAATGATGGCACGGCGAGAATGCTACTACGGCCCTAGTCTGTCGAGATAGGCCCAGTTTATCCGAAGTGGCGCACGGCATTTTCGAGCTACCGCGAGAGATAAGATAACGGAGAATAATCCAATGCATTTATCGCGGCAACGCTTTTATGCTAGATAAAATGGCTTGCTCGAGGTCAGTAGGCGCGGGTAATGCACCTATCTCAATGTCTGATGTCTTTCTGGTCAGATAAGAAGCAAAGAGTGGGTCTTTTACTGTGTAGTCCAACACGGCTGAGACCGTAACGCATCCCAGAAACTAGGCTAGACCCATAGCCGCCCCACGAGATTTCCCCCGCAATTGATCCGACACACTGGCACCATGCTTGATAAGTGCGTGCGCCATGCCGCGTCCAAGTTACGCCAGGCTCGCTAATGCTTTGTCCGTCAGACGTTTACTTCGACTTGTAGATTTATCCGCAGTAGTGCAGTAACCAAACATGTTCCATTGCTTGACTTCTACATCCGCAGGGTTGGCAACAGGCTCCTCATCATTGTGTCTTCCCTAGATGGTGTGACTGTTTGTTGAACTACACCGGTTTGTCAGGAATGATAAAATTCCCGCCGGAGCATGGCGTTTCCACACTCTTTCAACATCTTGAGTGTCAAACCTTCATTACCCCAGTGTCCTTACCCAAAGGTACCAGCCACGAACCAGCTAAGCAAAGCAGACGAGTCGTTCTCTATTCCGACTCGCGAGCTACGTAGCTCTAGAACGCTGAGAATCTGAGAGAAGAGGCTTCCGTGGGTAGATAATCATGTCGCGCCAAGAGACATGCCGTCAAGACTGTGGCATTGTGTACTTGCACTTCGGCGTGCCACCTGAGTGATGCCAAAGTCTTGACTTTATGCATGGCGTTCATTAAATTCCAATTAGAAAAATCGAATTTGTTGGACGTAGTAGATTAGATGGTGCACCATGGCGTCAACGTCCTGGCTGACCCGTATTCTAGGCGTCAAGAATGTACGATAGTATGCGTCCAAACATCTATAATACTTGTAGGCTAAGTCTAGACAGACTTGAACAGCGATGAAGCAGTAATGGTCGCTCTTATGCATGAATCGAGCAGGGACGTCATCCGCGTTTCCCAGATTGTCGGATCCTACGACTTCTGGCAGATGTCTCGATACAAAGAAGCCTCGTCCTATACGTTGCGCGTCTTGAAGGGGTCGAATCCGTTTCATCACTATCTCAGGTACCTGGAAATTGTGTGATGCTTTGTGAATGTAAACCAGCCATCAATTTTCCAATCCAACGTTCTATACCTTGCCGAAAGGTTTCCCTGTTCCTGAGTTCTAACAAGTGGAAGAGAACAAAGACAACGCACTTCGCATGTCTCGAAGTGTGTAGACCATCTTTGGAAAACCAAAATAGAATCGCGGCACCATCTTGAGGAATTGTCGTCCTTCATGTGCTGGAACAATGAGTCAAACCAGGAGCATCAGGCAGCATCGCCAGCTAAAATATCGCAGGAAATCCTCTCGGCTATGGAAGGCCTCGCAGGCATGCCGTTCGTAATGAGAGTCTTTCTCTGTGACTATTCCGACATCAGTCGCCATGACTGTATGCTGCTACTTCGAAAGGGCGTCGGATACGAGATACGCTAAGACCAATGAGGAAAGGCGCCGGCTGCTCTTGTCTCGTATCCAAGCGCCCTTCTGCGTTCGCCTCTTCACATCGATTGTGAGATCACCGCATCAATGAAGATGAAAAACAGACCCCTCAAGAATAGGCTGCTAAAGGTGATACACTGCCGTGGGCAGTCAAGCAGCCGGCAAAGCAGCCCTAACCTAAGTCGTGATGGGCTAAGTGCGTCACTAATGCAGAAGGATCTCACCTGTGCCTCCCAGTTGCGCTGTCAAGACTGGAGACAAGGCTGTCCAAATGAGTCACAACGATGCTGGAAGCACATATAATGCTTCGTCTCCGAGCTCTAGAGGTTTGTCTTCCGGAAACTCAGAAACTTATGCTAGGGTCCTTCATCCCACCATCAATCCTTTACCAAGAAGTCCTGAGGCTGACTGTTCTACAGCGTGATCAGAGCAATCTGCCACAACTCAAACAGCCACTGCTGATTGTCGTACAATCATACAGTCAGGTCAGGTATATCTAAGCTTGCCCAGCCTATGATAAACCCTCATCCGCATTGTCACCTCAGCGCAGTACCTATTCGGTCTTGACTAGTCTTAAGGCTTACTGGTGGACTTACTGCACGCAGCTCTTTCTCGAATCAAATCAAGCTACTTAAATACGCGCGAAGACAAACAAAATGGCGTCAAGCAACTGGAAGGTCTTCCCTGACCTTTCTCAGAAAGAAGTCGAACACGTTCCATTCGGTAAGAGCCGGAAGTTTTTTGCTGTCGATGATTCAGGATCAACATCTGGAGTGCGCATCAAGAAGGAACGCGAGTTCGTTGAACATATACGGAATCATCAATTTTTCAATAACAAAGACGCCATATCCCTGTGGGGATCCCAGTGCGACAAACCGACTACGAACTTTGGAAAAATTGAGTGGAGAGGTCGCCACGGAGGTACCAGCCCGGCCCAAGTTCTGAAGCATTCGGAAGCTTTGACAAAGATCCAGAAGTCGGAAGTTTGGTTTCTCGTTACTGATGGACAGATCCTCGATAGCGGTGTCCACGAGCTTGCGAATCTGGCGCAACAGTACAACATTCTCAACGTGCCGATCGTCTTCCTCATCGTCGGGAATTGTGGACTTACACCTGAGATGACCAATATATCAGTTGGCATTTCCTTTTTCGCTGGAGCGCAAGATACTCTGATATTGTTCAAAGATTGCCAGACGGGAAACATCTATGTCATAGCAACGAAAGGATGTTTTGCCTCCTTGGGCGAGGCGACAGGCGTGCAGGACCTGGCTAGCTGGACCAGTCTACCCAAATTTACGAGCGAGGTTGAGCTCATGAAACATTTTCAGTCCCTCGAAATCAAAATTCCAAAAGCTGAGTCCCGAAGTGGCCTCCCGAGGGGCATAAACCTCGGCCCGGACTGGGAAGAGGCCAATAAAGGCCCAGCATGGGTTGATCTGGACCTTCTTGTCCAAGCCGGTCGCCTCCCAGACAAGGACGTATTTGAGCTGCTGTCAGAAGAAGCGTTCAATAATCTCGCTGTTGCCTACAAGATTAGAGGACGTATTCAAGAGATACGGGCATTTATTCAGGCGCAGAAGATTGAGCAGCTAGCACCTAAATTAGAGGATGTTGCAGGCGCAGCATCCATCATCGCGAAACTAGGGCTACCGGAAATGACTAGCGAGGAACGGAAGCTTGTGCAAGAGCAGCTTCGAGAGGCCCATGCGAAGAATCGTGAACACTACCAGAACGCCATCAACAACTTCGCTGGTTCCTTGGAGGCTCAAGCTATTCGAAATCGTAATCAGCTAGTCGATGCTGCTTTGCGAACCCTCACATCCATCGAAGCCGCGAGCTTCAATGCTGAGATCCTTTCGCGTCGGAGCAATCGAGCTCGACGTGCTGAGGTGGTCACAACGGACAGCAGTGTTGCCATCGCACATTTGGATCTGGAAGGACCGGCTTACAGGGGGTATTGTCTAGTATGTTGTGGAGAGGACGAAGTCATGTCCATTTGTCTGAAAGCGTTCGACGCAGAGCATATTGATGACAATACGACCGACTTTGCGCTCAATTTCCCTCTTGCTGCTGGAAGCTCTACCAAGAACGTCAACATGATCTCAAGTCAGAATGTGTGCTTTCAGTGCGCACTTCTTGCGCCGTCGGGAATGTCGATCTTCAAGGAACAGCTCAAGGCAATCATCCCAGCTGTGCACTATGGCGGGCACAACAAGAAGTACATCAATGAACAGCTCTATTTTGCTCTCACCTCGGGCCTGGTGACCGGCGCTGCAGGCGTTGCCCAGCTTTTTATGGCTATCCTCAACGAGGTCCTTCAGACGAAGTCTTGGGCAGGCGCTGGTCTGAACGAATCTGCAATGTCCGCAGACGAACAGACTGAAGCGATCCAGAGGAAGCGCACCTTTGACTGGATGCTTGGCCAGCTTGTGCGACATACGAGAACGCGCGAAACCTTCAATGAGCTTGGGGATTGGGTCAAATTTCCGCAGGCCTTGGATTGGGTTGCAAAAGACTTCCAATCGAATGGCTTGGCAAGTTTTGCTGTCACATATCCTTCTGCTGGATTTTCAAAGCTCCTCTCATTTGGAATGAGAACCTCCGCTTTCACGTCGGATATCGTGCGCCGCATGAGAATTGCGAAAGCCGTCTACTCAATCGCTGCAAAGTATCTCGCGGATATGCAAAATGCTATCCAGAATAGAGATCATTCTCAGCAATGGAAACAGAAGTATCTGGAGGTGATCTACCAAAAGTTCAATGCCACCATGATTCCCAAAGATCTTGGGCTGGATTCGGCCGTCTGCGATGTGAAGACTTTCGGAGATCGCCTCGCTGCATGCCTCGGCGGATATAGGCGACAATGGCGGAATTTGGCAGACGACAAGGATGGATCTACTATTATGCAGAAAATGCAACTTATTCTGTTCTGGCTTGTATACCAGCAAAAGGCACACTGCACAGCCCAGACATTCTTCTACAACATCAGCCAACGAGAGCATCTTGCAACCGCTGTTCTAGACGCATCGCTTGCTGTACCGGAGAATGAACTTCGCAGCATCCTACTATCTATTTTCGCCAAGGAGGCTTCAGAGGCCATTGATGATTCTGCAGCAGCTCTACATCGGACCGTAGTGCCCTTCAGCAATCCTTTTGGTGCCTCTGTCGTACGTTGTGGAGTTGAAGCGTGCCGCGCAACCTTCTGCGATCGGGACATGCAAACCTTCAGCCCGCGCGATATTGACAGAGTACGCCAGGCCCGCGCTAAGCATCTAATCAACGTCTTTGGCCTCCGTGGTCGCTTTGAAAACTCCGAGACCGGTCTTCCAGAGCCCACGGCCACTGGCAAGCCTCCGGCATCCACTCATCTCAATCTTCACATCAGCGTCGCACGGTGTTGGGCTGAACGAGACAAGAAGGATCGACGAGCAGTCGTCGACGACATTAACGAGCGCGAAGTCTTCGTTGCAGCTGTCCGAAGTAAAATTTGCGAACAAGGACGAGGCGACGTGTTCAGCAGCCAAATTGACCAGGACGTGCGGGATGTGCTTCCAAGCTTCTTCAGCGTGCTTGCACTGGCGCTTAGATTGGATGGACAGCCGGATGAAGACATCACGATTTACGAACACAATTTTACGAAGAACAAGATGGAAGAGAAGGTTAGGTGGGAGCTGAGAAGGCCGCACTCACTAGCATGATCAGGGTGGAAGAAGGAGCCGATTTCGCATGTCCAGAGTTCGGATTTACGAATGTCTCACGAACTATTCTCTTAACCATTTTCTTTAACACAGTCCTTCGCCCTCTATCAAGTACGTCTAAAATGACGCTCAGCGGGCTCCACTATGACCATTGGGTGGCTTCGAGGGGTGCGCACGTCGCCTACGCTCAGGTAGCTAAACAATGTTCCAGCCACACTCATTCTGTTTTCATTAAAGTAACGTCTGCGGTTCTAGTCAGCAGATACGCATTGATCACGAACAATACATTCACCAAAGCATTGACCACGCCTGCATGAGATGCCCAATCCCCTGTTATATATACAACTCTTCATTCTACTCCCTATCCATATACTTACTTTTCAATTCTGTCCCTCAACCGACCCCTGCCTCAACCTCTGCCCAGCATGTCTGCGTCAGATATTTCTGAGTCAGATTACTCTGACTTGTGGTTCGACTCGGTGCAAATTTCGGCCAATGTACAGGCTCAAGGCAGGTCTACCCAGCCCATTCCCGTGAAGCAGCCGCCTGCTACACCCCTCACGCCTCTCAAAGCCCCCGAAAGCGGCACTCTCGCAGCTTTACATCCATCCGTTACCGAACAAGATCACTCGAAGGCAATTCGAATGCTTCGCGAGAAGCGTCAAGCCCTTGTCGAACTCATCTGTAAGACACCCAAATGCGTACAACCAAGCGGCCAACTCACATACGAGTGGCGTCGCAAAGTGACAGCAATTGAGGAGAGGGTTGCTTCCTCGGAGGATATCAACGACGATTATATGGAGCGAATGAAGCGGCAGCGGGAGGAGGACAACCCGGAGCCATCGTCTTCGAGGCCTCGGCCCCGGCTCAAAGGGTCAGCTGACTCTGGTGCGTGGTGGGTGGGAGGCCAGTCTACCAAGGGTATGGTGGAAGGCGACATCGAGCAGGCTGCCTTGATGGATGCTGAAGGCGATGTTGAGATGGAGTTGGAGGGTGTGTTGTAAGTCACGGTCTTCGTGAGTTACTCCGACCCCATGGAATCTGTACTGACTGACGCAGTCTTCGCTGGCTAGATGGCTGGATGGAACAGGTCGCCTTGTGGCTTGGAATGTATTGGTAGTGTGTATTACGATTGGACAGGGCGATGGCGAACCAGAGGTCTCTGGATTGACCGTTCAGCCGTGGGCGTCTCGTAACAGTTTCCTACAACAGCATTGTCCGATGGCTCATTCAGTAATTTGAGTGAGAGTTCAAGATTATGTAGGACAGTTTATGAACAGTTCGTGTGTTCCTGTATATCACTTTTGCTACTGTACAAGCTTGGTAACTCTAAACTTGGTGAAAGAGTGGAATATCTGCAGCGGGCCCTTTGACGAACAACGAGAAGCCAAAATACCGACCAGTCTTGCGCTTTTCTGATGGCTGATATGACAAGGATCTAGCCCAACCTTTACTGCGCCTTTCCATGTGTGAGATCATTCCTCATGCCTGCGCAAGGTGAAGGCGTCTCATGTCTTATTTTTAGATGGTTCTCCCACTCCGCACCAGCCTCGTAAACTACTGTCCCACTTCAGACAGCTTCTTTCAGGCCATCGAAATTTGTTTCCCATCCCTTTTGCCCGCCTTGAGGTGGAAAACCATCCTAACCGACTATTTGGTGTCTTGGCGTCGAATGTAGGTCTCAACCGTATGCAATCTTAGATCCTGAGAGCTCTTCTGGAAGCGGTGCAAATTTCTTGCCGTTCTCTGGATATTCCGTGAATCTATCTTGATTATGGAGATGAAGTGTTGACGGCTAAGGTTCATGATGTCGGTTTCAAAAATTGTTCGAGACAGAATGAAGTACGCTGCTTTAGATTACGAATCTCTTTGGATGCATCGAAGGTGTAGAATAATGTCTACTCATCTCGTTCCTACGAACCCTTGTTATATAAATGGAATATCGATGCCCATGCCTTTTGTGCCTGCCCACTCAACCTTGGGATACGCTCTTACGCCTGGTTCATATAACCTCAAAGCAGCTTTTTCAGTTTCTCGACATGCCTTGAATGCATTCCCAACAACATTTAAGACCGATATCTCACGTTTTATTGATCGCACAGATGCATGCGGCACGACCCATAGGGTGGATCAAGATGCACGTGAGATGGCTGCAGCCTAGACTTTATGTAGAACTAGCGCTGTTTCTCCAGAAATTCCAACCAGCACAAGCTCTAGGTATCGCGACACTCACCTCAACACCCCAACCACCACAATGCTGTGCGCAATCTCTGGCGAAGCGCCTCAATCGCCCGTCGCCTCGCGCAAGAGCGGAAACGTCTTCGAACGCCGCCTCATCGAAGCACACATCGCCGAACACCACACCGATCCCGTCACAGGCGAGGACCTCTCCGTCGAAGACCTCATCGAGCTCAAGTCGCCGCGCATAGTGACCCCCCGACCGCCAAACCTCACCTCGATACCCTCTTTGCTGAGCGCGTTTCAAAATGAGTGGGATGCGATTGTGCTTGAGACGTTTACGTTGAAGCAACAGCTTGCGCAAACGAGGCAGGAGCTCAGTACCGCGCTGTACCAGAACGATGCTGCGACGCGTGTGATTGCGCGGTTGACGCGCGAAAGAGACGAGGCGAGGGAGGCGCTGTCGAATGTCACTATTAGTGGTGGAGGCGCTGCCAATGGGGATGCGATGCAGGTAGACAACCAGGCTTTGCCGGCGGACCTGGTAACCAAGGTGGATGAGACCCAACAAGAGTATGTGCACCTCATGGATCTGTGCGCATTTTCAACTAACAATGCGTAGACTGTTCAAGACTCGCCGCAAGCGACCTGTTCCCGACGGCTGGGCAACCGGAGACGATGTGTCTGCCTTCGATGTCACGACTTCGAGCGAACCTCTATACCCAGGCAGCTCAGCCGTATCCATCGACGAGTCCGGCGACCTAGCGCTATTTGGAGGAGCAGATGGTGTTGCTGGTGTATACTCGTTATCGCAGCAAAAGTTGGTACAAACATTGAAGGCCGGATCGCCAGTCACGACCACCACATGGTGGGGTGCGAAAGCCGTGGTTGGTACTTCCGCTGGCACAATCAAGATATTCGAAAATGGAAATGAGATCGCCCAGCTTGGTTCTCATGCCGGAGCAGTCAGTTCAGTGTCTCTCCACCCCAGTGGCGCGATCTTGGCTACCGCCGGTGTCGACAAGCGCTTCATTTTCCACGATCTGTCGACTTTCAAGCCTGTTTCGGAAGTATACACCGAGGCCGAAATTACTGTTAGCGACTTCCACGTGGACGGTCTTCTCTTCTTCACCGGCGGCGCGGACGGCAACATTCGCATTTACGATGTTAAGAATGGATCACCTATGGCCGTAATGGAGGCGGGTGGCCCAGTCAGTGCGCTTTCGTTCTCAGAGAACGGAACTTGGTTCGCCGTGGCGGTCAAGGGCTCGAACAGTGCTTCCGTTTGGGACATCCGGAAGCAGTCGCCCATCAAGATGATTGACGTCGGAAGCCCGATCGACAGTGTCCGCTTCGACTACACGGGTCAGTTCTTGGCGACAGCTGGATCAGGAAGCGTGTCTGTGCAACAATACACAAAATCTTCGAAGAGTTGGTCAGAGCCAGTGCGGAAAGCGGTGCAGGCGAGGGACATTGCATGGGGAGCAAGCGCCACCTCGCTTATTGCTCTTACTCCGGAGGGCGGTTTGAGTGTTTTGAGCGCATCATGAGAAGGCCAGCCTAAGAAAAGAGCCAGAACTTCTACCAGAACGGAGTGAGTGTGCGGGGAAGGTCGAGGGGCGATATTCAGGTTCGCGGAATGGCAGGCTAACAACGCCACTTGTGTATCTGAAGATCACGGTCACGCGAAGATCAGAGTGACCTGGATATGGAATTGGCGGATTTTGAAGGCCAGCTGCCTATTACTCAATGGGGCGGCCATGCGGGATGCAAAATGTAATATAGATCACCCTTTCCATGTACTGTGTAACCAAGATTTTCTCCGGCGCCATCACGTTGCTTTTGCGTGCAGTGAAAGCGAGTCTTGGCATTACTTCCTGTCACGCATTTGGAGAAAGCTGTTTGAGCCAAAGGAAGTAGAAGAGGTCAGTACGCGGTGCACGCAGCAGCAGGTGGAGTACACACGTCTAGGAAGCACGTCAGTTGTGCGCGCCGGACCTAGACGTTGCTAGTTCCGAGAATCGGTTTGCGGTTCTGATCCTGGCCACTGCAACTCAAGCGCCGCCGAGCAGGGCGGCGGAACCTCGCTCCCAGACACCAACGTCCCTTCTCCTCCATTCTTTTCCTCTCCACCTCACCTCTTGCCACTCCACGACACTCGTATTGCGCCAAAACAAGGCATGGACAACGAGCTGCCGTTCGGTTACGCTCGTCGAGACAAGGTCTGTAGACGCCCGAAAGAAGCGCAAGGACTCTTTGCACTTGCGGGAGGTAGCTGACGGAGTGCCACAGCGTTGGTCGGCCCAAATGGACCTGGACGGTTCCGCCTCCCCTACCTGGAGCCAAATCGACCGTTTATCCGCTCCTCGAGACGCCAGCGCGCCACGCACCATCCTCCACCTCCCTCGTACAGACAACATGCCTGCCGAAGCGCCTAGGCGGTTTCAAGGCGACGGCTTTGACTATCGCAGGCCGGTGGTCTCCTCTAACAATGTCATTGACCTCACAGATGAGGATGTGGGGCCGTCAACGACGCCAAGTCAATCGCAGCAGCCGAGCTTTCGGACAGCACGCCCACCACGCTTTGGACGGGAGATTATCGACGTAGAAGAGGAGGCCTCAAGCGGGGCTGCGGATGGCCCAGACTCCCCGGAAATACAATTTGTCTTAGCACGCCGAATCGAGCCTGCACAACAGCGCACACCCTTCGAACTAGACGATGACGACGAAGACGAGGTGGAATTTGTGAGCGAGAACCCGTTACCAGATTCAGATATGCGAAGGAGCATGACCGACGAGGTTGCATACCTGCTTGATGACCCGGCTTATCGGCCCCGGGTCGAACACTTACGAGAACGAGTGCAGCAGATGGCAGGCGATCGCAGGAGGGCCCGGGATGTGCAGATAGCCAGGGTGGAACGGATGTTCGCCGCGGCTCGACGTCAGAGGACTCCCCATCCACTTAGGGGTGTCCGTGTGCACCCGGCGCAAGTGCGGTTGGAAGCTGGACAGAGGAACACGCCTGCCAGACACATTCATGTTGGATTCATTGCGCCGGCCTTGAACTTTGGGGCGGTTGGATTCGACATGGGATTTGAAGGCGGACCTGCTCAGGCGCCGCCACCGCCTCCCCCTACATACAATGCGCCCGCGTTGGCTCCAGAAGGTTTCACACGGAGTCCGCAAGAGGAGGACGTCCTGTTGTGCCCGAACTGTGAGGATGAGTTGTGCGCTGGGGACTCGGATCAGAAACGCCAGGTTTGGCTTGTCAAGGGCTGCGGTCACGTAAGTAGAGTAATATGCCTTGAATTAACAGAGCATACTGACGGTCACAGGTCTACTGCGGCGAGTGCATGATGAATCGCCACATCAAGAAGAGCGCAAAAGGCAAGGAGAAGCAAGCACCAGCCCGCACGAAGCCGTTTAAGGAATGTGTGGTGGAGGGCTGTCAGAAGAAGGTGTCGCCCAAGAATGCTGTGATCCAGGTTTTCCTGTGAGGTTCTGGTTCTGCCAGCCATGACTCGCACGACTTTTATATCCGACATTTTGGTACCTCTCTATATCCTCCGGGCGGGCGCTGTTTTGGTTGGGTTGCATTTCTCAGCGATACCCAAATTATGCATGCATCACATTTTGGGGTGGTTCTTTCTTTGTTCCAGGCGTACTTTCAGATCTATGTTATGGGACGTGTGTGGTGTTGACACCACGAGGACAGCTTAGCTGCCTTCCCGTTCAGGGCGCTTCACTCTCAGGCACGGCAACGGCACAAGCACGAAGCATGACGGAAGTAATACTCGGGTTTCACGACTAATTGAAGGTAGACAGGACGCATGATCATATACATATCTATCTATACATATACCCGACCTCTGTTTCACTCTTGTCATACCCCAACGGTTGTGCCTTCTTCGCTTCCACCTTGCGTCCTCGTCTCATCACTTTTCCATCTCAAAGCCCTAAAACTGAGGCAACCAGCAGAAATGCCGTTCCAGCCTTTCTTTGACGCAAGCACCATGACCTCACCTCCCGGACTTAATCTTAGACTGAGGACTAACGCCACGCCAAGGCCAACCCCTGCTCCGAAAATCTCACGCCGAGGCATCTCAGTGTCAACACGGCAGCTTTGCACACCTTCCCTCCCTCCATTCCTTTCTCCAATCGCTTGAGCAGGAAGCAAAATGCCGCCGAAATCGAACACCGAGCCGTCCGCGGGGGCCCAAATGAAGAGACAATATTTGATCAGTTACAATGCTATCAGCGCGACGCTGTGGTTCGGCGTGCTAGCGCGGGTGGTTATGCATGCGGCAGCTGAGGGCGTGGAGAATGGGAAGGTGTATGAGGAGTTGGAGAGGTATACGAGATTGGTGCAGACTGGGGCGTGTTTGGAGGTTGCGCATTCGCTTCTTGGTACGTCGATTGAGCTTGTAGGAGGTGGGGGGGCATGGAAATCGGGCTGTTCAGTAGTAGATGCTGCTCGAACAGTCTGGGTTGATCTGCACTCTCCGTTTGTTTCATTGGAAAAAGGGCTAATGAATTGGGGTATAGGTATAGTAAGGGCACCGCTCTTCACGACGGCGATGCAGGTTGCAAGTCGCCTGCTGCTGGTTTGGGGAATTGGGCACCAGTTCCCGCAAACGACGAAGTACAGCCCCGCATATAGCTCTATGCTAGTTGCGTGGAGTGTTACGGAGGTGATAAGGTACTCGTACTTTGTCTTCGCGCTCACTGATTCCGTACCCAAATTATGGACTTGGCTTCGGTAAGTTTGCTCTTTCCCTCACACATCAGAAAAATGCTGATAGATGATATAGGTATAATACTTTCCTCGTCCTGTACCCGATCGGTGTCGCAAGCGAAACTTGGTTGGTCTATAAGGCTATTCCGCCGGCGAGCAAAATCGATGAGAAGTTCGGATGGGGTTTGTGGGCTGTTTTGGCGACGTATATTCCTGGCTTCTATACGCTCTTCACGTATATGCTGAAGCAGAGGAGGAGGATTATGAGGGCGGATGCGGGGAAGAAGAAGCAGTAGGCGAAAAGGGAAGTGCTCAGATGGAAGGAGAGCGGAGGATATGCTTGCAGGCTGTGAGAAAGACGCAGAAACGCGATGGCGGGGTGTTGGGAGGCGCGGAGCAAGCAGTCATTCCAGGAAGCTGGGAGTCAACGAGATATGCAGGCGTGCCGCAACACTGCACGGAGCGCTATTCTTATTACATCGCCGAAAGTCTAGAAGCCGGATTGAATAAAGCAACCGGTAGGCGAGATATATCACACGTGAACAATACATCCACGCCACAAGTGTGTAGTGTATCTCGGGCCGACAGAAACATGGACACTTGCGAAAATTGGTGTGTTCATCGTATAGGCACGGGAGGACGGAATATACCAGACATTAATTTACACCAATGAATCAATTGTTGATCCATGTACACATGTATCAGTACCACACCACTGCTATATCATGCTACCTAGGTAAAAAAGACCTCCCAGGAACCCGGGTATGGGACCAAAACCTGGCCTACTTACAGGGCAGTAGCCTACTAGTTTTGTTGACATTTATCTGTCAAGCTGCTCTCTCACGCCTTCGATTGAGAATGTTGACGTCTTCTTTCAAGAGCGTATCATAGATAGTTCCGAGAAACACGCGAACCAATTCGCATCACATGGGGCTGAGCTGCTAGGATTGAACTATACGAAGGACGAGGATATGACACACATGAACATGTTTTCTAGCTACAAAGCGCGGCTCTCCGAAAAGTTCACGATGCTCCCGCGGATGTCACCCCGGAGAGTGGATGTTCGCGTCTTGGCATCTCATCCTACAGTTGCTCGGCCCGACATCGCACCACTCCCGTCTACGAAGGATGTAGAACCCGCACCGTTTCTCCGCGTCAACAGTAGCCTCGCAAGCGATCGACAGGGCTCTGGTCGTTGTTTCCTTGCCAATTTGCGGGGAAAACGTACCTCTCCGGCAGGTGCAATTCCCTACCGCAAATGGCGCTCGCGCCTGCTGCATGCTAGACGAGCAATTGCATCATGCACCAACCACTTACAGCAGTCGCCCTCGGCGCAGGGTAATAGTATAAAGAGCGGCTAAAGGTACAACATTTCATGTACAGCTGTACGCCTCCTCCGACAATCGAGACGCCAACATGAGGTTCTCTACAGTGCCGGTCCTTTTGGGACTAGCTGGTCCCGCCTGCGCGAGTGCCCTTGCGAGACGGCAGGCGGGCTCTTTGCAGAGCTGCCCCGGGTATGAGGCGAGCAATGTGAAGGATGAAGGAGCGAAGCTTACGGCGGATCTGAGCCTTGCTGGAGAAGCCTGCAATGCGTACGGCGAGGATCTGACGAGCCTGAAGTTGGAGGTCGAGTACCAGACTGGTGAGGCACTTTGCGCTCCCAATTGATGTCGCTAACAGATGTATAGAGAACCGCTTGCACGTCAAGATCTACGATGCAGATGAGCAGGTGTACCAGGTGCCTGAGAGCGTGTTCCCGCGACCTGGCAGCGACGATTGCGAGGCTGAAGAGTCGGCGTTGGCTTTCCAGTGGATGGAGAAGCCGTTCTCGTTCAGGGTGGTGAGAAAGAGCACCAATGAAACGCTTTTCGATACTTCGGCAGCCAGCCTGGTTTTCGAGAGTCAGTATCTGCGGCTTAGGACGAGTCTACCAGACGCGCCTCACCTGTATGGCTTGGGGGAACATACGGATCCTTTCCAGCTGAACACTACCAACTACACTAGAACCGTGAGTCCTACGCTGGGCTGCCTGCTCCAATATCTAACCCGCGCAGATGTGGAACCGTGACGCATACGGCGTTCCCGGAGGTACCAACCTATATGGACACCATCCGATCTACTTCGACCACCGTGGCTCTTCTGGCACCCACGGCGTCTTCCTTCTGAGCTCGAACGGCATGGATATCAAGATCGACAACACTGACGGCCAGTTCCTCGAATACAATACCCTTGGTGGTGTTCTGGACTTCTACTTCATCGCTGGCCCGACACCCAAGGACGTGGCCGTACAGTACTCTGAGATCGTCGGAAAGCCCGCCATGCAGCCGTACTGGGGTTTCGGCTTCCATCAGTGCAGGTATGGGTACCAGGATGTGTATGCTGTGGCTGAGGTTGTTGCAAACTACTCGGCAGCAGGCATTCCACTTGAGGTATGCTTTTCCTGGAGTGTATGAAAATATGGAGCTGACTATTGCAGACTATGTGGACTGATATCGACTACATGGAGCTTCGTCGCGTCTTTACCCTGGACCCGGAAAGATTCCCTCTCGAAAAGGTCCGGGAACTCGTCAACTACTTGCACGAACACCAGCAGCATTATGTCGTCATGGTGGATCCTGCGACTTGGCGAGGTGATTATGAGGCGTACAACGAGGGCGTCAGCCGTGATATATTCTCTAAGCTACCCAATGGCACAATCTACGTTGGCGCGGTATGTACAATCGTTCCAATTGGCTGGAATGCACTGACATGACTGACAGGTATGGCCTGGACCTACGGTTTTCCCTGACTGGTTCCATCCCTCAACTCAAGGATACTGGGACGACCAGTTCCTGAAGTTCTTTGACGCTGATACTGGTGTCGACATCGATGCGCTCTGGATTGATATGAACGAGGCAGCGAACTTCTGCCCGTACCCTTGCGCCGACCCTGATGGTAAGCTACGTGTACCATCGTCTCATACGCCGCGCACTAATTGTTGATACAGCATTTGCAAACAAATCAGGAAACCCTCCTAAACCACCACCAGTGCGGAACAACTCTGGTCGCCCGATCCCAGGCTTTCCTGGGGACTTCCAACCCCCGCCAACTTCACAGCGTTTGCTGGTACGCCAGGAGAACGGAACCGACAACTGGCTTGGTCTTCCCGGACGCGATCTCATCAACCCCGAGTACAAGATTCAGAACGCTGCAGGCTCCATCAGTAACTTGACAGCGCCGGCAGATATCTTGAACTACGACGGCACTCACCAATACGACACCCACAATCTCTACGGCAGCATGATGTCAATCGCGTCGCGTCAAGCTCTGCTTGCTCGTAGGCCCGAACGACGCCCGCTTGTCATCACCCGCTCCACAGTAAGTCATAGATCTATCTAAGTTGCAACATCTATCTAACTTTTCGCAGTACGCTGGCGCTGGCTCACACGTGGGCAAGTGGCTCGGAGACAACCTCTCCACATGGCACCACTACAAGAACTCCATCAGTGGTATTCTCCAATTTGCGTCCATCTTCCAGGTTCCCATGGTCGGTGCTGACGTCTGTGGCTTCGGTGACAACACCACCGCGACCCTGTGCTCCCGCTGGGCCTGGCTGGGTGCTTTCTACCCCTTCTTCCGGTATGTACCTGTTATCGTCTCCCTAAAAGACTAGGCTTTTGGGTCTTGTCCAACGCTTATCAATCACAACAGAAACCACAATGGCTTTGACTCCATCGCCCAAGAGTTCTACCTATGGCCGGAAGTGATCGAGGCAAGCAAGAACGCAATCGACACTCGCTACCGCCTCATCGACTACATCTACACAGCTCTCCACAAGCAATCCGAGACCGGCCTTCCGCTCCTCAACCCCCTCTTCTTCCATTACCCAGAGGACCTCAATACCGCCCCCATCGACCTGCAATTCTTCTTCGGCGACGACCTCCTCGTCAGCCCCGTCACCGAGGAAAACAGCACAGACGTGTCCATCTATCTCCCTAAAGATACCTTCTACGACTTCTTCACGCACGAGAAGGTTGAGGGTGCGGGGTCGTTTGTCAACTTGACGGGTGTCGCGTTTACGACGATGCCGCTGCACATCCGCGGTGGGTCGATTATTCCTCTGCGCGCGGAGTCGGCGAATACGACGACTGAGGTGAGGAAGAAGGACTTCGTTCTGCTTGTCGCGGTGAACGCCACGAACCAGGCAAGCGGCGCGCTCTACCTGGATGAGGGTGATGCGGTTGAGCAGCCGGAAACTAGCATGATTAATTTCAGCTATGACAACGGGAAGTTGAGCGTTGAGGGCACATTTGGGTACAAGACCGATCTTGTAATCAAGAGTGTTACGGTTCTCGGTGCCAACGCCAACTCGACCGGCGGTGGGTATCAGACGGAGGAGAGCGCCGCGAGCAAGAGCTTCGACGGGCCGATTAGTCTGAGTGAAGCGTCGAGTCACACTTTGTAAAGGCTGGTGAAAGGCATGGCTAGCGTGATTTAATTTTCTACTGAGCATGCATATCGAATGGAGATATCATGGATATGCAGATATGAATATATGAATATAGTCGCTTGACACCCGGTGTCCACGCGAATCGAATACCCAGATTATGATGACCAAACGATAGCCGCTTGACATGCGAATCCATTGTGAATGTCATGCTTCACTCATAAAGGCTACACTTTGACGTACTCATGATCTGTCTGTTAAGTTTCTGACTGACGCACTCGTCGTAGTCTATTCAATACCACCCTCCGCCACCATAGCACGAGACCTACGCAGATACTCGTTCTGCACGCAATGGCAACTGCAAGGGCTAGGCTTTCATACCACTTCGCCCGCAATAGCAATATCTAGAAAATACCCCCCTTCGACTCGACGCGCCACTCTTCGTGAGTGCTTCCAGGCGCCTCATCGGTGCTTTGCGCAAAGAACACGCCACCTCCCACCGCGCTGGAACAAGAGAATAAGAACACCCAACTAATGTAGTTACCATAGGGAGTGAAGCAACAGTCAGTCTATCTAATCTAGTACACCCATTTCAACAGTTTACTACATACCCTATTGTAGGCTCTACCCTGCCCTAAAAGACGAATTTAATAATATAATATCTAACTAATACCCTACCCTACTGCGTATAGTACATATGTGGGTTGGAACGTAGTTGAATATTAATCTCTTATTGCAGCGGCGTGGGAGGTGGCACGCGCATTGTTTGCGCAAAGGGTGATAATGTCTAGGGGCGAAGCTGAGGAGTGGTGAGGAGGTGGCGATGGGGTTGTCGTGTTGGACATTTGCTGGGAAGGAGGGCTGTCTGAGGGCTGGGGCTGGGGCTGTTTGGTGAGTATGTGGTGGGTATGAGGACGGCGAGGGAGGCAACGAGGACGGGAACGGGAACGAGGACGGTAACGAGGACGTGATATACAACCCTCCTTTGAATCTGACGATCTGCGTCGGTCGGTCAGTCTGTCTGTCTGTCTGAATATTTCCCCCTTACTTTGTAAGTGTGATGTAGAGTTGGTCCAGGCCCATGTCCAGGGGCAACGCAACTTAACTCCAAGAACAAGAGGTGTCTTTGGGGTTCTCTGGGATAGAGATGTGCTTGCTATCGTGGGGTATGCCGGTGGTTGGACGACGGGTTTGTTTGTAGGTAGTGGGTGCGTTTTAGTGTTTTTGAACTTCGTTTTCGGTTTTACATGGAAGGTTATGTAGCGTTATGGAAGGAATGATATGGCGATGATGATGGTTAGGTTTTTAGTCCGGTACGTGCAGTGGGAGGATTTGAATTTGGGGGGCGGAGGTTGGATTTGGAGGTTGGATTTGGAGGCGGAGGCGGAGGTGTTACTAGGGGGCAGGGGGAAGAGGTGCGTTTAATATATGTAGGGAATGTTTGGAAATGGGGTCCGGTGTATGGAGGTTATATGGTGCTGATAATGAGGATATTAGAATACCACTATGGTCTAAGGCCGTGGGACATGTCTTTGTTTTGCGGAGAGCACCGATAGCACATTTGTGAGAGTCTAAGCTGCGCGTCCCTTTGCAAAGGTACCAGGCTCATCGTTAGCCGCGGCATAGGTCTACACCTGCTCCATAAGCCACATGCATCCACGCAGCGAACCCTCTCAGAGCACACGTCACCACCACCAACCCCCATCAAAGACACTTATGCAGAGAGAAAAAATAACTGGTATCATTATTTAATAGGGCCGTAAGTCATCACTTTCTCTCTCTCTCTCTTACACCCCCTTATTTATTTCATCCCCTTCTCAACCCTACAAAACCAACAGCGCAAAAACCCCCGCCCACAACGGGCCTCGCCCTAAAGTTAATCCCAGGAACCTGCTCCCCACTACCCGTCATATACAAATCGCTAAACGGGTTCGGACTAGGCGTCTCGTTGACCCACCGCGCATACTTAGAAATGAACATGTCCCTCGTCTCGTCCGACGCGATCGCCGCGCAGAAAATCTCCCAGTCGCCTTTCGTCCAGCCCTCGTTGCGCGTGTCGAGATCCACGCCGTAGGTATTTGCGATGGTGAGGTAGAAGGCTGATTGATCGTCGTAGATGTGCTGCGGGACGAGGTTCGTACCGACCAACTTGTCGTTGTACAGATTATACAGGAGGCCGTGGGTAGAGACATTGTTGTAGGTGAGGATAGAGTGAGGCAGGGTGGCGTTGCTGTTTACGCCGAGGGTTTCCCATTTCGCGATGTAGTCTTTTGCGATGGAGGTGTAGTTTTCGGCGTCGGCGGACTCGCCGGTGAGGTTTGCGATTTCGGCAAAGGCAGCGATGCCGATGATGCCTTTGAGGCCGAGGTTGGTTTGGTTGGCGAGGTGGCCGGCGAAGTCGTCGGTGGAGAGTTGCTCCGAGGGGTAGAGGCTGTCTTCGACGAGGTATTCAACCCATTGCTTGAGGATGGGGTAGTGTTGCTTTAGGTAGTCGTTGTCGGAAGCGGTTTGAGCGTATTTCAACACTGTTTCGATGGTTAGCATACTAGTCAAATCACTGATTACTGGGTATGAGTGCTCACCCATGATGATGTTGTTACCGCACTCTTCAACGGGCATATGCTCGTCGCCACCATCCGCGTGGCCTGTCGCATTGGGGTAGTGGGTGCCAAGGTCGTGGATAGCCCACTTGTTCGGGTAATGGCCGCTCTCCTGGTTCTCGAAATGCGGGTCGAGCAACAGCTTGACAAGGTCGGGGTTGGCGTAGTACAGGAAGGGCGTAGCCGGGTAGATCACATCGATCGTCTGAGTGTTGCCGTTGGAGGAGATCTCCTTGAGAAACAGGAAATGCCTCTCCTCGGTACCGACCAGTTGAGTAGCTCCCAGAGTTTGACGCGCAGCAAGCGTTGTGAGAATGGCGTAGTCGTCACCCGCAGCGGCCTTGGAGTCCTTGTCAACCTGGTCGTCGAATGAAGAGGTGAGCTCATTCGATTGGTCGAAGTCCGTGTGGAAGAACGACATGGCAGCGACATCATCGCTGAAGTAGCTCTTCCAGAGGGACGGTAGGATCTCGTCGCCGTCCTTGCCGAGGAACTGGATCGCTTCCTCCTGGTAAAGACCGATCGAGAACAGGGTAGAGGTTGCTTGCGCGCCACCTACCGTACCAAGGTCGCTGGCGTACCCGAATACGGGCCAGTCTGAGTTAATCGCGCGGTAGTTGGTGTCCTTGGTGTTGGCGAGCTTTCCGTTCGAAGCGAAAGCACCTCGCACGGTCTTGTCCGAGCCGGACTGGTAGGTCAAGCCATCCTTGGTATCAGTGGTGTAGTACTGCGGACTTTTAGCTCGCGAATACCCGGCTCTGGCTTAATCTACTTACTGTGTTGCCCCATTCAGCCCGATCATTGACCTCGTTGAAAGGCTGCTGATCCTGCTTCCAGAGTTTGTGGTATGAGAGATCGTCCGTCGTGTTGTAGTCCCACTGTGCTACAGCGTTGAGGTCACCCCGAGATCCACTCTACTCCTAATTAGTACATGTTTTGAACACAGTCCTACACCGACCACCAAGTCCCGGACAGTCGGCGGCGCGTGGCGCGTCCTATAGTAGCCTACTGTACGAAACCTGGTAGTCGGATTACTTTGCGGTGACCACATACCAGCTGAGATGTCAGTGTACAGCTGCACATCATGATCAGAGCCGTCCTTGGTCGCGACTTCGACGTTCAAATACGAGGCGATCAAAGACTGGCGCTGGAAATCCTTCGGAGTGAGTGGCGAGACGAAGCTTGCCTTGATTGTCACCTTGGCGTCGACGTCGATGGTGAAGATGCTCTTGGAGCTGGTGTACTCGTAGGCGGTCTGGTTTGCAAGCTCGGTAGTATTAAGGTCTGGCGCTCCAAGCCAGGTGAATGTTTTGCCATCAACGCGGATCATTCCAGTCCATGCTACAACCTGACCACTACACAGGTATTAGATTGACGCTCAACAGCAGGAGGCGCGATCAACGTACGTGTAGAAAGTTGGCCATTGACCGGGAAGATAACCCCCCGTTACCACCGTTCTTTCCGGCAGGAAACCAAGTGCTGAGGTAGGGACTCTTGACAGCCAAAGGAAGAGACGGAGGGCGCGCCGGGGTAAAGGTTGACTGGCCGGCGGCGAGGCTGGCGAGCGCGCCGAAGATGCTGAACAATGCGAAATGCATACTCCCTAAAGATGGACTACAACCCCGGAGCAGGTGTTGAAAAGCGGATGGACGTCTCCTCCACAGACCGGGAGAGATTAATTATATAGAGGGCAGTATAGCGCGTGGAGACTGCTTGCCTAACTGACTAGGGTTTGCGGAAGGAAGGTAGTAGGTGGACCCACCTGACTTATTCTTGGAAAGAGTGACGATTATGGACGTGACGGTGAAATTGGACTAGTCGCAAGCTGCAGTGGCATTCAGAACGCGTAGAGACGCTTGCGACCCAGGGTACAACAGTGTGAACGATTCTTAACCGTCGGATCGACTGCCTCCAAGAGCAATGCAGCCTTTCACCAAGGCTGTAGCACTATGGCGTAGAGCGGTATAGCAGTACCTGCCTATGGTGGCGGCATGGCGTGAACCTTTAACCTAACATCGAGGGTCCTGGTATAAGCGCTACCGGCATTAGGAAACAGGTATGCTGCACGCCAACGGCTTTTAAGCACGAAACCGGGGTGCAAAGTTCGATGACATGCCTTATTCGTGCATGCAGTATGCAGCACTTCGGGATCGTGAGCGCCACATGAGCAGCACGTCGACCTCACCTTAACCTCCAAAATCGCGTAGATACTCGCAACACGCAGTCCCATAATTAGCAGAAGACGTCAGGATACCGTACAAGAGTCATGCTTTGAAACAAGCAAATCTCGGAAACTCCTGCTGGGGGCCAAACGGCGGTACATAGCCGCTCGATCTGCAGCGCCTAGTCTAGCAAGGCTAGTGCAAGGTCCCAGGCAGATCAAAATTCAGGACCTCCTTTGACACAGCCTCGTATGCTCTCGCTGCTCGGAAAGTATGCTCGGAAAGTACTGCGCTTCGGGCTGCTCTCGTAATCAACTTCGGAGCAGCGCGAGGCGACTGCTGTATTCCCAGAAACCGCAGCATATCCTCCTGCTAGTGGCGAAGGATCAGCAGGTGATGTGCGGGGGCCGAAGCTGCAGCTACGGTTGGCGGATGCCGATCTCTTCACAATGCTCGGCGCTGAGCTTCACGATCCCCGTGATGGTGTTGAGAAGTTACGGTGAGGAGAGTGGTAGTGCACATGACGGTTTATTTGGCTAGCTCACCAGGTGTGTGGGTTGTGCTGCTGGACACGAACGAGCAAGCTGGGTGTGAGAGCTGTGCGACGCTGGGTGTTGAGCATTGGGTCGTGTAGCCTTAGAATTTGAGCTCAGCTGGTTAGCTATGAGATGAAGCTGGGTTCCTCCCTTTGCCGTTCGTTATGCAGGTTCGTCTACCGCCGCTCTCATAGCATCTTAGAGACCAACTGCAAAGAGAAGGAGCTGTACAAAGCGCGACGACTTCGTCCACCCGTTTCTAGTGGTGGAAACGCCTGCAAGTGAAGACGCAACCGGTCCATGTTGCATTGCGGAAGCGCGGGGTAGAGCGCAGATGGGGGCGTCCGGGGAAGTTCAACTACAGTGCATTCACACCGAGGTCAGACGCCTGCATGGCCCTACCCCTGCAGCAGATCCTACGCCCGATAGAGACGTCAACCTGCATATGCACGCATCTCGTGAGCTGCATATAAGGTAGACTAGTGATATATTGATTTCTGGAGTAACATCGCTCTGAACGCGCCTTCCTTTTCAAAAATCTTCTTCCACATCCAAGCTTTTGACGCCTGAGAGTGTGTCATGAGGTATGGGCAGTGACATACCACGGTCCGCATTTCGGCGGGCTGTGCTCGGCACGCATCGACCGACCTGGGCTGGTGAGATCTAGGAAGAGGCAGTGTTCCGAGGACAAATCTCATCGAACGATAAACGAGCACGCGAGCGAAGGACGCACTGGACTGAGAAACATCCAATGGACAGCACCGCCACGTGCATGGCGTCGCACAGTTCTAGTTGTACTGCACTTCGCACCGACCACAGGACAAAAAGCAACGCCAGCATCCATAATCGTGATCATATTACTTGCATATACATCGCACGAAGCTTGCTTGAGACAATGATACAGCGAATAACGCAACAAACCGCCATGCACGAGCGACGAACCGGAATTAATTGCAAGATAATAAGCCCATAGACCAGCCTGTGCACAAACCGATGCCGATACTCAACGCCATGAACAAACATCGTACGAGCAACGGAAGATGCGCCATGCTTGGAGACAAGTATCGTATAGACCAGCTGCAGAGAGAGACGGGAGCGGGGTATCCATAAACCAGAAAATGACAGAAAGACTGAGCAGAGCAATGCAAAACAAAACGAAATAAAGGAAAAGACATCCAGCCCGCAGCGAAATGGGTATCTGATACTGATTAAACGACCGCCATGTCGTCATGTGCGTACCTTCCTACTGAAAAGTTCGCCGAAGCGTAGTGTATCTGGGTGGCACAATCCACCATGAGGATTCGAACGTTTCCGCAAGGTTCAGGAGCCTGCAAGCCATGGCCGGTCCACTTCTTCATACAGTTGCGAACAGCCAGCCAACCAGGGGCACTCGAGGATATCGTGGATATTCCAGCGCTTTTCGGGGTCGATGGTCAGACACCCCGTCACCAGGGCAAGTGCCTCTGCGGCGTCACGCTCTTGAAGAGCTTCCGAGTTTCGAAGAAGGTCAAGATCATACTCGGCGTTCTGAATCTTGATGGCTGTTCTGGCATTCAAGCCTTCGTTGAAAGGCAGGTAGCCCGTCAGCAGCGCGTACACGACCACCCCGAAGGCCCACACGTCCGCAGCCGGAGAGAAAATGGGAACATTGCTAGTGAACAGCTCAGGCGCCGCGTACGGCAGGCTGCCGACAATGCAGGTGCTGGTGCCAGAAGGGCCGATATTGTGGTTTTGACCGACAGACTGCGGTTCGGGGCTGTCACGTTGGTCGCTGACGATGAAATCCGCCATGCCAAAGTCACACAGCAGGACATCGCCACCTTCGACATCAGCCCGGGGCCCGGTCATGTCTAGCAGGCAGTTCTCCAACTTGATGTCTCGGTGCACAACTTGTACGTCGTTGTGCAGGTACCGTACTGCCGATGCCAATTGATAGACATAGCGCTTCGCCAGCTTGGCTGCGAGACCGTTCTTCTTGTTCTTGTGCATTTCGCGTACCAGGTCGTAGAGCGTACCGCCCTTGTTCAACTTGGTGATACAGAAGGTCGCAAAGTCGGTCGTGTATACTCGCATGAGAGGAAGAATATAAGCGTGCCGTAAGAACCGCCAAATTTCCACCTCATGATCGAACTGGGTTTGGATTTGGTCGTTCTCTAGCTCGTCTTTGTCGTCAACCTGCTTTCGAACAATCTTGACCGCATTGGTAACTCTTTTGCCATTTTCAAAGCTCATGACCTCCTTGACGACGCTGAATCCACCCCAACCAATTTGCTTTCCTATGATGTACTCGCCGTCGTAGCCGATCCCTTGGCCTTCGTCGTCGGGCTGCGGAGGCTTAAGTGGGCCGTGGGTCTTGTAGCTGGCCAAGAACGATGCAGCTGGTGACATGGATGACAATGAGCGGCCAGTACGGGCTGAAGCGCGGCGGCTTCCTCGTCGCAGAATACTGTCGCCTTCACCCACCTGATAGCTCTTCGAGCGCCCTGGCGGATTGCGCCTTTTCTTCTCGTCCATCTGCGGAAACCCAATTGGGGAACTGGTGTGCAAAGGAGAGAGCATATACTCGGACGGCTCATCTCGAGGCGTGTGCACTTCTTCCAACGGCGATGCCGTCGTCTCTGAAGTCAAAGATGCAACGTTGTCATTGTACTCTTGACCTGCAGCAAGTTCATCGACAGTGGTCTGGAGGAGAGGATACCTTGACGCGTTCTTCGGCTGCTGGGGAAGCCTTTGCTGACGCATCTGCATCTCGAAGTAGTCCTGCTCGTTCGACCCATCACTCTCGAAACTGCGTGGCACCGTTTTCGACTTGGGCAAGGGTACTTCGATCGCATGACGGTTACCGCTGTCGAGAGTAACTTCTTTGTTGAAGGTGATGGACTTGGCTCGTCGTCGAAATTGCTGTTCGATGTCTTCTTCGCTGCTGCTGCTGCTAGTCACAGCAACGGCTGCGTCTTGGTGTGCGTAGGGTCTGTGGCCGTTCGTGCCGTGACCATCGCGGTCTATGGGAATGGCATGAGCGTGTTCGTGGCCGTCGGCCTCTGCAAATTCCGCCGACAGTTGCGATTCAGCAGCGCCATTCTGGGGAGTGTCACGCCTGATGGACGCGAAGGTAGAGGGAGCGGGCTTGGGGGTCGAGGTATCGATTCTGAGCTTCTGGAAACTATGTGAGGATCCCGTCATTGGGGCCATGTAACCGGCAGACAGAGTCACTGTGGGTGCAGACCTCAGGTGTGCGCCGTGTATTAATATGCGGCACCCGTGGGGTGAGGTTGGTGGGTGGGAGGTAATGTGCGAGGGTAATAGAATGTGTCGACCTGTGCGACTAGCGGAGCTGCAAGCGGTACAAGTGTCGCCGCGACGAGCGGCGATGCGCTCGGCGACACGGGCTTCAAGTGACAGGTGAAGCGTGGATGCGGTGAAGCAAAGAGAATAGCAATTAGATGTAGCTCGCGAGCGTTGGAGGCAGAAGGTTAAGGTTCTTTGTCTGGGGCCCGGGCGCAGGACGTTTTTGCTACCTGCAAGCGACGGCCAAGCGACCCCACGCCGGCTTGCGCCGGGGAGGGCGTGAAGGAAACTCTAATGAGACACGTGAGCCATGGACCGCCATGATTCGTTTCTTCACAGTTAGCACAGTGCCTATCGTAGGCAGCCATTGGTAAGCTCGAGTACGAGAGAGGAGTGCGGGCGGCGGCGATATCGTGGTACATGATATTCTGGGGCGCGAGCAGATCATAGACCGAGAGCAGATGGCGCAGAGATAGGCAGTAAGTAACTCGGCGCAGTGGATTCGGTGCCACGCCACTCAACACATTCGATTGTGACGCAGAGACTGCCCGCGGGATGCTCATGCATGTGACAGTGGGGAGCGTCGAGTTGGCTGCGACGATATGCAGGGTAAACGGATCTCGCCTGCCCACCCGCTAGGCAGTGGAGCGAGTAGCGACGAAACACGATGTCTGCGCCGCCAGCAAATGAAGAAGCACCTTGGAAGAAGCCCGGCGGGCGAAGAGCGCCCGAGTAAGCGGGTTGACATGACGTCGCCCGTTGTTGCAGCCGCAGCCTTCTCGTCATGCGGACGGGCTTGGAACTGCTTGGTCGACGGTTCTCTAGCGTCAGGGACGTTGAAGCGCAGCAGAGGGCCAGTTTCGCAGCGCAGGCAGCTCCTCGAGGCGTCGCTGGAGCATCACCAAGGCGCTGTTGAGACCAGGCGAGGCGGCGAGGCTGCCCATGTGCACGGCACGGGCGCGCCTGCTACCCGCTAGATGCCCGAAGCGGCATAGACCCACCTGGTCTGTTGTCTCGCTGAACGACCGTATCGCAGCAACCAGACCCTCATCTCATCATCCACAGCCAGAGCTCGCAGTAGACCTCGGCGTCACTGCACCCGCCTCGAGCTCTCCGTCGCCGTTCCATCGCCCGCCCCAAGAGGACGGACCGCCCGGCTGCGACGTTGCCCGCCATGGGGCTGTCCAACTTTGCTTCGAAGCTCTTCGCGACCTGCTGCGGTGGTACGCTCCCCGCCTACCAGCACCCTCGCGTCGTCCATCATCGCTAATAGGTCACTCAAGGACGCTCGAAAGACAGCATATATGATCCAGTGCTAGCAGACAGCGAGCGGGAAGCTGTCGCCGACCTGCTGGGCTTCTTGGAAAACGTCAGTCTGCGAGCTGCTGCACCCTCGAGCCTGTACTGACCCGCTGCAGCGAGCCGAAACCGATTTTTTCTCCGGAGAACCCCTCCGCGCATTAAGTACTCTTGTATACTCAGACAACATCGATTTGCAAAGATCGGCAAGTTTGACCTTTGCCGAAATAACAGAAAGAGGTACCTCTCCGCGTTCGCTGCCCCACGAATGGCGCTAACAGCTGCATGGCAGATGTCAGGGAAGTCGACCGCGATACCCTCGAGCCCATCCTATTCTTGCTCCAGAACCCAGACATTGAGGTACAGCGTGCCGCAAGCGCTGCGCTGGGCAACCTCGCCGTCAACAGTACGTTACAGGACAAGGCTCCTCCACCACCTGCTGACAGAACCCAGCGGAGAACAAGGTCGCCATTGTGGCGCTGGGAGGGCTGGCGCCTTTGATCAAGCAGATGAACTCGCCCAACGTAGAGGTGCAGTGCAATGCTGTCGGATGCATTACGAACCTAGCAACGCACGAGGACAACAAATCTAAGATAGCACGATCTGGCGCTCTGCAGCCCTTGACCAGACTTGCAAAATCCAAGGATATGCGGGTGCAACGGAATGCAACGGGTGCATTGCTCAACATGACGCACTCAGGTACGATTCCCGAGACATTGCGATACGACATATGCTGATAATAGTGCAGACGACAACAGACAGCAGCTTGTCAACGCAGGTGCCATTCCGGTACTGGTCCAGCTCCTCAACTCCACCGATGTCGATGTTCAATACTACTGTACAACAGCTCTTAGTAACATTGCCGTCGACGGCAGCAACCGCGCAAAACTCGCCCAGACTGAAGGACGCCTTGTCCAATCTCTGGTCCATCTTATGGAATCTTCATCTCCGAAAGTTCAGTGCCAGGCTGCATTGGCACTGCGAAATCTTGCATCAGACGAACGCTACCAGCTCGATATTGTGCGCGCTCGGGGCCTGCCGTCTCTTTTACGACTATTGCAATCATCCTATCTCCCTCTTATTCTCTCCGCCGTTGCATGCATACGAAACATTTCCATCCATCCCGCAAACGAATCTCCCATCATCGATGCTGGCTTCCTTCGACCGCTTGTTGACCTGCTCGGTTCAACGGACAACGACGAGATCCAGTGTCACGCCATCTCCACGCTTCGCAATCTTGCCGCTAGTTCGGACAAGAACAAGCAACTGGTCCTTGAAGCCGGGGCTGTCCAAAAATGCAAACAATTGGTACTGAACGTCCGCCTCTCGGTTCAGTCGGAAATGACGGCAGCTATTGCCGTCCTCGCGCTAAGCGAAGAACTGAAGCCTCATCTATTGAGTCTTGGTGTTTTTGATGTACTGATACCCCTTACGGAATCCGATAGTATCGAGGTCCAGGGAAACAGTGCTGCAGCGTTGGGAAATCTATCGTCTAAAGGTAAGATTCCGGATAGTATTCCTTAAGCCTTGTGCTAATACGAACAGTGGGCGATTATACCATATTCATCCAGAACTGGACGCAACCTGAAGGCGGTATTCACGGGTACCTCCGCCGCTTCCTTGCAAGTGGGGACCCGACGTTCCAGCACATCGCTATCTGGACTCTTCTCCAACTACTTGAATCCGAGGACGACCGGTTACTTGAACTCATCGCCAAGTCGACCGAGATTGTCCGCATGGTTACAGACATCTCCGAGCGCAACATCGAGTCAGACGAGGAGGACAACGAAGACGGCGAAGGCGAGGTTGTCAGCCTCGCACGCCGTTGTCTCGAAATCCTGGGCAAGACACCGAAAACCCTCATGGAGGGCTAAACCTTGAATCGCTTATTATACCCATATCGATATCCCCATTTCTGACTCTCATTTAACGTTTTGCTAATGCGGTTTCTCTCTGTTGTCTCCGTGCTCACGCATGGTGCTTGGATTCGCGGCGTTTTCGGAGCGAATTATCAACAATCGTAGCGAGCATGGGCGGAGCTTAGTCTCTTTATTGTTTTCGGCATACCAAGGTCTCATTGTATTCTGTCCGGTAGGGGACATTTTTGTCATGCGAAGATTGTAATTGTTAGTCGGGATGACGCCTTAGAAGCGCTCCGCACCTGTTGGTCGGCTGCTGGGCAAGGTAGAATATGAATGATTTATGCAGCCTTTGAGGCTTTGGACGACAGGTCGGACTTGGCGTTTTATTTACTGTGTGAATGTTCGATCTAAAATGGTGTTGCTACATCTTAGCATGCTCGGCACCTCAAACCGTACGTTGAAGACAAAAAACCAATTCGATATGGATAGTCCAGATTGATTAACAAAAGGTTCTGGTCACCCAGCACATGAGAGAAGTTTAGGAGCTCATGCACTACCCCTCGAGTGACGTTGCCCTCGAGGTAACTTTAAGCGAGCCGATATCGATAAGAGCTCACATTTTCTAGAGACAGACAAACCTCGAATCATTCCAATCGCGCAGCCTCCAAACGCACACACAATGCCTCCGAAGGCTGCACCACCAAGAGGGAGAGGGAGAGGGAGACCGCGCGGTCGAGGAGGAACGACCCGAGGAGGCGCATCAGCTCGAGCCGCGACTGAAACTCCCGCCCCGCAAGCCGATCCTCAAGCTGCCCCCGCCGCACCGACAGAGCCAGCAGTTGTACCAGACCCAGCAGCGCTGCCCAAGATTGAGGATGGCGCGAATGCGGATGCAGCTGTTGCTGCGACGGTGGAGGGTTCTTCGACCGATCCATTGTACGTCCACTCGAAGCAAAGCCTTTGACCATATCGCTGACTCTGTGCCAGATCAGTATCTTCCACGTCTACACCAGCGCCAGAATCTTCCGCGGCTCCAAGTACACGGCTAGCTAGTGTAAAGAGTGCCGGACCAGCATCACGCTCCGCATCACCCGCCGTGCGGCGCGGCGCATCGGTCCGAGGCAAAAAATCCATGCTCCTACCTACGAACGCTGGTCGGAGAAGCAAGGAGGAACGCGAGGCGCGAAATGCCGCAGATTTACAGCGGGAAAGAGAGCGGAATAAAGAGCGTGATAAGTTGGCGGAAAAGAAGCAGAAGGCGGTTGAGGCTGCGGAGAGGCGCGAGAAGATGAGGAATGAGGGGAGAGGGAGAGGTGGTCACACTGGTGTTTCGTCGTTTTTTGGAGGCCACAAACCAGGTAAGTCTGCGCAGAACGGTATATATTGGAATCGTTCTAAGAGTTCACAGACAAGAATCGAGCCAGCGCGAGCGGATATGGCGGTGGTGGTTCAGGCTCACGGGAAACACGCGTTAAGAACGAGGACGACGATGCAGGACCGGGAGGCAGGAGTGGAGGGGGAGGTGGTGGTGGTGGAGGTGGCGGCGGCGCCGGAGGGAGGAGGAGGTGGAGGCTACATGTCATCAGACGACGATGACGAACAGAACGCAGAGTTCCCGAGGAAGAACATTGACTTCATCGAGTTATCGTCAGACGAGAACGAAGAAGAACCAGCGCCGAGATCACATGGGCATTTGCCGATTCGCATTGGGAGAAAACCACACAAAGAGAAGACCTTTGGCATCAATACAGATGCTAGCACAGAAGCCAACGCGCCGCAACAAGCGCAGGCATCGAGTGGGCCAGCCACGGAGGGTTCTCACAAAGGGAAGGGGAAAGCGAAAGAGGTGGAAATCACAGGCGAGAGCAAATCATACAAGGGCGTATGGCAAGATTCAGACGGAACAGACGGCGAGGCCAAAGTGAAACCTGAGCCCATATCCAGCGACGACGAAGGCGCTTCCAGAGAACAAGTAGGCATCGCCGCCCCGATCAAAACCGAACACTCGCCCGAGCGCGAACGCAAACCAAAAGTCCACAGCACCGCAATCCCCTCTTTCCAGACCGACGAAGAGCGCCAGGAATGGGAGCGCATCCAGTACAACCTCATCGGCATGCGCAAGGAACTCGGCCCCCCAGAGGACGAACAACAGCCCGATCCATCCGGCGACGTCCCCATGCTCGACGCCGTCGCAAACGCAAGCAAGCCCTCCGTCCGCGACGACCACACCTACCTCTTCCAACTCCCCCCTATCATGCCAGAACTCCTCCTCCCCGGCCAACAACATCTGAAAATCAAACAAGAGCCCTCCGACGCGCAACCCGCACCCGCAGCAGCACCTCCCCACCCGGCCAGCCCACCGTCAAAAAGAACCAACAGACGACTTCTCCGACCCCGCGCAGACACCTCCACCGGCGCACGCTTCGCCTCCGGCCGCGTGGGCAAGATGCGCGTGCACGCGTCCGGGCGCACGACGCTCGACTGGGGGCACGAGCTACTTGATTGGGCCGGGGAATCCCTCGTCTTTTCTGCAGGAGGTGGTTAGTTTGGAAGTGGTTGAGGAGGGGAGGCGGGTGGTGCCGGAGGATGCGGGGAGGTGTATAGTTATGGAAGGATTAAGGAGAAGTTTGTGTGTACGCCGGATTGGGGGCGTTGCTTGGGTAGGGGAGGACGGGGGTAGACATGGCGTAGGGATGGTGGTTCCGAGACGAGCATTAAGGGCGTTTAGCATCAAGGTGCGCTTTGGGTATGACCTGTGTCAATATACATGACGGGCACTGGAAAGCTTGCTTGACATCATACCATTTTCGAAACCTTCAGATGTCGGATCCTGGATCGTGTCCTGGGGTGTATCGGTTTATGAAGCGTGTCTAATCTTTGCATTTGATATTATACGCCCGCTTGACGCGTACCCGGGTGCGGTTGTATCTTCATAGTAGAGAAGCTTGGCGAATGAGTGGAACGAAGATGAACAGGAACGGAGTGCATGGGATAAGAATGAGGTTGGATCTAATGAGCAGACCCAGATTGCATGAGGGGAGTGGCTTTGTTGATGAAAGTACCCGATTGAAGCGTGATGGCTATGTTGGGAGATGAGTGTGACTACAAGCGAGCGCTTACTTTTGCGCAACAGAGTTGGCAAGTAAACAAGTGTACGGCTGATTTCGAGTATGAAAAGCGGGAGCAGTCGTGAGATCAGTAGCATCTAACCACAGGTAACGAAAGAAAAGCGAGACGCGTCGCGGAACTGCTCCGCTAAACTCCCAGCAAAGTCCAATACATAGCAAACCGATGTCTACTTTGCACAACCTGGAATTATGCAGAGGCTGGTAAGGATCATCCAATTTCTATGGTCGCCCATGGTGATCAGGCTGAGAAATCCATTGAGTAGCACAACGCGTTTCGCGTCGCGTTCATCGGGGCAACGAGCACGAGCCCAAGGAGGACCGGATGCAGATCCCCAGCCTCGTGGGGCGCTGGGCGTAGCACCATTATCAGATGAAAATCTAATCTGATGATCTGTGTTCCGAGCTGGGCCGAGCAGACGCGTGCATGCTGCATGCATAACTTCTCAGGCGCGCGTGCGTGTGCCTGGGTTTAATGTCTGGTCGTTGCTTTGGTGCGTCTTGAAGATCGCGGATAGTATGGAAGTACTGTTACAAGATGTGAATTGAGTCAACACGTTGGCGCTGCATCTTGCTAGGAACCTTGACAAGCATAGCCATTGCTGTGGAGGCCTCTCGTAAGGATCTGGTAAGCAACTCGTAACGCGTCGCGGATCTGGTGGAGGTCTGATTCAGAGGGGGCCTTATCTGATCCGAGCTGCATGCGCGTGCGTAATTGTCGCAACTTGGGCCCTCAATTGGATTTCGGAAGTGCAATCCTCATCTCTCAAAGGCGTACAAATGTAAGATTGGTTTATACGGAGGAGTCCTGAAGGGTGTACATCCCGGAATAGAACATCAATTGGTCAAGCAGCACAATGTGAGCTCTGCAGCCACATGCGCGTATGCGATGGGCGCGTCTCGGACAACAAGCATAGCGGGGCTCCAATTCAGCCGCCTCGGACAGGGCGCGGGATGCTGGCCTGTTTCTGTGCGTGCGGGCCCCGAATCAGCGCGCGAGAACGCGTCGAAGCTTGGACTGTTTTTGTGGCTACGCGACGCGACAGAGGAACTTGAAGAGTCGATTTTCTGTAGCAGTCAATGGAAAGGAACGCAGACATTGGTATCATTCGAAAGCGCATCGCTGTTACCTGTTTTAATCGAATCATGATTGGGATCCGGCGGTTAGGCTGCAGCACAATTCAATGGCAAATGCGATCGAAGACGTGAGGTCATAGCTCGGACTCGATGATCTTGGCGTACCAGCCTTCAAAGTTTCCACGCTAGCACGTCTTCACGTGATCCGTTCTTCAAGCTTTAAGACGCGCCTTTGTCTTCTTCCACTTCCACCACAACGCATCTCACTACTCTTGCCTCGATTGATACTTCTTTACTTCTACGTCCGCTCCACTGAAGGACTAGCTACGACTACACACAAATCTTTCATCCACAATGTCTGCCGTCACTTTAACCCCGTCGAAGCAGGTTAGCCACCCATTCCTCAACATGTAGACGCGTCTTGCTCACTCTTGTACAGGCTGCTCAAGCAGTGGATTCATTGAAGATGTCCGACTCACCCGCAAAGAAGCTCAACTTCGAGTCTTCGGCGGACAAGGAGAATGTGTACAAGCCCATTGTCGGCATACCAGATCTCTCCGAAGAGGATGACGCGCCCACGAAGCTCACCACCGCACCCACGATCAAGGAGGAAGAGGCACACGAGCCTTTGCTACAAGAGAACCCCAACCGCTTTGTGCTGTTCCCAATTAAGTACCACGATGTAAGTCGACGCGTCAATGCTCTTCCACACGCGTCATATCGCGTCTTAGGTACATGGTAGTTAACATCTTCTCTCCCAGGTCTGGCACATGTATAAGAAGGCCGAAGCTTCTTTCTGGACCGCTGAGGAGATCGATCTCTCCAAGGATCTCCACGACTGGAACAAGCGCCTCAACGACGACGAGCGCTTCTTCATCTCACACGTCCTCGCTTTCTTCGCCGCATCGGACGGCATCGTCAATGAGAACCTGGTCGAGCGATTCAGCGGCGAAGTACAAATACCTGAGGCACGATGCTTCTACGGCTTCCAGATCATGATGGAGAACGTCCACTCCGAGACCTACTCTCTGTTGATCGACACATACATTAGCGAGCCCAAGCAGCGCTCATACCTTTTCAACGCCATCGACAACAGTAAGTTGCCCCGCACTCACACTGCACGATGCGTACCTAACGCGTGCCACAGTTCCCTGCATCCGCAAGAAGGCCGATTGGGCTTTGCGATGGATCTCAGACAAGAACTCTACCTTTGCGACGCGTCTCGTCGCTTTTGCTGCTGTTGAGGGTATCTTCTTCAGCGGTTCCTTCGCGTCAATCTTCTGGCTCAAGAAGCGTGGCCTGATGCCTGGACTCACCTTCTCCAACGAGCTCATCTCGCGCGACGAGGGCATGCACACTGATTTCGCGTGCCTGCTCTTCTCCCTCCTCAAGTCCCGCCCCAACAAGTCTCTTGTCGAGGACATCATTACCCAGGCTGTCGTCATCGAGAAGGAGTTCCTCACTGACGCTCTTCCTTGCGCTCTGCTCGGCATGAACGCCACCCTCATGTGCCAGTACATCGAGTTCGTCGCTGACCGCCTGCTGTTGTCTCTCGGCAACTCCAAGGTCTACAATGCCACCAACCCCTTCGACTTCATGGAGAACATCTCGCTTGCTGGCAAGACCAACTTCTTTGAGAAGCGTGTCGGTGACTACCAGAAAGCCGGTGTCATGGCCAGCACCAAGAAGCACGAGCAGAACGGTGCATCATCACCCGGAGAGGAAAGCAAGAACTTGACTGGCGACTTCGCTTTCGACGAGGACTTCTAGACATGTCTCTTCCACTTTTACTCTTATTTCTACCCTTTCCTAGATGTATTCCCCTTCAGACTTGGGGCATGGGTGCTGGGTTACCCTTTTGCATACCTTCACCTCTCTGCATTGCCGGAGTCAGACACGGTACAGCGAGTATATCGCCGCCATAGCGGCTGCTTTTGATACCTGGTTTCATGCGCTTTGATTATACGGCGTTCACAGCGGGTATTTGGATTGGGACGGGCACGCGAGGACGCGAATGACTATCATGGCAGCCGGGGCTGAGTAGGATAGGATAAGACACTCGCGATTTGAATAACGATCTTCTGAACTTTCAAAAACAATTGCATGCTTCAATGAGTGATGGTCGTGGCACTGACTTGGCGAGGCGGCCTGTGTACGGTGGAACAGGGCTGCAAGCCCGAAAACCGTGACCGGGGGTCCAAGCCTTGACAAGCATGGCCCAAGTCAACCCAAGCTCAACCTCAGCATCTTTAATCACGCTTCACGTGAGGTTGAGGGAGCGACACCACGATGTTGAAGTTCGCCACTAATATACGTTTCCGCATGTACTGTGGTTTGGCACCGTGGTCGCCTCGGAGACGGATGCATGACATCATGGCCGAACCTGTCGGGCGAACAACAGTTCACATTACCGAGAGCGAGGCACCGGGAATCTCAACCGTCACTTCCGCCAGGGCTACCGTAAACTCCACTAGACACTTAGATCCGCAAGTCAAAACGATCAAAACACGACGGTGCCGCGGTACAAATTACAAAGACTATCGGTAAGCCTGTGACTGCTCCGCTCACTTCCGCGGGCATCACAACACTGTGAGAGCTCGACAACAGCTCCAATAACACCGTCTACGACTCAAGACCGTACGATACGCTTGCTGCGCTGTATGCGCGATCAACAAGACACAATTGGCGGCTCTGGACGAGAGAGTCTGAGTTTATTGGGTGACCAGCGACCTTTGCTGCAGGGACAGTGCATGGCAACGAAGGAAACGCACATGGTCTTCCTGGGATGAAGCTTGAAACGCATCGCCAACGCCAATGGCCGACGTACTGCCCAAGATTAGGGCTTCAGACCCACAAACAAAAGATGCGAGTCCCCTAGAGCGCCAGGACACGGGAAAGTTCTCGGTGAAGGGTGACGGTACGTTGCGTCCCATCCCAGTCGCGACCTTATGTACCATAATGCTAATCTTGCCCACCAAAGGCTCCCTCACGAACGGAGGCAAGCTCGCTGCCAAACTGCGAAACCCGGCGTCCACGGCGAGCGCGCAATCGAACGGCGAGTCGAAACCGGGAAAAGATGCGAATACCGAGGACAGAGCGCAGCAGTCTATAGATCCGCTCTCGCAAGTATGTACTGTTTAGGCCGGCTGCGAGGCATTTGAGGCTAATTGAGGTTTCAGCAAATCTTACAACGAACAAATACCTCACTCACGATTCAAAAGCTCCGCGCGCAAAATGCTGAAACGGGCGGTGGGCAGTCGCCTACGAGCCCACAGGATGGAAGGGCGGATACGAAGTTAGCGAGCGAAACGCCAACGCGGGAGAACGCCAGCGCAGGAGCCAAGGCAGACAAGAAGTGAGCAGACATTCCTATACGAGTACGCTCCTTAGACGCGGCTCCGCGAGTAGTTCCGCACTGCATTCCCAAAAGCGGTAGTGTGTAGAGTCGCAAGCATCGCCCAATCGGTCGTCGTTCGTATATGCTGAGCGTATTCGTAATGGGGCGGAGCATACGCAGCACAACACCGAGGCTAACTCGCTAACGTCAGTAATAGGAAAGGCGTCTCCTTCTTGTCTCGTTTCATAGGCACCAAGAAAAAAGGTACCCTCGACGATGCCGACGATAATGGCTCACAGGCGGGAGACTGGGACCCGCGACCGGAGGGAATGGATGCACAGCTCTTCAGCCATACCGTTGACAACTTGGGGTTCAGCCCCAAGCACCCTCCACCGCCAGCGTACATTAAGATGCGAAGCAAGTACAAGAAGGAGAAGGAGTTTGATCGCGTATTCCTGGCGCAGGAGTTAAGAACGAGGGCGGGGAAGAAGAGGTTGAGCATTGGTACGACAAGTTCCACGACACCATCTGGAGCGGCGGGGGTACAGAATCCGATCTGGGCGACAGAATTCAGTAAGGATGGGAGGTATTTGGCCGCAGGCGGGCAAGATAAGGTCGTGCGGGTCTGGGCCGTCCTCGGAACGGCAGACGATCGAAGAGCACACGAAAGTGAGGAACACAATCCGAATGCGTCGGGGCATTCGACAAGACTCAGTGCGCCAGTGTTCCACCAGAAGCCGATCAGGGAGTACCAGGGGCATACATCGACGATCCTCGACCTGAGTTGGAGCAAGAACAACTTCCTCCTTTCTTCATCGATGGACAAAACGGTGAAGCTATGGCATATTAGCCGAAATGAAACCTTGTGCACCTTCAAGCACAACGACTTTGTTCCGTCGATTCAGTTTCATCCTCGAGATGACCGATTTTTCCTCGCTGGCTCCTTGGACACCAAATTGCGTCTTTGGAGCATACCAGACAAGTCAGTAGCGTATACGGTTTCATTACCAGACATGATCACCTCGGTTGCTTTTACTCCAGATGGAAAGACCTGCATAGCTGGTACTCTGGGTGGTCTCTGCATGTTTTACGATACGGAAGGGCTCAAGTGGCAGAGTCAAATTCATGTGAAGTCTACAAGAGGACAAAATGCCAAAGGTAGCAAGATCACAGGCATACAAGCCGTCTGCTGGCCGCCAGGAAGCGGTACTGGCGAAGTGAAATTACTCATAACGAGCAACGACTCCAGAGTTAGAATCTACGGCTTCCGGGAGAAGAACTTGGAAATGAAGTTTCGCGGACATGAAAACAATTGCAGCCAGATAAGAGCTACATTTGCCGAGGACACAGAACACATCATATGCGGAAGCGAGGACCGAAAAGCGTACATTTGGTCTACGAATGGCTTTGAGGGCGAGAAGAGAAACCAAAGGCCTATGGAAATGTTCGAAGCTCATGGCTCGATCACGACATGTGCTACGATTGCGCCGCTTAAGACGAGGCAGCTCCTCAGTGCTTCGGAAGATCCGATATTTGATCTTTGCAATCCGCCGCCGGTTACTCTGATTTCGCGCGAGGACTCATTGGGTGGTTCGAAACCGCCTACAGAAGCGGGATCTGCGCAGCCTACGCCGACGGAGGCGAACTTCAGAAAGGTTGCGGAGAGCCCGGCGTATCTCGCGCGATCAGCGGTATGTAGTTTGATCAGCTTATATGCCGTGTATTTCTTGGAGCATCACTGACGTTTCCTAGCACACGGACGGCCACATCATAGTAACAGCAGACTACACTGGCGCAATCAAAGTCTATCGTCAAGACTGCGCATATCACAAGCGCCTCCGCGCGACCGACAACTGGGACGCTGCCTCCCGGATATCGCGCCGCACAGGCTCCATGCGACTCGGACGACCAAGCAGTATCATTTCGACTCGGACTGGTCGCAATAGACGCGACAGCACATCTACGCAACCTGCAGACGAACGCATCATGACCTGGCGGCAAGACCTCGCCCACGGCGGCTTCGAGTCCTCCCGCCGCAGCATCGGCCGCAGCATCTCCCCCCGAAAAAACAAGAGCCGCACGAGCATAACCTCCACACGGCCTTCCGACTCGCCAGCTCTTGGCCCCATGCCCACCCTCAGCACCACGCTCTCCGGCCCCAGCGGCACACCCAAAACATCCTTCTCCATCGACCGCTCTTCCACGAACCACAGCAACCCCGCCTCCGACTCTTCGACACCATCAAAGCCAGCACGCTCTCCTGAGGTCAAAAGCCCACCCCAACAAACCCGTCAAATTTCCAACTTTGACCCGATCAAGTCCCACGACAAGCAGCTCATGCCGACCCTCTCGAACCCGCTCTCGGTGTACAACGGGCAGAGCTGGGCGTTTTGGAACACTAAGAGCAAGGTCGCACAAGCGGAGCGCAACGGGTTTCTTGCGCCGCAAGGCAACGAGCGACCGGAGCTCAGGGGCAGGAATAGTGTAGTCAGCCAGTTGAGTAGCGAGATTAGTGCTGAGGAGGAGAAGTGTGCGAGTTGTGGGGGCACGGAGTTTAGGATGAGGTGGAAGGGGACGGTGGGGCATGAGGAGAAGGTGGCGGTTTGTACGAAGTGTAACAAGGTCGTGGAGTAGGGGTAAGAGTCAGCGGAAAGGAAAAAGATAGGAAATGGAAAAGGGGCACGCTACCTGTTCGTGTTGTATAAATAGGAAAACAGCGTGGTTTGTATATTAGGGATGGGAAGATGGTACACAGGAATTATGAGCACGATAGCATTTGTTTTGCAGTTTTAGTCTTTGTAATATATCGGTCGATGATCGTAAATATTTACCCCTGATTCATGTGAGTTAATCATTGTTCGAATCATTGTTCGACATTTAGAAAGGCGACTGGCCTCTCAAGTCGGAGTTCTCGGAAACATTTCCGTCAGCCTCGCTTAATCAGAACCTGCAAATGCTCCGTATCAATATCAAAACTCACCTGCTCCCCACCTTTCCACGCAACAGCACCTTCACAGCCTTCAGTGCAACCACGATGGGGCCACCAATATCCAGGAATTTGCACAGAACCACCAAAAAGGCACCGTCAAAGGGACCTTCCAAACCACCCAAAGCAAAAGCGCCCGTGGCTGCGGCCGAAATTGCACCATCTTCAACTCTACCAATCGACCTGCTGCAACTTCTGCTCAATGTCTTCAAGAACTCTTTTCCAGACAGATTATCTTCAGATATTAAGCCGCTCCTCCAAGAAGTGAAGGGTCATCTTTATAACCGCGACTTTGCAACCGCATTCGGCAAGGAAGAGTACCTGGAGGCGTACGCACTGCGTTGGTCACCTAGTCGCGCGCTATGCTATCTGCAGATCTTCGAAGATCTGAAAGACGAATTGAATCCTTTCCACAGCGTATCTGAAGAGACAGAGGATGCGGAGTGGGACGTTGTATGCCTGGGAGGAGGTGCGGGCGCCGAAATCGTGACTCTGGGCGGACTGATGAAACTTCTCGAACCGGTGAATGAAGAGCACGGCGCTGAGGCGAATATCACTGCAATCGATATCGCAGACTGGTCGAACGTAGTAACGAGATTAAGAGACGGCGTTGTGAATAAGCCTCTGCTATCGAAATATGCATCTGCGGCCGCACAAGAAGCGAACAAGGCATTGACAGATCCCGCCTGCTTCAGCGTCGCCTTTCACCAACACGATATCCTAAACACGCCGCTGGATATCCTTTCGAAATTGGTGGGGAAAGCAGATCTAGTCACGCTCTTGTTCACGCTTAACGAACTGTACACCACCTCGCTCTCCCTCACGCAGAAATTCTTACTCAGCCTAACAACAAGTTTGTCAGCAGGAGCACTACTACTTGTCGTAGACAGTCCGGGGAGCTACTCGACTGTGAGCTTGAATGGCACAGAAAAGAAATATCCTATGCAGTGGCTCCTAGACCACACATTGCTCGACACAGGATCCAAAGCGCAAGACTCCCCAAAATGGGAGAAGATCAAAGAAGAAGAAAGCAAGTGGTTCCGCCTTCCTGATACGCTCCGCTACCCGATCGAGCTGGAGAACATGCGGTACCAACTGCACCTTTACCGCCGCTGTGGATGAAGAGGGGAACGACGCTACTGCGTGAACGTTGGACGTCTACAACACGTCGAAGGCGTACGAGACGGGCCGTGGGATCTGGAGACGCGGTCAAGGGTTGCATCGATGTGACATCGTCCGGCGCTTCCCCGATGAGGAAAGATGGAGCATCGGCTGTGACACATCGCCACATTCCTGGTGTTGTGGAACCACCTCGTCCTATACAAGAGTAACATTCCCCACTCTTCGTTTCGACGCGTGCCCCGCCGTCCTGCTCCATATTTTATTCAACTAAACCAGATTCCGGCCCTCGCTGTTCCCATCCATCCTTCCGATTCTCTTCGGTGTAAATCGAACACTCTTGGCGCCAAAGTAAGGCTATAGAAACAAAATGCCCTGCCTCCCTCGCCTCTTCACCCGCCTCTTCCACCGCTCCCCAAATCCTCTATCTCCCCGCCGACCAAACCACCCCGCCATCCCGCCCATGCCTATGCGCCAGAATTCCCGCGGCGAATACACCCGCGATAAGCCCTGGCACAGCGGCGGCAAATCCGGCGCTAAGATCCTCGCGCGAGCGGTAAGCTACGCTTTCGTTAGTGAGAAGGGGTGGACGAGGGGATGGTGGTTGGGTATGGGGCGTGTGGAGCGCTAGCTCCCAACCTCCTCCTACCAAGAGAAGGTGCTGGGGAGAGAAGGGAGGTAGAAGGCTGTATAAGGGGGAAATTTGTGATTAAAAGGGTGCAAGACTGTTGTGAGAGATGCGAAGAGCAAAGAGTGGATAAATTGATTGATGGATGCGCAAGCTGACGTGTGAAGGAAGGAAAAGGATAGTGGGCTAAGATGTCTTTTTGAGGGTGGGGAGAGGGAGTGTTGTTGATTTGGGGGAAGAAGGAGAAGGGGAAGACAAAGAGGGAGGAGGAGCTGTCGAATGATGATTTGTCGATTGTGGAGAGGTGAATGGGGGATGGACGGGATGAAGTTTGAGTGTACTAGAGGGTGTGGTAGGATAGAGTTTTGATGGAGTGCACTCTGCTTCGCTGGGTTATCAAGTTCTGCACGCATTTCTGATGGCAAGGTTGGGTGCTTTATGAGATGCTTCTGGGGAGTATCCTTAAGAAAGATCACGTGTTAAGAATGGCTATCATGGTACTTTGCTGTCGAGAATAGTACCTGGCTTATTCACGTCGCAGCTACTTCGTTCTATCGATACCAAGGGCAAAGTGTTATGGGACGAGTAAGACTTTCGGTGCATCGCTCCTCACACTAATTCAAGACCAGTATGAGTGCTCGCACACCATATCGCACTCGTATCTTCGGGTACCCTGATCTGGGTCGCATCTCATTTTGCGTGACCAACGTTAGACCACGCTCATAGCTGATTTTTGTATAGCTGATTTTTGCTCAAAGGTCTGCGATCGGTCTTATCGCGCCCGATCTCAAGTGACTGTCCCGCAAATCGGACAATCAGTAATGTCCTACCTGCATACAGTGCTCCGGCCATTTGGCGACACACGTCCAGTGCATCGCAAGAATCTTCGCAACCATGGTAGTAGGGACCCGAGCAACGTTTTCGTTTTGCATCGATCTTGGAGCCTATTACTAGGGGTTGGTGTTTTGCCTTCGCCGCCAGCTTCCTCAGTCGAGCCTGGTAATACTCAGCCCTACCATAGTGACTTTGTTCCCCGTCGAAGATTCTTCCTTGATCCATCAGCCGTCTTATCGCTTGACAGATGACCTGGCACCCGGATCGATTGCTTGAGGGTGTCAAGTCTTTGCCGGGACCGTGCTTGACCAGACCCAACAATGAGTATATATAATCTTGACTTCGTGATGACTGCGAACGCTCCGAAAGATAGATCAGAAGACCCAAAGTCACTTGCGCTTTGTCGATCACCTCCAATCCAGGGACTGTGTTATTGTGAGCCCCGTGGAGGTAGGATATCAGCCACACAGCTTGTTTCTTCTTCAACCGTCTCTGCACCGCAGCAACCTTGTACTCTTCGTCATGGCGGAAGTCCAGCAGCGGTATGCAAATCGCGTATTGAAGAAACTTCGACCAGGCAACTTCGCCCTCGCCACAAACCATACGAACTCGTTCCCGCGTCGAACCTGTCGTCTGCCGCACCTTGTCGGATACTGCAATCTCCTGTAAGATCCATACCCGATCCCAATAAGGACTGCTCAGAAGCACTCCTATAGCTTTTACGAGGTTCCTGTCATCCAGCAAATCGTCGCGGCTACCGGTAAGAAGTACACTCATGTTGTCCTGGGAGAGTGCCTTCTTCACAGCGTGCGATTGTGACTTGATGTACTGCATGGCTTGTGCTACGCCAGCGCCCCCGGGACCCAACCATATGATCGTCTCGGAAGCTCGTCTGTATACATGCCGCATGTATGCAAGCTGCGTGGCTTTCTCTACTTCGTGCTGTTGATCGATGCATAATGCGTCTATCCAGTATGTCCCTGTCGCCCATCCTGAAACACGGGCTGCCTTCATCTTTGCGGCGTGCTCCAGGAATTCATACAAGTTCTTGCCGATGGAGAACGAGCGATCGTTGATATGGATGGTGAATGATGGCGAGGGTGAGCCCCAGTGGTACGACAGTGCGCGAAAAGTTCGTTTACTCGCGACCTTACGGTTGAAAGCTTTCATCGAACATCGTATAGGGCCGGTGCCTTTCCAGCTCTCGACTTTGATGAGTCGCAATTCCTTTTCTGGGCGTTTCAGCCTCGTGTGCCTGAAGGGTTGGACTTCGACGGGTTTGAAGCTGACAGTTTTTTTGCTGGGTCTAGGGGAGTTGATATACCGGATGCCGCCGTCGCTGGGTAACCTCAATTGGTGCTTGTGTTCCCCAGTGCTGAAGCCTCCATAGGTTGCTTTATCTGTGCCGTTGTCGCTGTAGTAATCTTCCTCTGAGTCCGTAGAGTAGTCATCGTCGTCCGAGCTCGTGTAGTAGCTATCCTCCTCCGAGCTCGTGTAGTCTTCGCTATCTAGTTCTGATTCTGTGGAGGTATACTCATCATCGGTATCGTAGAGACTGGAAGAGTCGTCGTATTCCACGTTAAAGGTTACATTATAGCCAGGATACTTCGAACTTCCGGTGGCCATCGTAATTGTGAGTCTGTCGCAGGCCTCAAGAAAGCTACCTGCACCTCTATATGACAGTGGATAATCGTACGATACCTAGCGATGATGTTCTTGACCCCGCTGAAATATCAGTGTATGTTCAAGGGCAATCCCGAGAAGACGGACGGCGGAGGCTCAGTGAGTTTATTGTGCACAGCCTCCTTCTCATTACTCATGCACGCATAGGACATAGCCCCCACTCAGCCTTGCAGCCCCCTGTATGTGCCTGGATGACTCCACTTGTCGTTTGAGAAGGGGATTTAAGCGCTGGCGACCTCCTCACGCTTGCACGCCGAGTCAGCCCCTCCAATGGTTCTGGTTCTGAGCGTTTGTTGCGACACAGGATCTTACATGCATGCGATCATTTGTGATCCTTCTAGGCTACATTCGGAAGCGAGATCCTTCTCGGTCTGGACTAGTGTAATGAGGTTAGGGATTTAAGCACATGAGGCTGAAAACATTATCTCCGGACAATAATCGGTAGAAGCATGCTTTGTGTTATCCGAAATACCTTGGGAAAGAAACACAGGGTGCATCTGCATAAGAAGGTATAACATTCCCCTGCCATTTATCCTCCGCTGCAGCTTGCAGTTTGACGACCTCTCGGACGTTTTCGAAGTGCCTTGCAACAATGTTGTTGTGACGGTGGTGGGATTTAGCTGTCGGCAAACCCGTGTGCCACCGCGGAGGCTCAGGACATGCTCGTACCCTAAATCCGATGGGTTTCAGAGCAGCTACAGTTTTTGTACTGATGCCCATGATGGCACCATGAAAAGATCTCCAAGCACATGACAGATTATGTACTTGGTAGTATTCTCCACACAGTCCCTTGTTGTATAGCGGGTCCTTGAATAGCCAATAAGGAACTGATCTAGGCTGCGTCAAGGTGCGGGCGGATACGAGACAGTGGTTGACCCAAGCAACAGATATTCTTGCAGCAACGATTGTAGCCACTGAGGACTTGACTTGCGCACCCATAGGCCCAACTCGATGATTCAGATTGTGTGGCGTGAACTCTGCCGCGCCGACTGTATTTCCTACAGTATCGGTACGCTCCACGAAGACATGGCCCACGGTCTAAGGGCGAATGTGTAGAAAAGTAGAAAAGATCTCTCTCCGCCAGCATGTTTAGTCGATCCACGCGTGTCGTATTTATACGAATGCTCAGCTCTAGATATGCGCTTATCTGGTTCCATCGCTATCTCTCGAATCTCCGTCTAAATGCAACCGATCGAGGAGCGAGCAGAATTCATCCACGTTGCTAAGCATGTTCGGATCTTTGAGCGCGCTTTTCAGTTTCGCAGCTTCCTGGTGTAGACCCTGCTTTACCAAAAAGTCAGAATAGTTGAGCATGGAAGTATTGAGGTGAGGATGGTCCATCCTGTGTATCCCCGCCATCCCTTTAATTGCGCGTATGAACAGTGTCTCTGCCTCCGTGTAGTTCATCTGATCGGCAAGGACAAGTGCGAGGTTGTTTGCTCTTGTGAAAGTGCTCTTGTGTTCTGCACCCAACCTTTGTTCCGTCATCTCAAGATTGTGCCGCAGAATCTCTGCAGCCTCGGGGGTCTGGCCGTCGTACCACAGATTCAAGCCGACCTGACCATCGGCAAGAAGTGTGAGAGGGTGTTCCGCTCCCAATATTGCCTTGTAAGCCTTGGCACACTGTCGATGCCATTGTATGGCCTTCGTGAATTGTTTTTGCTGGCTGAAAAGCTGAGCAAGATTAAACATGCAGGTGATGGTGTCCGTAGCCTCAGGCCCTGCACTCTGTTTCATGCGCTCGATGACTTGAAGATGCATGTCCTCAGCCTCCTGGAGCTTTCCTTGCTTGTCTAATGACACGGCGAGCTCGCCCTGCGTCCAATATGTCTGCACTATGTCTGGATCTGCCAACAGCGAATATCCTTCCAAGGCTTTTCGTAGATGCGTCTCTGCCTTTGCATATTTGCTTTGGTAGATATAGATAGTTCCAAGTCTCGCGTACACGTTAAAAGTGTGGATATGGCCCTGGGGAAACTCTTCTTGAAGTACTTCGAGCGCTTTTTCTTGCAAGGCTTGCGCTTTGTTGTACTTGCCCTGGTAAATATACACATCCGCCAATAACTCACTGCTTGAAATCGTATCCAGGCTTTTGGGCCCAAGCAAGTTGTACGCCTCCAAATAGACTTCGCTGCTGATCTGTTCAGCCTCCGAGTAATCGCCAATAACCCGGAGGTACAATCCAACCTCCCAAGCAACTTTCATTCGCTCGAAAGTCACGCTCTTATCCTCTGGAATGTATGCAAGCGTTTTCTGCGCGTGCGGAAGTAGAATCTCACAGGTTTTCCAGCTTTTGCGATCGTTGACCTTAGCGTAAGGAAACCTAGTGAACATGGTATGTATCGATTTGCCCTCCCATTCTTTCAGCTTCCCCTCAATCCTCAACCAGTCTCTTGTAGCTAGCTGCACCAGGCCGTGCATGTCAAAGAGCATTTCATCAACCTCCGGGTTTGGTTGATCAGTGTCTTGAACCTTGATGAGTGAGAAGTTGGTCAAGGGCGATGCCACCACCCAAAACTCGTCATAGCTTTGCCCCTCATGCACTAGCAGACCCGGAATCTCTTGATTATCAAACATTGCCATCAACGAAAGCAAGTCTGCAGCTTTCGGGTCAGTCTCGCGTATCAGATCGAACGACATCTGCCATGTGATAATAACTCCAGGTGGCACGGCGGGGTCGCGCCTATCTTTAGGGACCTTGCGATTAAGCAGGGATACCCGCTTTTCATCACTCTCCAAGAAACTCTTGAGGTATCTGGACAGTGTGTACGAATGACTGTTGACCGATTCGGTTTTGCCGCCAGAATACGAAAATACAGATCGAGCGTGTGGTGGACCTCTGGAGGGCTGGTATATCTCCTGACGATTTCGCTGAGCTTCCATTACGGTTATCCATAATCACCAGATCATTTGGTTCCTGGATTTTCGAGGCCCTAGAGTTGCGGAAGCGTGGGATGCCAGATGATTCTTTCAGACTCATTCTCGATGGGAGTCCACTCCCGGAGAAAGCATCTCAGGTTTTCGAAGCAGTAAAGCATGATGCGGCCCGTCAAGCTGCACGCGACTTATGCTATGCGCGAAATATACGGTCCTGTCCGGATTGGTTCCATCGCCGCGGCCGGCTGGGTTATCAATGGGAAGGCCTTCACCAAGCGATAACGAGTTTGCAGAATGGGGACTACGCTTCCTTTATCGACTGTAACTTTGACCTGGGTGCAGCATTTGACCCCGAATGCTTAGTAAGTGGGCGCCTAAGTTGGACCGGTCATGAATGGGCGCAGAACGAGTTGGCACACTTGGAGCAAAAGTTCGATACCGAAGCTCCATTGGCTTCTTGGCACGAACTTCATCCCATATGTACGTATTCGTATGGCTTCATAGTAGGCGCACTAACTCACGATCCGGCTTATAGCCATTTTCGACTGGTAAACGGGGTTCAAGACCTCTGTATGTGATATCCTCACAATGGGGGTATCGGCGAAATCATCTCAGTCATCTTAGGTACAGACTATCTTCACGACATACCATAAAAACACATTTACCATTATAACACAAATGCGCGGTTGTGCAACGAATGCAGATATGGAGTTTGATTTCGATCTGTTCCCTCATGAATGATTATCTATTTACGGTACGGCCGCCATTCCTGAGATCTGTGGCTCATGGCTTTATCAACACATACACGGGTGAATCGTCACATTCATCAATAAAGGATGTACGAGTATAATCATGTTGTAATGTTGTTGCTTAATCCCTAGCAATCATGAACCGCACGGACAGTACAATCTCGGTCCCCTGGTACCGAACCTCGGCCATAGATGCGCGGAAACGCTCAGGCCCCTTCGTGTTTCACCCCTAATACTCCCACAGCCGCTACCCATGCGCCGCGTTCCCATTGCCAGAACGCTATCATTGAGTGCATAACATCATCTCCTCGTGTCCATGCCACCGCAAAATGACCCTGTAGTGATTAGTACGGATGGTAGCACCCTCCGCAACGGCAAGCGAAATGCGGTTGCCGGGTACGGCGGTTATTTCGGCCCAAGAAACAAGTTGTCTGTGAAGCCGCATTCCTGTACCTCTCCACTGCTCAGAAAAGATGAGCATCGGCCACGCATTCGCGACACTAACAGCTCGATAGAAACTTCGGCCTCCCCCTGGGCAAAGGGCCTAAAACTAACAACCGCGCGGAGCTCATGGCCATGTATGAGGCGCTCAAACGAACGCCCGTCCACCGAGATGTCGTAATTCGTACCGACTCGGAAACTTCCAAGAAATGTCTCGAGGGTCGGTATAAGCAGTGGAGGCTGCGTTCTTTCAAGCAGCCTAAAGGCTATGTCATAGAGAATGAAGACGTCGTCAAGAATATAAACGATGTTGTTGGGCGACGGAGAGCAGCTGGGGCTACGACGACATATGTGTGGATTCGGGGCCATGTCGGTGATGTGGGCAACGAGGCAGCAGACAAGCTTGCAAAGAGAGGAGCTAGGTAAGACGGCGCACTTACATTGTACCTTACGACTTGCAGGGAACAAATGTGAGTGCCCATACCAGATCACGCAATGCGGTGGCTTGGTCATTACCCTGTACGAGGAACCGATCTAACGGGGTGTAGGCGGCAATGGTACAAAACCACGAGCGCTGCAGATCGCGCAGAGATAGCGAAAGAAGAGCGCGCTAAACGTGAAGTGCTGAGGACAGAAAGGGAGCTCAAGAAACGGGTCGAGGACGGCAGGAAACGGCTGGCTGAGATGCGGACCGTGGCTGGAGCTGAGATCGCTGAATTTGGTGTTTGAACTACCATATATAGTTTAATACGGACTACTGTCACAAACAAATAGCTTTTGCCCGAAGCATGGCCAGATGTTCAACAAAGAAATAAGTCATCCTCTCAGTCTAAATCGAGCAGAGGTGTTACAGCGCTCTAGCTGAACGTGGTTAGTCTATATAATCTTATTATCCACAACTGTTCCTACGCTTCGAGATTTTCCGCAGGGTACGAATCGTACATTACACATTAAGCATTATTGTGAATTTCGCATTCTAGAAACTATATAGGGTGAGAGGGTCGTTCAATTGTCATATCCATTACTTGTCGTATATTGCCGAACGCTATGAAACCCAACGAAGGCTGCATCGGTCTATTCTACAAGTTCAATGGCTTGAAGACTGATCATGCTTACGCAGCCATCTTCTGCCCAAACTTACTCCGCGCGATTATGCTTCTGAACCTCTTTCCGAAAACATAGGCTGGGATGGTCAAGGAGCACACTGCGAGGTTGATGCATGCCAGCGCCACAAACACCGTCTTCGGCCCAACCTGCATCATCCACCCATTCGCATACGTAGTCGCCAGGAACGTGAATATCGCCTTTGTGAAGTTGATAGTGACAAAGGCCTGGTTCGCATCGGTAGGATGGCAATCGATAACATATGTGAGCGAAGCCTGCGAAGCGAAGGGCACGGAGAACGAGTAGATGGAGAAGAAGGCCATGACCTGGTAGATGGAGGCAGCGTTATGGAGCGAGTAGCCGAAGCCGATGAAGCCGACGGTGGCGAAGGGGACGGCGACGAGCATGAGGACGAGGCGGAATTCGGGCTCGAAGACACCGTTGTTGCGGCGGGCCATAAACTTAGCAGCCCAATCGGCCATCCAGCCTGAGAGCGGCGAGCCAATGAAGCCGACAAGGAGGAGGGGAACGTTCGTAAGACCGATTTGAGCGGGGTTGAGGTTGTAGGGGGGCAGTGACAGGGCAGTGACCGCGAGGACCGAGATAGTCAGGAGAAAGGTGAAGTATGTTCCGTAGACGACGGTCGAGAAGAGGACGGCAGGGTAGGCGATGAGTGGGACGGGCTTCCAGACGCCTCTCCAGAACGACTCGGGTGAAAGGCGGCCGTGGAATAGGCGCAATTTGTCGCGATATGTTTCTTTCTCGGAAGTGTCAATCTCGAAGAACGAGCCCTTCTCTTCGATCTGAATCTTTGGTCCTCCAGTGCGAGGACCATTGTAGGTGGTCTCGACAACAACGAAGTAGAGACCGACCATGATAGGAACATATATGATCGCCGAGATACCGAAGGTCGACTCGAAGCTGAGGTTCTGGATGATAGCCCCGGAGATCGTTTGGCCGAGCAAGACGCCGGAAGAAAGCATCATCCCCCAGATGGACAGGCGAGTGCCTCGTTGGTGGACGAAGAAAAGATCGGACACAGTCGACGTAACAAGAGTCTCGAGCGGTGCGGATGCCATACCTTGGATGACCCTCATGGCAGCAAGTTGCGGAAAAGACTGATCTAGTCAGAATGAGTCGGCGATTTTGCAAGGGAGCTTACATGGACTGAGCCAATCATTTGACCCCATATACATGTCAGGAAAAGGATAACAGATGAGATGAACAGGAAAGGCCGTTTGCCCCAGATGTTGGCTCCGGATGCAGTGACTGCGCTCATTAACGTTTCTTCAAGGCAAGATTAAGGGGCGGAGATCCCAACATACAGAATGTAGTAGCGCCAATCCAGAAAGCAAAGAAACCAATAATCAAACTCGACGCCAGGTCAATAGAAACGCCGTATGTTGCTACGATGACTTGAAGACCAGGTGTCACTGCATGCAGGACGTGTCAGTATAATGAACATGAGCATGAGAGGTTTCGTCATCTTCCAATTCCAACAGCGATAAGTTTCCTTATCAGACGAATTGCGTGATCTTTTCCGTGATCACAATCTCTAACGGAAGCGCAGAGGACGTGACTCAAGGTTTGACGTACCCATAGGGCCAAGCCTGTCAAAATCAGTATTCAAGCTGATAATGTGACTGTTTGAATCACTTACGCAGTAGTCACGCCAGAAGCAAAGGCGAGTAGGACTATGATAGACTCTAGAAGTACATTAGCAGCTGGCTTTCGTCTTCTTGTGGGTATGTGGTACCTTTCCAAGCGCGAGACCTGCTTTATGTCAGTTGAGATGCAGATACGTGAGCATAAGGTCTTACCAGTTGAGGGGATCATTCGGGTCATCAGACGGCTGTGGCTGAAGGATAATGTCGCCATGGCGCTTCAGTGTGCTATCGTTCGCTTGATTGTCTGCGTGCGAATGTTAGTAATGGGCATTATTTTGAAGTGTTGGTTCATACCCTCTTTCGCGCCGATGGTGTAAGTCCCTGGCGGCGAAGCCATATGGGGATCATTTAACACGCCTAGACCCATGATGAATTATCTACAACGCACGAGAAAGTAAAATAAAACCAAGAAAGGACTGCCAGCAGCCGGACTAATCGAAAAATAACGAATGAAGGAGTGAAGAAGTGTATGGCAAAGGAGAGACTCGTAAACAGAAATCGAGGCCAGCTCTTGGTGTTGTTGCGACCTCTGGAGGGTCATATCAAATATGGCATCCAGGCAGTGATGCGCGTCCCACTGGCTCGAAACATCAATGAGAACGCGCTACGCCGGGAGCTGGTGATCAACGAGAAGCAACAAGGTTTCAGTGCGCGCTTTGACAGATTGACAGGGCTCAACTACCGTGACATGCTGTACATGCTTGGGAGTTGCCGGGATGCCAAGACTTTATATGGATCTCAACACGGCACGCGTTTCATGGAAGCAAGCCTGGCCTGGTTTACTTTTCTAGAAAACGATTGGGCTTCGACACATTCCGATGTCCAATATGCTAGATAGATAATTCTCCGATTGAGATCGTTCGTGAGGGGGTGGAACCAAGAAGAGTTTGTATAATTGCCGCGTTGTGCTGCTCACTCTCAATGCTGGTCCGGGGCCACCTTCACGGTTGTCGTATGTATCAAGGCTGGAGCCCCGAAGCTCAGACTTCTATCCGCAGTGGGGCTCGGCAGAAGATCATCCCACCGGAATGTGGGGGACGCTGATACTAGTGGTCTGTATAAGGCAGTGCGTTCGGGGAGATTGTCGCGGAAGCCAAACTTGGGTAACACATGCGTCCGATGAGGAAAGCTAAACAACATATCGGTTCGATTTGTAAGATGCGATGTGATATCGCTCGCATCAGAGATGCAGGTTATGTCGCCTGGTCCGTAAGGCATGATGTTCGATCAGGGTTGTGTCACCAATAGTGTTTCTCGGCCACGCTTCCTTGTGCAGAGCACCAACACGTTGCTTGATCGTTACTCTGGAACGCTGGCATGCAGGTATAAGACAAGGTGGCAAGTGACAATGATGTGTAATGTCTAAGAGGGTGCCAAGTTTGAGCGTGCGCTGCAGTGCGGAATTGTCCCGAGAATGCGCATAGACGCTAGCGGCTAGCTAGATTGGGCCGAATGGGGTGGCGTGTTGCTTTCGGGAGTTACGCTGACACTCAACTAGGAACAACTTCTACTTCATATGTGTGTTTCTTATCTATCATAGTTCAAAGAGATCTAAAGCGTACACAGTACCACCATGTCACGTTCTGACCTATCTGCATACATGTAGATTCATCACAAGGAGCTTCTCGACATGTTTGATTCTAAGCAATGCGTACGAATCAGTCGAGTACCGCAGCTGAATTCTACATAGTACATAACAATAGCGGGATGACAAATGGGACTTAGCCCAGATTTGAACACTCACCACCAACTTCCTCGTTCCCCAGCAAAAGCACAGTACGACAGAAGCTTCTACGCGATGACGCCATCGGACCACGCGTGTAAAATAGACGAGGCGGCTTTCATGATGTTGCATCAAATCAACATCACAGACGAAAAAGAACCAGGCAGTATTTAGAGCAATCTGAGCTCTCCATCTTCTTGCAAACAAACAGACAGTTACTCTTCAACCAGAGTCGCTCACAGCAAACCTGCTCAACCATGGTGACTGAGATCAGCGCGTCCTCAGACTTCCAGGCTCTTCTCAACGAGCACACCTACCTCATCGCCGACTTCTTCGCGACCTGGTGTCCGCCCTGCAAAGCCATCGCCCCCCTCTACGAGCAGCTCTCCAAAGCCCATTCGGTACCCAGCAAGGTTGCCTTCGTCAAAATCAACGTCGATGATCAGCCCAAACTTGCAGCGCAGTTCCAGATCTCGGCAATACCGACTTTCTTGATCTTTAAGGATGGTAAGCAGATCGAGGAGGTCAGGAGTGCGAATGCGCCGGCGCTGAAGAGAAACGTGGAGAAGATTGCGGTCGATGTGAAGAGTGAGGGGTCGCAGGAAAAAGCGGATGAGAAAATGGAGGAGGAGCAGCTTGACTTTGAGGACGACTCTTAGTGGAGTTATAGCATGATGGGTGGAATGGGTGGAAGGTGTCGTCGAGCTAGAATGGATGTGGCACTGCAAGTGCTCGATCAAGGACCTTGAGGAAATCGTTGATACCCACGGGAAGAATGAACATACGATGTCTTTCAAAGACAATGATTAATTCAAACCGTTCGAAGACATGAAGGGAATCTCTGCAATATGAATCTATTCGCTGCGACGCCTGCAAGTACGCCTTGTGCAACTGCTCTGGCACTGAACAAGCGCCGCACATACCTACCCAATCGCCACCAGCTTATGTGTAATTGTCTGTTGACTGGCCTGCCATCGTTCAGAGACGCATCGAATCCCATTCAAAGCGTGTTTGTCTCACATTTCGTATCGATTGCCGATTATCAATCCTACGCTTGCAGCAAGGTGTCCACGCCAAGACCTCCGCCACTTGCCCGCACGACCTGCCACAAAGCTCCAGCTCAAGCTCCCACTGCATAAATCCACACCCATCTGAGGCCCCAACCATTCTTGGAGCTTCGCAACACTGCACAATGCTTCTCAACCGCTTACTGCCCGCGGCCATCGCGCTGCTGCCGGCCCTCATCTCTGCGGAGAACGTCCTCGATCTTACACCTAAGAACTTCGACGATGTCGTGCTGAAGTCCGGCAAGCCCGCCCTCGTAGAGTTCTTCGCCCCGTGGTGCGGACACTGCAAGAACCTCGCTCCCGTATACGAAGAACTCGCCACAAATCTGCTCCACGCGAAGGACAAGGTCACTATTGCGAAGGTCGATGCGGATGCACACAAGGATCTTGGGAAGAGGTTCGGCGTACAGGGCTTCCCTACATTGAAGTGGTTCGATGGCAAAAGCGATACGCCTAAGGAGTATGACAGCGGACGGGATCTTGACAGTCTGGCGAAGTTCGTGCAGGAGAAGAGCGGTGTAAGGTCGAAGGTCAAGGCGAAGCTTCCTAGCCAGGTCGTTATTCTCGACGACAAGAGCTTTAAAGAGAAGGTTGGAAAGGATCAGGATGTGCTCATTGCTTTCACGGCACCGTGGTGCGGACGTAAGTTGGATGATCAAGCATACGGGGGCGGAGGATGCTAACAATGGACGCAGATTGCAAGAGCCTCAAGCCGGTCTGGGAACAGCTCGCCAACACCTTCGCCAACGAGCAGGGTGTCACCATTGCTCAGGTCGACGCCGAAGCCGAGAATAGCAAGGCCCTCGCCAAAGAGCAGGGCGTCTCGTCATACCCCACTATCAAATACTTCAAGAAGGGCACCACCGAGCCTCTCCCCTATGAGGGCGCCCGAGCCGAAACCGACTTTGTTGACTTCCTCAACACCAATGCTGGCACCCACCGTGCTGTTGGCGGTGGTCTCAACGCTCTTGGTGGCACCATCGAGGCCCTCGACGCCATCGTCACAAAGTCCAAGGGCGTCTATGCCGACGGCCTTGAAGAGGCCAAGAAGGCTGCGGAGGGTCTTAAGGACAAGTACGCGCAGTACTACGTCAAGGTCTTTGAGAAGAGCAGCAAGAACGAGGGTTACGCCGACAAGGAGTACAAGCGTCTGCAAGGTCTTATTGGAAAGGGTAATCTCGCCGCTGAGAAGCTTGACGACTTGATCAGCAGGAGCAACATCTTGAAGAGGTTCCTTCCTACTGGTGACGAGGACGAGAAGAGCGAGTTGTAGTTTAACACAAAAATGATGTGTCCCCACGTTTCGCTGACTCTGAAGAGAGATACATGGGACAACGGAGGAGACGTCACGGTCACTGGGGTGCAAAGCGCAAGCAACCGGCGTGGTTTGCCATACTCAACAATTGGAGTACACCCTGAGCTATAGCGGTTGCTCGGACTAGGCATGTTGATAGAATGCGGGTCTTGGTCCGGGACTCCAAAATGCCTTCTTACTTGATAGATTGCGAAGTGTTACGAAGGAATGTATAACGTATCGAATCATTCAATGCCCGTGTTACCGTTGATGCGTGCTCTAATTCGTGATCATGTTCCCCCATACCCAACCCTTTCCTCCGACGCCTAGACAATGTAAAGACAGCCGCAAGCCGTCGCTCGGCAGTAGCTCGAAAACAACCGCACGACGACCCGCATCGAGAATCACACTCGACTCGTACCCCTTGGTGCGCTACTTGCTCGGACCACTCGCCTTGCTCCCGTCCCCAGTCTGGATCGTAGCCTCAAGATTGTCCAGCCGTTGCGACATGTCCTCCACTACAACATGATTAGCCTTTCCCCCACGCCTCTAGATAATCAACTTACTCTTTGCAAGCAACTCGCTACTAACGTTGGAAAACTTGTGCTGAAGCTGGGTAAGGAGATCGTCGACGACCTGTTGAAGCTCGGCTGAGCTGTCCGTGCTGGAGTTTAGGGCCTGGTAGATTGTTATTAGTATGAGAGAGGTTGAGGGGTTTGAGGGTAGGCGCACTGAGGCATCGCTTGTGGTGCGGTCTGTTGATGGACGTGTTGACATGGTGGGTTTGGTGTGTGAAGGATAATTCTGCGAGTAACGATCTTTTGAAGTCTTCGGTCTATTCTGATTGTGTATGCAGCAGTCGGTCGGTCGATATGCAGCAACGGCAGGGCGTACAATCTCACGACAACGGAAGGTGAATGCTCGAGGTCCGCACCAGCCACGTGATACGCCCCGGCCCGCGCAGCTTCCTACGCTACACACCGCCTTCCGCTAGCGCTGGCAGAACTTTCTTTGCGCCAAGAGTTCGAGCTTGAATTTCCCACCACCACCGTCTAGCAACACTTTTTCCATACTTTACCGTCTCACATCTCCCAGCTCCGATATAATTCTACGATTGCGACATGGCGCGCAGCAAACTTAAATCAGCACTCGACAACGAGAAGGGCCGCAATATCAAGCTCGAGAAGCAGCGCAAGCAGGAAAAAGATGCGCGCAAGCGCAAGGAGCAAAACAAGCCGGCAGAGGACGATGACTCGGAAGCGGAGGGAGGTGTAGCTCTAGAGCAGGAAGTGAAGGTCTCCTCGAAGAGTGATGGAAAGGCGAAGAAGGGAAAGGCCAACGGTGTGAAGGCTGCGGCGCCGACAGAAGAGGCTGAATGGGAGACGGACAGCGAAGACGAGGAAGCCAGCGACGATGATGAGGAGGTTCCATTCGATCTCTCACGCCTTGAAGACAGCGAAAGCGACGTGAGTGGGGACGACGAAGAGGATGAGGAGGTGGCGGAGACATTGGGTGCGGGAGATGACGATGAGGATGAGGACGAAGAGGCGGAAGACGACGAAGATGGTATTGCGCTCTCGGATATCGAATCGCTCGCCGATGAAGACAAAGCCGATATCATACCGCATCAGCGCCTCACCATCAACAACACCGCTGCCCTCACCGCAGCTCTGAACCGCATCAAGCTGCCCTACTCGAAGCTCGCCTTCTCGGAATACATGTCGCTGACGACTGATGAGGATGTCGAGATTGAAGACGTGGACGACGATCTCAACCGCGAATTGGCATTCTACAAGCAATCCCTGTCCGCAGTTAAGGACGCACGCAATCTGCTAAAGAAGGAGGGCGCGCCGTTCTCGCGACCAGCAGACTACTTCGCCGAGATGGTGAAGGACGACGAGCACATGGGCAAGATCAAGCAGAAGCTGATGGACGAAGCCGCCGGCAAGAAGGCATCGGCCGAAGCCAGGAAACAGCGCGATCTGAAGAAGTTTGGAAAGCAGGTGCAGGTTGCGAAGTTGCAGGAGAGGGCAAAGGAGAAGCGCGACACCATGGACAAGATCAACCAGCTCAAGCGAAGTACGTATACCGTAGGCTTATCGAAAAGTGATGTGTTAATAGTACTGCAGAACGATCTGGTGCCGAAGTTACCAACACCAATGAAGAAGACCTCTTCGACGTCGAGCTTGACAAGTCTGATAAGCCCGACCGTCGCGACCGCGAAGGAGGCGGCAACTTCAAGCGCCAGAAGAAGAACGAGAAGTTCGGTTTCGGCGGTAAGAAGCGGCACGCAAAGAGCAACGACGCACAGTCGAGCGCAGACGGCCGGGGCTTCTCACATAAGAAGATGAAGGGCAAGGCGGGCGGTGCAGCGAAGAGGCCGGGTAAGGGTCGAAGGATGAAGAGCAGGTAGAGAGGAGAGGATCCACGCAGTTATTATAGCATGTATCGGCGCTTGGGCGTTTATGTAGGATGATGAAGGGCAAAAGTGAGGTACGTTGTGCCGATTCATCAGCATAGTGGGAAGGATACCATTCAGCAACATCTGTCATCACCATTTCAAAAGATTTCCAGATCAGTCCCTTTGTCAATATGGCCAGATATTAACAAGCGTGCCTCCCCAGCTAGCTATTGTCCAAGTACACGCATGCTCAACGATCATTGAACAACGTGCTACTGGCGTAGGTACCCAAGTGCAATCACGCTTCAGTATCGATGAGAACATTTAGCAATTATCCATTATATCTTCTGCATCCTTAACGGTGTCCGGGCTCCATCACTAATACAGTGCTGACGTAGTCCAAAGATAATCTGTACGCACCCGAGGCAGGATTGATGTGCGTAGAGCTACACTCCACAAATGTCACATTTAGTCCTACTCTTTCGAGTTGTAGTCCTCAACTGATACGTCGAAGCCCGCGCTCAACGTCACGCTCAGGTATGCTTGAGCCTCCACGACGACTTGAGACCCCTGTCGGCGTTCTTCTCGTCCTCATCGAAACGCGTCAACGCGCCTTGAAGACCATCAGTCTCGAAGAATACCCGGACTTCCCACTTCGCACGAGGGCTGATGGCCTTTAATAGTAGGTTAGCTTGTAATTCATCTCATCTTGCAGAATAGACTTACCATGCTAAGGCCTCCGCCAGCGCTCATAGCGGGGAACGAAGACGTTGGCTTAGGAGGGTCATCTTCGTTAGCAAGCAAGTCACGCATGGTCTGCTCAGCAGCATCGCGCGCTTCCTTGCGGTCGGTGTACGTGCCGACGATCTTGCTGGTCGAAGACTAGTTGGACTTGATAAAAATTCCGAGGTAGAAGTAGGGACGGGTTCAACTTACCCATCCTTTCGCGCCCTCAGCTTCCAACTTGCCAGTGAAGGAACATACGTCGTGTAGTATGGGCCCGGCTGAAGTGACGGTGAAGACAGATTTTGGGAGCATAGAGCGGACATCCTGGTTGACTTCGGTGACCACCTCGAACACGGTGAATTCCCCTTGCTCCTCGTCTTCTACCACTACGAGCTTGGTGAACCCGTGTTTGCCAGCCTTCTCGAGCTTCTTGTCTGCGGATGGCGAATGTGCGCGTACGGTCGACAAGATGTTGGAGAATTGAGGAAAGGGACCATGCCACTCGAAGGCATCAGTGTGCGGGGTCGAGATTGTCAGGTAAAAGATGGTGCCAGCAGAAGCGGCAGGAATGGTCAAGTCATTATCCGGGATGTTGATCTTGGGCTTGGGGTCATCGAAGTTGATCTCATTGGCGAAGAGGTCATCGTCCATGTTCGGCGGCTGAATATGTTTGTGGAATCGGTGGGTATTGGTATGTAGAAAAAAGAATATCGTGAACGTTTAGTGCTGTAAGGCTCTGTCTGTCATTCAATGGCGGGAGTGCGGCTCCTTTATATAGATACCCATAAAAGAGATTCGCCGTGAAGGCTGGTCAGTGTAAGATGCGAAAGCCGAGGTGAATGGGAAAGAAGCTTGTACACCACGTCATAACATCATTGCCCCCGGGCGTATAAAACAATAATGTTTCGTCGATTAGATTAGATTAGAGAGGTTAACACGGCAGGTACTTATATAATTGGATAAGTGTTTGCCGTTTGCCAGTCGGTGCTACATGCAAAGGGCATGACATAACTTCACACGATCATGTATGCGCTTGAAAGACCACGGTCCCTCTTTGCCTCACACATGTAGCGATAGAGCCTTGTCGTGGGCTGCAAGATGTCGTAATGGGTCAGCAAGGCTGAAGGGCCGATGCTGCAATTTACCCCGAAAACGACAGCACTAACAAGCCAAACTGCTAGAAGCTCCACTCTCCAAAGTGCAAATCACTCTCGCAGAAGATGACAACTTAGAGCCAAAATCAACAGCAAGTGTAAGCCCGTGCACAAGACCGTTCAAGACAAGCTTGATTTGAAGGGAGCCTACGCCACAGACGGACGACATCTGGAATGAGCCTACCAAAGATGGCGCTCATTTTCTTGCTATCGTAAACACCATCAGAACCCTTCATCCGAAGATTCGTAATTCCTGGTTTCCTCAATATCAAGCGCACAGAGCGCTATACGCGTGGTGAATATGCCGTAAGTACCGACGTACAGTGACAGGATTGATAGAATAGGTTGGAAGTCTGTATCCGAACAGCAGCAGGCGTAATCGAGCCTGCTGATGTAGATGAATTCGAGTGTAGAGATAGACGGCACGCAGATCTTCAAGCAGTAGTCAAAGACCTATTCATCGGGAATAGCGCAAGTCGCGAACTATGCTAGGACCAACTACTTTGCTCAGATCGCTCCATCTCCCACTCCATCATACCCTCTTCAGCCTTCCTCAATATAAATACATCGTTATGCTTGTCCCCATACTAAGTGCTAAGCCAATGTTATTTGTCCCCCGAACATAGCGTCAGACTCGCGCAGTACGGCATGGAGTGAGAAACGCCATCCGATCCGCCTTGTGTAACGAGTGCTCAGGTACAACATGAGCTCAGTGGAACGGATTACTCGTGGACGTTTCCCCTTGGTGATCATGCGCGTCGGCCACGCTCGAACCTGGTGATGTTCGGTTGCAGGCTCAGAGTGCCCAAGTAGTATCCGTCTGGTGTACAGAGGGGCAAGATATCTTGCAGATGTTTCAGCATGTTTCAAAGCTATCTCTGATATTAACCGATAAACGTACTTGGTTGGCGTTGCTCTCGGTGATGTTGATGAATCCGGTACAGCGCCCATGCCGTTGGTGGGATTGCAATGAAAAGGGCGATAAGGCCGATAATGCTTTCTGGATTCAGGGACATGCTAGCAGCAAGAAGATTAGACGTGCAATTGATAAGCGGTAAGGCACTTAGAAGATCTGTCGGATAGGCGAATGTACTAAGGAAGGTGATGACAGTAACGAAAGCGATTGTGTATTCGTCCTGATCCCGAGACTTTGTATTTAAAAGACAGCAGGAGTTCAAATGATGGAAGACACACAATATCAGCTGTCGCGCATCGGGCATACTACCGGGCAGCAGAATATGCATGGTGAAACAGCTATGGCTGAGGAAGAAAAGAGAACGAGGCAACCTCACAGCTCGGATCCTTTATTCTTCCTTGGCCTCAGAATTGGGTTGAAGCCAGGGTTCAGACTGAACCGACCTATCACGTAAATCAGGAATTTCTGCTTCGAGCCTAGCTCATGGCAGAGCTCATAGCAGGCTGACCGGCTCTAGACGTAGGACCTAACATATTCAGAGTAGTACAAAGGAGGCGCGGGGTCAGCTGGAGCCAAGATTCTACAGACTGTCGCTCACTAAGTTCCTTCCCCACATTATCATAGCTCTGGGTACAAATTTTAGCTTACATATATATTACAGGAGGCTGAACACTAGCCTACTTATCTTTTTAACAGCTTGATGCCCTGTTTTGACGTCTATTAGGTCGTGAGGGAGGAAACCACGCAGCCAGCACCACTCCGCCGTACTGAAGTCGTATTCAGCGACCTTAACGATATTGATGTACCTGTCGCGCATGCGGCATTGTATGCTTTCTCAGATGAAGAGGCAATCAAGGATATCTGCGGTCTTGACGCGGGAGCATACGATGGTCTTAAATTCGTGGACTGCAGTGCGTTCCTTGGTCGCTGGGCACCGACCATCTGGCCCTCATTGAAGGATACATGTGACCTATACATCATGCTTTGAACCACGTTCGCTTTCCTAAAAGTCGAAAAAGAGTCACAAGATGAGATTGCTGAGCAGTCCGAGGAAGCTAAATACACTTTCGGTGCATGGAACCACGACGTTGTTGTCTACAGTTCAGTGCTCCATCCTGCATGGCGGAGGAATCGGCCATCTATGCTGACGTTGTTGGAGCCGAAGAACTCTTCCACCATTATGATTCTGGTGCGTGTGGAGGTAGAGGGTTATGTTGCAAGTACTTCCTTCGACGTCAGTGTGTGTCATGGCGGCCTTGGGATAATTGGGTCAAAGCAAGGAGACAGGTCATGTGACACGGCCTGAGGATTGTTTGAGCATATCGGACGGAAGATGCGCGCATTTCAGCGACATGAAGGTTCACGCGATAAAGTACAGCTATGCTAGATACGACAGACGAATCTATAACCAGTACTAGTCTCTTTGCATACCTCTGTACTTGCCAGCGACACAATGCTCAACCGTGCATTCGTCCTCGAACAATGCCTAGTCTCGCTGGGGACAGCATAGCATTGTAGTGGCTCCCGACCAAACTTGTATACCATCCATTTGACTGCAGATATAGGGTTGCTAGGGCTGATAGATGTACGCTGGAAGGTCATGCGCGTCGACCACGATCGAATCTAGCGGCGTCATGCTCGAGACTTAGGGTACCTAGGTAGTATCCATCGGGAGTGCAAATAGGCAAGATGCCTGGTAGCGACGTCAGCATTGCTCAAGTCCTTCGCAAGGTCAACATACTTCGTGGACGGCATTCGCGGCGACGTTGATGAAGTTGGTACAGCGCCCATACCGTCGGTGGGAGTCCGACAACAAGAGCTACGACTCCGACAATAACTGCGGGAGGGAGCGACATCTTGGCGAGACGAATTAGGACGTAATGATTGGAGCTTGAGAAGGGTATTCGGGTGTCGGTTGATGTGTACAGCGGCGCGTAGAGACAGTGAGGAATGTCGTGGATGTGCTGAAGATAAATGTGGTTTGAATATGCTCAAGACCTCACTTTTAAGCATTCGTAGAAGTATTGACTTGTGGAAGTACCTCAGCGACAACTGCCTCACTCTGTGACACCACCGAATTCATGTTTCGGCAGAGGCGAATGGGATTAAAAGGCCATGGTATGACATCCTCATGTGGACGCAGATTCTAGCATTGGCCTATCAAGTACATGTCGCAATGGCAGACGTCAAATCGAATATATGGCAGTATAACCTATGTCGACGCACGCTCTAGCGACATATTCGAATGTAGATACGGACTTTGGCATCAATCAATCATGTAAACCCTACACATGCAGACTTCAGATCAGGCCAATGGCAGCGTGACTGGTTCTGATGCAGGTTCTGGCATCGACCAATCACGTACGTTGTAATGTGCATCACCGGCATGGGGCTCAACCTCCCAACGCGGCAATACACGTGTTCCGTGAAACACCGATTTTGGCCATAACCAATCACCGTTTAGAGGCTCAGCTTGGCCTTACCACAGAGATGCATGAGCCAGCCGACCTCCCTCGCCCGCTTCGTTCGCTTTTGCTACTCTCTGATTTTACTCATACGTGCATCGATAGACCCAACAAACTTTATTACGCAAGCGTTGCGACAGAGAGCCTTCTTGTACTCAGCCTTTTCTAAAACGAATCGAGACGGGAGCATGGGGAAGCGTAAGGCTGAAGATGACGAATGGGAGCTGTTCAAGGATGAGATCCTTGAGCTTTACGCTCAACACCCGCTCCTAAAGGTGATGCGTATCATGGACACCAAAGGATTTAAGAGAACGTAATTACTCCAAGACCTGTTTGTGACGGCTATAACTCGATTCTGACACGCACATAGTAAGGCTCAATACGAACGGCGCTTAAATGGTTGGCAGAGCGGCGCCCGGAAGAACGTAACCAAGGCTGAGTGGAAATTTATCGTGCAGCAGTTGCAACACCGCAAGTCCGAGGGTAAAGCATCGGTGGTGGTAGTGCGCGGCTTCCAGGTACCACAGACACGGCTTGCCAAGCAAGGCAAGATGCACGCTTACCAAACTGCGCTAGAACGTTTCGCACCTGGTAAGTGGTCGTATCGCAACCTTACGTGCACATCGGCCAACAAGTGAATAGATCTTCAGGTCAAGGCTATGGCCGAGGTCGAAGTTCACACACCTCGTGAACGGTCACCTGCTCCCGAATTGACTCGACGGAGAGTTTTGAACCTCTTCCGCTGCATGCAACAGCTTCCATGGTGGCATGTTGCTGACAGAATTGATGACATGCTTCACATTTACCGTGGAACCCACCCGACAGTGCCACCGGTCAGCTCGCCGCGTTCAGCACCACGCAACGCGAAAAGGACCAAAATTCTCTTCAGTCTCTTCTCACAAACCCGGATCACTGTCGGGGACAACTTCTCTAATCCTTCCAATGACGTGAGCAGAGAGAATTCGGCTACCGCATTGGCAAAATTGAAAGAGCACCTACAGTTATTACGGATAGGGCGCGGACCTACCGCCAACGAAACCAAGTCAGATGTTACTATCAAGACAACTCAGTTGGAAATGTTCAAACTCGTTATAGGATTGGTTTCCAATAACTGCAATGTTGGGGATCTTACGTGGATGATCATGGGTTTCCTTGACAACCCACAAAATCTTGAATTTCTCAAGCGTGTACTCGCCCTGAACTTGGCTTCTACCAATGCTGTTGCTGAGAAACTACTAAGCTGGTCGATTCGAAGCCGAAGCGGTGGGAACCCAGCTCTAGTAAAAGTTCTTCTGGACGCTGGCGCTGACGCCAATTACGTCGATTCTTTTGGATCATCTTTGCTGAATTATGCATCAGTTGTTTCACACCGCGACACAAATTACGCAGTCTGCAAGATGCTCCTTGATGCCGGAGCAGATGTAAATCATCGGAATGCGCTTGGTGGATCCTCCCTTTTGACAGCATGTGTCACAAGAAACTATGCTCTAGTCGAGCTACTTCTGAGATACGTGCCTGATAACAGCTATATGGATCTGATATTGTCCCATTATTTTAGGGACAAAGCAATCTGGAGACTGCTTCTGGACGCGGGAGCGGATATCAACTTCCAAGATCAGCATGGTCGATCTCCACTATGGCATGCGTGTCAAGCCGGGAATGGTGCTCTGGTCATATTGTTTCTTGACCACGGAGCTGACGTTGATCTCCACCATGAAGCTCAGGGAACCCCTCTATACCATGCAACATCCCGGTGTAGCGGCGCAGTTATCTCGAAACTGTTGGATCACGGAGCTCATTTCGGAACGAAAGTACCATCATTCGTAACATTGATTGAAGACCACGGGTACGACATAGCAGAACGACTGATTCAATCTGCCCTAATGTCGCCAGGGTACTCGCCAAATGTTGCGACCAGTGCCTTCGTTAACGCAGCTTGGAAGGGCAAATTGGAGACTTTGACATATCTCGCCACTTTACTGCCGGAACCATTGAAGGAGTTGAGACTGAATTCATGGCTACTATTTGAGGCAGCCGCCTTTGGGACGGACGCCCGCCAAATACATCATGCAAATGACGTCTCGGATGCAGGATCAAGCGAAAGCGCCGGTGAAGACCCAGATACTGACGACCACGAGGTTCCAGATACTAGCGACTCGGAAAACTCAGATGTCAGCGATGTGGAAGATTCCAACGACGGCGACATCGGAGATACATATGCCACTGACATTGGCAATACGATCGACAATGACGTCGAGGGCTCAATAGTCAGTGATGTCCGAGATTCAGACACTAGCGACGCGCAAGACTCGAATTTCATCGACGTCGAAATTCCGGACGCCAGCGAAAATGAATTATTAGAATCCAACGCGATCGCCATCATGGATTATCTTCGTCTCAACAGCTTCGACATCGGTAGTGTGGATGATTCTGGAAGAGGCAGTCCACTTTTCTACGCGGCCTTGTGCGGACGTATCAAATTGTCACAATATCTGCTTGAAAATGGAGCTAAGTTAGAGAGTTTCGCGAACGGAGACTGGGTACAACTGGTGATTGAGGCTGATCCTAAAGCACAAGTGGATATCTCGTTACGTTTCCGTAGCTCGGTGAGTTCCCGAATCCCGCGAATGAACAATGACCTTGCATTCTGGGACGATGAAGGGGGGCTGGCAAGCTTGGCATACAATCATGCTGCGGAACTAGCACCCATACATGCCGCGGCTATGTGTTCCAACGAGACCAAAGTAGAAGTGACTCAGCTTATGCTACGTCATGGCGCAAATCCGAACCGATCTGGTGCTGTCTTGCCTATACAGATAGCTTCTTTTGCGAGTGGGGAAGATGCCCGGCTTATTACAACACTTCTCAAAAGCGGAGCGGAGCCGAACCTCGCAGCCACAAGAAAGGTCGATATCTGGTGGTCGAATACTGTTTCAGACATAGACTGGAACCTACGCATCGCCGTTCCGAATGCACTGCATATGGCTTTGATAAATGCAGGGGTAGAGGTCTTCGACACCTTGCATAGAGCGGGTGCCCAACTTCCTCATTCATCATACGCCATGGAATACTGCACTTGTGAGGCCAATTCCTTGGTAGTAACTTCATCGGTGGGCGAATCTGAGCGTGCTTTCCATCGCAAACGCAGTGCTTTCACGCGCTACAATTCCCACCAAGGGGTTTTGGACGGCGATTCTGACTCGAGCTGGCTTGACCGAGATCAGATGTTCGATTTTAGCCAAGATCCATCTGGGACTAGAGCTATCAGTTCGGATACAGTAAATCACGATCCGGGCAACGAACAGTGTCCCTACAGTGATGAGACGTGGTGGAATCCTCTATATCAGATACTATACGAAGGAGGCGAAGACCATTTCTCCATGGTGCTTGCAATACTGTCACCGGATCAAAAAGCGCGGTGGATGACAAGCAAATGCTTTCAGTATGCTCTGACATTATTCGAATGGGAATTCGTTACTCGACACATCAATAGTAACAATTTCCCTACATGCGTCATTCATCACGAAGCCTTCCTGATGAAGGCCATTGGAAAGGCTGACGAGCGTTTGGTGGACCTTTTGATCAAGAGTGGGAACCTGCCACATGCTACCCTGCAACGCGGATTTCTTCGCGCGGCGGAACTTGGTCACACCAAGCTAGTAGAGTCCTTCCTCGCGTCCGGATGCTGTCCTGACAGCAAGGTTGAGCTACTCATCGGGAAGGTGTTCTCAGCTAATGAAGGTATACCATTCTACCGCAGTCCCCTGGGTCATGCATTGAGCATGGAAGACTGCATGATGACAAACATCTTCCGCAATCACTATAGGAACATAACATTTGGACTACGCACATCTGACTGCTCACACCACTTTTCACGCGCTTACGGAGAAGCGATCCGATATGGCGATACGGAGACTGCTGAATTGCTGACAAGTGAGGACAATATTAGCGAAATCGAGTACGTCGGCCCTGTTCCTGCTTTAGGAAACACTAAACTGTTCGAATTCCATTCGTCGATTCAGCTTGCGGTTGCGTTCAAACAGTACGATGCAGTAAACTGGCTCCTTGCCCGAGACGCGGATCCAAATATCCCCAGAGAACCTCAGTATAGCCCACGGGCATTCCACTCGCCTTTGCAATGTGCTGTCAAAGACGGTAACGTCAGCCTAGTCAGGCTGCTGATAGCGAAGGGCGCTCATACCAATGACACGCCAGTTGAAATACGAGGTGCTACAGCTCTCCAATTTGCTGCTATCCTAGGCAACTTTGAACTACTAAACATACTGATCAGGGCCGGTGCAGCAATTGATGCACCACCATGTTCCTGGGAAGGACGTTCTGCACTTGAGGGAGCCGCAGAATATGGTCGGTTAGAGACGGTTCACTTCCTGTTGGAAGCTGGGGCAGAGGTTCAAGGCCGAATGAACATGAACTACAGGAAGACCGTCTATCGAGCCTGGGTGCATGGTCATCGGGTATTGGCCAAGGCGGTTCAACAGTGGAAGCAAGAGAGGTATGGGTTGGAAGATTGCGAGTCGATCGATGCTATCGTCGAGTCGATGGATCTAGAGACTTTGGAGCGACATGGGGAGCCGAAACTGGCAAGGCCCAAATATTTCCAGTCTTGCTTGACTTGCAAGTACGGACTTAGGGAATTCCACAACAGGTACGTCCAATCCATAGACCACGCTTTGGTTATACTGCATCAACATCTGCTTTGGTTCAATCGTTGATATAATTAGCCGCACTGACCGCCAGGTTAAACGTTACTACACAACGATTTCGGAGCTGCATACATACCCGCAAATCTCATGGCATGTGCCAGCTGCAGGCAACAACGGAGTTGATAGGGGATATTGATTCTCTCTTTCGGTTCGTCATCGATTTCGCTATACATGTATATCAGTCAAGACAGAAAACAGAATCTTGCCAAGTATGTATCATTCAATTGAGATAGCCTCGGATCACGTCTGTGCCTTGCGTTCACCGCTACGAAGCAGTCTAAATGTCCATCAAATCTCAAGCCTTCCACTGTTAGATACGCTGGAAAATCTCTGCAATCGGTGTTATTACTATCGTTTCCACAAGTATTGCGGCCTCCGGCCCACAGAAGAACATGTAGAAAAGCAGCGTTCGTAGAAAGATGAAAGCTATTAGCCTGTATGTGATTGATTAATTGAAAGCTAATGGGTTCCTTCCACCACGATTCCTTTTAAGTCCAGTAACCAAGTCATCTTACTCTAACAAGAAGTTATCATTGCTTCTTCACGTATCTTTCTATGAGATAGCAGCCGCATGCCTGTAGAAAGCACCAATATCAGTGCAGAAGCATGATCAGTTTGTATGCGAGCAAGAGTGTAGCATATAAGGGTGGAAGTGAGGTGGGCGATGCAGAGATTGATTGCGCTCTCAGTACTATATGCAGCTACTTCGCGTACTACAGTTCTATGCTAATTGTTACTACTTGACAACACCAAAAATTTAGACCTATTCCCACAAACGTTGCCTAACAGCACATATGGGGTCTGAAAGAGAACCGACATCAGTCTCTCCCAGAAGAAACTGTACACAGCGCTTGGGGAAGGAACATAAAGTGGGAAACCGGGGTTATGTTATGTTTAGTGAATTTTGCCTTACAGCACTTGATAAAATCGCCCAAAGGCAACAGCATATATGTGAGTGGATTTCCATCATCAGTAGTAATACGAGCCTATTTACTAACATTCAGGAGCTTACTACCTCGTTTCCAAATCATACAGAGGCCTACTTTTCCATTTTTCTTTTCCTTGGATTAGGAAAGTCTACAAATTCATCTGAGAACGATAATAAGCGCTCAAGAATAATTCGAGTCTCGATAATACAGCCTTGCGGACTCACGTGTGGTGCCGGTCCGGGGGCTCGGGTGAGTCAGCTCAAGCTTTGGACCAAGAGCCCAAGGCAGCCAATCCGGGGAGCCACCCGGGGGCTGGACTGGCGTGATGGGCAGAAACTTTACTGGTGGTCCAGACGCCTCGAAACAACCGGCAACCTGTTTTGTCGCACTCTGCGTCTGGCTTCGATGGCCTCATCGTCGTGCACTGGCGTGACTTGGATGAAAGCCTTTTGTTCGGGGGTAATTTGTGGAGGAATGGCAGTGATGGCTCGGCGACCGCAGACTGAGCGCGATGGCCTACCTCAGGGTAGCATCATCATTGCGTTTGTCAAGTGCCGGCGAACGGATGGGACAATGCATCAAGTCCAGTTTCGGATGGGGACAGCGCGCGCCACAGCTGGAGCTGGAGCCGTCGGTCTCGGACCCATGCCTCATGCGCAGGCGCTGTGTCGGGTATCGCCAGGGCATCTGTCCAGCTCTCGCGGTGCCGCTTCCGACGCTGACTGCGCACAGCCAACGTCTCTCCTCCTCTGGACTGGGCAGACAACGGCAGGCCTCGTGGTCGACGCTGTCAGGGTCCTCGCGACCTGCGACATGGTTGCTGGCGGTGGTTCAGGCCTGCGGAGCGAGTGGCCAATCCAACGGGAGAGTCGCGATGCTAGCCTGCATCGAGCCCCCGGATCAGCACGATCCAGCCAGCCGACGCAGATGGTGTTCCAAGCGCGCCCCTCACCGCAGGCCCCCCCAAGAGACGCCAAGTTCACTCAAGCCTTCCCGCCTGTGTCTTGCCGTCTCAGTGAACACCATACCTCGACCCTATCGCCGCCCTCCATACCCCACGCGCGCGCCATGACGCCAGTCTGACATGCTATGGGAGCACTCGACGCTTGCACAACTGCTGCTGGACCAGTATAGTCGCCGAGGATGCACGACCTCGGGGCGTGGTGGAAAAGGGCGCAGCCGACCAACAACGAAGCCTTTCGCGTACGTATCGCGACCGCACCCGCCTGACTGCATGCTAACGGCCCGCGACAGCACTGTGCGCCCTTCAAGCTGCCCTCGCTGGGCACCATCCAGATCTCGCCCGACCACACCATCACACTCGAAGCCGACGCCGTCTTCACGCCGCAATGCCCCCCGACCGAGCAGTCCCAGGTGAACGAAGGGAGTGGGACTGGGAATGACAGCGACGTGATGAGCGTTACCGACCTGCGCGACCCTTTCCATGCCTCCATCACGCCCCAAGCCTACGCGACAGGCGCCGCGACCGTCCTCGCCTGGATGCTCGTCATCATGTTGATCATCACGCCGCGAACCTTTTTCGTCGGCGGCGCGTCGGGTCGCTCAGGGCTGATGGGACGACGCGGTATGATCAGTGGAGCGGGAGGAGGAGGGTCAGTCATAGGAGTAGGAACGCGTCCCTGGCTGCAGAAGGTCGCTGCTCTGACCGTCGCCGTCTCATTAACCCTCGCCACGGCCGACACGTTCGAGATCGCGGAGCGACAGTACAACGAAGGCTTCATGGACGCGATGAAGTTGCGGAATGAGGTCGTGGCCGGCACAGAGATCAAGGTGTCGCGTATCATCTCCGACATCTTCCTCTGGCTTGCCCAGGTCCAGACCCTCATACGCCTGTTTCCGCGCCACAAAGAGAAAGTCATGATCAAATGGATCGGATTTGCTTTGATCCTGCTGGATATCGTCTTCAACTCTATTAACAGCTTCGGTCCGTACAACAAGGGTCACAGCCCACGACACTTCGAAACCGCCATACCTGCATTGAGCTACCTCTTCCAACTTTCCCTTAGCATGCTTTATGCTGCTTGGGTCATATACTACGCCATTACCAAACGACGATACGCTTTCTACCACCCGATGATGTGGAATATGTCGCTCGTCGCTCTACTATCTATTGTCGCCATTCTTACACCTGTCGTCTTTTTCATTACCGACATTTCTAACTACACCATTGCTGGATGGGGAGACTATTTCAGATGGGTGGGTGCTGCTGCCGCCAGTGTTATTGTTTGGGAGTGGGTAGAACGCATTGAAGCATTGGAAAGAGAAGAGAGAAAAGATGGAATCCTAGGAAGAGAGATCTACGACGGGGACGAAATGCTGAATACCACGCCATCGCACGAAATGAACTGGCACGGATCCAAGCGTCAGAGCTCTGCATCTGATGACTCGAAAAAGTCAGGTGACGGCGGGAACGGTGCGGCTTTTACGTCTGGCCACCGTGACCGTCTGACCAACCTCGCTCATCGGCTGAACCGCGTCAGGAAACCATCACCAAAACCAGAACATAACAAGAAGCGGACCATTCACATACCCGCACCACCACCTGCTGCTAGGCGATCAGGTGGAGGCCAACGTAGCAAGCGGAACACTTACGTCCCGTTGCAGAGCCCAACAGCTCCGCCGCCAAACATCGCGTCACCCGTAAGCAGAACCGATACTGCAAGTGCGGACAGTACGGTGTATACGGTGCGGTATCATCCCATCAGTGATACACCACCTGCGCCACGCCTTGAAACCGCAATTGAGGAAGGCGGCACTGCGGGTGCTGCGCAAACCGCACCGCAGCATAGCTCTCAAACATCAGTCGAAGACCTAGAAAAGGGTGTACTGACCGAAGACGCGGGTGACGCCCGCGGTCGGAGTCAATGGAACTGGCAAACTATTGCTAGCATGAACCCTTTCCGAAGAAGAGGTCGATCACCACCGCCGGAGATTCAAAGGGGCCGCGTCATTGAACCTCTAGTCGTCGAAGACGTTCCTTTAAATATTCCCCAGAGGAACTATACTGGACTGGCGTTGAAGGATCGGTTAGGAACATTTGCCGCCCAGCAGGGCGAACGGTTCCGAAGCAGGAAAGGCTCTGCTCCACAAGACAACGCAAGCCTACCAGTGACCATCATCCCTGCCCAGCCGCGTGGACGAACGTGGTCACCAGAGATATTGCTGCAGCAGTTGCAAGCCTCGGAAGGAAGTGGCGTTCAGAATTCGACTGAAGCTTCGCATACCACACCATCAGCAACACATATCACTAGCACCCCATCACCACTTCCAACTGGTACCGACGGTCCTGGCAGCCCAGGACGCGCATCCACCATACGATTTACACCGGAAACATTCTTACCATTTACCGCTCGGCCACAGGCGCAAAGGGAACGCACCCAATCCTCATCGCCGTCTGTCGCTCTGGGCACCGAGGTCTCCGAAAACAGTGGAGAGACGACTCTGTCACAAGAGCAGGAGCAACGATCGCAGAGTAACCACACGCCCACCCCCTCACAACCGACAAACCACGACAGATGACGATGAGTTCCTACCGTTTCCCTTTCTCAATTTATTACTTATTCATTCGACGGGCTCGATACGGTGCATCGGAGTAGCAACGGAGCTTTTGAAGTACAGGTGCTTTGGCACTGTTTATCTGCATGGCATGGCGAATGAAGCATCTTGGGAAGGAATCTGTTTCGATAGGGTTGCACTGCAATCATGGATACCCGCTGATTTATGACGTTCAGCTACGTTTGGGATGATTTGAGGTTGTTTTGGGCTGGACAAAAAGGCGCATGCAGGACCATGTATCTATGAAGGGAGCGGTACACGCTTTTATGTGCGGCTTAGCTAGATTCCCATTGTTGAACGAAGAGATCTAAACTTTATTCACGGTTCTTGTGCAAGCGTGTTCACCTGGTATGTTATAATCAGACTCTGTCCCACATATATTGGTCGCTTGTCAACTCGAACGGTACTGCTCCGTTTGCCGCGGTATGATCTGCACCCAAGGGTGCAAAGCGGGATAGCCAAGGCAGGGCGGCAGGGCCCACATAAACTCGAAGCTTGGGCCAACCAAGCTCGCGCCGCGAGGTGACGCCTCGTCGTGTTATCGACATCTCAACGCCTCTTCCGGAGCTGCAAGACATACCCGCATAGCTTGTATGCGTGGGAAGAGTAGAACAGACATTGGTAATTATTGAATTTCAGTAGACATGTCTCTCTTCGGCGACGACGACGACCTGCCCTCGCGACCAAAGGCGCAGCAATCGTCGTCATCGCTCTTTGACGACGATCCGAAACCCGCAGGCAACAGCTTGTTCGCAGACGACTTTCAAGGCGACGACTCGCCGTGGGGCTTCAATCCCACGCCAAAGAAACAGAAAGGCTCTCTGCTGAAGTCGCTGCTGCCCGCCTCGGACGTGCCCGACTCGTACATCGATGCGTTCGACAGGGTGCTTGAGTCTGGCGAGCGCGAGGGCAGTGGCATCAGTGTAGCGGAGATCAAGAAACTTCTGGGAAGCAGTGGGTTGCCGAGCGATAAGGACGCCAAGATCCTGGGGATTGTGTCGCAGCCAGAGCAGGAAAGCACGGGCGTGGGAAGGAACGAGTTCAACGTGCTGTATGCGCTCATTGGGCTCGCGCAGGAGGGTTATGACGCATCGGAGCTGTCGCTGGACAGCGTGGATGAGAGGAAGAGGAGTAAGTTGCTGCCTCTTTCCATCTGAAGATTGTACTGACGGCATGTGTTTGTCAGACCTCCCGGTGCCCTCTGTCTCGCTCCCGCAGCCGCCGCAACCAGAACCGAAAGCGAGCGAACCTCCAGCCCCAGCTCAAACACAACGACCGCCTACCCCGCCCCAACAGCAATCTGCGCCACAGCCGGAAACGACACCCAACCGGTCGCGTGCCCCAATGCGCAAGCAGTCCTTTAGCGATCCTGAAGCGGATCCTTGGGGGTCGCCTGACCTGCACAGAGGACACAACCATTCGAGCTATACTGCAGTGCCTACACAGACCAACGGCATGAACGTGCCGGCTGTGACGCGAACGACAAGCCAGTTCACCACCAATACGGCGTCTTCGACCACGACTCCGATCGTCGAGCCGACACCACAGCGTCCAAGCTCGTACGGCAGCGAAGGCGGCTGGGGAGGCTTCAATCCAAACGCAGACCAGAACTTCTCCAACCCATCTCTTGGGGCTGAAGCTGGGGTCTTCGGGCAGCCTTCAAGTGGAGAGGGCGGAGCCAATGCGCCAGCCAACCTTGGAAGATCCCTCGGCGGAGGGCGCATTGCAGGCAGCGGGCCCGAGGAAGTCATAACCGTCACCACGCTCGCCGAGAAAGAGGGTGTCTTCATGTTCCAGCATCGCAACTACGAAGTCACCAGTGCGCGTCGGAACAGCAAGGTTGTTCGCCGATACAGCGACTTTGTTTGGTTATTGGACTGTCTGCATAAGCGGTATCCGTTCCGGCAGCTGCCGTTACTACCTCCGAAGAGAGTTGCGAGTGAGTATCCGTCCCGTGAAGTTTTGTGTGACGTTAATTGAGGATTTACAGTCAATGGCAATTATATAGCTACGGACTCGAGCTTCATTGAGAAGAGGAGAAGAGGTTTAGCGAGATTCACGAATGCGCTCGTTCGGCATCCTGTGTTGGGGCAGGAGCAGCTTGTCATTATGTTTTTGACTGTGCCGACGGTGAGATAGCCCGATCATCGCAGTATAATACCCTTGCTGACCACTACTACAGGAGCTCGCCGTATGGCGCAAACAGGCGAATTTATCTGTCCAGGAAGAATTTACCGGAAAGACCCTACCACCGGATCTCGAGGATTCTCTTCCAAAATCGCTCCCTGATCTCTTCGACACTGTCCGAGCCGGCGTTCGTAGATCAGCAGAAAGCTATATCAACCTGTGCAACATGATGGAGCGTCTGGCCAAGCGTAATGAAGGCATGGCCGCAGAACACCTCCGCTTTGCAACCGCTCTGCAACAAGTCACCGAAGCTTCCACAGACACATATGCCGTCGACACTAACGAGATTCCCATGCTGAATGAAGGCTTATATTCCACCGCAAGGCATCTGGAACAGTCGCGGAGTCTATTAGAAGACGAGGCCAAGGGCTGGGAAGAAGGCGTGCTAGAGGACCTGAAGCGCCAGCGCGACACGCTAGTAAGCATGCGCGACCTCTTCGACCGAAGAGACAAGTACGCAAAAGACAACATCCCGTACCTGGAGAAGCGGATATCGAACAACGAGCAGAAGCTGCAGGGTATCAGGAGTAAAGCCCCGGAGCTGATCAAGCCGGGCGAGGCGGAGAAGGTGGAGGATGCGATCTTCAGGGTACGTTGGTTCTATCTCTCAAACATATGTTTCCATGCTGACTTCGATGTTCAGGATAAGGAAAGCATCGTCCAACAACACGCGCGCGGTGTTTTCATCAAAGAGTGCGTCCGCGACGAGCTTTTGTACTTCCAGCAGAGCCAGTACCACATCAGCCGGCTGCATCAGGATTGGAGTCAGGAGCGTGTAAAGTACGCTGAGCTTCAGGCCGAGAATTGGAGGACATTGAGCGAGGAGGTCGAGGGTATGCCTACCGGCGAGTAGTCTCGTAAGAGGGCGAGTGAGTGTAGTAGGCGTGTTGACACGACGACAACGCAGCATACGCGCATATGCATGGAGCAGGACGTAATGTTGTCTTATTTCGCATGATCAGGTGAAACTTGTACATTGGTTGGGATATCCCTAGGTGAGCGGTATATAATTTGAGCGAGCTGAGCTCTGTTTTACGCAATGAATGTTTGCTTTTGCGCATTGGGTTGAATTTGTCTGGGGTGATGGGGGGGGAGCATCCGACTGGGTCACGTCTAGATGATTAGGACACGGGCAAGCTAGGAGGGGAACATCGGGTTTTCTCTTTGGAATAATACACGTATGGCTATTGAATGCTGTGTGCGATTATGGGGGTTTGTCATCGTTCAACATCTGTCAGGTATTACAAAAGTACGTGACAAATATTTTGCGCTATATCCTCAACTTGAAATCGATGGAAAAATCATCATGGTCTTAATTAGTTGGCCTGCTATTTGAAATCATGAGAAAGCCCAGGCCGTCAACTTCAAGTTATGTTTTAGTCAGCTAGAGATAGATCCTATTATTGTGTGGCTGAGAAAGGTGACTACAAGCGGTGAGTACGTGGGCCCCAGATACCTAAATGTCCAACGATAGATTCACGCATTTGACTTTTCCAATTCGTACCTTAGAACTACTGGAAGTTACCAAGCCTGAACGAAATACGTGTATCAATGCAGCTACAATAATGATGAGATTGCATACTTTCATGATATGGCTAGACATTCACCCACGCTAAACCATAGTACACGTTGATTCAGTGTGCTCGATGTGCTGCAACACGAGCCTCTCAGCACAGAGCACAACAGATTCAACCTCTGAGACATCGACGTGAAGCTTCGGCCACTTTCCCACCCGGAGCCTTGCTTAGACAGTGCGCGCTCGCACCTGCCCACGCGACGCAGCTACCCACACCTGCCAGCAAATCACTCACTTCACAGCAGCAAACTTGGCAGAACTCCCCTTCACAGCTTTTCGCAACCCGCAGACATACCAGGCAGCAACACTTAAAAGGCAGAGGCCACATGCTGTATGCTTAGGAGAATCCTCGCCTCACCCTTGCGCTGCTTGACCTCAACTTTCAACGCAGCGACCATGCCTCCCAGGAAGAAGCGGGCTCTGCCTGATGACGAGGAAACGACGACCGCGCCTGCTCCGAAGAAGACGAAGGCTACCAAAGCTAACAGGACAAATATTCCCTCTCGGCCGAAGAAGAACGAGGACGATGGTAAGTTCCCCATTTATCTTTTGACCGCAGGTGTCACGGTAGCTTATGCTGTGGCGGGAGCTTGGGCCTCCGAGGTGAGGTCGCGGCCTGATAGCTCAGGCACACCGATGGTGGGGTTGATTCGCGACTCGACCACCGCGGGAGCCTACGCCAACCAAGGTCACTGCGTCAGTACCACCACTGCTGCAATCCGCTTCCAAGGCTCACAACTTCTTGGACCTCAGCTGGAGCCCATTCGTCGCGCCTTCCCCCTTCACCTTCGAGTTTTATTGCGCTTGCAATTTCAATACCCCGCCTCGAGCTCCCCGCATTGCGACGCCCATAATTTGTGGGAGAAAGCCATCTAATTCACCATGCCTCCAGGTTACAATTCGCAGCAGAAGGCTGCTATCAGCCAGTTCATGAGCTTTGCCTCGACGGACCAGAAGACGGCGGTCAAGGTGAGTTCTTGGGTGCTTGCTCAAGAAGTTAAGGAACTAATGCATCGCAGCACCTCAAGAGCACGGGATGGGATCCTTCCGCTGCTGTGAACGCGTAAGTGATGCTTTTGTTTGGTTATTAATTAGGAAATTCGTATGCGCATGTCTCCCGTCTTGCTTCCCTTGCGAAGAGGAACGCAACCCGGCCCGAAATCGATCTGGCTCCCGCTATCACCGAAGGAAATCTGGATGGACTGGTACGGAATTGGGAACGAAGGCACGAGGCATATGGCGTGTTGGGCACATGGCAATAAAGGAAAAGTGAAAACGGGACATGGCTACCAGTCTAGACGGCAGGTGCTGCTTTGCAGTTGGAAATCTCCAAGGCAGTGAACGGCAGTGAACGCCCATAGCAGATGCCTGCTCGCAGCTACTTCCATGGCAAATGCGAACACACTCGCAGCTCCTGCTAGGCCAGGCATAAGAGTACCCAGTTGCAACAAACAGCTCGACTTCTTCCCTCGACGTCGCACATCATCACGCCACCTCCTACATTGGCCTCCAGCTCTCCGACTGCATCCTTGATACACCCACTGCCAGAGATGTTTGGGTCATCCCAGGATAGAGCCAGACAGCTTGCAGGACGCCATCGCAGAGACCGCAAAACCTCAAGCAGTTCGTATCTGAGCAGCCGCTCAGTCAACTCGTCGACACAATCACCAACTCAGCCTCAGCCGATGTATCCTGTACTTGAGCAGACACTTGGGTACGTTCATTGACACAGGATTCGCATGCGAGTCCCGAGTGTACTGAGACTTTCGTCTAGAGAATGCGCACCTGTGACCCGTGCTATGCGTCACAACAGTCAGCACTCTCGACTAGTCAGTCGAATTACCTCGCCCGATACAGACAATTTCCCGCTGCCTCCTAATACGCTACCAACGCAGCCCCTTCTCAGCCTCCCCGAGCATCTCCAACACAACAGCAATCTTCTCAATGCAAATGCTACGATGCACGACATGTCCAGCCTGTTCAAAGATCTTTCCACGCATTTTCCAATCGCATCCGCCCTACATGAATCAGCGGATCAGTTCACAGCTCGACTACGAGTATTGTTCGCACAGGAGCGGTACCAGTCTGAGCACATGAGCACCGTTCTCTACGGGAACTCTTCGGTACCCAACCTTGCATTGAATTCGCCGAATCGGTTCGCCAATGGCCATTCTTCGGTTTCGTATCCTTCCCCGCGTCGCATGGTATCTTCGCCATCGCCAATGAGGGCATCGAGCCACTTAGCATCGGTATCGAATTTCCCCAACAAGCTCGGTGATTCTCGTCCACCTGACGTTAGTGGAATCAACGCGTCCACCCACTCCCAGAATCCGGATAATGAGATGTCATCGGACCCCCCATCAACAACGCCCTCCACCACGCGCCTTGTACTTGTACGTTACGTAGGATACCTGGCATAATGGCTGAACTTACCTTCGGTGCAGTTGGCTCGACCTATTAGACCCCCAGTTGTGCCGAGTGCTACACCGCATCCATCCGCTTCATCCGTACCTGCACGTCCGCTCGTATGGGACCTTACAGTACCCGGACAAGGATACTTTCAATGGCAAGATTGGATAATTCGGACCAAAACCTGTCCTCTTTGGCATGAGCCAATGACACCTCACAACAATCCAGGATTCGCTGCTTTCATCAACAATGTCCCTGTCCACGTCATGACGGAATTTGAGAAATATTTCAAAGGGGATCCGTGGGGTCCGCTGAGGTGCGCTGGCCCAGGACAAGAGCCACAGGCAAGCTGTGAAGTGACTAAAAGCTTTCCAGTGACTCCTTGTCGGCCACACTCAGGCGTAACTGGTTTCGAAAGCTTTCAGAGCAACAAAAGGAGCACTTCATTCACATCATCCGGTATAGAGCCGCTGCCATCGAGCAAGCTGGTCCCACCGCACGGGTTCAGTTTTATAAACCATACGGTGTACCGGCTATGATGCTCCACCATGCCCTAGAGGCCATCGAAACCCGCTACGACGCTTACACTACATACCATTACGCCGACGGTTCCCAGACTCGTGGTCCTCTACCAAAGTCAAGCAGCGCTCCTGACATGGGGAGGCGATACGACGGGCCGAATTGGAGCAAGACGGGAGACGGCGCTTATGAACCTAATGCTCTTACAACGTACTGACAGTGTCTTATTTTCTGCGTAATATTTCTGTTCTAAGATTATTGACAATTGTATACAGATACTTCAGCGGTGGCGGCGGTTCAGGGGCTTCCTCCGCTAACAAAACCAACCTCAACAAGCTCTTCGACAGTTACCGAGACGACGCTGCGAACTCACCGGACAGTATAGGACCTGACGGCTCGATGGGTTATTTCGAGAAGCTGGGTGTGGACCTCGAGGGCATGGACGCTTTGGCTGTTATGGAGGTCATACAAGCACCTACGATGGGAGAGATTGGTCGTGAAGGTTTTGTAGAAGGCTGGTCATCACTCAAGTGAGTTTCCATCTCGCTATAGGCGTACTCAAACTTACGTTCGAGCAGCGCGGACACACTCGACAAGCAGAAGGAGCACCTGAAGTCTTTGAAGCAGCGGTTACCATCCGATAAGGCCGCTTTCGAGAAGGTCTACAAGTACACATTCCTTCTTGGTAAGAACGCAGGCGCCAAGGCCGTTCCTCTCGACTCTGCCATCGCATTCTGGGAGCTGCTCTTCACGTCACCGCTGTCTGCAGTGCGATGGACCAGCCCGAACTCTCCGTGGTTCGAGTGGTGGACTGAGTTCCTCAATGCTGAGTGGAAGAAGAGCGTCAACAAGGACATGTGGAACGAGACGCTCAAGTTTGCCAAGCTCACACTGGAGGACGAGGCGCTTAGCTTTTGGGACGAATCCTCCTCGTGGCCGTCGGTCATCGACGACTTCGTGGAGTGGGTCAAGAAGGAGAAAAGGCCGAGCCAGGAAAACGTCGACGAGATGGAAGAGTAGATTGGTGACGCTGACGCTTCGGCATAATGGATTCACAGCACGCGACGGGCTTGGGCTTGGCTTCATGGGCATCTTCACGACATTGATCCGGGTATCGAGCTGGGCTGACTGGCTTTTGCAAGCGATGGGTTCAGGGCGCATAAATTACTTTCACGGCGGCATTACATACCCTCCATCCAGTTGGACGGAACATTTTCGTACAAGGAGCATTTTCTGCAGATAGCTTAGCTCGGCATTGGAATTGTGGCGAGAGGTCGCTGTATGATTTATTTCGTGTGTTTGGATGGTATGATTGATGTGCATGTCGAATGCTGTTCTCGTCGCCATCTTGTTGCACGCCCATCGAGCCCAAATCTTCATTGAGCCTACCCGCCATACAAATCCCAGCCAGTCATGATGCGGAAAAATCCTCGGCTGCGCTAAGATTGCAGTGCAAAGTAAGTTTGCCATCACTTAGTAGGCGAAGTATATAAAGATGAAAGCACAGTATGAACTTTCAGAGAGCTAATAGCACAGGTTCTCGTGGAATAACTCAATGCCGTAAACTCAAGTCGTTGTTGATGATGATGATGGTCGTGCTTGTGAGAAGGTCGCAGCGACCCGTGCGCGCTTTCCTTTTTCGCTTCGCTTAGCGCCTTGGCCCACACATCGGTCTTTTCGACTTGTGTGAGAACTTCACAACCCGAAGACGACCGCCACGACACATCGACAAAGTACGTGCAAACCAGGCACCCCGACGCCTGCAATTGCTAACAATACCTCAAGATGGTTGCCGCTAAGAAGCACGTTCCGATCGTCAAGAAGCGTACGCCTACCTGCCCACCGCCGCAGCCCTCGAAATTTGCGACTGACAACCCGTAGACACCAAGCGCTTCAACCGCCACCAGTCCGACCGCTTCAAATGTGAGATACCGTGTCGAAGAGCGAGAGGGATGGGGATCTGACTAGGAACAGGCGTCGACCCGTCATGGAGGAAGCCCAAGGGTATTGACAACCGCGTCCGAAGGCGGTTCAAGGGCCAGGCTGCCATGCCCAAGGTACGATTGCCCACTGCAATGCGCGCCACGGGAGCGAATTTATCGCATTGAAAAACATCCTCTGGCGCGATGTTGCTGTTTTACTGGAATCTGGGCTGACGGATGCGATGCAGATCGGTTACGGATCCAACAAGAAGACCCGCCACCTCATGCCTAGCGGCCACAAGGCTTTCGTCGTCAACAACGGTACGCTCCAATGATTGAATTGATGCGAAATATGTAACTAATTTATCGCAGCCCGCGACGTCGACCTCCTCCTCATGCACAACCAGTCCTTCGCCGCAGAGTACGCCTCCCGCTCCTCTCTTTCACCACAAACGACTAACAAACCACAGGATCTCGCACTCCGTCTCCGCACGAAAGCGCATCGACATCATCGCCAAGGCAAAGCAGTTGGGCGTGAAGGTGACGAACAGCAAGGCTCGCGTCAAGACCGAGTCGTAGAGGGGATGCGGAGATGATTCTTTGAGTACGGGCGGGGGCATACACGGCGTCTCTCTGACTTCAGGCACGGCAAACGACAGACATGTGTGGGGTTGTGGACCGGCTTTTCCGTCGGCGTAGCCCGCAATGAAGGCAGGGCATGTATGAAACATGATCGAAACAAAAATTCATCATTCACGTTTTCCGACGAGCGCGTGCTGATGGTGGGGAAGAGGTTCGTACGTGAGTGAAAATGGGTGATGGGCAAGGCAATGAGGAATAAGATTCCTGCTTTTGCTAGCTGTCCAAGGATTGATGTCCCGTGCCTTCTCGATTTCGCGGGAAGGCCTGTGCATCCATCTCATCATGACGGTCCCGGACGGTCCTGGAGATATACACCCTCACACACTATTCCTTGGGTTGCCCCGCCCAAATAACCCTAATACCTTTCTCGCTTCCCCTCCATTTCACATCGTCAGACTTCTCCAGACCACACCACCCCTCCTCCCTTCGCCATGCTATCGGTAGAAAAATCCCACCGCTCACGCACCTTTTGCTAACACCGAGTCCAAAGATTCGACCAATGAACTTTACTACACAAGTTTGAAACTCGAACCGTGAACGTGAACACGTCTGAGCAGCACATTAACGCTCGACCTAGTCACGCGCCATACCCTTATCGAGTCTACTATTCATAGCTGCCAGACGAAACGAGCACGAGGACGAGACGAGATGAGATGCGATGAGATGGGACGGGATGGGTTTACATTGCGGAGTAGATATAGTCTTCAAACTGAACCTTAGTGTTGTATTAAGGTATGGAGAGGGGCGAGAGAAGGGCGGGATATGCGTGCGCCCTTGGGCTTTATTAGATTTAGTTGTGTCGCGAGTGTATGGGTGAGGAAGGTTGCGAGGTTGGGGGAGGGGAAGAGGAGAGGAGTGGGGCGTGGTAGTGAGATGGGAAGGGGACGGGAGGGTATTAAGCTGTAGGAGGAATGGGATGAGGATGGTGGCAAGAAGGAGGAGGATGAGATGGACGAGGAACCACATACAAACATACGCAACTGGTTAGACCGCATAGAGTCGTCGTTCTTATTTCGGACGGGTCTTGGTATTGTTAAGTTCTGTATGGAAGTTGGGGTGGGTGCACGATACAAGATGACGTCTATAAGAGTATGAGGCCCATCCCAGCTTCCAACCGTGGTACTAGTAGTTTTGCCCACCAAGCTATGTCCCAGCAATCCAAAGATTGAGCAGGGTGCGGAAGAAGAACTATAAAAGACCCGACCCCCCATCAGTGCCCCTCTATGCACATATATCTTCATAATGGTATCCCTCTTGTGAGGGACTACTGTCGGAAGGATGACTATCTTCTTCACCGGGGTTGAGCGGGGGTCCCTACCTACCTTGCTCAGGACATCCCTTATACCAGGCATACCGCAACTCTGATAGTCGAACCACAGCCTTGGTCGCCGATAAGGGGACAGGCCGTGGTTTGAGTATTTGGGACGCTATCTGCCTTGTGGATGGGACGTTCTGAGAAGGAAGGAGTATGGATCAAACGAGACCGGTGATGATATTGCCTAGACTCTTGGGTTAGATTCTTTCTTTCGTTACGGAAGAAGAGTCATACCTGGGGATATTGGGCACTAGCTGAGGTCCACAGTGGTCCTTACGTGCATGGTCGATGAGAAAGGGGTGGAGGCTGGAGGCGCAGTGATGGAAGTGGAGAAGAGACGAATAACGAGGACGGCGATAAACGAGAAGGCAATCTGCAATAAAAAGTGGATGGTTTCGGGCACGACTGTGAAGAGGTTGTGCATTAGAAGCGTTGGAAGGATTTGGAGGGAGTGCGCGCTATATGCAGATGCGGAGGACCGCCTTCCTTTTTCTATCCCAATCTCATAAAAACGGAAGAGCGTACGAGATGAATCATGAGGCAGGAGGCGAGGCGATTGAAGCGAGAGGAAGAGCGTTATTGTGGAGCAGGATCCACTTCGTCACCTCGCGTGACGATAAAGTCCCGTGAACTAGAAAAATGGCTACCGTAGAGTTTTGCAGATAGCGATTTACTTTGACACCAATCACCAAACGTAGATCGTGTTTCAGACCCGCTTCTACGCTCCGATGGACTGTCTGGTTGGATCGCTCATGGCTAAATAAATCGCTATCTGCAAAACTATACGGTACTTTGATGCTTTATTACAGCATGGAAAGAGCATTACAGCACTAGCTACGAATCTAATCTAACATTTCCCGTTATGCTAGTGTCGCTGGCTTGGAGGCCTCTATTTTTGGATGGAAAGTCCTCCATATATGGAGGCGTCTAAGCCAACGCTATATAGTTTATAAGGAAAGAGCGTCGGGCTTTGTTTGGGGTTGGATATGCCACGGAAGTGAGTTGAATACGTTACTTTACTGTTTACCACTCTTCTAAGCTGGGATTACTGCGAGGTGCATATGTACAAGTATGTAGTATGTATAAGCTTGTGTGTGCCAGCTGTGTAGGGTGGGCGATGGTGCCACAGGAGGGCCCTATAAGTTTTCACTGCTGAGACTCTGAAATTTGGGGTCGCGCCGTCGGCGGCGGATTTGCGATCGTTGCGGAAGGGAAAAGGGGGCTCTGCAGGGCAGTCGCTGTGCGCGAGGCTGAAGTCGATGCTGCCTGGAATCTCTACCCCGCCGCCACCAGACTTAAAACCTGCTCGAATCTTCTCCGTGCACATTTGCTGCGAACCTGGCAGTGTTCTGGTCTGTCCCGGACTACTTCGTTTCCCTGTGATGCTCTTATGCTAACGCGCTACTAGTTTCCCAAGGTTCTAGAGCACGTATAGCGGTTCTAGAAATCTCGCGAATACGGTACTATGAGCGTAACAAGCTCACCGGGCATATATTCACAGCTCGAAACACACGATAGCATTCGCCTGCTAGAATTAAACCGCGTCGACCAAGGGAGGAGCCCATTCGTTGGACGCTTGACATCTACAAGACCAATTGAAGGACAAGACTATGTTGCACTGTCATACGTTTGGGGAGACCGCTCCTGCAATGATCCGACTCTATCGTAGACGGTCAACCATTACACATAGGAGCGTCCCTATGGCAAGCCTTGGAAGAGTTGATGGCTCATACCGATAGCATCAGATTGTGGGTAGATCAGATCTGCATCAATCAGGACGACGAAATTGAAAAGGAACAACAAGTGCAGCTAATGTCAAAGATATATCGACATGCTCGGCGGGTCATAGGCTGGCTGGGACGTCACGACAAAGATAGCCACCTTGCGGTCGAACTGCTCAGGGTGCTAGGGCAGGGACACATCACGAACGATCCACAAATTGATCCGGAATTTCTACGCGCTATCGACTCCCTCATGGAACCGGGGCATGTGCGTAGCTTCGAGGACCTAATAAGTCCAAACGCGAAGCTAGTCGAAGCGGCTGCTTGCTTGGTCCAGAGACCCTTCTTCAACAGACTCTGGATCGTACAAGAGATTACTCTTGCTACTATTCTTGAACTTCGTTGTGGTTCCTCCTCGATCCCAGGAGATGTATTCTTCAATGCTGTCCAATCATTTTGTTCTCATTTCGGCGGCTACTCAACCTTCCTACGAACCTTTTATCGAAGTACTTTGAAACTTGGGCAGCTAAGAGCACAAGTTTCTGCTAGACAGAGGCACTCTTTTCCTCACCTAGCACATACACTGAGCGCATGGAACTGTGGGAGAAACCACGATCGACTGATCGCCCTCTTGGGATTGGCGTTCCTAGACACACAAGCGTGGTTTACGCCTAGCTACAGGATGTCCAGTTCCGAACTGTACAGCGAATTTGCCAAGGAACATATACGTACGACTAAGGGCTTGAGTATCTTACACTTTGCTGGTTATGGATATACTGCTGCTCACACTAATCCCCAAACCGCAGACCAGCTAGCGGCAAAAGATCTTCCATCATGGATACCTGACTGGCGAGTGCTGTCAAGACCATTGCCGTTTTTAGCGGATTCCGAAGATGCATCTAGAATCTTCGCCACGGATTTGAAGCACGAGTTCGAGTGCAAGGATAACACGCTTCAGGTGCGCGCTCGTGAGATTGACAAGATCAAAATATGCGGGTCACCAAGCCTTGATGAGCTTATCTACAATCGTCGCGAAGAATGGCTAGCCCTAGCGAAAAGCCTTTCGATCGATGCGAATGTCGAGATGATGCTCGACAAAGCCCTAATAGGAACCATGGAAGCCCATGAGTTCTGGTACATCTATACTACGCAGGAATTCTGCGTTTATCGATTTTTTTTCATCACAGAAGCTGGGCGATTAGGTTTGGGTAGTGCTGAAATGGGGCCGGGAGACTCCATTTACTTGATACATGGGCTCACAACCCCCTTTGTTATACACCAAGGCCTCGGAGGGCACATTCTTCGCGGAGAATGTTATGTTCGAGGCTTGATGGATGGGAAAGTACAACGCTCTGATCAAGACTGCTTTGTGAATCTGATATAAGGGGCAATATACGGTAGTTATGTATCAAGAACTTGCGATGCCGTATGATAACCTCCTTGTCGGCCGCTTATACTAATTGACCCAGAGGGCTCAAGGTCTACTGCATCAAATTTGTGTTCACCGGCACGCCTAGAGGTACAGTAGTTTTGCTTTGTTCACCTCATGGACGTGCCGTCCAGCCAGTTCGGCCAGTTGCCGCGAGTAGGACACTTGATTTCCGTGGGTGCCTCAAGGACATTCTGAAGGTACGGCGACAGTACATTCAAGTGTCCATCAAGTCCTCTTCTCTGTGGTATGATTTCTTAGCCGGGTTGCTACCAGACGTCATCGTGTTGAGGGTTCACTAACAGTAAGTGTCTGATTTGTGAACGAAGCATTTCTGAACGACGGAAGTTCTACGGTTGAGCATCGCTATGAGTCAGCCCCCGCAGCGTGCTCAGCACATGTCTCCGCGTTTCACCTTCCAAGTCTTGGTGTTTGTGTCGCCCAGACCATGTCAGTCGGCGGGTGCGGGCCTGCGTGCTTCCGCGTTAGCACAACGGAGCCCATCAATTAAGCTTGCGTAATTGGCATAATGATACAGTTTATCTTGGCGAGAGTTGATACCTCCGGAGGTCACACTACGTTTCTGCTCAGCGGCTGCCCAAGCCCCTCGCTAACTAGCCGCAGAGGCGCCAAATCGGCATCGCCCGCAAAGGTAGCCTTCAAACAAGCAACATGACGCCACACCTTCCTTACACACTCCCATATACGCTCATCAGCGGATCCCGCAGCACACCACTCTGCAACCCCCCCAACTACGCGGAGAAGTCTCACACGGATGTTTTTCTAAGACCGCGCCTCGGAGCGCATTCACCCGCCCCGTCCCTTAAGCAGAACAACCCGCATACACGCCGCCGGCTGCACCTCGCCAAACGGCAATTGAGCGTGTATGATGCAAGACGTCTGCGGATGCGTGTGACGACAGGCCGGGGTGCGTGCAGGAGCCGTCGGCGAGGGAGATGAGATTGGCGAAGGTGAGGTGGGTGTGGCCCCGTGTGGGTGTGGCTGTAGGCGGCATCTGATTAGGATATTGAATATGCTCATCGTCTGCATGTGAACATGGCGCACGCGATGGCTATTTTCGCAGCGCTTTACGCGTTGTAAATGTAGATGTACGGTGATGAAAGGCGCTGCAGGTTAATGGGACGTGTGCGATGTTGCGGGACGCGGTGCATGTGTGTACGGCTTCAGGCGGTAGGCAAAACATCAGCATCTTGGCTTCTCTCATTCTCAGCACACCTGGCAGCTCCTGGTGGATCCTGACGGCGGCCTGACTGAGCAGCAGAGACAGCATGAATGGCCGTCCTGATGGAGCTTTTTCGGCCCAAACTTTCGTTTTACTCGGTTGTGGCGCATGCACACATATCAAACTGCCCGCAGATTGAGCTCAACACCACAAACCAGCCCGTGTACACCGCTCTCTGGGTGAAACAGGCCAGCTTTGGCGGCTGCTTACGGGCGAGAACGCGGTGCCTCGTCCCGGTTTCTAGCGCAGCCGCATCCCCTAGCATAGCACATGTCAGAGAAACGCCTACACCGACATCGCTTCCTGGTCTGCACGTCGCCAGGGCAATTGCAACGGTGCCGTGGGAGTGCACAACCCGCCGCTGTTGCACATCAGCCGCATTATCTTGCATACCGAGTTCCCGATAGCACGCGGGGACTGCTGAGGCACTCATTGGCCGGGAGGGTAATCTGGATGATAAAGAGAAGAGGCAGGAACGAGGCAGCGCTGTGTGCGTGTCGCAACACAGGTAGTCGATGCTGTGGTGAGTGGAGGACGAGTCGAGGGAGGAGCCGGGATGAGGGAAGAACCGGGAACCGAGTGTCGCTGGGGACATGGTGCGGCGATAACAGGATGACGACGGAGCAGCGCGTCTTTCTTGCCTTGGTTCTTGGAAAGGAGATGGCCCCCAGGATGCGATGGATGGAAGGCTGCAGGCCCGTTGCCGACGCCCATGTCGGTGGATCTATTGTTGTGGGCTGCGCAGGGGCATGTATCCTGCCAGAGCACCACGGCACCCCTTCCCTTCTTTCCCTCTGCCTCAGCGGCGCAACCCACGTTCCCCAGGTCGCATTATCAATGGACGCAATGCTGTGCTCCTGCGCCAATCGATGTGCTCACGGTGCAGGTACCGTGTCGGGCGCGCACCGTAATCTTGCCAGATAATTTGCTATTTTTTCTCACCGCAACGGTCGAGCCCGCCTGGTGGTCGCGAGAGCTTTTGTCGCTACTTTAGTTCCCGTCCCCACCGCTACTGTAAAAAGACTCGCAATCCGCCCCTGGCACAGATTTTCTCCTCACAGCTCATCGGTTCATTGATCTCGGACACTTTCTTTCGGTGTCGACTCGTTCGGCCCTGTGTCGTGCGTCTTGCACGAGAGCGCGATACGCGTTCGCTTGTCGCTTTGCATAGAGGATCGTCAACAAATCTCGTCGTGTGATCCAATTCATCATCGCGCAGCGCATCTGTCTTAGGAATACCGAATCTTGGCGCGGCGGTGCTGTACGAAGAATCCAGGATACGTGTGCTCAACTTCACGTGCTTCGCCTCTCTTCCAAGGTGAAAAGCCGTTGGGGACCCTTACAAATTCGGCTGTCAGCCCACGAAAATTTCAACGTCGCCTCATTGAAGACTTTGCCGCAGCTGAGCAACTTGTCCAGCTCCTAGATCCCAAGAAAGAGTTAATTGAGAGTGTAACATCGAAGCATCGCGAGCATGACGCCTAATTTGTTCGTCGCGACTCAGAAAGTCTTCCAGCCGCGAAAATGGTTCAAGAAGAACGACAGGCCCCAGAGGAGAACTGAGCATTGGGAGTCGCCTGTCCCTGGAGTGTACGAGTATGTCCCCGGTCGTGGATGGTATCTTGTTGCAACGTACAAAGTGCATGGCGAACCTGATACTACCGAGATCGTGTCCAAGGAGGGAGGTCCGGTAGGAGGGGCGGTTGAAGAGAAGCCCAAGGAGACCGTCCCGGTTTCTTCCCCCGTTCCAGTCCGTTACTCCAAAGTTCTCAAGAAGTATCTCTTGAACCCAGATTACGAGGTTCGAAAGAAGTACGGTACAATCGAGAACTACAAAGGTCGCATGGTCCAGGCGGGCTTCTTCCAGCTTGATGACGGTGTCTCGTGGGTCAACTGCTGGGACGAAGATGGCGAATTCATTCCAGGACCATACAAGCTATGGTGCCTCGACAAGCGCAACGATCGCTTCCGCCACATGCTGCGAGCCGATGACCCGGAGTACCAGCGCTCGCAGTCCAGTTCTCGCACGGCTTCCCGGGCCAACTCCTTCGAGCACGAAGCCAGCTCTCGTCGCAACAGCCAGGATTCGCGTAGCACGCAGTATCGTCCGGGTCCCGGAAGCACTTACGATGGACCTAGCGTGCCGTCCTCGCGCGCCAACAGCATCAGGAACTTCACTCCATCGGACCCCAACTCAAAGGCCGGCAGCCGAGTCAACTCGCGTCGTAATAGCTTTACACGCGGTCAGCGGAGTCCCCGTATCCTGCTCGACGAGGCGAACCCTGCGCTGAGGGAGCTGGCCATGTCGCAGGCTGCCAAAGAGCGCTCAAATCGCTCCATCGAAACGACCAAGGTTTAAAGGCGGTAGCCGTGCTGCGGCGGCGGCGTTGGTGTTGTGTGTTGGAGGATGACGCACGCGACAACACCTGTGACCGACGTTGGCAGAGCAATCGCGACCCGCGAACATCACGCGCTCCTCACGTGGCACACTTAACATATGTCACTATACATCATTCACAGCACAGCGAGCATTTCTTTTTCACGATCTGGTAGACGGGCTATCGGCAGGCGTTTCCTTGCATTTCTTTTCTCTCGGACATTGTTACTACTATCAGGCGTCACGACCATGGGGCAAGCACAAAAGTAAACGGTATACCCAGTCAACATCATGTATGACAAGCGCACTCTGTTAGATTATTAGGCTTTAATCGCGCGACATCAATTCTATGGTTCTTCCATCTTCCCATTGTTGTGCATATGTGCGTTGTTCGCGCTTTCGGTTTGTGCCTTCCATGTCCTCGTCACAGCAGCGTCACAAAGTCTCACATTTCGTTCTCTCCACAGCTTGCTCTGGTGGTAGGGGAGGCATGTGTCACGCTCCGTCATCAATGCTGATATCACGCCCCTTAAATACCTTACTTCAAATTCTTCCTTGAGCAAAGCTTCACAGTTGGCGCAATCGAAAGCACGCGACCAAGTGTACAAGTAAGGTGCAGGTTGCTCGATTCTATAGTCTCTTCAAATCCTGATACACCCTCCATCAGCAAGACACCTAACAAAGTACGAAAGTAATTGCAAGAACCGCATACTGATTTGCTTCGTTCAATCAATACATCAATACTAGCACAACAACGACATCCTATCATCCCGAGGTCCCTTACGATCCTATGAATCCTCACTTGTTCATTGATACCGACTTCTATGCCGACGCACCCACGACCTGGAATGCACTCCTTGAAATGAACGACGACACAGGCCATTACCTCCCCAACTGGGAAACCAGCCGCATCACACCAGTTGCCGCCTCCCTTGCGCGTATGCGGCAAGCTTGCACGGAGGATGTACGACTAGATGTTGCGGAACTTCTGCACTTGCTTGCTGCTTTAGAAGGCATTGGTGCAAGGGGGGTGGTATGTGGTTATGAGACAGGAAGAGAGCCACCAGCGGCGGATGATTGAGTACTACGAAGAGAGGAAGGTCAAAAATGAGGAGCTCGAGGAGATGAGGCAGGAGATCCGCAGGTTGAGAGAGGAGGATGAACTGGCTCAGCAACTTTCGAAGGTGCTTGAGAGACTGGAGCCGCTTGTTGGTCAACTGGATCAACGCCAGGGGGCCCAGGAATCGGTCGCCAGCGCTCCACCACCGAAACGCACAGGAACGCTATCATTCATCAGCAAAGACGACCAGGTAGTCCGAGCCTTTGGCAGTAGACGGGGCGACGCAGAGTGTCACACCGCTCAAGGATCTAAAGAACCACAAAGATGGCGCAGCTCTTCCACCATCACCGAAATGGGCGATACCCTTATCGATCCCGCAGCATCCTATCCCCCTCCACTAGGCCCACCAAACGAAGAAGCCATCCAAGCCGATGAGCGTCGAACAAGCATGCTCTCAGAAGTAGAAAACACACTCTGGATCCAAGAAAGTAAGGACCGCGAATACCTCTTGAAGAGACCCGGTCCGCCCCCCACAATCGCTCAAGCGCCCCCATCATCCAGATCCATCCATTCTGACCCATTCTACATTTACGTCCCCCTTCCAGCTAACTTCACCATCCCCCCAGCGCAACCTGCAGCTTCCTTCCCTAACCTTCCCAAGTCCACCGGATGTATTCCACTTCCCCGAGGGCGCTACAAGAGACCAGCTGCTTCGCGTTCTGCGCAGGGTATATGACAGCGCCACCAACGATGAGAGTTTCAACTCCAGTGATGATATCAACATCATACACATCAGGACGCACGAGCTGGAGTGGGAGCTGAAAAACGCTATTCGCAGGATCACTTCGGAAGAGGAGTGGAAAGATGTTGTGGGGGATGACTGGCCGGGTGAGGGACGGGGCGATACGTATGTTGTTAGTAAGAGGGATGTGCATTTTCAGGATTCCCGCTCCCTTGGTCATGAAGGCGAAGGAGGAGGGCGATGTGGGCATTGTGGGTATGAAATAACGGGCGAAGCCTCAGCTTCTGAAAATGACCCTGCCCAGCACGTCTCGAAGGATGAGTCTAGGAGGAAGTACGACCTCAAAGTCGAAGATGAGAGACGTGAGGGAGAAGATCAAAGGGATGTACCGCAACTGAGGGGAGGCGCTTTTTCGACGTTCTCGGGTCTACCAAGCGGTCTGCCATTCGACGAATCCTGTGGCGACTGTAGTCGGTATAGATTTGATGAGTATGGTGAGGGCAATCCGTTTAGGCCATTACAAGAAGACTATGCTCTCGAGCAGGAGCAGGCTTGGATCGACCGAGCATGGATCCTCCAGTTGCAGAACGCCTCTCACACCCGCATGATCGATCACTTACAGCAAATTATCGAAGACGTCGAAGCAACGGTCGAGTGGCAGGACGAGGAGCTCGCGTGTGCACATCGTCGCATCAGCGATCTAGAGCGGAAGGTGCGGAAAAGGAAGGAAGAGACGTTCGCTGCAGGGCGGAGAACAGACTTTGCGAGAGCCGAGACCAGAGTATTGCAAAAACAGCTACAGCAGATCCATGACCAGGTCACTCAATTTTGCGCCGAGCTTGACGAGAGTGAGCGGCGAATCCTTGAACACTATCCGGGTCTCTTCGCGTGCGAGTCACCACAGGCCGCTGAAATGCGTGGAGGAGAGGAATCGCCTCATGAGCTATGTGGCTCATCTTCTGAGCATGCTCTTGCAGATGCGCAGAAAGAAGCACACACGCCAAAAGTAGAAGCAGTAGAGGCAAGTTCTTTCTACTGGTTCCCCAGCGTCTCCATGGTCGTACTCCTCACCAACCCCCTCCACCACTTCCAATTCCCCAAACACACATCCCTCGCACGAGTCCACCAAATGCTTCAAACCCTTCACACCGAGGGCAGAGAGACCGATCCGCACCTCAGACAGGTCCGCGAGATCCTCGACACCAGAGGTGAAGCACACATCATTCTCCCGGATACAACCAATGGCCGACAGGTCCTCATCAGCGCCCCCGACATCAGGGACGATGCTAGTGTGGCGAGTGGAAAAGCGGGATACAAGCACTGGAACCGAACGTTTGGCCCGGTGGAGTACCAGTACGAGCATATGCTCAAGGATAGCATCGAGAGTCTGAAGCCACCGACTACGGATGACCAAGCGCTCTTGTCTCCAAAAGTCTGTGTCTATGAGGAGATATTCAACGCCGGGGTCCTGGTGAACAAGGTTTCTCCGTCAGGAAGTCCTGACGAGGACGAATACTACAACGCTGGCGACCTCGTCGACACAATCGAGCACGAGGCTGAGCTATCGAGAGTGCGATCCGCACAGAAGCTCGCGGAGCTTTGCAAGGAGGTACCGACGTCCAAGAAGCGTGCGGACAGTCTGGGTGAGAAGCGAGGCTACGCTCTGTCTCTTCCTTTACCTCCTACTAAACTGGGTCCCATGTTTCCCACTGGATCTGACTTCGCTTCTAAAGAGCACTTAGACCCCCGTCCGGTAGGTACGACTGGCGTGAGAGCGTGGCGGCTGGACCAAACTTCATCTAAAGAGGCAGAACATGGGCGCAATGGCGAAGATGAGTGCTCAGCAAATGTTAACTATGCGAAGGGTTGTGACAATAGCATTGGCTTGCGGCGTAATCCTCTATCGCTGGAGCGCCTTTTCACAAACCCTGACACAGACACACAAAGTACGGCTACAAGAGAGAACAGAGCATTCGGAAGCAGGTCTCCTGCGGAGGAAGGCTGGTGCATGTGGCGCCACCACAAAAACTCCGGCTGCGAATCCTGGATACCTTCCTCCAATCTCGATCCCAACCGTGAGCGCTGCGCATTCTGCAATCTCCCGTTCGCAAAGGTGAGCTGGGAGAAGTGGGAATTCGACGATGAGGAGATGTGCTGACGGTTCGAGGTAGACATCACCAGAAGGCCGTACTAGCGACGAAAAGACCTAGTATGAAGACTCCTGGGAACCGGATCCCGGTCCGTCGAACCCGTACTTGCGAGGCGGCGCGGAGGAACTCGAATTGGCGTACCTGCAGAACGAGATTTACGATGCTGCGGCCCTGAGTTGGGCGGATCATGAAATGTCAGCTGAAAGGCTGCTGAGTCTTCGCCGGGAGTTTCTGACGAGGGAAGATGACGATGATACTATGTTGATTATGTATGGTCGTTGCTATTGTAGCTGCAAGAGGCTTGTTCTGCAGAAGAGCGTTAGTTTTGCACTTAGCGATGAGGATACGGTGGATGGACCTTGTGATGCGGACAGGGTGGATGATACAACCTGAGGGTGAGGGATCAGTATCGTTGAGTTTATGTTCTTCTTGTTTGAGCATCTTCAAGTTTGCATATCTACATCTGCATCTGTACTGATTTATATCCTCCATATCCCGAGACCGACCTCAGTCTATATAAGTTGCTAGTCTCTTCAAGCATGTCTATCACAAATCAATACACGACACCGACATGCCTCCTTAGCGTCCTGCTTTCAGACACCATCTCATGAAGCTCAAAGCTGGTCGCCTTGATCAGAATTGCTCCGCCTCAATCGCTGCTAAAAGAGCAGGCTCATCCATCTCTTCCCTCGCCTTGAGCGACTCCATAGCCCTGAGCGTGGTCCGCTCCACCTCTTCCGCCAGAGCCATCACGATGTTCGTATCCGGGCGAGCCACTACCTCCGCGAGCAGCTTGTCCCCATTCAGAACATTGCTATGGACAACGATCTGGGCTTTCTGCGCGGTGGTGGGGCCGTAGCCGTTATTTGCACGGACGTTGGCAACGCGAATGGTGACGTGCTTTGGCTCCGCGTCTGGGCCGTGAATGGTACGCACGAGCGAGGTGATGTTTCCTGCGAGCAATGAGTTAGTATGCATATAGCACGGTGAACAGCTGTGGTACATGGGAGCGTGGGGAATCTTACCAGCGAGGACGGGAAATTGGCGGTTCTGTTTGTGGGGTTGCTCGTGGTCAATACCTAGGAGCATGCTGTGGATGTACGCACGCAGGGGCTCGTTGGGTGATGCCATCACGTCGAGGTTGACTTTGTTGTGGTACCTTGGTGGTGTGGTGTGTGTGTTGGCAGGAATTTCTTGGTCGGTATTCATATTTATATAGATTTCGAGATGTACAGGTGAAGGTGAAGGTGAATCGAATTTTGCAGGAGCCTTCCGGTTTCACCTCTGCAGCACCCTGTCTGCCATAGTACGGAAGGCGCGCTAAGCACGATTCGACCTCTGTCAACTGAATGGCTGAGCAAGATGATGTGCAATGCGTTCCTATATACCAAAGCCTTGTTTGTCCTGCGTCGCTCGCGTGACACCATAATAAGGGGGGGGGAAACACACAGAATGCTCGCCAGATATGGCATGCGCCCAAGTGTAGCTCGTGTGTTCTTCAAATCTTAGCCCCGTGACGTTCTGTTAACAAGGCAGGAGTAATTGTTTATTAGAAAACTTCATCGCCGTTCTGCCCGCAACTGATCATGAGTTCGTTTCAAAGTTCGTCAGTATCACTTGAGTCTCTCCTCAGGAAACTGATCTGTCCCTCAACGATGTTGACGATGATACCACATTAATTATGTATGGTTGCTACTATTCTAGTTGCGGGAAACTGTTCTTGTGGAAGTGATACCACCACAGCCAAGCCAAGCCATAGACTTTGATCTCCTCGTCCGCACTAGAGAGTACAATTGAGGCTCAGCGAGAAGATTGATACCTTGATCACCCTTCTACCTCGTCCTTAGTCTACGTATGGAAACAAATCCTATACATCAGCACCTAGCAGACCTTTGTTGAAGCTTGAAATTTCGACTTACTTTCGGTCAAAATTCGAGACTAGATGATTTTCCTACTACGTGCAGGTGTGCAGGAAAATCTTACACAGCATCGATATCCTAAGGTTCGAGAACAGCACGACGCGCAATATGCCCTCAATAAGCAGACCACAGAATCTCACTCTTAACACACGTTTCAGTCGCTCTGCGGGGCATGATCCAGCCTTGTAGTCTCATCACGTATATATCCCAGGCCAGACAAGCCTCTTCCCGACGTCCAGGGTAAGAACCACAGTGCAGGACTGCGCCTCCCCCTCAGTACGTACTTTTTCAAGCATCCAATCACAACCAAGCCACCACCCCCACCTCCTCGTCCGAGACCTCTTCGCCTGGGCTAAAGATTGCAGTGAAGAAAATTGATGGATCACCCATATCCAATCATTCCCATCCCAGCCAAGCCACTACCAACGACTCCGACCTCCCCGTCCGCGCCAAAGATTGCAGTGAAATGTTCGCTTGAAACATTATCGCAAACACCATCCAGAAACTTCTTCATCTCATATTCATGATCCGAGTGGAGTATACTACTGTGTTGGCACCTTTTACCAACAATGCGACTAATAATCAGCGTTGGTTCAAAGGCGCGCCTAGAACATTATTTAAATAGAAGCACAGGTATGAGTAGAGCATGGCAGTCATTTCGCGCTATCGTCGTTGAAGTACATGCAGACTAGACAGATCTAGAGAGGTGCAGCACAAGGGTGGCAATCACATTAGCAAGCGCAGCAGTAACTCATATGGTAGACAGATAATGTCATAGTCTATACAAATCGAACCGTTTGCTACAATCGCCAGGTCTACGTATAGCTTTGTAAAGCACAGTTACCGTTGTCATCTCATCCCATCCCTCCACAGACACAAGTCCTACACGAGGCTGACGGCCAGGCAGCCGACCTGCTCGTCCGCGCTAAAGAAAGCAGTGTCAAAATCACAAAATCTATGATTATTATTTCCACACGCGTCTTCAAAGATCTATTAACATCTAGGCATCACTTAATGTACTCTTCCTTCTAAGACATTAAAAAGATGTAATCGCTACAGGAACATAGCGTGTTCACGGTCAACGTTTTTGGTGCGTGATGCCAAAGTACCTATGCGCGGGTTATTTTACCCGTGTGGTGACTACAGTGGGAAAGCGCAGCTAGGCACGTGTCAGGCTACTGATTGCTTACGCATGACCTCCTCGTCCGCGCTAAAGAAAGCAGTGTCAAAATCATAGAATCTGTATAGGTTATGTACACACGCGTCTTCAAAGATCCATCAACATCTAAGCATCACTTAATGTGCCCTTCCCTCTAAACTATTCAAAAAAATTGACCGCTACTGGGACATGGTGTGTTCACGCTCGATTTTCAGTGTGCGGTATCAAAGTATGCGCGGATGAGCCTCAGGCTGTGGACAACAATGGTGCAGGTGCGCTAGCTACACCGGGAAGCGCAGCAAGGCTTGGTGGAGTGCGAACTCCATGCCACTGCTCTTGCCATGTGCATACTCCCTTTGGGCGTGGAGACAGTGTTCTAGTATATTGTGAGTTCGTAACGTGAAGAATACGGTCGGCCTGTTGAAGTTACATATGGGACGCGTGCTGTACCATCCAGCTGCGTGTTATAGCTGTGAGCATCTATGTCAAGGAAGCGTGTCCCTCGTCCGAAGTAAGAATCATGGTATCGCACTTCTGCCGCGTGTAGAGACTCACTATCTGCTACGAGACATCTAACCACGAGACTGAGCCGACAAAATAAGGTGCATACACTGAACAGGAGGCAGGTAAAGAAGCCAGTAGGGCACGGAAATACACTCCGCCAGGCAGCACTGGTGCGACTTCGCAGGGCAACGTGATCATGCTGTTTATTGGCTACGGCCACAGCCACCTGTTGTCGTGCTGATGGAACTACTGCAGCAACTACCCTTCACTGCTTTCTTTAGCCCGGACGAGGAGGTCCTTAACTTACCTTATGTCAGGACTCCAATGAGCAAACTCCATTAGGATAACCAACCCACCACCACCACAGCACAAGTCTCCCCTCTCCACCCCACACCGTCACCCCCCTAAGACATCAAACGTAAAGCTAATGTTCCAACCAACAACTCACCATTGCACACCACGCGCGGCCGAATATTCACGCGTATGCTCAACTTAATGGAAAAATGAAGACGGCACGCACAAGCAAGTAGCAACGTAATTAGACCAGCTACACGATTCCGTGTACATACCCGCGCGTTGAGCGCATACCTCCTACCATCTCCTTCAATCAAGTAAAAGCGGTACTCCTATGCGCGTACCATATATGCCTCCAGTGTCCAGACACCGACCGACTCCAGAAATGCGTATCCCAAAATCTAACATGCTGTGCGGCGCTTGCTCGCTAAAACGTTAAAAAGGGTAGAATGCGCCAATGTGTATGGTACGGTATGGGTATGCATGTATGACTCCTCCCATGCAGCGCGCTCTAAATCGACAAAGCAAAGCAAAGCAAAACAAACAAACAAACGAAAGAAAGAAAAAATCATCGATCGTGCGCGACGCAAAACACCGATCAGCGCTTGACCGACACTCTCTCGCCGATGAAAACCCCCTCTTCACCGACCGGGTCCCTCTTGACCGGTTCCCGTCCAGTCCAGTCCAGCCTCGCCCACGAAGCCAGCCCACACTCCCTCTCTTTCAGCCCAAAATTCCCTCGTATCCACCTTCCTTCTTTTCACCTCCCCTCCCTACCCATCTGATCCACCTTCTAGAACCCTGCGTACTGCGTAATTTCCGATCGGAACCCCACCCGAGCGATTGGACGTCGCGTCAGGAAGTTAATCCCCGCCGGCGCGGCGCGCGCGTTTACTCGATGCGATTGCGTGTCGCCTTGTGGGTACGCGGTCGGTCGGTCGGCCGAAGCGAACGAAGAACGCCGCCGGGGCTACCCGTCGCACCGGCCTGCGCGATGCAGGAACGAGGCGCGTTCGGCATGCGATATTTTTCGACGGTGTGGCTGGGCTGATCGGAATGCGCATCTCTCGCGTGGCTGAGGTCTATCATCGCTGCGGCGGTGGCTGGCACCGGTGTGCGCGAAGGTCGTCGTTGCGATGTCGCCGCTCGCCCGCCGAAGGCCTCGCATCTCCAGAAGCTGCAGTGTGCGTGGCCGATCATCATCCCGGCCGACATGACCTAATCCAAATAGGGAGAATTTTAACAGCGCGCCTGTGATTCGCCGTGCCAGCTGTGCCAGCTGTGCCAGAAACCTTGTCCGGTAATCCCATGCGACGCGTGATCGCCCTCAGGGACAGGACAGCACGCTAGGTGACGTTGACGCTTTCCCACGTTCCAACGTGCAGGGAATGCACTGTGACATCTTCGCGGAATTCCTGCTCTCGCTTCGGCGCGTCGAACCTGCATCTGCATGTGTGCCCAACCGCACCCTGCCTACACCTCCTCCGCAAGAACCGCGTTCCATCTATCCGGCACACGGCTCGCGGCGCTCTGAACGGAAGGTGCTTGTCTAGCGCCAGATTTCCTAGGCGGCAGCCAGATGCGCGCCTTGCCCACGGCTTTTGCGTCGAGCTTGCCGACGCGCCGCATGTTCATCTCGAGGACGATGACGCGGAGGAAGTCGCTGTTTTCTCTGGGTTCGCGCTGGCGGACGGCCGGGGGTTCGGACTGCGCGCGGCCGGCTTCGGTGAAGGGGTCGGAGGTTTTTCGCCGGCCGCGTGAGCGGTTACGTCGTTCGTACGTTTGCATTTGGATCATGGGCGCGGAGGGGTCTTCGTCTACGTTCATGGCGAGGGCGTCGTAGAGCTGCATTGATAATTCGGTGGGCGAGACGGGTGCAGATGGCGGGTTGAGATAGCGACGTAGTTCTGGAGAGGGTAGTCCTTGGATGTGTTTCGGGCGCATCTCGCTGGTGAATTTTGGTGATAGTAATGATCTTGTAAGTAGATCGTCTGGCGGAACGCTTGGTGCTGTGAAGTTGGAAAATGACTTGGCCGCGGACTTGAGTGCTTGCAGTGACGCAGTGAGATTGGACTTGAACGACCTGAACCTCTCCGAGGAGGGAGGCGACGGGGTGACCACATCTGGGAGGTCGTAGTTCGCAATATCTTCACAATCCTCAGATGTGAAATGTAGCAGTGGATGATCCAGGACGCAGTCCTCGGTTGGTGGTGAGGACACGACCTTCCCGCGGCGGTCCGGCAGTGATCTCTGATATGAATCCGGGGTGCTCAGCTCATCCCAATGTGAAGTAAAAGACGGCGCGTTGGTATCCAGAGACGGTGGTATTGTGTATAGAGAGTCGCTTGAAATGGATCGATCTGTTACCGACTGTGCAAAGTCCTTCTCTTGCTCCTCGCTCGCCAGGCTGCCATATTCCTCCTCCGACTCATCGACGCGTCCCAGGAGCAGATCCAACGGTGAACCCACTATTGAAGCCGGAAGCTCCGACTCGTCTTGCTTCCACTCCTGGATGAGCTGGTCCATGGATATCCTCCTGTCCATGGCGGACCCTTTGCGGCGGCGCGGGGGCATCTTGGGGATTGCCGTAACAGCCAGCAGCGCTGCAACGGCTGGTGGAATAGCATCGGGGTTGTGTCTCTTGGACGCGTGCTGTGGCCTCCCTCCGTTGTGGCCTCTGACTTTCACGGACTGGGTCGCGGTCGCAGTGCCCGTTCTTGCGGGCGTGCGAGGCGGGATCACGACCGGCTTCGAATGCATGGGTGCTTGAGAGGGCACTCGAGGTGGTTCCGGACTATGTGTGCGCTCCTCCTTCATTTCTACCATTTTGACGCGCATAGATCTAGAGTATGTGGATCTTGTGGGCGGTGATCGCGCTCCCATCTTCTCCCTTTGTCGTTGCGGTGTCGGCGGCGACTGGAGGAGAAAAGGGTAGGACCTTGGCACCATCATGGCGCAGGTTGGATGCCTTTTTGACGGACAGTCGATCGGGCTGGCCAGGGTCGGGCCCAGGAGGGCGGCGTGACGTTTGTGGATTACCAGGCCGAACCTGTTACGTTATTGCTAGGGCGGGATTGGACGACGAGCCTAAGGGACAGTGTCGCGTTAACATGGAGCTGCAGGTGCACGCTTGCCGAGACCCGCCGTGCCTGAGCAATGTTGCTTGAATATACAGAAAATTTCAGCAGCGAAGGTGAAGAGGAAGCATGGGTGAGGCTGAGATGGCAAAGCTGGGGATGTCGGGGTGTAGGTGAGTTCCGGGGGAGGCGGCGATAAGGGCGATGACTTCAGGGCAGCTCGGGAGTGTTCCGCTGATAAAGGATGCGAGCAAAAGCACAGTCGCGTGGCCGGCCGGCCAAGACACACGACCAACCTGAGTGTGCGCCGTGACACGGCAGCTGAGGCTCGGCCACCAGCTGAAGCGCGAGTTTCGGGGGCCTCCTGGCTGCGAAACGTCCACGTTGCGCTGCCCCCTTGGCCGCCTGCTATTCACGGAAACCCCCGTCTGACCCAAACGGCCGCGATCTGGCGTCTGTGCCGATTGGCTACCCGCCGGCCGTCGCGATTCAGCGTGCAGGGCTGAACAAGTCACTCCCCCACGGCCAACTAATCCGCTATCGTCCGTTAGTAACCGAATCCTCGCGAGCTTTCTTTTGGCGGCCAACAGCGACCCCAAGAATCGATAGCCTACACTTCTCGGACTGCCACGGAACGCTCTAATCATGACCACATGTCGCTGCATCGTGGGTCAAAGTCCCACCTACGAGATCGAAGAAGCTTATCGCACTCGATGCATGCACCGCTTTCGTGCAGCTCCACACCACCACCACCGCAATCTCGCGCCTGTCCTGCATTACCCCGCAGTGCGCTTGCACCCTTCGGGCTGCTGGATGCCATTGTGTAATTGTCCCATCTGTGCGTGCAACCGCCCCTAGCCGAGGGCACAAAAGTGGAAAAAAAAATAATATGCACTCATAGCCACTTCATTACTGGAAGTACACAAAAGCGCGCATCTGAGAGGCCTCGGACGCGCTCCCCACTGGCCGTCCCACCCGAACGACGTCACCACGTGTCCGCACACTCTTCGCCAGAGATATGCACGCCTACACCGACACTGGCACATCGCACAGCAGCAGCCACGCACTTTCTCCCACACATTTCATTTCGCTTGCGAGAAAATTTTCCGTCTTGACTCACCGCTCGAGGGGTGACTATTCTTCGCAAAGTGTATAGTCTATGTACATGAGATTACCTGCTTGAAGGGTGCCTAGCGCCCCTTTATCTTGGGCGACCTATCTTGGGTATTCTGCCGCGGCGGTATTCACTAGTGTACATACATAGATTATGTAGGATGCTGTGTACAACCGACAATTCGCACGTCACAATTGCCATCACAGTAGAGCCTCATCTCATCTCCAGGCAACGCTTGCTAGCAACTTTCAGTGGTGACCTGAGAGCGGTCGCATTCAGCAATTTCGTGTATTGTTTGCCGAAGCATAGCGTAAGGACCTGCTTAGAGCGTAAATAGCGGCGCGTCGACCTTCTCTTTTCCGCCTCTGTCGCGTCGCTTGAGAGCGGCTTTGGCTTCCCGCCATCCAGCGTGCTTTCAGCCACTTCACATCACAATGAAGCGAGGTTAATTCATGGCCCTATCATCACGTACATTATGCGAGTCTCTGCTACACTGCAATCTGTAGCCCGGACAAGGAGGTCGTCACTTGGTTGTAGTTGGCTAGCATGGTACTACACAACAGCCTACCTACCCCCTCAGCCCTGTCAAGACGCCTACTCATAGTAAGACAAGAATAGCCAGTAGTGCTTTGAGGCTGCACAACCAGGACGCAAGACTTTGTAGCGAGCGTTTTGCAGGTTACCATGTCGTATGTATGTGAGATGCTTTCACAATGTGTACTACGTCCGTGTCCACGCCTACTTCTACGGCGATACCACGGAATGACTGGAGTATACGATGTTCCAAGAAACTGGATTCATGTTCAACTCACCTGTACGTTCATGTGGCTGATAGTCCTGTCATATATACCGTACCAAGCATCCGCTTCTTGGTCAATCGACCATAGCTAATGCATCTTAGTCACGTTACAGGAGTAGAGGGTACTTGGATTTTGAGATCTTGAGGTCATGAGGTAAAAGTTTTGGTATTTCAACTGTGGGTGGTGTTTGCATGGTACTTCTGAGTCAAGTTATTAATATTTCAACTGTGGGTGGTGTTTGCGATGGTGCTTCAACCGCGCATCTGATCTCTTGAAAATTTCACTGCAATCTTTAGCGCGGACGGGGAGGTCGAGGCTAGCTGGGGTGGTATATGGCAGCCTTGCCGTCAGCCTTCCTAATATGGATGCTTGTGTAGAGATGAGATGAATATGTCTGGTGTGCTTTAGGAGGCTACGTGTAAACACGAAGAAATCTTGCTATGCCGAGCTGCTAGCTGACATAATTCGTCCATATATCTTTTCTTAGTAGTGTGGATGCGATGCGTAACGGTGTTTGTTGATACCAGTGCTGACAAGCTCGCGCAAGGCACCTACTCGTTCGGGCTAAAGATTGCAGTGAAAAGTCAGTGTTCCACTCATCCAGCCCCCACCAGCAATTTTGCTTGGTATAGTATCATCTCTATCCGGCGATGATGCTCATCCTGAGGAGACTAGCGGACCGAATCTGACGAGCCTCAGCGTTTGCGTTTCTCGTGCTTGGGTACAGATCTGTCTCTCACAAGAATGAGCTACGTGTATACGTCGCCAGAAGACACATACGCTCGCACACACCTTGCTTGGGATTCGCTGTCATGTTAGAATATGTGCATCTTATCGTCTTTGCGGTGTGTGATGACGTGATGACGAGCCGTGATTCGCTAAGCAGGACTTGCAACCTGATTCGCCAATACTCAAAGTGCTTGGAAAAACTTCAATGTTTACTATGGCAAGCCAGTATTTCTCTTTCGGCACTTTGATGAATTGCTGTTAGGGAAAGGTCATGGGAATTGTTTTGATGAGACTTGTTGGTGTTCTCTTGAGTGGTGATGCCTATCTAGGTAGGATAGAACTGGGGTAGGCAATGTAGCTGCTCAATAGCACTGGGAGCGCAGTTAACCCCTGCATCGCCGACCTTACTTGCATTTTCATACATCTTCCATCTTTTCCCATACGCGTAGACCAGTAGTAGCAGTTCTACACTGCATTTCCTAGCGCGGGCGAGAAGGTCGTCAAAGGCTGAGCCGCAGCGCTGTTGCACAATGCCCATCATTGACACACTCGACGTAGGATAGATATGTTCTAGGTTTGTAGCGCAAGCTTTCTGACACTGCAAGTGCTATTTTCGACGAGGGACCGGGCTTACGTCATTGACATCGGATTTTTAGTGTCAAGCTTGATGAGGAATACACATCGAGATGCCGCTTGTTTCTGCCATGCCGACTTCCAACTGACTCGACGTGCCGTTGGAAATGTTTGCCGGTAAGCCGGCCTGATGTATACATGATACATAAACTTGTAGCCAACACAGAAGGTCTCGGTATCTTAGTCAAAACGAACGATCTTATCAATCTACTTCTAAGAACGGCTGAATTAAATTCTCAAAGTAATACAGCATGGATAACAGAGCGCAAAAACAAGAACGCACGAGCATCAGACGAATATGAGAATTCACCTCATGTTCAACGCAGGCTGCACCCGTGTGCGACCACACAAACACGAACATCGTGAACGCCATGTATGTGCCTAGCATCGTTTTCGGCCTTGGCTGATTACGCTTCCCGCCACGCAGACGTGGGATTGGCCAAGCTTGCAGGCCTTTGGGTGCCGTTCTTTTCTTCTGGAGCTGCACGATATATTAATTCTTGTCCAGCTCCTACAAAAAATGCCCACTAAAGTCTTTTTCGCTCAGCAACGGACCAATACGCCAACAGACCATTCACGACCGATCATGACTAAGCCAGATCTGATTGGTATTTGGAAAGCCCAATCTTACACCACAGCAACACGCTAAGAGTCTGAAGACTGTTGAGTAATCATCTACCCCTGCAGGCAAGATGCACTGTTCCGATCTGTGAGAGATGCATAACAAGTTCACGGCCGTTCTTTACGCCCTGATGGTTCTTCCAAAACCTCCCAGTAAAGACCCATCTGCAAATCATCAGCATGCCACACGTAAGTCAGTTCCTGGTCCACATCCTCTTCTTACAGCTGTCACTCGGCAACCCTAATCCACTGGAAGTCGACGTTGCAGTGGTAGGGGCGGGTCTATCCGGCCTTTCCGCTGCAAGAAAACTACTTGACGCCGGAAAGACCGTCACCATTTTCGAAGCCAGAGACCGCGTCGGAGGCCGTGTCTTAAACCGAAAGCTCAAGAATGGAGGCGTGACGGAGCTAGGCGCTGCTTTCGTTGGTCCTACCCAAGATAACGTGCTTGCCCTGGCATCAGAACTGGGCCTCGCAATATTCAAAGAATACAATTCTGGAACCAACCTTGCGTACTTCGGTGATCGAAGAGTAGAATTTCCCAGTGCAAGCACTGTTCCTCCTTTGGATGAGGTGACTACTACCGAGATTGGTACGCTTATCTTTGAGCTCGATTCGCTTGCTGCAACGATCGATGTTGAGCATCCCTGGAATCACCCAAACGCTACTCGCTTGGACTCGGTGACCCTCAGAGATGCGGCTCACAGCATCGTTACAACCAATGATGGAAGAGACGTGTTCGACTTAGCCGTCGAGACAATATGGTCAGCAGAATCCGACCAACTCTCCTATTTGTATGCATTGGCCTACATTGCTGGAGCCGGCAACGAGACTACCCTCGGTACTTTCGAAAGACTCATATCAGTCAACGGAGGTGGGCAAGAAAGCCGCATCGAGGGTGGTACTGGCCTCCTTCCCAATGGTCTTGCGGACAAACTTGGCAGGGACGGGATCCTCTTCAACAATACAGTCCAATCAATCTCAAGGCAGGCTTCAGGCAAATACTTGATCAAGGGTTCCAGAAAGTCAGTTACAGCCAGCCAAGTCATCGTAGCCATGTCACCGCCACTTGCTGGACGCATCACATACTCGCCTCCTGTGTCTGCAAAACGCGCCCAGCTCATGCGGCGCATGTTCATGGGCTCTATCGGGAAGGCGAACGCAATCTACACATCTCCATTCTGGCGTGAGACTGGATTCACGGGCCAGGTCATCGACACAGTAGGCGCAGTTCGGGCTACTTACGATGATTCTGACGATGCAGCCTCATACGGCGCAATATTAGGCTTCATACAAGCTGATCGGATGAAAGCTCTAGACAACGCCACCGAGGCCGAAATTCAAGAGCTGGTCGGGAAAGACTACATGCATTACTTCGGGCAGCAGGCTGCCGATGTTGAGGAGTGGGCCATCTTCCGATGGGATAAAGAGAAATACTCGGGCGGTGGCCCTACTGCGCTGGCTGGAGTGGGGACCTTCCAGCGCTATGGTACGGCTCTGAAGAAGGCTGATGGAGGGATTCATTGGGCGGGAACGGAGGCTTCGGATTATTGGCCTGGCTATATGAACGGAGCGATACGCTCTGGCGAGCGGGCGGCGGATGAGATTCTGAGAGGGGCTGACCTCGTGTAATCGCCGGTGATACTGTCCTTGAGAGCGAATGTTAGTATTATACATTGTAAACCACTCGCTTACCCAAGCCACCCACTTAATATATACGTTAGCACCATTCAACATCGTCTCCCCAGGACTTCAAGTCCACCACGAGGACAACAGATTAGGAGGTTGCAAGCATCTACCGTACACGCCGACATCGCCGTTATGTAAAGGATTACCTGGTCCTTGGACTCTATGAGGAAACGCAGTGTGTATCTAGGTATATCCGCCCTCGCATACACCGCTGTATACCTTGAATGTCACCTCTTTCAGCCTGACCTTGGACTGCTACCACTCCGCCTACGCCGTAAACATCTCGCCTTTTGCGGCGTTCCGCGGGCGCGAGTGCGCAAGCGTATTCGGGAGGATGGGTATGCTTGAGCGTATGGCGCGTTTGGTGAACTGAGAGAAGGTGACAGGGAAGAGGGTGAGGGGTGAGAGAGTGGCGAGTGAGAAAGACAGGAGAGAGAGGGATGGAGAGATCTTGGGCATTGGAGACCGTACCGTCGATGATGCTCCGTTGTCCAAGAACCACCAACAGCTCCGGACTTCTTCCTCGCCCAACACCACTCGGGCGATGAAGCAATGAAGAAGAAAAAGCGGCTCAACCCGAGGTAATGCAATACGATTTGAGCCAGTGCTAAAGATCGGTCAACCGTTAGACATCAGCTAACTGTACCCAGCCACTGAGCCATCGTGAGTGCCTCAGCCTCTCAGCTAAGCGTGAAGCGTGTTCCAAAAAGTATGCTGCTGCCAGGGGATGCTCCCTGAACCTTCAAGAAAGAAGGGTTCGGCCAATGGACAACTCATGCAGAAAGATCGCGGGCGAGACGATAACATACCAGATGAGCGAATAGGAGACCACAAAACGCAGACGGTAGTGCAATGTCCTGCGCCCTACTAGGGGGTACCCCAGAAGGAAGTGAGCCAATCGTGAAACTTGTGGGGACAGCTGCACCGTCATCAGGAAGAAAAGATAGAAAACGAGATTGAGTAACATGTTGTCGAAAGCTTCCTGTTCATCAAGGTGAAGGCGAAGAGAGGAGGCGGGCATCGAGCGGTTTTTATTATTGCTACCGCTGCCGGACGACATCGCTTGAGCGAGGAAGGGTGACGCATAGCAATGGCGAAGGTAATTCCGGCTCTGCCATCAAGTCAGTTTTTCCCCTCTCTCTTGCCGCCCATGGCTCTTACGAAGATTTCCCATGCCCAGAAAACAACCAAGGATTGCAGAAACAGCCGTCCATATCGCATCCAGAATCCGCGCCATGTCTGCGGCCTCGCATACGGCGTATCGCGGTCCAGTATCCCATTAAGAAAGGGGGAAGCCAAAAACGAGTTCCACAGCGCTGCAACAATTAGAAAAGCCTGCAGCTGTAGTTCGTTGGGTTCGGCTCCTTCCGTGAAGAAGCGCAGGGGAGGTGGGATGTGTAGCGTCTCGGCTTCGAAGCGCGAGACGACAGCGGCCATAGCGAGCAGTGCGGTGGAGAGGTAGGTGGAAAGGTGATCCCCGAAAGAGAGAGACATTGTAGCGAGCGTATCATATGAGGAAGAGGAAGTGGGAACATGTTCTTTCAGGGTTGCGAACCTATATGTGAGTGTTGAATGTGTTGGGACTCCTTACCGTGGTTCGGGAGAGATAGTGTAACTACGTCTTGTGGAGCATACACTGTTCTGCGATCCTTTCTCGCTGCGGTGCATAACTTGTTTTTCTGGCTTCGATCTGTTAGGAAAGGAGCATCACAGCTTTCTGGCTCGCTCGGAAAGGCATAGCATGCAAACTTCTCGCTCCGAATGAGCACGCCTACGTATACTTTCACCCACCCGTACGCCTGGAGCTGTTGGCCTTTTTCAATTCGTGCATTGTGGCGTGCTGGAAGGGGATACTTGTTGTGAGCGTCAAGCTGTTAGTGAAGATCGAAGCTGCTGACGAGCTCTCGGGCTTGAAACGTTTCCTGGTGCTGTACCAGTTCCTAGTGTCACCCGCCGAGTGAACTACCGAAACATCTCGCTATGGGAGGATCCTGGCTTTGTGAGAAGTTTGTCAACTTGCTAAGTAGCTCCTGCCTCACCTTCACTGTTGCCATGGAACGAGCTGCCTTCACTCGTCAAATAACTCACGCACACACTTCTTTCGCTACGCAATTTTGATCTACGCCACACTGCGTCACCTTGGCCAAAGAGCACCCCCAATCTCGAGAAATTACACAAACAACAGTGTCTCTTTTCCCTTCTGAACTTTTTAACCTATACATACATACATGTCAAGTCTAAATTTTCGCACCTTCGAGCGACACATAGGGAGCTCTGGCGGAGCTCGGGTTGAAACATCCTCGAACAATTCTTGGTCACCCGGGGCTCCTCCTTCCTATCAGGATGGTAGTCATCTGACCGCTGGTGAAAGCAGCCCTGTCCTTGCTACCACACTATCATTTTTCGGTGGTTGCCACCATCTTCTCTCCAAATTCCTCATCACCATTCTTTGCTCTATGGCCATCCGAGACAGGTCTGATGTCAGGAAGCTCGAAAGCATTATCCGAGAGCTCCTCTACGCGACTAATGTGAAGCAACTCTTGTATAGGTAATCCTCGAATCTCCGAAATCTCAGCGCTCATAAGCTGGGAGTGAACATCGGCTTTTCCCGAAAGCTCAATCGCTGTGTGTGTTTTTCCGGTGTTAAAGCAACTTCTTTCATGTGATCGGCGTCTCCGTCGACAAAAAAGGACAACCAGCACAAGTAAGATGGCTAAGCCGAGTATGCTTCCTACAGTGACTGTCACAATTGTGGCTCGACCGATGCCATGGCTTTTGGCCTTTCTTTGGTCGTCCGTGGCCCGGATTACAACCAGCTTCTGCTCGTGCGGGTTCGAATGTGATGCTTGGTGTATAGAGAAGTTGTATCGTTCGTAATCAACAATTACGTAGGCTTCTTGCATGAAAGCTCTTCCTAATGTATATTGCGTATCATTTGCTCGTCTCATTGGAAAGTATCTCGTCGTGCTGTTCGTCGTGCTGTTCGTTGTACCGTTATAAAGAGGCCATGAAAGAGCATGGTTGAAAGCTATATACGGGATAACGATGGATACGGCTTCTGCTGAGTCTGAAGAACAGCCAAGTTCGAATGTGAATTCAGCGTTCTTCTCCATAAGCTCGTTATCAAAACCCTCCTCTGCTAGATAGAAGCGACTTGTGTCGTCGTATCGAAGCTGGAAGAGTGCTGCAATGCGATCGCACGCCTCAATTGGAAGCCAGAGATATGGTAGCGTAAAATCAAGGCTTACGTAGATTTCGTCTCGGAGAATGCTAGTTGTGCCATTCAATGCATTATTCACCATGATACTCTGCAAGTAAAGGCTCATCGGTTGCTCTTCATCACCACCGAAGGGACAAGTGATTTTGTCAGTGGGCTGAAACCGACTTTCGTCATAGCCACCCAACGTGAGGCTAGCAAATGCATTTTCTTGGGCGGTTAATAAGAAGACTCATGTAATCAACAAGTGACTCACTGTAGAATGCTCCAGCCGTGTAGCCAAAAGAGAGGCTCGGTATTTGACCACTGGTTTTGAGCGCTGTGATGTAAGAAGGATGCGGAGTAGAGTAGTCCGTAAAATTGAACGCTTCTCGCCTCAGCCCAAAGAAACCAGTAAAGTATGGATACTTGTCCACGAGGCCGACAACCTGGTCGTCTAGTGTCGGACCTCCCGAATTTTGGACCATCAGACCAACAGTTTCGCGGCCATAGCCTACGCCAGTATGATAACCCCACCTAGATCCTATGAAGGTTCCGTATCTTCCCACTGGATTCCACGTTCTGGATGCGTTGGATTGAAATCCGGAACTATAACTCGAATTGATAACACCACGCAGGTCAGCACAATTCTCCCGATTACCTTTTCTTTGTTCACATCCTTCCCAATTTGGAATCATCATTTCTCCAATTCTGGGAGATGGGAGGACACGAAAGTATTGTTCCGGAGTGCCGACGCGTATGATGAATGTGCTCCAGTTTCCATCGTTACCATCAAAACGCTCGGCAGGCGAAAAGACGAGAGGTCGTAAAGCAGACATGCTTCCCGAATAATTTGATTAAGTGATGAGCGTAAATATCAGATCGAAAAAAGTCGGATGATAAGAGAAAGACCTTTACAGATCTCGTCATTCGTGCTTTCTGGATAGTGAAATCGTGGGACGTTCTTCTATTGCGGCTCGTGGCTGATTTCATTCCTCCCCGGGGCCAAGAGAAATCAGTATATATAAATTTGCGTTCGGCAATTCCCGAAGCGTGTTAGAATAACATTCCGGATTCACTTCAGCTATGTTATATATATACATCATAGCTCACCGGTAGGATCTCATTCCACCCTGTATGCCAAGGAACGATAAAAAGACCAGAATGGGGTTATTTGCCTTGTGACACCCCACTTGTGTCTAGGTAACATTCTGTCAGCAGTCTAGCTTTACAAGTGTCCACATGATTCAGATGAGGTGCCAGGGCGTCACGGCATCAAGGCATACAAAAGCATATATCTATCTGTAGGCGGACTCTCAGCTCTGACTAAATCAATCATTCCATCTGCACACACCTGAACCGAAAATGTTCTTCACAACCTTTTCTGCCCCAGCACTGTTCTTCAGCCTCCTGCACATCACTACAGGCTCTCCATCTACTTTTACTGCATCGACTGGTATGTGTTAGAGCTTCACTTGACAAGTCGCGTTTCTTTCAAGGTTGATATGTGAACGATATTGCAGAGGAAGTCCTTTGAAACTTCTTTCAATGCAGTGTCGGGTAAATACTCGCCAGCATCACTGGACGTAATATTTTTGGTCTACAACTACTGAACATCCACTGCTATCGATGCCGCAGCATGTCAAAGTGTGGGCTTTCTGGAACAAGAATAGATAATTATCATACTTATCACTGCTAACACTTTCAATGTAGGAGATTTATTTATACCGAGCAAATGTGAAGGCAGTTTTCCTGTTATTTGGTGTTGGTCACCACTTGGTTGGTCACCACTTGGTTGGTCACCACTTGGCTGGTCACCCCTCGCCTGGTTACCACTCGCCACAACACCACCTGCCTTAACACCACTCTCCTCAACACCACTCGCATCAGCACCGATTGCCTCAGCACCGATTGCCTCAGCACCGATTGCCTCAACACCACTCTCCTCAACACCACTCTCCTCAACACCACTCGCCTCAACACTACTCACCTCAACACTACTCGCCTCAGCACCAGAAGCCTCAACACCACCCGCCTCGACACCATCTGGCATAGTTTTTGCATCGGTGGACAATATGCCCAACGCTCTACCTCTTGATCCCCCTCTCCCACCATGTACCGTCGATGGGTCTTCCTGCTGATAGCAGGTCGGAGATATAATCCAGTTCTGCTCCGCTTTAACGTCAGATTGCCTTGTGTATCTTCACCTAGTCTATCGCATGACAATCTGTCTTTTACCCCGGGTTTCTCATTATCTTTCCAGTTTTTACCCTAACGGTACCCTAGTTCGTCAGCCTGGCCGGACAGAAGTGACCACTTACAACGTCCAATTATACGTAGAAGTAATGTCATAACCTTTCGTCTGGACCTGTGTGGATGTTTTTGCAGCCCAGCAGACCAGGCGACGAGATACCTGAACTCACAATTGCTTTGTGCCTTTGCTATTACTGAACAGCCTTGAACCTTTTCATTCACTGCGCCTCGATCGAACCTAGGAGCTTCGCAGGAGAATGTGTGTACAGACCCTCGAAGCCATGAATCGAACCACTAACAATTTATTGTGTTCTTGATCTTGAAGTCCTGTTGCGCATGTTATTACTGTCAAGGCCTCCCGGCAGATAAACTCACAAAGACTAGAATGATATCGAGCAGCTTCAATAATATGAAGCCTGTACAAAGCTTCCAGACATCTGCAGGGCTACATAGACATACTAACGCGCCACGTTAGTACCTAGTACCATATCGATCGGATACTTGCAGTTGAGGGAGCACAAGACAAAGCGCTGACTAGAAACTGGGCTTTTCTCAACATGAATGTCGCCAAGTAAAGTTCTTCCCGATTCATCTCAAGCAAGGCTGTTAGGCATTATGGTATCCGTTATTAGTCACTCGATCCCCCGGGTCATGGCTGACACTTCACGGCGTTTGCGAGAACATGGTGTCAGGGACACGACCCTACAGACAGACCTCTGCGTTACAAGTCAAGATCTGCTGGCATCACATGGAAGAAATAACTTGCTTCTACCAACTGCCAGCTGTGTGATTATTAGGCAACGGGCTGGGAGAGTTTGGCAGTTCACATAGGGGCCACCTCCGTCCACCTTATCATTATCAGCATCAATCGTCTGGAATGGGACATTTTTCGCGCGCGCTGCTCGCATCGGGCCCACATTACGCCACATTCTTATACTTTTTGTCTCCGGACCCAGACCCGTCGGGGCTGATCCAGACAAGTTCTCAGCTGTCCCACATTCCAACATTACTTGGTCACCCTGGCATTGACTTCGTTTCATTGGTAGCCAATCACAGGCTTATCGTGTTACGGCAAGCCCAGCCGCGCTACTGGTAATACCTAGTTAGGCTTGCAATGCTTCAGCTTCAATACATGTCTTTCTCTCTGTTATACCGTGCCCAAGGACAGCTTGTGACGATCCGACAGTTTCTGGTCGCCAGAATGGAAGTCGAAATGGATAGACCTATCCTGCCCTTGTAGGATATGACATGCGTCTTCTGACCCTTGGACCTGGACCGGTTCAAAGCCCTATGTACAGCCACCCTGAGCGAGCTTCGCTTAGCGACAAATGCGTTTTCGAAGCCTCAGTATATGTTTGGAAAAGAAAAAAAACAAAGCAACAGTCACCCATAAACCTTAACATAGAAGAACACCCTATAACGAAGAATCTAGAATGTGCATAGCGACATCTGCAGAACAAGGACGCCCAAGAATGCTCTGATTTGACGTCAGACCGGCGAACCAGAGCATAGTTCTTAACGTTGCCATGACCCTTTGTACAAAGACGCAGGTTGAAGAAGAAAGCTTGAAGCCATTTGCGGGGAATATCGCCACACTTTTAGATTCCTACCATTAAGTACTGATGCACTCGAGGGATTTGAATCTTATAATCACGCGTGAGGAGTAGATTGCCCAGTATTTGATGAGATCAGTATAAATGTTGTAAAGTGGAGACCTGACCGTTGTATATTCGCAGCAATAGTCCATCGTGTTTGCGATAATCCAGATCTCGGGATGAGCCTTCTTTAACGGAAATTAGATATGGAATTCGTGGTCGCGGGTGAGGGTACGGGCGAGCTCAAGGCCGATGCCGCGGTTCGCGCCTGTGGTGAGGGCGATAGGTTCAAAATTGCTAAGTAGCTCCTGCCTCACCTTCACTGTTGTCAGGCAACGAGCTGCCTTCACTCGTTCGCTCGTTCACCACACATCTGTTTTTGGCGGCCAAACCTCCACTCTCCAATAAGTATATAATCTGCAGGTATCTTTCCTTTATATCTAATTACCTATATATACGTGTCAAGTCGAGGTATTTTCACCTTCGACCGACACATAGAGAGCCTGGCGTAGTTGGGTGAAACCACTACGTCAGTACTCGTTGACAGTGCACCGGTTCGAGGCCGAATCAAAACACTTTGAGCCGGGGCCTGCGGGTGAAATGGCTTTTTTGCGATATTTTTGACAGTCCGCAATGCTCATTTTGTTTCGCTGTAGGCGCTAACTCCTTCGTACATATTAGATAAAGAATAATTTTGGGGCGTTCGGATAATTTACACTCATAACATTGCGCTGAGACGATCTAATCGATTAAATCCTGCATCTATTGCATGCATCCCACTGATCTCAACCCTCCGCTCACCACCCAATACCCCCTTCCTCATCTGTAAACGTCCCCGTCCACCCTTCCTCTCCCAGCAAACATAGCCTCACCAGATTAGGCACCGCCTCCACCGTTGACTTCGCCCCCTGATACCCATTCAGCCCCGTACTCACGCTCCCCGGACACGCAACGTTGATCTTCCACCCCTTCGCTCCAAACCTTTTGACATACGTCGCAGCCACCATGTTCAGCGCAGCCTTACTCGCGCAATACACATAGCCCTCCCATGCTGCAAATTTCGCTTCGGGATTCAACCGGTCGGATATAGACCCCAGGACGGACGAGACAAAGACAATACGTGGCACTGGCGCTTTCTCAAGAAGCGGGAGAAAAGCTTCCGTCACGACTGCGCTTCCAAACACGTTCGTTTCGAACGTAGAATGATACTTCTCCCTTAGATCTCCCAGCTCCGGAAAGCCAGAGAGCGCTTCGTAAATACCGGCATTGTTGACGAGGACGTCTAGCCTATCGTGCGTTCTAGATAGAGCTTGCGAGGCTGAGATGATGGATTTGTCCGAGGATAGATCGATGGGTATGCCTTCGACGGAGAGACCTTCGGATTGGAGCTGCGAGACGGCTGAGGCGCCGGAGGAGAGCGTGCGAGAGCCGAGGATGACGTGGAAGTTGTGGTCGCGGGCGAGGGTGCGGGCGAGCTCGAGGCCGATGCCGCGGTTTGCGCCGGTGATGAGGGCGATGGGTCGAGGAGAGTGCGTGGTGGCCATCGGTGGATTAGATTTTGAGCATGAGCAAGGCTGTTCACGGCTGGAGAGTGTCGACCAAGCGCCATAGATAAGGAGAATGTATATGTTTGCTTTTGTTCTTCATGAGCAGGGGTTCTCCGATGTTGTGTTACACAACGGTGTGTTAAGTGGGTCCGGGATATGCCTTTTCTTTGTCCCACGACATGCATGATCGAAACATCCACATGACGGGAAACGGGTTCAAAGGCTTTCCATCCTATGTAAAGCTTCTTCTTCGAAAGAATGCTAAGCTGAGGTCATCACGTCATTATCGTAACTACGCATCTCTTGCGATCAAAGCCAGGTGTCGTACTTATTGCTACCTTGTGCACACGAAATGGGTGACTTCAACTGTGCCGCCTCGATGCATCGCAAGCTTAGCCTACGAAGGCAAGCGTGAGGCCTCTATCAGCAACTTGCCTATCACATCAACGAGCCAAGTACGTAGCCTTGCCAATTCATGCACAAAGAATTACATTACATATTGCACTGCAATCTTAGCCCCCATGAAGAGCTCAAGGTAGAAACCTGCATCACGCCCATAATTATACCTGCTTCATAAGAGCAAGGCCAGGCACGTGCGAATGCACCACTGCCGAGAGCAAATAACCCGAAGCCGTATCATCTGTTGGATGGTTAAACGTGACATTCATTACGAATAGCATCACCAAGCAGACAATGCGATTGCGAGTCAAAAATGTTCATCGATATTTTCCTACACTAACGCCCATAAATGCTACTGCACAGCATGCACACATGCACTAGGTATCTACTCCTCATCCTTCTCATCCTTCTCCGCCTTCTTCTCAATCCACTCCCTCTCCGCCTTATCTACCCTCTTAGCATCCCCACCCTTTGAGACCTCCCACTCCCTCCATCGCTTGAAAACCGTATCCGCGCGCCTCTTCTTCATATCCGCCTTGCTCATGCGCTCGAAAATATCCCTGACATTCTCCTCGCCACCGTGGCTAAGTTCTAGCGCGGCATACACATCCCAGATATCCCACTTCTTCGGCCACGTGGTGACGAGGCCCTCGAAGATAGTGCGACCGCGCTCGGGGTCACCATGCTTGAATTCCAGCGCTGCGAACTTCTGCGTAAGGTAGCGGTGCTGGGAAGAGGGGACGCTCTGGGTGGCGCGAGAGAGGAGAGCGCGTGCCCGGGTCGGAGATGAGGGTTTGAGTGTTGAGAAGAGGAAGGTAGCGTAGGAGAGCCAAAAGGCGGGGTCGGGCGTGAAGGACTTGTTCTTCATCATAGACTGGTAGAGGTTGTCTGCTTTCTGTTCGTTCGTTAGTATGGGAATTACCAAAAGAATGGATGGAGTGGATGAGACTTACGTCGAGTTTTCCGGATGAGATGTAGATCTTGATCATGCGCTCGTGGACTTCGCGCGAGTCGTTGTTCTGGCAAGCCTCCTTGAACGTCTCGTCGATGAGGTCGTCGCTGCTGAAGTCGTTCTCGAGATGGAGAAGTGCGGTCCATACGTCCAGTCTCTCTTTTTCTTCGCGTTGGTTCATGGTGGCGAGGGCGCGACGAGCGATCTGCCGTGCCTTTTCGATCTCATTGAGCTCGCGTTGGAAGACCATGTAACGGACCCAGAGTTCCGCGTTGTTGGGCTGTCCGAGGAGGAGACGCTCGTAGTCGGCTACGGATTGGGGCCCAAAAGCGTCGAGGTCGCCAGTGCGGTCCTCTTTGATGGTTGCTTTCTTGTGCCTCCTCTTCTTCTTTGATGCGCCGTCTTCGGACTCATCGTCAGAAGCTGCCTTTTGGTCGTCGAGATCAAGCGTGGCGCCGGTCCAGTCGAAGCCAGTGGTGCTCAAGCCTGTAGCAGGCTTGGCTATGGTATATTCATCATCGTCATCGGAATCGGCTTCCATATCAACATCATCCACCTCATCCTCCTCAACGCTCTTGACACTTCGCATATCCTCGTCCTCGTCATCATCATCCTCTTCATCCGCTGACCCAAGTTCCTCAGCAGAAACATCGGAGGCATCTTCCATATCCTCGTCCTCATTGTCCCTCTTGCCCGCAACATCAGAGTATTTCAAACTGAATGTGACCTTTCTCTGTGTAGGGTTGACCGTCAAGACCTTGGCTTTCACGGCGTCGCCCTCCTTGTAAAGATCCTTGACTTTGCCCTTCTCTATACCCTTATCAGCCATCTTGGAGACGTGGCACAGCCCACTGACGTTCCGCGACTTGTCGATAACGAGGAAAACACCGTAGTCTGCAACATGTCGTACGGTTGCAGTGACGATTTGGCCTTTCTTGATGTCCTGGAAGTTGAGAGGTGCAACATAGTCGCCCTCGATGACCGACTTCTTCAAGCTCATGAGCGGATTCCTTTGCTGGTCGTCGTTTGCCGTGATCTTTCCTCTGACCATTTGATCCACTTGGAACTTTTCTCGCCAATTCTTGACATACTGGTCACTGAGATGTCCTACCGAGACCATAGCGTCAACATTGGGACCCAGGCGAACGTAGATGGCCTTCTCGTCGACTCTCTTAATGAAGCCTCGAACGATTTGGCCGACATTGAGATCATTCCTGGACTTAATTTCCGGGTCTTTGACAGGCAACGAGGAACTGAGGACCTTCGATGGTCGCGCAGATAGGCTAATCTTCTTGTTTGCAGGATCCACATGGGTGACGCAGACACGAATAACGTCACCTACTTTGAACTCGGAAGGCTTAGCCTGGTCGTAGTCGTCGGCTAGTTGCTCCAGGAAGATTGGTCCGGCGACGTTCTCGTTGATCTGGACGACGATATGTGATTCGTGAAGCTTCGTCACACGAGCAGGTAGTATCAACCCAGCCTTCAAGTCTTTTAATGTAAGTGACTTAACAGAGTCACTGGACACAGCGGTGAAGTCCAAGCGGTTCTTGCCGACGTCAATATCCTTGACCCGCACTCGAAGCGCTGAACCAACGGGGAAGTTCTCCTCGACATCTCCCAGCAAATTGAGATCTTCTGTGAGCTCAAAGAAATCAATGCGTCCACGGATAGTAGCGGAAACATTGACCCAGACGGATCGATCATTGTGGTTGTTCACAAACGCGACAAAGGAATCTCCCTTTTGGATCTTCTCGAGCGTTAACAAGTCATCCTCGCCTTTGATGTCGTTCTTCGTCGTGAGCTCGTAAATGCTGTTCTTGCCTTGACGATGACTGATGGGAAGGAAGCGGTAGTTCTTTGCGTCGTGCATACCGACCGTGGTGACTTGAAGGGTTTGTCCAGTCTGGAATTGCAGATGAGGGTGTTTTTTGTCAATAATTTCATCCCAGCTGCTGAAGAGCTCCGAAATATGTATGCGGCCATCAACATTATCGGCAATCCTGACATTGATCTGAGTCGGCTTCGGCGAGCGAACACGTACAGCAAGCTTGGTGCCAAACTCGATGTCAGCAGTCGACTTGATGTTCTCATCCACAGGATTGACCGCAACTATAGCCGACGAAGCCAGCTGTTTCTTCGGTTCAACTGATTCTGCTGGCTTTAAAGAGAGCCAGAGCCGCTTCTTGTCCATATCAACGTGACTGACACGGGCTGTGATGGACTGGTCCTTTCGCAGACCGAAAATTGGTTTCGAGAGCATGTCTTCCAAAAGTGATGACTTAAAGATAGGACCGCTGACACCATTGGCAAATTCCACGAACACTTTATCAGGGTCAATGGCACGAACAAAGCCATGCACGGTAGCGCCAGCTTTGATATCTTCAATCTTGGTGATAAGTTTCTGTGCTTGCGCATCTTTGCGGAGGCTTGGCTTGTTGGACAGAATAACAGTCCTCGACTTGCGGTGCTTTTGGAGGACAATCAGATCGTCGAGTGGTCCTCCAACACGAACGCGTGCCATCGTCGCTTGGTCTTTCTTCTCAGAGCCATCCGTGAGATGACCGATCCTGAGCGTGCCTTTGACGCCGCCTTCAAGGTCAACGATAATGGAGTCTGCTCCCTTCTCTTCCACTGTGCCCTTGACAATGTCGCCAATTGCCAGCTCGTTGAACTTCGTTTCTTTGTCCGCGTTCACAGCTGCAGGATCCTTGCATGAAACTAATATTCGGTTCTCTTCTGGCTTGATGGATATGACGCGAACGTTGACCACCTGTCCCCTGGTGAAATGTCGCGTCGCATCTTGGATGTAGGCCTCGCTCATCTCAGCCGCAGGAAGCCAGGCTCTCAGGCTACCGTAAAAATGGACCAGCGCCCCGGCAGGTTTGACATTGACTAATGTTCCAGGACCGGTAGCACCAACAGAAAGCTGGGAGTAGTCTGACCATGGCTTCACATCGGAATTGACAAGAGACTTCTTCAGCGTCAACCGCACCTGATGCTTCTGCACATCCACGTACAACACTCTCGCGGTGATTGGCGCATTCTCGCGGAACTTCCGCTCAGGATGTTGAAGGTGGGTGTCGGCCAAGTGAATCTCCGAAACGGCTGCATTAATACCTTCTGCTAGGTGCACAAGGAGGGCAGTGGATCCGTCTCTGTCCGCGAACAGCTTCTGGACCTTGCCCTTGACCACCTGCCCAACCTTGATCTCGTCAATGCGAAGGAAAGGCTGTGAAATCACTTTCTCTTCGAGAGACAGTCGGTACATACCATCAAAAGCGCTGAAGCCGATGACACGAGCCTTGTGCGTAGATGCCAATTGAAAAGGACCGGAGCCCTCCATTGGCATCTCGACTCTTTCATCTGCAAGTCTGTTCAGAGGGGCGAAACCAGCAACATCACGGGGACCAATGTTGAAGAAAACTCCAAGCATCGGCACAACCTTCGTGACCTTTGCTTCCTCAACAATGGACGATAGCGGGACGACATCCAGAGGGCTCTTCCTTTCTTTTGCTTTTCCGGACATACGAGTTGACAGAGCCAAGACATGATCTACGAGCGAAACTCCAAGTTTCTTCACGTCATCCTCTTCCGTCACGGAGATGATCCTGGCTTTGACCTTCATTCCAGCGTTGTACTTCTCGGTAAGATCCGTCGCTTTCTCTGCGGCGCCAGAGTGGATGGTATCCGCGGTTGCTTCAACAAGCCCCAGCACCTTGCCAATGATGGTGTTTGGCGATAGCTCAGTGATGAGTAGCTCGACGGCGGTTCCGGGAAGGAAAACATCGATGGTGGGCGCATCCGTCAGCGTATGCCCCTTCTTCAGGTTTCCTGCTTGATTTTGATCTGCTAGGAGCTTTACGATCCTGCCATCGGGGTTGACGCCAGAGACCAGGCACAGGAACACGGCACCTTCCTGGACCTTCGCATGATCGATAGACGCACCCAACTCTTTCTTTCCCAAGAAACCCTTCAGATTCTGTTCGTCTAGACCCAAGTCCATGACCAGCCCATGGTCTTCATTGCTGATGACAGAGACTTGAAGCATGAGGTTCTCCACCACGTTCGACTTGACAAGGCCTCGGTTCACAGCCTTGGGATGAATGGACAGCTCTAGCTTGCGCTTCCCGGTAAACTCGCCAGGGGCCGCGTCTTCGGAAAGTGAAGTCACGCATGCTCGCAGGTACTGTCCAACAGTGAACATAGTCCTCAGGTCGACATCTTCAAAGTCATCCTCGTCGTCTTCCACGTCCTCTAGTTCCTCGTTCTCTTTGAGCAGCTTTTCTATTCTCTCATTGAGCTTGTCGGATATTGCAGTGATGGGTACGTATCCCACGAGGCCGTTGGGAAGGGCGAGCGCGATGTCTTGTGCGGTAACATCAATGATCTGTCCTAGCACAAGTGTTCCAATTGCAAGATTCTGCACTCATTAGCAACCATCATGCGACTGCTCCATTAGGGCGCACCTTGAAGGTCAAGCCCTCAGCCTTGATCTTCTGAACTTGCTCCTCCTCGCCAAGCGCAGTCTTGTTCTTCTTCGATTTCCGCTTCTTGGATTTTGTCGGCGCGTCCTCACCCCCGCCCATGTCGGAGCCCTCGTCACTCAAACCATCGTCTCCGCCACGCTTCTTAGTTCCGGCTTGCTCGAAAAGAACATCCTGGTTCGCCCTGATCTGAATTTGCTTGTGCTCCAGAGGCGTCAGAACGCTAGCTCCTCCTCGCGGGAACGACTTTTCTTCGTCCTTGAAAATGCTTTTCTGCGTTGAGATTTCAGGCTTCGCTTTGGCGGGCGGCGGGTTCTCTGCGGCGTCGGATTTGCGCTGGCGCTTCACAGATCGGTCTTGCGGGGCGCTCCTCTCCTTCTTCGCGGGGGTGCTCCCCTGGTCTGCTTTTCGTTTTATCGCGCCCATTGCGGGTGGTCGCGTGTGTATAGAGGCACCTCGAACTTTTTGCCGGGTCGAACTTTCGTCTCTGAAAAAAGAGCGGGGCGGCGAGCTAAGATTTTCCGGGTGCCGACACGGCAGGAGCGGCCACTTAACGCGCCAAACCTGGGCAGTCGCGACCCTACGCGTGTGGGCAAGGCCGTGCGCCGGATCCAGCCTCTCCCCTCAGCACCGTTATATTCGTCTCATCCTCCACTGCTGGACTGTCAGTCTCTACTTCGCAGTCCAGCTCGTCTTCGCGTCAATTGCTTCTATATCTCACATGTGCTGATATAGTTAGAAATTATGTCCTCTTCGCCATGTGCTTCCCGCATGTCGGAGCTGCCCAGCTCGCCACCACCACACGTCGCGAACGCGGGCAGCCGCAAGCTCAAGAAACCGCCGCCCATCACCCCGAAACGCTTCCAGAAGTTTTTCACGCCGCGCACATCGACACATGGTTCTTCGAGGGTCTCCAGCTCCGGTCGCCAATTGCAGGATATCACGCGGGCTGCCATTAATCGCGGCAATGCCACCCACAGGACCACGCCCCGCAAGACCGTGAACTTTGCCGATATCGAGATTGAAAAGGGCGTGCAGACCCCTCAGCTCAACTCGCGCAAGCGTAAGACGCCGTATCTGTCGCCAGAGAGCTCTCCTGCTCAGTCATCGCCCACAAAACGCCACAAGTACGCGACCCCGCCGCCATTCACCATTCTCGAGGATGCACCCATATTCGATGAACCACCTGTACCCGTCTTCCAGGAGCCAATTTGTCGACTCAAGAGCTTAGGAGGAACTTCGCGGAAGCTGACTCGATCATTCGGTGGGCTACTGGGTGTTGGCCGCGGTCTACGACAGGATCACTGTGCATCATGGCAGGACTACACTGCCGATTTCTACAGTTCAGCAGAGGATCACTATGAGCTTCCTCCGGGTGCGCCACCGTTCTGCACAGCTGCGTGCAATGCCAACTCACTGGTCGCCGTTGGCGATGAGGATGGTTGGGTACACCTGCTCGATGCAGAAGACGATGCACCTTCTAGTTTCTCAAAAGCTCACGTGTCTTGGAGAGCCCATGGCAATGCTATCATGGACGTGCAATTCTCTTCCGATGATGCGTGGATCGCTACCGGATCAGGAGATCAGACAGGCCAAATCATCGATGCTCGAACTCAACAAACCGTCCATGTTCTGGCCAAACACAAGTCATCTGTAAAGCAGATACGATTCCAGCCAGGGGACGATAACATAGTGGCTACATCGAGTCGTGACGGCGCTGTGCAGATTTGGGATCTGAGGTGTAAAGGTGGTGAGGTTCACATTCACCCTGGTTGGGGCGAAGACGCACCATACGCTAGCACCATCAAATCACTTTCTTCTGCACACGCAGATATCGGACCAATCAACAATGCCATGGCCAACACCAAGGCTACAGGTAGTCGAAAGAGCGAAGCATTCAGTCGACGTAACGAAACATCCGTCACTGCCCTCTCGTTCCTGCCTACAGGCCGTGAACACCTGTTACTGACGGCTTCTGACGCATCGACCAGTGTCAAGCTATGGGATATAAGAGGTCGATACTCTTTGCGCGGCCCTGCCGTGCCCATCTCCACAACTAGGCACCCCGAATCGCACACTCGCCACCGTCACTTTGCGATCAACTCGCTCACGCTGAGCGGCGATGCCGCTCGCCTGTACGCCCTGAGCAAGGACAACACAGTATATGCGTACTCGACAAATCATCTGATCCTAGGCGTTGCACCAGAACTCTCCTCAACCTCATCGAAGCATCAGCGGGTCCAGCAAGATGGTCTAGGTCCGATCTATGGTTTCCGACACCGCAACTTCCACGCCGGTTCGTTCTACGTCAAGGCATCGCTTCGAAAAGCTGCAGGCGATAGACCAGAACTGCTGGCAGTTGGGAGCACTGACGGCTGCCCGGTGCTGTTTCCTACCGATGAGAACTTCCTCAAGCGCGAGAACAACCGGACGGAAGAGTTCCCCGAGTTGCCCCAATTACGAAGATCGACCCGCCCTTCATTTTTTCGCAATGTGCCTACCGGGAGCAAATTCCCCAGCATGCTTGCGGACACGATACCCATTTACGAACATGGCACTCCCTTGATCCGAGGCCACGATGCAGAGGTGACGAGCGTGTCTTGGACGAATAGCGGCTCGCTGATCAGCGTCGGAGATGACTTCCGCATAAGAAGGTGGAAGGAAGGCTCTAGGGCTAGGGAGCTGAGGCTGAACGGAGAGGCGGAGGGCAAAAGGTGGCAGTGTGGCTGGGCTGTTACGCAAGAAGGCTATGATGACGACGAGTAAGCGGAGTATGCTGTTTACCGGAACACAGTTGCAACGACTACAGAAGTTCGCAGTGCGATGGATATGGGTAGGCGTTTTAGCATAGCGCGCATCTGCTGGTATACCCTATGTTTTTCAGCGTGGCGTTTGGGCATGGGAGCGTTGAAATATGATTGAAGAACATTCATGAACACACATTCAGAGTAAAAATTGAATTTTTACACCGCACTGCGTTCTATGCACTGCGTAGTGGCTAATCCCTGAGCACTGCCTTCACTGTCAATACATTGTAGTCGCAATGTAGTTTCGCCAAGACGCTAAGATCTATTGGACGAGAGGCCACCGCGCACATGCGCTACTCCTCCAACTTCTTCCGAGGCGGTGAACCTTTTCCGGCCCTTATTATCTCGCCAGAACTTTATTATACTTTGAGCAACGTCCAACGTTCGGTAACGCCAAGATGGTGTCGCATACTCCTCCAACGCGTGGATTGAATTTTCCGGGGAGCTTCTTCCTCCTTAGTCATGAAGCCGACGAATTCCAGTGCCCCACTCCGAGCAATGCGGGCCTACTTCAGATGTTTCCAAAGGAAACTCCGCCTAGCTGGATAGGTTCTGCGCCATGGCTTTGGACATCGTTTGCGCGACCAGTGGAAGATACGGAGTTCGAACAGTCTTATCTTCCGAGACGGAGCAAGACTCTGGCACCTATTGAACGGCTTCCGAATGAATTGCTTGATCAAATCCTGAACTACGTCCAGGATAACGAGAGGGATGTACTAGCCTGGGGTCTTTCTTCAAACGTAATATGGTCGTATGTACTACGTCTTATTCATACCCAAAATGAGCCGTTTGTGGGTATGTTCACTGGGAAAGAGGTGGGTTTCTACGGCTACATCCCTACATCAGACGACGACGTCTTCCAATGCCGATCAGTATGGGACCGCCGACCAGCAGTGACAGGCGCCCCGGACTTTCTGGAAACATACAACGTCGATGAACGCCGTTTATCCGATGTCACCACCACGGCTGCCCAGCGCTGGATGGAAGTTGTCGACACTGCTAGATCCTTTTCCCAAACCAAGGAAGACGGCTGGAGGCACCTGAGCTCCGCAGACTGGAAAAACATCTCGCACGACCTCTTCTTCCACCACTACCCCCAATCCCACACCTGGCTCCTCCGCAACCTCACAACCTCAGAATTCATCCGCTCAGACAAACTCCAGCCCTCGCCGCGCAAATCCTCAGACAACACCCGGCCGAAACTTCCCTCCCGGCCCTCCACGTTCACAAAGATGCTCAAACCATTCACCTCGGAGAAAAAGAGCGCGAAAGAGAAGCCCGCCGCAACACTCGGCCCCCACCCAGACGAAGTCTTCGACACAAGTCCATTGTCATTCGCGCAAATATTGCTCGTCCTAACAGCCCACTCTGACCTCCCCTCCCACCACGAACTCCCCTTCGCCTTCCACGACGGCCGCTGGCGAGGCCACGCCTTCGACCTCACGCCTCTCTCCGAGCACCTTTCCTCCACGCAACCCGACGACTGGGCCGACGTGTCTGACCTTGCCGTCGACGACGTGGCTAACCTAAGATACTGGGTGCACCAGCTAGCCGGCGACGGGGACACGTGTCCAAAGAGTCTAAGGCCGCATGTCGAGGCGGATAGGAGTATGTATCATAATTGGGAGGGGTTGGAGGCGGGGTTGGTGGGGGAGGCCGAGGGGAGGTGGGTGCTTAAGAGGCCGGTTGAGAGGGGGTGATGAGGAGGGTGAGCGGGGGTAGGGGAGGAGCTATCCGGGGCATGGGAGGGAGAGGTTGTGAGAAGGTGGCACGGTGGTGGGTTGGGACGATTTAGCGTGATGGGGAGTTTGTACAGTGTGGGACGGGATGTTGCGAGGTTGTGGGTTGCTGCGAGATGATAATAGAATGGTGTGGACGACGTGGTGCTGGGGTTGGATGGTGGGGGCCATGTACAAGATATGTATGCGTCATTACCTCGTGGATACGGTGGAGACCTTTGCCATTCCACCGAATTTAGGGGCGTTGAAAGTGGCTATGGCGAAGCCTATGATATAACGACACTCTTAGGATTTCCATTGGAATGCTGACCCACAGATGCTGGGTAGCCTGTCCCGATGGCTCTGTACATGTAAGATTGGGAAAAAGTGTCGATTGCTGTCCAGGCTCAAAATACGGGGATCGATGGATTTCTTTATCGGAGACAATGTTTTTGGTAGTACGATCGATGCCTTGTACGATGGATCATGATACTTGGGGGCATGCACACAGAACGTAAGCACTAGGGGTTGGATTGGACTAAAGGGGAGATAGACTGTATTAGAACATTTCCATACGGATACCTGAATTACATTATATTAATACCCAGGTGTACTTGGGAGGTATCCCGTCCAACTTATATACAGGTGAGATCGACCAGATCAAAATGCTTTCATACATATTTCCAGATTACATTATAATTATACCCATGTGTACTTGGGGAGCATTACGTCCAACATATATGCGGCAACGAAGGGGTATCATTCAAACCACGGAAAGCACAATCTTCCCCCCACACCCTCACCCTCACTTTCTCTCCTCGTCCATAGCAATCTCAAAAAGTTCCTTTGTCATGTTCGCGACCTGGCCGCCCAAACCCGCCAAGCCTGCCTTGATGGCCTCCACCGTCTCCGGTTTCAATATGCCCTTGCGTGAGTATACATCCACGCCCGCAGGCGTAAACAACGTCTTCGCAAAGAAGGTTACAACGTAAGCATTCCCGGTGCCTTCTTCGTCCCCGTGCGCCAGTATCTCCCACTTGGAGCTCGCAATCATGAGCCAGCCCTTGCCGCGCCAATTGTATGCCAGACTCGCTTTCCCTTCTTCCCCGCTGTCTGCGGTATTCGGCACTGAGAAGGGCTTGTCCACGCCGTGCACGGTCTTCGTGGAGGAGGAGGAGATGGGCTGGTAGGTGACTAGGTCATCGATTCGTGGGGGAGAACTCGACGTGATGGGTGTGTATGTTATCACGACGTTCTTGTTCTTCTTCCACATGGGCAGCGTGGAGTGCGTTACGTTCCACGGGCCGGAGAGCCATTGCAGGGATGGCGGCGCGATGGAGGGGGAGGGCTCGGTCGTGGGGAGACTGGAGGGCACGCGCAGGGTGACCATGTTTGCTGTGGGGCGTAGAGGTAGTGTATGTGGTGTAGCGCGGTCGCGTACGTGTATGCAGTGACCGGAGCTGAGTGCGCGATGTGGGCGGTGGCTGGGATGGCTGAGCGAGCTGCTGGTGAGCGGATTGAGGTTATAAAAACATCATGGCGATAAAATTTTCAAGGAGATCAACAATAGTTTATCCTTTCTGCTTTGAGATGGCGACAATAACAACACGTCGCGGAGGTTGGCAACCGGCCACACGAAAGGTGCATAAGGCTGAGGGATCGCCCGGCAGCCCGCAGCGCCGAGCGCGGTCTTGGCAAGGGTCCCTCATCGCAGCGCCTGACATCACACAATCCCGCACACAACGCGTCTCGCTCCACAGTTTCCAGCGAAACATTGCCCCAATGGCGAGGCAACGTCACGGCCGCCTATTCTTAGAGCATCGATGCGCGACCGCTTCGAGTTTCAGCGGTGGCTGGGTGCGGCCGGCTGCCAGAGCTGACGACGCCTGAGACTGGCTAAGTGTCTGGGGGGCGGTGCAGAGGTGTCTCGCATGCACCTGCCAGCCTGCGGCTCCACAGCAGAAAAGAGGCCAGCCACATGGTGTTTGCCGCTGACGGATGGGTAAGCTTTAAGACTGTGCCGTGCTGCTGTTTGGTTTGGGCCATTTTCGAGCTTTGTTTGTTCTGTGATAACGCCTCCGAGTCGTGTAACTGTCGCTCTAGTGCTACGTTGTTTGAGACGACGATACCCTCGCTACATCAACCTCGTTGCATCTGAACTGGATTGGGTTGGATCGAATAGACTACACACCTCCTCATCATGTTCATCAGAAGTCTCCTCCAGGCATCAGCCCTCCTCCCCTTCATCTCCACATCAGCACAAACCACAACAGCATGCAACAACTCGCCCTCATTATGTAGCCGCGCCTACAACAACATCACCCACCTCGGCGCCCACGACTCGCCCTTCGTCCGCGACAAATCCACATCCTTCTCCACCTCCGGCAACCAATACTACAACTCAACCGTCCAGCTCGACGCCGGCGTCCGCCTCCTCTCCGCCCAAGTCCACAAGAACAGCTCCGCCACCGGGGAAGACGAATGGCACCTCTGCCACAGCACTTGCGACCTCCTCGACATGGGATCCCTCACGTCGTGGCTCAAAGAAATAAAAACCTGGATGGACGCGGACGCCAACAAAAACGAAGTCGTAACCGTCCTCATCGTAAACTCAGACGACGCCACAGCCTCAGATCTCGGCGCCCAATTCGCCTCCTCAGGCATAGACGACTACGCCTACACCCCCGCCTCGACCTCCGTGCCCAAAACCTGGCCTACCTTGGAATCCCTCATCAGCAACGGCACGCGGTTGATGACGTTCGTAGCAAGCTTAAAAGAGACGAGCACCCAGTATCCGTATTTGATGGACGAATTTACCTACGTCTTCGAAAACGACTTCGAGAATGAATCGCCTACGAATTACATGCACGCCTGACCGGCCCACTGGTCTCACTACATCTACCACCGGCGGAAGGATGTTCCTCATGAATCACTTCCTGTACTCCACGCAGCTTTTTGGCATACAGCAGCCTAACGATACATACGTTAACACCACAAACGCGGAAACCGGTCTCGGCTCTCTGGGTACGAGGCTGGATAATTGCACGAGCGTGTATAGTCAGGCGCCAACTTTTGTCCTCGTTGATTTCTTCAATGTGGGGCCGGCGATAAGTAGTGTGGATGAAGCGAACGGCGTGTCTGGTGCTACAGGAAGAAAAAGCGTTTCTACTGCGCAGCCGGACGAGGATGCGAGTGGGGATACGGGTGCGGCGGGGCGGAGAGACGCGAGTTTGTTGGCGGTGGTGGTGGCGGTTGTGGTTGCTGTTGCTTTTGGCATGTGAGAAAAAAAAGGAGGGGTGAGATTGTTTTTAGCGTTTGCATAGCGATGGCGTTTGGCATTTTGCATGGGAATATGGGATGGGACGATTGAATGTGTGGCATGGCAATTTTTCCGCCCCTTGTCATAGATAGCATAGCTACTAGCATAGCGATTTTATGCATCTTTTTACGATCATTTGTGGAGATGGAAATACTACTGTGTGCGTTTGGAGTGACTCGATGCGGAGATTGGCGAAGACAGTGCGGGAGGATGGGAGCGTGGCCGCGGCGGCATTTGTTGTTATGATGACTGCTGCTTTTGAAATGTGAGACTCGTGTATAGAACCTTGTTTGAGGGTGCATAGCGACGGCGTTTCTCCTCGATTTTAGCATGGTATGACAGACACAAGACAGATTTCATAATCAATGATTACAGAATCATCACCCATCAACATTTTTTATCGCTTACAAGCATCTGATCTGATAGATCTACTACTGAGCTTGCCAACTTGTGCCAGCATCCCTAGAAAAAGGGTAGACACCTAGCTTTTCCTCAAATCTGCAAATTGTTCATAAATCTATGCAGAATCCTGCATCCAAGCAACACCCCCGTCGATACCCTCGTAGATTCTACCATTCGGACCCAACTGAATAGCCGAGATACCAGTGTTGTAAACGCCACCAGAACCCATTTTCGCGCGCCATACCTCTTCCCCACTCTGGAACTCGTACGCCACAACATACCACACATATTCACCTTGATTAGCAAGCTCATAGTCCTGCGTATATATGTAGAATAACCCAGAGCCGGTAGACAGCGTCGACATGGTCACACGCACTGGGAGATCCCAGACGAAGCTGCAGGTGCCGTCGTCAGATATATCAATGCGGGTAGCACCCGGGGCCATAACGCTTAGGTTGTTCTGCGGACCGTTGATCTCGCTCTCGCCGCCGAAACTCCAGGGCGAGTTGTAGCCGTTCGGGATCACAGCGGTGTACTTGTTGTCGTCAGAGTAGGTGGTCAGGCACGCCTCGTTTGCGCTGGCATTCGGCTCGAAGAGAGGGTGTGAGCAGACCTGAGCGGGTTTTCCCTCGGGAAGCTCTTCCACCTGATGATATACGACGAGGTTGATCTGAGTGTCGGCGTTATCGGTGATGGCGACGTACTTTTGGCCAATCAGGGAGACGGTGGAGCCCGAGCCGCGGGATAGACCGCCGGCTTTCATGCCGCTGCCGGCGGAGTAAGTCTCGTTGTAGGCGGTGGTGATGCCGTCGGTACCGGCGAGGAAGGCATAAAATCCACCGGACGCATCAGCATGATTCTTCTTGCCAGCAGGACCAGTGACAAGGTATACGGCGTTATTGTTGATAGCCATACCGTTCTCGACGATTTCATCTTGGAGGAGGATAGTGTGCACTGTGTTGTCCGTCTGGACGTAGCCGACAGTCGTGGTATTAGGACCATCGAGGCCAAGGAGCGGTACGGGGGTGGTAGAGAACCACAGGTTTCCGTCGCCAGTGTAGCCGACGATGGCGATGATTGAATTCTGAGTCATGATGTTAGAGAGGTCGATCTCGCGGACCAGATTGAAAGAACCGGTTCCGTCGGTACCCTTGACGAATTCGAGGTCAACGATAAAGCCCTCCTGCGTGGGGATCGTGACACGGCCGTCGACGACCTGCCAGTAGATAGAGACGGCATGGTGGTTGGGAGCGGACCACTGTGCAATGGGTTTGAGCGTCTCTGAATCAAGAGCAGCAAGGCAGAAGTAAACAGGATCACTGCTGCAGGCCAAGGAAACCAAGACATGAGAGTCTTTAGTGGCCTCCTCCCAGAACATATAGGCAGAAAGAGTGCTAGATCCAAAGACTTGGGGATTATTTCCAAGCGGACCGACCCAATCGTCGGTGCGAGTGTTGCCTCCATCAATATGAGCACCATGGGCATCAGGAACGAAGATTGGACGCTCTGGTAGACTGCTGCCTGTATAAGGGTTTCCAACGAAAGAAGGAGCGGAGACATTCTGAGAGTCTGGAATTCTGTCGTTCTGGGATTGGGATGAAGCCGCTTGCGACGAGGGCTTCGAAGCCTGAAGAATAAGCAGGAGGAATCGAGAAATAGATGGATTCTCTTACCACATGTATCACCATGAGGCATGCGGCAGCGTACCGAACGACCGCGTTGAGACTGCACATATTCATTGCTGAACGAAGGTGGTGATTAGAAGTGTGTATCGATTTGAGATTCAATTTTGGTTGGTGCTTTCTGTTGCCCATGTCCCGGCCTGCTTTATACTTCCTCTTCTCCTATTCTCAAGTTCCTTTTCCTCTGGCGCTCCGGACACTGCCTCCTAGACCAAGAGCCCGAGACCCGAGATTTGACGTTATACCGTCGATCTATGAAAAATGATTGTGGACAATACTACACCCAATAGTCTCCGACGGTGCAGGTCAGTGCATGTCAGTGCGCTGAGATCATTTATGCATGGCAAAGGACGTTATTTTTATTACCTATCTAACTATAGTTCTTGCATAATATAGCTAAACAGGTAAGAAAAGCTAGCAGAGCGAGCAGCGAAAAGGTGCGCATAAATGATCTGAGTGCACTGGCCTGCACCGTCGGAGACTATTGCATGTAGTACATAGTCGCTTCATGGTTGAGCTGTTGGGTGTGAAAGCCTTAGAACGGTCTGTTGACTTGGCATTCGTCGTCGGACTCGTCGTCGGATTCGTCGTCGGATTACTCGTTATTTTGGCCGCCACGGCGGTAGGTATCGCTGTAACGATATAAGCTCTCCTTCAATATTGTAAATAGAAGGCTTCTTAATGACTAAATTATTGTATTTTATTTGGCGCCTCTCGTCTGATCGCCTCTATGCTGTATATCCGACTGACACCGATGCATTTAGCTATTATTTAGAATGTTTGGCCTCGGCTTTTATCGCGCGTCGCTATAGTTTCTACCTGACCACCCCCGAAGATCCTAACATCCACTCTATCCCTCACACACTTCACTGGCCAAGCTATCCATCTCCTCCACTCTCTCTCCACCAGTACTGCTTCGACAGTATTGCAAACATTGCCACTCCATCCTTGCAAGTACCAGTAGTCGGGTTCGTAGCAGGATACCAGCACCGCGTAATAAACCAACACTATCAATGCCATGGGGTCTCCTATCCTTATCAGGCCTAGAAAGTCTCTCGACAGATTAAGAGGCCATCCCCAGATACGGCATGCTTTCCCCGTCTCTGCCAACATCCCCGCGTATGTAACTCGAAGTTCACCTAGCGCGAGGAACCATGAAGAGCGAAGTCTTAGTTCATCTACAGGGCTCGTACCCGCTGGGACTCTCATCGTCCTAACAAACGCAATAAGCTCGTCCAGGTGTCGTGTGAACATTCCTGCCGCGGGTCCGCTTCGGCCCGGCTCAGAGAGAAGGGGTCCAATGGGTCCGGCTTTAATTATGGGCCATATAGATGGGGTGACGAAGTTCCTGTAGACTCCTGGGCTCGGATCAACATGTTTGCTATTACATGGGTGCATCTTGCTCGCCTTGCCCAAGGAGAAAACAATGCGCAATGCCAGGCAGAATGTCATCGCCGTCGTAAGTCGCAATTGAGAACATACTCGTGATGAAAGTAAATGAAGCAAAAAGAACAGAGGCGTGGCAATTTTCTGAGTTAATTTTTGGTATCCCATAGGCAAACCGTCTCAAAGCCACGTTTTGATGATGAATAGATGCAAGGGTTGAGGACTTTTTTTGATCTAAATGTGTGTGTCCGTAATGAAGGCCAGATAATGCAAGCAATGCATGCATGAGGTATTCCTGTATCGAATGCATGAGCGGAGAGACAAAGGAGCAGAATAGAACTCGTAGTTTCTCACGTGAGAAAGAGCCAGCCGCATCACAATATCTTTCCAGATCTCAAGCGTTTCGGGACCCCAAGCAAGCGTCATTTACGCGGAGGATGAGTAATGATGTAGTAGACTTAGATCCTGCATCCAGTCGGTTTGATCTTTGGCCCGACAAGCCGCTAGGACGGAACAGCTGTCTGTGATAGCTGGTGCTAGCGCTGGTGCGTGCTCAGCCCCAATGTCGAAGCCCTGCAAAATTCCAATGGCAGTACTTTGTCTAGGTTTGCAGGTCTCTGGACGCAGGTCTGAGAGTTAATTCTTTTCTCAGCCACAAATTTAAGCTCCGCTGCCGCAACGTACCGAAATGTGTTCGTTCAACTATGGGGGTGCTGTTGTCGTGGCTTAGTTCATCCGTGGACGTCGCGGAGACTGTCATCAGACTGCAAATTACTTCATGTCGATTACAGTTGGTACATGGCCGGCGTTCATCACACTGCAATCGGAATAAGCTTATCAGGGCGGGGATGCTTCGTGTGAATAACATACCGTTACCCGACGAGCTTTGCATTGGACGCAGCCTTTGCGGGATTTTTTGAACCCCAAGCGTCTCGGGGGCATCTTCTCTACGTATGTTGCTGGCGGGGAGTTCGGCGGATGCAAGGTTTAAATAGCGACGACGAACGCGAGTACGAGATTAACTTGGCAAGGGATGGGCCGATTGCACTGAAATAAGCGCTGGAGAGGTTTGGAGCCCCACACTATACTAAATCTGGCAATTCAGCAAACACTGCCATATAGTTACGCACCCTACGATTGCGAGGCACACGTCTACAATCTACTCGAATACGTATTTAAGTAGGGTTCATTGCCAACTTCTTTTTGGGAACGATCAGCACGTTTTTACAACTTGACAATCGAGATTATCGATCACACGACCAATAAAAGCTTACGCCTGTACCCTCACTACGGCACGATCATCCACGCAATTCACCCTCAATGTCATACTACGCGTACACCCCGTCAAAGCCCGCAGCTTTCGCTAGTGTAGTTATTTTCGGGATTTTATTTGCATACCACGTCTTTCGGCTTTTTTAAAACACGAACATGGTTCTGCATGCCCTTTGTTATTGGCGCAATCTGTAAGCCTTTTACTCTAGTCTGCCCTTTTCATATCGCTTACTATATGTTCCAGTCGAGGTGGTCGGCTACGGATGTCGGGCGTATGGTAGCAAAAATCCAGACAGCCAAATCGCCTACATCCTTCAAGCAGTGCTTATACTCCTCGCTCCTATCCTCTTTGTCGCGTCCGCATACATGTTCCTAGGTCGTATCACCCACGCGACAGGCCATCATACACTCTCTATGATACGCCCGAATTGGCTTACCAAGATCTTTGTTGGGGGCGACGTTTTTTGCTTCCTTATACAAGCTGTTGGTGTGGTCATCCTAGCCAGTGCAGATACAAAGGACAGGTCCAATCTTGGCAAAGCTATCATCCTTGTGGGATTATCTGTACAGCTTATCATACTTGGTGTGTTTATGGTCGTGGGAGCCGTATTCCATCTAAGAATGAACAAACGACCTGGTATGAAGACGATAGCAACGACTTTTAATTGGGAGGTATATTTGAACCAGCTATATGTGGTCAGTATTACAATCACATTCCGGAACATCTTCCGCGTTATTGAGTACGCAATGGGCAGTATGAATACCCTCCCTTAGCCACTCTTTTACCAGTACTAATGATATATTAGAGGATGGATATCTCTTGGAGAACGAGTGGCCAATCTACGTATTTGACGCACTTCCCATGGTTGTGGTACTGATCGTACGTAGCAAATGGTATGTTCGTGAGAACATCGCTGGAGCTCTAACAGAGTCGCGAGGAAATCTCGTGCTTGTGGATAGCCCATATCGCCATCAGCATAGGCATCTAACGTCAGTTTGAGCGGGTCCTTGCTTTTTACATCATAGGGAGGAGTTGTAACGGGGTAGGCTTGGAGTGAGCTGAGCTAACCTCGAAGGGGGGTATGTGGGGAGATGATAGCTACAGTTGTTGTATAGTCGCGTTGGTGTGAATGTCAATCAATCACTACGATGATAATGTGTTGCCAAAGACTCTAAGGATAAGGCAATCTTTCGTGAGGAAACTAGATGCAGAGAACTGTACCGTGGATTAACGATGAGTACCAATCTATGGAGTTCGGCCTGACTATACTCTCGAGGTTTCTTGGCGGGTTCGTTGGATTCGCGGATTCGTGAAGCACGAATTCGCGAATCCACGATTTTTGTCACGTGACCTCGTTCACTTGTCCAGGTTGTGATCAGCCTCGTTCCCATAGACCCGGGCTGCGCTCTCGAGTTCCCATAGGTCCTCGTGCTCGGAGTCTTAGTCGCTTACCAGCCACTCATAACCTTTACTGTTCGACTTGAGGTAGTACTAATATACATAGAAAGGTACCCGACGGGGTGGAATGTTGAGCACCCATTACTCAAGGACAGTCTTTCGGCAGCGATCTAGCAGCGATCCGGCAGCTGACTGTTTAGGAATATATTACTCACACGCATCGTGTCGATACGTGACTGAACAGGCCCACATGTGTATATAACGAGAAGAGTAACTAAGTCTAATAGTCATGAGAAACAGATACTAACACAAACAAAGCAATCATCATGAGAGTAAGCCGAAACACACCAAAACACATGATGATGGACAAAGTAAGAAAACCTCATTACCATTTCCAATCTACTCGTACAGCCCGATTTCAAGGTGGTTCCTAGCACGCCTATTCAGGTAAAGGCAACCAAGAAGTACTCCGGGTCATCCGATGACAGACGTAAGAAGGAAGGGTAGCTTACGCCTATCTCGACTACTACTTGTTTTCAGGCTCGAGCCGAGGAGCCATAATAAATTCAATTTTGAAATCCATCTTCAACCCAGAAACCACAAGTATCTGCTCGTTCCTCCAACTGCCAGTTTCCGTTAAGGTTAGACCGGCTTAATTTTTGACTGAGTCCAGGAAGGTCCGAGCTTGGCTGTCTGAGTCGTCGAGTAAGTCACTCAAGGTGAACGAAGTCGGACATACATGATAGTACTCGGACCATCTCATCGACAAGAGAAGAGAACCTAAGCCTGGCATAATTCGAGTGGTAAAAGGCGCCCACCGTCTCGGGCCAAATTCATCCTCCCAATCGCTCGGGAGATTCTGAATGGGATGTGGTGACCTCGTTGTCATCTGCTCGAGACAATCCTTTATTCCCTGCGCAAGTGTCGCTTGGCCCAAAA